ACCAGGTGCGCTGCTTCACTCTCCTAAGAATAAAAGTTTCCCTAGTCTCGGTTTGGGTGTTGTTGGGTCTCCTGGCTTTTCCCAAGAAAAAGGGAGGGGGGAGAGAAAAGTGTCCCGTTTCCTCTCTCGACCACTTCTCTGCCTTGTCCAAGCTGCTCTGAGGTACAGTAGCAGCAGGAGGGGACAGCGAAGGAGGAGGAGGGAAGAGCCATTGTGTTCTCAGATGGGGGACAGCCTCCCCCATCCTTCTCCCCAACCAGTGGAAGGACCAGACTCAAATTCCTCACCTCTTGACCCCTCAGCAAACCTTTATTTTCCCTCCTTCTCTCTTCCCCCACTTCCCCCCTCTCTCTCCGCCTGACAAAGTTTTTTTGGGGTGAGAGACTTTTCCTCACGCACATATTTTTGTGTTGGTGTTGCTGAGAGAGGAAAGGGGGGTAGTTCTGTGAGGAAGGTGAGGGGGGAGAGAGAAAGAAGGAAGGGCCGGTGCCGCCAGGAGGACTTCCAGAGCAGGGGGTGGTGGCCTTGACTAGGGGGCGCAATCTGGACAGTTCTGCTAGGGACGCAAGATCACCTAGCTACGGCTCTGGTGACAAAATGGCAAAAACATGTGTTTTTACAATATTTTTTTTTGGGGGGGGTCATGACACTTTTTTGGGGGAAAAATAATATTATTTAAAACGAGTTTAATAACTTCATCAACAATTAATTAACCTCAACAAGTCAACATAATACGTATTGAAACTTTTTAGTTCAGTCAACAAACGCAACAAAACGCGACTGAACTCGACGCTGTGTAGTGGAGAGCGTATGGATAAGGAAAGGGAGGGGGTGTTTCTGTCTGCCGATTTGCTGAACTCTGTCTCTGCAGTTTGTACTCGAGCGAGACCAAACAACCCGTGACTCATCATCACTCAACCTGCAACCAATCCTACCCGCTGCCTTGCCTGTCAGTCACCCCACGTCATTCTGTTGAGTTAGTTGTGCATTATTACTGAAGCTTATAAGTGCCATGCTGAGTTTATTTTTGTTACATTTTTTAGTTCATTGATTCATTGTGATCATCCTCTTCTCTATGATATTGAGCTTGGTGATGTAAATGTTATGATATATGCTATTTGTTTGTATTTGTACGTTAAGCCAAAGCTGCAAAATAGCAAAATTAAGTAAAAAAATTCATTCATAAGGAATTCCCATAACGAAATAAAGGGTTTAAGTGCTTATGCTCACAATGTTAAGTAAATAAACCAGAAAATAACACTTGCAACTGTATCTTATGTTCTCTTTTAATAATTTCAATGTGGAGGGGGGTGACAAGAGATTTTCCGCACCGGGTACCACCTTACCTTGCTACACCACTGGGCTGGGAAAAGCTACTAATTTGGACTTGCTCTCTGTACTGAATCTAAAACTATGGCTTTGGAGATCCCCCTGGAAACCTAATGGGAGACAAGCTCTGTCTGAATCAGACCTGCTTTACCATGCTGCCTAAAAGAGGATAAAGCTGGCAGACTTCAAAATACATCATCTTTTATGAGTTCACTTTGGTGCTCTCTGTTTGTTTGTTTGTTTGTTTGTTTGTTTGTTTGTTTGTCTGTCTGTCTATCACAGGACTTTTGCAGGCAGCAATCTGACATCACAAGCAGAATTAAATCACATAAAATAAACAGAAACAAACAAACAAAACCCGTACAAACACCCTGAAAACTCTAGAAATGCGAGATGGAATTGGGTTGTTTTAAACTGCAGACTGCTTGTGATTTGGTGGTGGGTTAGGTTTGACTCTGTTTAAGACAGGTGTTTGTGTATGTCTACTCCAGACCATCAGTATTTTGCAGGTGAGATCCAAGCACATATTGGAAATTTTTATTCTGAAAGTGTGGCCCAGTTTGAGAACCTCTGCTGTAAGAAAATCAGGTCCAATGCTTAATTAGCAGCTCACCTGAGAGAGCACACTGTGTGTGTTGACTGTAACAAGAGTGGTGCCCGCCAGAGCTACAGGTCACAAGAGGATAAAAACTGAGCTCAAAAGCAGAAGAGAAAGCCAAGGCAGAAAGCCAAGATGAAGTGAGGGCATCAGTCTAAGAGACAGTGCGTGCTTACCTAACATTGTGGCATCAACTGGTTTAAACAGCGCCAATCCAGGCCAACCTCTCTAATAGGAGACTATCTGCTAATGAGGCCTCATCTTGGCAGACAGAAACTTTATGGCTTGTTCCTCATTCCTTTTAAGAAAGTTAAAGTGCTAAACTAGAAGTGAAAGATGAAGCTACCTCAGAGAACACAAATTCCAAGTTGGCAGGGACAGCGGCGTAGTGTGGGTTGTCAGCACCCGGGGCAAGGCAAGTAATTTGCGCCCCCTAACCCGGGGCAAGGCAAGTAATTTGCGCCCCCTAACCCCTAACCTGCCGCCGCTGCCAGCTTCTTGCTGCTGCCTGGGCTGGTCTGGTGTGGTTCTCTCCCCCGCTCAGCGCTGCACTGGGCGGCCGCTGCACTGTCCCTCCTCCAGATAGTCCCTCGCTCTCTCTCCGCACCGCATGCCTGGCACCCACCCCCTCCACAGTGGGCGGCGACCCAGTGGCTCGGATCAGATTCGCACAGCCAGCACTGCAGTGAGAGAGAGTGAGTGAGCCAGGTAGGGGCAGAGAGCTGCGAGTGCGAGCACCCCCCAGATGTTGCGCCCGGTGCAGCCGGCCCCCCTGCACCCCCCACGCTACACCACTGGGCAGGGAGGAATGTGCTACTTTCATTTACTAGAGCCGTTCTTTCCTGCTCTGCCACTTTAGTTTGCTGTTTGAGCTGTTTGATCCTCATGTGGTGTGCCTGGCTGCTGGATCAGCATGCCTCGCACACCCCAAATTTTCTCAGTCTAGAAGCATCCATACTGGCTATTTTGGTCTTACACAGAGCCTCACAAAAAAGTCCATTTCCTTGAATTAATGCATTTGCATCCCATTGTTCTTCCATTGTTTCATGCTGGCACTCTTAAGCTCGTCTCTTTTTATCCTCAAAAGAACCCTGCAAGGTAGACTAGGTGGGAAGATTGTGGCTTGTCTGAGGCTATCCACATGGTCTTTAAGGCTGTGGATAAGAGTTAAATCTTGGTTTTCCCTAAACAGATTGGTATAGAAATATCAGGAATTGTGGGAAGGAACGTGGAAATAACTAAATTAATGGTTCTTATTACTTTGAGTAGCACAGAGTTAAAAACAAAAGAGGAATGCAAATGGGTAAAATTGATGGTAATTGCAGCCAGACAGGTTATAGCAAGTAATTGGAAAAATGCAGAAGAGCTAGGGATGAACCAATGGAGGAATAAACTGAATAATATTATAATTTTAGAATACCAACTGTGAAGATACATAGAATGAAAGGGTTTAAGGTCAGTGTGAAAGAGGAGGATTGGTTTGAGAAGATATTGAATTATTTGAGTAGGTTTGAACAATTTGGGGCAATTAAAATCTTAAAAGTTAAATAAAGCTTGTGGAAGGAGGAGTGTTAAGGTATATAGACGTGTACATATGGTTAATTTGAATGTTATTACTGAATATTATTGAATATGTATATTATTGAATATTGTATACCCAATGTATCAGCCACCTGGGGGGTTTCACTGTTTGTGTGGTTGGTTATATATATATATATATATATATATATGTTTTCCCTGATCCAAGCCTAGCACTCTAGGTCAGAGATAGCCAAAGTTGTGTCCTCCAGATGTTATTGGACTACAATTTCCATCAGCCCCAGCAAACATGGCCAATGATCAGGGATGATGGAAGCTGGAGCTCAACATCCAGATGTCATGAACTGGCAGGGTGATGCAAAGGATGAAGCGGATCCCAGCAAGAGATGTCACCAGAACTAGGACACACTGGGGCAAGCAGGGGATGGAGAAGGAAATACATGGTGACAGAGGATGGTGAGGGGTTGGGGGTCAATGCACAGGAACCAGAGCAGCAGCAGGAGCCATCACCAGAGGGGACCCTGTCTCCATGAACATGGTGGGCACTGAAGTGTAGGGAGCACTGAGAGGGGCACTCTAGGAGGCTGAAGCAGGCAAGGACCCACAGCTCAGCTCCTTAGTTGGCTAGGTGGGACTCGCTAGCTCTGGGAGGAGGGGTTTGATTCCTCAACTGGAGTAGGCTTGGAGCAGGTGAGGGCCACCTGCCTCATCAAGTCCAGATGCTGCAGTCAACATGCAAAGTACAAAAGGGAAGCAGAGCTCAGGTGCTGGGTCTGCTCAAATGCTCATGTTGATAAACTTTGGCTTGGGTGCTCCTGGACCTCTATGGGACTGTGCTTTGGGTTTGACTCTGGACTGTATCCTGACTGCTAGACTTCAGATTTGGCTATTTGGACTGCATTTCCTGACCTTTGGACTTGTGTGGATTGGCCCTCGGACTTTGAACTTTGGCATGGTGACTTGCTGCCAGGTAGGCCAGGGGTTCAGGGCACGGGAGAGCATCTCATTGGTCAACCTGGCTCCAGACAATTCTCCAAAAGAATTCTTCTCCAAAAGAAACCCTTAAGAAAGCTTCAAGCTGCTTTGCTCCCAGGGTGACATCCAAGTTGCAGAACCCTGGGAACATCGGAGTATGGTCTGAGCAGAGCGCTGCGTGAGACAGGGTGTATGTTGACACCATCAGGCAATTGCTTCACTGTGTGCACATATTATGATGTCAAACAAACAAACAAAATCCAGGCGGACATTTTACCTTCCAGGACTCTTCAGTAGCAAAATCATACATGCAGGGAGGCACAAATGGTTATGCAAAGCAGCAAATGTTCTCTTTCACACATGCATGTGCACACACACAATCTTGGAGACAAATACTTGCTCAAGCAATGCTAGTTCCGTATATGCACATTCCCAGCATTGTAGTGAGTGATGACAGCAGGAGAGGCGGAACAGCCCGGGCGGCATTCTCCGCCTGAACTGGAGAGGCAAGGGAGGGCACTTTGGTGTAAGCAGGGAGGGACTCATTTTTCACTTCCTCATTCACTCCAGGCAGCAGCAGAAGCAGCAGCAGAAACAGCTTGCTTGCATGCTTGCTTGCATTGTAGAGATTTCCTGTTGTCCACAGAAGGGAGGCAGAAGCCGAAGCAAAAGGATGCCCATTCGTTCCCTGCCTCCCACCTCTTTCTTCCTCTGGCCAGTGGTACCCTGAAGAGGAGCCGCAACAGGTGCTACGGATGGGCATAGCCGAGATGGAAGAAAGGAGGATGAGCTACCAGCAGGATCAGCGCTGCCACTTGGGGCACAGTGATGTAGAAGAGGAGCTTCAGAATCTAGGGTGAGAACAAGTAGCTATGCGTAATTCCAGCAGACAGAGGAACCCTCCATTCCCAGGGAAGCTCTGAGAAGGCTGAGAAAGCCTGCTGACATTATCAAGCTGATGCTATGGCACCAGAGGTACTTTCTGCTGACCCTTGTCTGCTTTATTTCTTTAGTGCTAGCTCACATGATAATGCCGTGCAATAGGCTAGGCAGGCAGGAACAGTTGTATTGCAAGCTGACACTCCTGTTTGCTCCCTTCCCCGCTTTTGGAAGTAAACAGGGCAGGTGTGTATCTGTGCTGGGAGTTGAAGCTCTGAGCCTTGAATTTAAAAATGCATGAGTCTCTCGGCCTCACTCACCTCACAGAGTGTTTGTTGTGGGGGAGGAAGGGAAAGGAGATTGTTAGCCGCTTTGAGACTCCTTAAGGGGAGTGAAAGGTGGGATATCAAGTCCAAATTCCTTCTCCTTTTCCTTCTTCTTCTTAATTGCAGGGCCTTGGGTTCAAGCCTCATGTTGGGCAAAAGATTCCTGCGTTGCAGGGGGTTGGACTAGATGACCCCAAGGTCCCTTCCAACTCTACAGTTCTATGGAAGGGCAAGGGATGAGAGAAAGTGTTCAGTTAGGGATTCTTATTTACTTGAAACTCCTTCAAGAATCATCTTTTGCAGTGCAGGTTACTGTGCATTCAGCCTCAATAGAAGTCCCTCAATTGTTCTTTAAATGAAATAATGCTGTGTCACTGGTTATCGGCAATATTGGAGCATTATCCAACAGGATAACACTCCTAGAATCCCATACTGCTTTCCCTCAGTGACAAAATATTCAGTCAGCCGGTTTAATTGTGTATTCAGCCTACAGACCAATTATATAAAGTGTTCCGAGCTAAGCACACATGCTTCAGATAACGTGACGAAACATTCTCGTTTGATGCTGCGAGAATGCAGTTTCTCTACAAGAGATGTGCTACTTGATGAGAAAACTTTTGGATCCCCTTCAACAGCTGAGTAACAACCACTGTTACCTATCTCCAGTCCATAGTTTGGGTTTCTGCTCTCCAGTCTCCCATGCAAATACTTATCTCCCATGAACACAGAGAGCAACTTTGTGCCATTTCCGGCTATTGGTCCATTTTGAGAAATATTGTTTACTCTGTCAACAGGTCTCCAGGGTTTTTCATATTGCTGACTACCTGATTTATTTATTTTAACCAGAAATGTTAAGATTGAATCTAGAACCTTCTGTATACAAAGCATGTAGTCTACCATCAAGCTATAGTCTATCCCCATGGTTGGCCATAACCACCGTTAATGTTACATTTGCATCTAGGATAACTATGGTTGGAGCTAACCAGGACTGCCTACAGCAATTGTTTTCAAACCCACCTGAAATTCTAGTTTCAAGGTATGGTTAGGAGGCTATTGGCTTTAACCATGGTTCACCTAATCGAGACAAAACACTGAACTATCATTCTCGATAACTATGGAAGAGAAAGGGAAATTAGCACAAGAGCAGGGTAGCATGTGGTGTGAGGGTATGGGAGTTTGTGGCACACTCCTGATCTCCAAACCAGGGTGGGGAGATGTGGGCTGTCATTTTGAATTAAGTCATTCCTGTGTGACTGTAAATCACTCCCCCCCCCCCAATGTTCTGCAGCCTCTAAATGCCCTTAATACCAATTGCTGAGGAGCAACAGTGAGGGATAATAATTGTCCTGATTGTGGTCTTGTCACAGGACTAGCTCAGGGGTCGGCAAGGTTTATCTTGCCTAGGCTGGATCGGTCCCCCAGAGATCCCTCCGTGGGCTGGACTGTGCGCCCGTGTGAGCACGCCAGCCCATGATTTTGGGCGTCTGTGCATGCACAGATGCAATTTCTGGCGCCGTGGAAGCGAGTCTCCGCGCCGCACCGGTTTAGCGCAGCATGTGAGCAGGTGGCTCAATTTGGGGGTGGCTCATTGGCCGGTCAAACGACCTCCACAGGCCGCTTCCGGCCCATGGGTCTTAGGTTGCTGACCCCTGGACTAGCTAGACCTTTGTTCCGATTCAGCAGCTGGACTCTTTTTGTGTTTGCCTGGATTAATAAACCCCTAAAGAAGTGTAGCACTAACAGCCAAAGCCACACAAACAGTGTCCCTAAAGGTGCAGTGTGTATGTGTGTTTTTCACCATCAGATCTACTACCCTTGTGCTGATGTCCCGAGTCTTAAGTAAGTTACATTTGCCATGTAGTCAGCCGGAAAAATGTACAGGAGAGACATTGTGCCTTGTTAAACTAAAATATAGTTCTCACTAAGATGCTAAACTGTCTCATTAAGGTTTTTTTCTCTCTCTCTCTCTCTGCCACAAATGAGCATGCGATTATGTGATTTCTTGTGAAAAGAGAAAGGGAATAAAAGTCTGTGGGTCAGAAGTTCCTAAGATTCAGCAGTTATTCACAACACTTTTGGTTTTCTTTGAGCAACTGTGTGGGGGCAGAGTCTGACGTTGGTTTTCCATGTTGAAAAACACAAGGTGGTTTCTAACTGTACCGTATTTTCAGTTGTATACATAAAAGGACACAGAGGGAGCTTCCAGGAGATCTCATTCATCCTGATTTGTTTGCAAGGAGATTAGGCGACTTAATGAGATTAGGCTATTTAATAAGCATTCACCCTGATTTATTTGTGAGGTTTGATGTTGCGTCAAAAGAAGTGTTATCTCCCACTTTCTAGTGCATTTCCCCATCCCTTCTTGCAAAAGGTCTGAGCATTCAGGGAAGCAGATTTGTTGCACAAGATCTCCAGATCGTCTAAAACTGTGCAACCTGAACTAGTTGGTTTGTGATTGAATCCCACCTGTTAATACCAACAGTCTGGAAGCACCCAGAATTTAGAGGCGACAGACTACCGTATTTTTCGCCCTATAGGACGCACTCCCCCCCCCCCAAAATGAAGGGGAAATGTGGGTGCGTCCTATGGGGCGAATACAGGCTCTCGCTCTCCAGGCTTCAGGAAGCTCTGTGCAACCCTCCGGAGCCCGGCGCCAAGCCGCGCCGGCCTCCGGAGGGTCGCGCAGAGCTGCCTGCCCTCCCGGGGTCTGCACAGCTCTGCGTGACCCTCCGGAGCCCGGCGCCAAGCCGCGCCGGCCTCCGGAGGGTCGCGCAGAGCTGCCTGCCCTCCCGGGGTCCGCGCAGCTCTGCGTGACCCTTCGGAGCCCGCCGCCAAGCCGCGCCGGCCTCCGGAGGGTTGCGCAGAGCTGCCTGCCCTCCCGGGGTCCGCGCAGCTCTGCGTGACCCTTCGGAGCCCACCGCCAAGCCGCACCGGCCTCCGGAGCGTCGCGCAGAGCTGTCTGCCCTCTCGGGATCCGCGCAGCTCTGCGTGACCCTTCGGAGCCCGCCGCCAAGCTGCGCCGTGCTCCGGAGGGTTGCGCAGAGCTGCCTGCATTAGGAAGCCTCAGCGCGCCCGGGCTTCGCACAGCTGTCCGCAAGCCTGGGTAGACCGGCGCGGCTCCCTAGGCTTGCGTATAGCAGGCTCTTCTGGGGGCTGGGGTCGGGGGAAGCTCGGGCTTCCCCCGCGCCAGCCCCGTGCCTGGGGGAGAAATAATTTTCCCCCTTTATTTCCCCCCCAAAAAACTAGGTGCGTCCTATAGGGTGGTGCGTCCTATGGGGCGAAAAATACGGTATATTTTATGTGAATAGCTCAATTGGTTAGAGCGTGGTGCTGATAATGCCAAGGTTGCAGGTTCAGTCCCCATATGGGACAGCTGCATCTTCCTGCATTGTAGAGGGTTGGACTAGATGATCCTCAGGGTCCCTTCCAACTCTACAATTCTATGATCTCACTGCAACCCTGCTTCAACTAATGGCAGACTGGCTTTATTACACAGGGGGCAGAAATTGCTCTCTATTTTTCTGGAAGAACAAAGCTAACAAGGAGATACTATGGGAATGTGGAGTTGTAAAAGCCAGAGCGAAATAAAGGCTGTATTTAAGTGATCTTAGGAATGAAGAGGGAGTTCGTATATAATTAGGCATTTATGAGTCTGGGCACTTGTGTCTTTTGTATGAGCTGAGAGAGCATTTTATTTATGCTTTTATTTCTCATATATTTATTCCAGCCTTCAAAGAAGGATTGAACATGTTTGTGTGGGGAAAGCTTTTAAGGAGATGTCATGTACACAAGCAAATAACGGTAATGTAATTAAACATCATAGGTATTTGCTTGTGTAAAGCCACCGGTCATAGTTGTCTTGCTTGGAGTGCTTGTAAGTAATTTGGAAAACAGAAATTTCCAACACCTTCTCATAAAAGGCAATAGAAACAGAAGTCTTAGGACACTTTAATGACTAAAAAGACTTGGGCTCTAATCCACAGACATTTACACAACAATAAATCCATCAGTCTTGAAGGTGTCACACAGAATTCTTTGTGAGAGTGTTCACCTCCTGTGGTATGTGTACCATCTTCAAAGTGTTAACTTAAATGCTTCATAGAAAAAAGTATCTTTAAATGGCTCACAAGCTGTTAAGAGGATTTCATGCATTCAATGTAAGGAATCTCAGGATAAAGATTAGGGCTCAATCAAGACCAGGGTTTTTTTCTAGGTGGATTGCGTTATCACCAATTATTGCTGCTGTAAGCAGTTACTGTGCTTAGCTTTGCATAGAAATGTCCCAGGCTGTATTTTTTTGGACTTCTGGCCTCACTGTTTAGACTTCTTTTATATCCATGGGTGCATGGCACAATTGCTTTTGGACACAAATGTTCATTAGTTTGTTAAGCTGAATTGAAAGTGGCTATTCTGTTGTTTCTAAAATGAGGAAATCTTTAAAATCTTCTTAGAAACTGCAGTGACATCATCTTGGCCTCAGTGACTTTTCTGCAGAGCAGCAAGTATCTCCTGATCATACTTTAACTGAGGGTTGATCTCTACAGCTGCTTTTGGACTGAACTTCCCATCTATGCTGACTTCTGTTTCTTTTTTGTCAGTGGGCAGAAATGGCAGAACTGACCAAATGAGGAAACACTAAACATATTGAGCTCCAAGTTGGGTACAAGATTCCTGCATTGCAGGAGATTGGACTAGATGGCCCTCGTGATCACTTCCAACCCTACAATTCTACGAAACTTTGCTGACAATCATCTTCCTGGTCTCAGCAATTTTCCTGTGAAGTAGCAGATAACCATTTGGAGCTTAATTTTCCATCTATGGTTATATTTTGTTAATTTTGTCTGTTGAATTGACCATCCACTACAGATTAAGATTCTGGCTTTAAAAAATATTGTCCACTAGATCAACAACTAGAATCATACCAGACAAGCGCTCACATGCTAGCCTTGCCACCCCATCATTCATTAACTGATGTATGTATAGAACACTTTTGACTGCAATTTACATCATAAAATATACAGTGGTACCTCGGGTTACATAGGCTTCAGGTTACATACACTTCAGGTTACAGACTCCGCTAACCCAGAAATAGTGCTTCAGGTTAAGAACTTTGCTTCAGGATGAGAACAGAAATCGTGCTCCGGTGGCGCGGCAGCAGCAGGAGGCCCCATTAGCTAAAGTGGTGCTTCAGGTTAAGAACAGTTTCAGGTTAAGTACAGACCTCCGGAACGAATTAAGTACTTAACCCGAGGTGCCACTGTACTTCAAGACCCCTGCTGCCCTCTCTTCTTAGGGTCTTATATCTTTAAACCACACGTTGATTAGGCAGACCTTCAAGGAGAGGACACCTTCAAATGAGGGATTTTCCTCTGTAAAGTAGAATACATGGTTACCTTAACAGTCATGCACAATGTGAGAGTAGCATGCAGGGATGAAAATGGGCACATTTTGACTGGTAAGTGTGTGTGTGTGTGTGTGTGTTTATATACACATGCATACATTGTCAGGAAAGGTCATGAGTAAAATATATCTAAAAATACTCTGATTTTATGGTTATCAGAGTGGGATTTCTGAACCAGAAGAGGTACATAGCATTGCTAGAAAAGGAGATGAAACTGAATTGGCTTAAGGCACCGTGGTGTTTGATGAGACCTGAGAGGTATGTGTGAAGAGATGTTGGCCAATATTCAGAGGCAACTCATGCAACCCAGAGAAGTTCTAGGGAACAACCACAAACACGTTATTTCACAAGTCAGTTTCAACAGCACATGTAAACACTGCGAATGAGTCATAGATGGTCTTAGCAATATGTTCAGAGACAAGCAATAATTTTAAAAGTGTGCCATGTTACTTCCATGTAATTAGTGGCACTGCTGCTTTCTCTTTCCATTGTATCGTCTATAGTTATATGCCAAGTCTTGTACATGAGGCTTTGCTCTCTGACTGACTCTCAAATGCTGTCAATGTGGAGGGTTCTCTAAGATCAGCGTTTGTCTTTGGTATCATATGTAATGAAGATACTTGATAGAGTCTGGTGATATGCCTACCCTCAATCAATTACTTCTCTTGTCATTGCACCATCCAAACTGTGCTCCATGGACCATCAGTGAACTTAATTCAGGTTGTCCGTGGCATGTCTGTGGATTTGTGGTTGAAGATGGGAGACAGCACATCAATTGCATTGAATAGTCATGTTGATTTTTTAATTGCATTTTAACTGCTTCTCACTTTTATGTTGTATTGTGTTGCATTGTATCTGAATCTCATGAAATTGCAATTGGTGCATTAAGCAGGAAAAAAGCACCAAGTTGTCCACCATTATTTTCCATTAGCCCATGGCAGGGGGAAGTTTGGGAACCACTGAACTGAACCATAAGAAATGGTTCAACTCCACACCATATATTTATCACCTAGGTAAAGGTAAAGGACCCATGGATGATTAAGTCCAATCAAAGGCGACTATGGGGTTGTGGCGCTCATCTCGCTTTCAGGCTGAGGAGCCGGTGTTTATCCATAGGCAGATTTCTGGGGCATGTGGCCAGCATGATTAAACCACTTCTGGCACAACGGAACACTGTGACTGAAGCCAGAGGGCACAGAAACGCCATTTACCTTCCCACCACAGCAGTACCTATTTATCTACTTACATTGGTATGCTTTCGAACTGCTAGGTTGGCAGGAGTTGGGACAGAGCAACAGGAGCTCACTCTGTTGTGGGGATTTGAACTGCCGACCTTCCAATCGGTAAGCCCAAGAGGCTCAGTGGTTTAGACCACAGCGCCACCTAAGCTAACTTTTTTTGAATGAACCACAGAAATCTGGCTGCTCAATCTAACATGCACATGTCTCCTCTAAATCCAATTAAATTCCACAAGGCTATATCCAAATCTAGATCTGGAAGTGTGTTTTCCAGCTCAGGGTCCCTGATTTTGGGGGCTAAACTCTGGTATGCAGAAAGTACTCTTTGGTGAGGCCTTCTCCTCTTGCCTAGTCAACAATCTAGAAGCTTCACAATACCTGCCATTTGCAGGGAAGATGTTGAGTTGAGTGTCTTATTTCTGTCTACACTTCAGAAGGGATCTAAGGCTTGAACCCACACACCGTCAACTTAAAGCAATGACTCCCCCAAAGAATTCTAAGAACTGTAGTTCACCCCTCACACAGTTCCAGTTCCTAGCAACCTTAACAAACACTTCTCAATATTCTTTGGGAGAAGTCATGCGCTTTAAATGGATGCGACCACAGCCTCTGGTAGCTCATTAGGACCAGCCTCAAACTACAGATTTTATGATTTAAGCCCTGGAGCCCCTGCCACAAGGACCCCAAGATTCTCCAGGATTGCCTCATCTCTCCTGGTCAAAAATGATCATGCAATTTCAGTGATGTGGGTTTAGCCACTTCCGCCCTACAGAGAAGGTGGGGTTGTAGGCATCACAGCCCCAACACGCGCAATTGGTGGAATCCCCGGGCCGCGTCACCCCCTGGCCGGCCAATCGGCCGGCTCTGGGGGCATGGTCTGCCTTATTTAATGCAGGGCGGCCGGGGATCTCCCTCTTTTGCCACCTCCAGCTGTTCCTGTTTCCACCCTCCCGCCCTTTAAGATTTTTCGTTCCTTGACCTTGCTATGGACCTTGGTTGGTCGCCGTTGAGGTGCCTGGTAGGAATTTTTCAACTTGGCAAATTGGCACCGGCCACTTGGTTTTCGCCTACCTCGTAGAAAATCATCACAACTTTCTTGGTATTGGCGGTTAGGCATTAGTATTGGTATTGTTATGTAGATGGAAGAGGGGAGCAAGCGCCATCACCTGCCCCGCTTATTGAAGGGTAGTCCGAAAAAGGATTCCGAAGCCTGTCCAAAACCTATGGAGGTGAGGGCCTAAGGCACACCCCCGAGCGGTGACCCCAGGGAGTTCCTAGTTGATGTGAATTAGCAGGACTCCCCCTACTGGTGGTTAACCCTTCCTGGACTTCTAGCGGATGGGCTGAAGCTGGATATAGTCGGTTAGGACCAATACCTAAGCCAATACTGCTCATCACCTGTAACCAATAAAGTTGTGGCCTTATTTAGCCCATTAACCTTAATAATTGTGTCATGAGTCTTTATTTCCACTGGGGGGGCGGGGCGGAACTTGCCACACAACCTGGGAAACAGGCTAATTTGCATCAGAAAATGTTCTGCTTGCACTGGGAAAATTTTCTAATGCCCTAAAGGGTGACCTAGCTTGGCGTGCTTTTACTTGTATTCAGCAAACAAAGCAAAAAACCTGGAAGCTGCCAAGCTTGCCTAATAGCGTATCTGCAGTTGGCATTCATTCGTTGTTACCAATGAACTTATGCAATGGAAAATTTTCCATGGGGAACATAGAATGCTGGGGGGAGGGGGAATCCTTTTAAGTTTTCCACACACAGCATCACAACTTGTGCAGAGGGGTAGAGTCCAAGCTTTACTTCCAGAATGTCCCATGTTAAAGCCCAGTTTAAAAGATCGGGTTTAGGAAATACCTAAACTCCCAAAGATCTGGAGTCATCAGTGACAAGCAATACCTGGCTAGGTGGAGTACAATTCTGACCTGGTATATATAGGCCTTGCCCATGACAGAATGGCCATAGAACACACACGTTGCATGCAGAAGATCTGTTTCAGTCTACAGTAGCTGACTGTGGATGTCCCCAGTTGGAAACTCGAGAGAGCCTTTGCCAGTCTGTATAGACAGTGCAGAGCTGCATGGACCAATGCTTTGACTCTGTATGAGGCAGCTTTCTATGTTCCCATCTTCCATGTTCTATGTTGGTATTTTAGAACAGCTCTGTTGACACACAATTTCTATTTTGAACCTCTTCTTCCAGGCGTTTTCCTTCTAAAGGGGCAAAGTGGCTCACTTTCCTAACAACCTCAATTCTACACCCACACTTACTGCATTCTCCAGTCAGGTGCCTGATGTAACTTAATGGGATCAGTGTAAGTTGATGTGACCTGATCCCAATAAGCTGCATCAGACCCCTCACTGGTCTTCCTTTTTAAGCTGCAAATAAGACTTAGCAAAGTTGCCAAGTGCAATTAAACACTGTATTGCTGAATGCATTTTGTGTATACCCCTGCGCCTCCGTGGTCTAACGTTTTGGCTTTCGAACACCGAAAACCTGGAAGTAACTGTTTCGGTTTTTGAACGATTTTCGGAAGCAGAATGTGTCACGCGGCTTCCATTTTGAGTTTTCCTATTGTACTGAGGCTTCCGCTTTCAATTTTTGGTTTTCAAATGTTTTGGAAGTAGAATGGTCTTCAGGAACTGACTACGTTCGAAAACCGAGGTTCCACTGTATTTTCTTTCTACAGGGTCTGTGTCGGAGTAGCTTCTAATCTTAGTATTTGTTGCATGCTAGAATTTTCATTTCATTTATTAGATTTATTAGTCACCCAAAGGTCTCCAGGTGACTTACAGAGAATATATATATATATATATATATATATATATATATATATACACAATACATATTACCATAGTGGGAAAAGTATGGGTGGGTAGGGCGGAATCATATAATACATTAAGATTTCATATAACATCCATTAAATAAAGCATGCAGTGATACCATGGTTTACAACCATAATCTGTTCCGGAGGTCTGTTTGTAAACCAAAACAGGTTGTAACCCAAGGCGTGCTTTCGCCAATGGGGCCTCCAAAAAATTTTGGTTCGTAATCCAAAAAAAATTAGGTAGTAATCCAAAAAAAGGTTGGAAACCGGGACACGCACTTCCGTGTTTGCCGTGTTTGTAATCCAAAACGTATGCAAAACCAAGACGTATGCAAACTAAGGTACCACTGTACTCTAATAATAAACAAAGCAATACTCAGGCCCACTAATGAACAAATAGTAATAATAAAAAACCTCCCCTCCCCCTAGTCCAACAATCGTTCACATCAAACCAATAACCACCATTCAGTTTTGTTCACATGTCTTATTTAGGGTTCTCTGTGTTGAGCTTAACTCAGTAGCCCAAATTCCAATTAAGATAGGACAAATCTATATGCCTTTGCTTCTTTTATTTCCACTATTCAGGAACCTGGAATCCTTTTTCTTTGGCAAGGCCAGCAGCCAGCCCTGCCACTATATGTTTTGGACAACTCCATCAGCCCCAGTCTCCACCAACATCTGTGTTGGCTAGAACTGAATGGACTTGTAGTCCAAAACATCTGGTTGGTGAAGGCTGGTGTAGACTGACAGGCAGCAACTCCTCTGGGTTTCAGACATGCCTTCCCAGTCTTAGCTGAAGAGTCAGCCTAGACCCTTCCACATGTAGATTATGTGTCCTTACCATGACACCACAACCCTTGATGAGCACATTTCTTCAGACAACACAACACTAAATTGTGTTACCTTATTGATAGCACAACAGCTTGTGATTTTTTTTTTTTTTAATGTTGTGAGCTGCCTCAGTCTTTGTGTTTATTATTATCTTTATATTCCAGCTTTCCTCCAAGGAGCTCAGGTTGGCATACATGGTTTCCCCAACCCAGCCCACTCCATTTAATCCTCACAACAACCCTGTGAGGTCGTTTGAGCTGAGTGACTGGCCCAAATCCACCCAGCAAGCTTCATGGCTGATTTGGGATTTGAATCCTCGTCTTCCAGAGTCTTGAAGAAGCAGAGTACAAAAGTGACTAATAAAAATAACAGGATATTCTGCAAATGCATGTAGCCTCATTTTGGTTTTTTTAAATGGCCAGGATTAATAGTTTGGATGGTTTTGCTCCCTAGTTCATTACGTTAAGGGATATTGAATTGGGTTAATGAGGCAAAAATGGGAGGTGGGTAGGGCTGGTTTCAGGGGCACCAGGTTGAAAAAGGCTGGGCTATGGTGTGAATTGAGATAAAGTCATGGGCATTACCATATATAATGGTAAGGACAATGGCCACATATTATGTATCTATATAAAATACCAATATTTGTAAAGATCTTCTAATAATAATAATAATAATAATAAGAGTAATAACAACAATTAATAATAATATTCTGACCCTCAGATTGCTAATGCCCTGTGCAAAAGATTGATGTTTATGAACACTGCTGCAACTTTGGTCCCTCCTTCTGTTTCTACAGCTCAATTACACTGGTTTTATATCTAAAACATCTTGCATTTTACTGCCTTGCTTGGGTCACTAGATGCCAATATGTAGTAGATTATTGAGGTTGGCTGCATGCAGAGGGGTGTGTGAAGTACCAGTATATATGTAGCTCAGCACAGCAGCATTTCTGGCATGCTTCATCTGTCCAAAAGGGGAAGTGTAACAATAAGATGGCTTCCTGGAAAAAAAAGACTTCAGGAAATGCAGATTTAGAAACTCGCCAAGACGGTTCGAGAATGTCTTGTGCAGTCAAAACCACTGGTTTACACATGGACGCACAGAAGGCACTTTAACCTGACCTTTGACAGGTAAAGCATTTTTGTTTCGTTTATCCCACCTCTTTTGCCAAGTTTATGCTACAGTGGTACCTCGGGTTAAGTACTTAATTCATTCTGGAGGTCTGTTCTTAACCTGAAACTGTTCTTAACCTGAAGCACCACTTTAGCTAATGGGGCCTCCTGCTGCCGCCGCACCGCCAGAGCACGATTTCTGTTCTCCTCCTGAAGCAAAGTTCCTAACCCGAAGTACTATTTCTGGGTTAGTGGAGTCTGTAACCTGAAGCGTATGTAACCTGAAGCATATGTAACCTGAGGTACCACTGTATTTGGTTCCGTTTGGAACAAATTTACTTATTACTAGTGCTATTTTTCTAGAAAAAGAGGTGCTGCAACTAACTATGAACGCCTCCCTTTTTCTCTTATAATGACAATGGCGCCCACCTGAGAGAGAGAGGAGCCAGAACTCACCTGAGGTCCAGTGAGTTCTGGCTGGAAAAAAGCCCTGCTATCTATCTATCTATTTATTATTGTAGTTGTATCCTACCATTCCTTCAAGGAGCTCAAGGTTGCATACGTGGTTCTGCTCCTCTCCATTTTATCTTCACAACAACTCTGGGGAGGAGGGCAAGAGGGAGGGCTGAATGACTGTCACTGACCCAAGGTCACCCAGCAAGCTTCATAGCCGAATGGGGAGTTGGACTTTGACCTCCCCAGTCTTAGGCCAACACTCTAATCACCATACCATACTGGTTTTATCATTATAACAGTTTTATCTCTTTTTATAACTGTATCTTCCATGGCTGTAACCTGCCTTGGAGTTACTGGGTAGATAAGAAAACATATGAATAAGTAAAATCAGGAGCAGCCCAAACGTTGCAGAGAGAAAGGTGACTGCACCAGGCAGCTGATTTAGGGTGTCTTGAAAAGGTAGCAGGTTGTTAGGTATTTGTTGTCATTTTACAGCCAGGAAGAGATGTGGGGTGGGGAGTTGCTTGTAAGGTTTTCTGTCTCGGGTGCCAAAATTACTTGGCCAGTCTTGGGTAGCACACAGCTTGCCTTGGGATGGGGGTGGGGAGGCGAGTAGCAGGATGTGCTTCAGGCAGCAAAATGCCTTGAACAAATTCTTAACACTATCCTTGGCAGATTCCTTTCTTTCAGCCTAACCCACCTGTTAAAATAAACGATAGCGAACTTTGCACATGGAAAAGCATACCAATGGGGTGGTGGTGGGGCGAACAGAACAATATTGGATAGGGATATCATAAAGTCTCTGTGTGTATCTCTATATCTAATCTCTTACTCCTCCACTGCCTGCAAAAAAGGGCGTTCAGACATTCAAAATTCTGTGTCAGGAAAAGTATATTATTTTGTATAAATTTTCTTGGGGCTCATGGGGAGGATGAATAATGAATACAAAAATAAAATTATTAGTATCGGTATTCCTGGGTACCAGTCTGGGTTTGTTGATCAGCTTCTCCACTTCATTGGTGTAGGTTTTGTCGTTTAAGAAATCCCTGGTATAATCATTAAGTTGGAAATCTCTGTTGGATGGGTCAGGCACACAGATGTCGTCGTATTATAGGGCTTGTTGGCTGTAGATGATAGATTTTATGGTGAGTGGGTGGAAGATGCACCCAGGTAGATATGTGGAGTGGTTGGCAGGTTTCTCTTTTAAAGTGATCCTTAGATGTCCTTTGTGTAGTTGCTCAGTAGTGTCTATATGGTAGACATTTCTACACACCAGCCCAATCTCTAAGCGGTGAGAGATTCCAGGTGTTCCAATGCTTGCCTATATATATTTTCTTTTGGGGGGGAGGAGGGTTGGAATGAAGGGCAACAGAGGCTATAAAGGGGGGCAGAATCTTCCACTGCAGACACAGCTCACAAGCTGCCCATACAAAGGAAAGGAAAGAGCAATTAGGAGTGCACTTAGAATGTGCTCCCAATGCTTTCTTTTTAAGTTCTTTAGATGTTATGGTGATGCCAAGTCACCACGGCGTGTGTGTGTGTGTGTGTGTAGGGGAGTTGGTGATGTTCAGGATTCAGCCTAGTCAGATCCTGTTCTCCTCTCCTTATCTATATCTATCTATCTATCTATCTATCTATCTATCTATCTATCTATCATCTATCTATCTATCTATCATCTATCTATCTATCTATCTATCATCTATCTATCTATTTCAGATCATATGTGGGCAGTGGCTCATGAAATCCTATGGCATAATAAATAATAATAATCTTCCTCAAGTCTCTGTTGCTTTTGCTGTAACAGAGTAGCACAGCTACCCCCCTGAAAATTTGATCTTATGAGATTTTCATAACAGAAAAGTCTCTCCCCCCCCCCACCACTATAGCTTACAATGCAGTAGCTAATGGATGCTGAACTTTGGTGTTTTGTTAGGTGGTACCATGACAGTCTTACTCGTCATGCAGCAGAGGCACTTCTTCTTTCCAATGGCAGTGATGGAAGCTACCTCCTAAGGAAGAGCGATGGCAAGGCTGATCTTTACTCTCTCTCAGTAAGGTACAGTATCTTCACTATCCCTTATGTCATCCCATACTGTTGAGATCAACAGTTGTGACCTTCCTTTCCTCCTCCTCCTCCTGTTTTTCCTGTATTTTTGTTGGAAGCTGCCAAGAGTGGCTGGGGCAACCCAGCCAGATGGGAAGGGTATAAGAAATTTATTTGTTGTTGTTGTTGTTAATATGATGATGATGTCCCATCTCTGTCGTATATTTGGTGTCTGGGTTACGACAGACAGGGCTTTTACTGTAATGGCATGTGACTATTCAATATACTCCCAAATGAGATTGGCCATCATTGAATGCTCAATGTTGAGCTGGCTAGCTTTGAGAGCCTGGTGTGATATTGATATCATCCATCTACCTACCTACCTGTCTGCCTGCCCACATACCTATCACTTCTATCTACCCCCATCTAGCCCCCCCATCTACCATATTTTTTGCTCTATAAGACTCACTTTTTCCCTCCTAAAAAGTAAGAGGAAATGTGTGCGCGTCTTATGGAGCGAATGCAGACTGCGCAGCTATCCCAGAAGCCAGAACAGCAAGAGGGATTTCTGCTTTCACTGCGCAGCGATCCCTCTTGCTGTTCTGGCTTCTGAGATTCAGAATATTTTTTTTCTTGTTTTCCTCCTCCAAAAACTAGGTGCGTCTTGTAGTCTGGTGCATCTTATAGAGCAAAAAATACGGTGCTTGCCACTGTGGTTGCTCTGTATGCCACGGGAACAACAATAATGGGACAACAGAAAATGAAACCGGACTTGCTGAAAATGGGCAACTAACAAACTCTTGTGAGTGGTGGGATGCAACAGGCAGATGGAGGGAGGCTGTAAAGACAGACTATGAACAAACCGCTCATGCATACAAAGGGTTGTCTTCTCTGATGGCTCACCTGGTGTCTTGATATTTCCATAAAATTTACTATCCTTCCTGAGCTAAGAAGAATGCATATTTCATGTTTCAACAGCCTTATTTTTGTTTCAGAGCAAGGGATTCTGTGAAACATTTTCACGTGGAGTACACTGGGTCTTCATACAAGTTTGGTTTTAACGAGTTTCTAAGCTTGAGAGACCTGATCATGCACTTTGCAAATCAGCCTTTAATTGGCAGCGAGACAGGTAACTAACATTTGCTTATCTATCCATCTAGCTGTTAAAAATATTTTAGATTATATTTGTTAACCTGGGTTGTGTCTGAGCTAAGTTAAGAGTAGATCTATGGAAATGAATGGACTTCTGTTGTTGTTGTTGTTTAGTCGTTTAGTCATGTCCGACTCTTCGTGACCCCACGGACCAGAGCACGCCAGGCACTCCTGTCTTCCACTGCCTCCCGCAGTTTGGTCAGACTCATGTTTGTAGCTTCGAGAACACTGTCCAACCATCTCGTCCTCTGTCGTCCCCTTCTTCTTGTGCCCTCAATCTTTCCCAACATCAGGGTCTTTTCCAGGGAGTCTTCTCTTCTCATGAGGTGGCCAAAGTATTGGAGCTTCAGCTTCAGGATCTGTCCTTCCAGTGAGCACTCAGGGCTGATTTCCTTAAGAATGGATACGTTTGATCTTCTTGCAGTCCATGGGACTCTCAGGAGTCTTCTCCAGCACCATAATTCAAAAGCATCAATTCTTCGGCGATCAGCCTTCTTTATGGTCCAGCTCTCACTTCCATACATCACTACTGGGAAAACCATGGTTTTAATTATACGGACCTTTGTTGTTAAGGTGATGTCTCTGCTTTTTAAGATGCTGTCTGGTTTGCCATCGCCTTTCTCCCAAGGAGCAGGCGTCTTTTAATTTCGTGACTGCTGTCACCATCTGCAGTGATCATGGAGCCCAAGAAAGTAAAATCTCTCACTGCCTCCATTTCTTCCCCTTCTATTTGCCATGAGGTGATGGGACTAGTGGCCATGATCTTCATTTTTTTGATGTTGAGCTTCAGACCATATTTTGTGCTCTCCTCTTTCACCCTCATGAAAAGGTTCTTTAATTCCTCCTCACTTTCTGCCATCAAGGTTGTGTCATCTGCATATCTGAGGTTGTTGATATTTCTTCCGGAGATCTTAATTCTGGCTTGGGATTCATCCAGGACTTCTGTTAGTCATGTCCATTAATTTCAAGAGTTCAGTTCTGAGTAGGAGCTGAGTATCTCTTTATACACTTGGATATTCCTTTGTTTTATTAGTTCTGTTCTTCCTCCCTCTTTTAGGATATGACAGAATCCACCTATTGTGCGGAAGCACAATATGTTGTTTATCAGGGTATAGTCAACAGGTATTTTGGACTGCAATGCCCACCATCCCTTTCCATCTCTGCTCTAGCTGAGGCTGATGGGAATTGCAGTCCAACCAGGTCAAGCATTCATTTTTTCTGGCACCCCAAGATCCTACTGATTCGGTGGTGGCATCAAAAATGAAATGAAGTGATATGAAACAATAAAATAGTAGACACAGCACTGCAGTGGGTGGGGACGTTAAACACTCTCAGCTGAGTCCACAAGAGGGACTTTAAAACTGCTGGCTATGGAAAAATACATGCCCTATAGGGCATTCAGCAGATGAAGACACTCCCTCATGGCAGCATGCAGGTGCTTTGTTAAGGCCGCCCCCCAGGCCCTGGCACCTCTTGGCTTCTATGGGTTGGACCCAAAGGTTCCTCCGAGGGAAGGACTCCTTCAGCCAGAGGGCAGCTCCTCCCATTGAACCCAACTCTGTGTTATCCGAAAACTTATGTTTTCTGAAGGCTGCAACCCTATGCACATTTGCCTGGGAACAAATCTCATTGACATCAATGGGGTTTAATTCCATTCATATCAATGGGGTTTTCTTATGGGGTTCACTTCACAATGTATAGGATTGTGCTGCCAGTAGATTCCTGATGCAACAGTTAGTCTGATTATTATTTTTTTACAAGCATTGTTGTATGTATTGCATTTTGGATCAAGAATTTATCCTCCTTTCTTAATATTTACATTTCAATAGATCTTATCAGATTAACGATGAAAGGGGTGTTACAGAACCAAGAGTAGCCCCTGGGTCTGGTGTTGGTGCAGTTTTAAAAAGCCACTGCTTTCCAGACCAGAAAGGGTTTAATCTCTTTGAAGTGTCATATCTATTTCCTGACATGAGTGTTAAACCCCCATTGACTTGGCCCGGACTGACTCAGTGCCCTGAAACTTGAGCTCTGTTGTTAAACAGCTCCTAAATAGGTTTGTTATTTAACACAAGAGGTGACCGAGGTCCTCTCCCCCCTGCAATGCTTGGTATTGGTCCAGATGGAAAATAAAGGCTCCAATTATCAACTGATTAGCTGGCAAATAAGATTTATGGGGACTGAAATTCAAGAGCACTAAAATATCTGGCTAACCTGAAAGAAGCAGAGCTGGTCAAGGACTATGAGCAGTCCTGGGCTCTAATTCATACTTTGACAGAATCCTGCCCCTGTGGCCTTTGTGAAGGGGGTATCCTTTTCTGAATCAGCTCCCTACATGCCCACATTGGTTTTGTTCAGATTTTGGGGTTTAAAGAAAGATCCATCTGAGGATTCCTTTGCTTGGTGAGAGGTTGGTGGATGTGGGACATATACCAATGGCCTGCTTTAGCATGCCCTAATTCTACTCCAGGGATGCAGGTGGCGCTGTGGGTTAAACCACAGAGCCTAGGACTTGCCGATCAGAAGGTTGGCGGTTCGAATCCCCACAACTGGGTGAGCTCCCGTTGCTCGGTCCCTGCTCCTGCCAATCTAGCAGTTCGAAAGCATGTCAAAGTGCAAGTAGATAAATAGGTATGGCTCCAGCGGGAAGGTAAACGGTGTTCCGTGCGCTGCTCTGGTTCACCAGAAGCGGCTTAGTCATGCTGGCCACATGACCCGGAAGCTGTACGCCGGCTCCCTTGGCCAATAAAGCGAGATGAGTGCCGCAACCCCAGAGTCGGCCACGACTGGACCTAATGGTCGGGGGTCCCTTTACCTTTAACTCTACTCCAGTCCTCTACTCAGCCCTGTCTCTTCCTGTCTTTGCATGGTCTGGACCACCATAAGTCCTATGTGTCAGGAGTGATTTCACCTTCCTGTCATTTATCCTTTTCTTCGCTGGAGAGGAAGAACAATCAACAGTACAAATATAAGTCCCTTTCCCAAAGCTTCCCAAGTTTATTGCTTCCAGAAATAAAACCAAAGACTCAGGACATGGCCAGAAATTGGTGCAGAAATTATCTTTGCTGTTTGTAGGTGTGCGTCTGGGCAGTATCTGGGTGAGAGACCAGCTGGGAATCTTGTAGATACTGCCTTGAGCTCCGTGGATGGAAGATGGGCTATCAATGGTCAAATAAAAGACTTGCATAGTATCCATCAAAGTCATCCTATTGACAGAAGGAGTTCTGCTTGCCCCACCCAACCCCAAATCTGTTCTGGGATTTTCCCCAAATCTCAAGCAGATTTGGGGGTTATGCAGGGAAAGGAGAGGGAGGGTAAATTCAATTGCACAAGTGGAAGTCTTTGTGCAGTTGGGACTATTTCGGATACAACCCGTTATAGGTGGGTGAGAGATCACCAGCCCCTATTATACTTGCCTGGATATTAAGTTCTTCATAGAAGGCCCTTCTCCAGTTTTCCCTACCTAAAGGGGTGAAGTGGATGACTATTAAGCAGAGGGCCTTTTTGCTGATTGTGATTATAGAATGTCCTCCCCAATGAAACTTGTCTTGTGCTTGCATTAAGATGCTTTTAGCATCAGGTGAAGATGCATTTAATCTCCCAGACCTTTTAGAACTATGTTATTTTATCTTGGAGCCGTTGATTTCAGCTTGATTTTAAAAGCTAGATTATACAGTAATTGGTTTATTTTTTGAATGACTGAATAAAACTTTATTGCTGAAAGCCATAGGTCACCACAATATAAATAGAACGAACAATCATTTCAGTATATTCAGCAAACAAGTATATATAGAAAAAGAAACAGAAAAATGATACTTCCCTGCCCAATGTAAATCCTTCATCCCTCCCCTCCATTGTAAGCTGTTAAAAATACAACAGAATAAATGCCTATCCCCACTTATACACCCTAATTCTTTTTTTATTAACCTTGCACACAATTGTTCCACCCTTGCCCCACCACCAACTCCCCGGCCATCTGCTAGATCCATTAACAGTTAAGGAGTTAATGCCGCCTGAGATCAGTGAATCTGATCTCCAGTGTTGAATGATAGACTTGCCCAGTGGCTTACCAGCTCCCTAATCAGATTCTGTGAGCTCTGTGAAGCTCCTTTCATGTGCCTAAAATGGACAGTGCCACCAGCTGGAAAACAGGCGTTGAACTTCACAGTACCACTTCCACTTTGCTTGCGTCTGTGAAACAATACTCAGGAACAGAAGGTTGACACTTGAGCTAAATAATTCCCAAGATCATAATGCAAGCGATCCAAATTCTGCAAAGCCTGGGAGATTTAAAAAACGGCTCAATAGATTAAAAATCTCAAACCTTCCTTTGCCCAATTAAAATTATGCGAAGCTCTTGTGTTGCCTCGGGGAAGGTGAAGCAGGTCACACTCAGGGTAATGTGGCTGCTGCCTATCAGTATAACAGTGACTAAGAGGTGAAACTGCCTCAGGGGTGTAGGAAGGGGGGGGAGTGCAGTCTGCCCCAGGTGTCACTCTGAGGGGGTATGTGACAAAATGGTAGGCGGCACTCACCATGAGGCCTGCAACGCACCCGAGCCATGCATCTCGGGTGCCCACAGGCTCTGGCTGTCCGCCCGCTTCCTTTCCCCAGCTGTAGGGTGGCTGAGGCCTAGCGGCACCGTCTGTGCATCTGTATTGGGCGCCATGCATGCTGTCTGTGCATCCATTTTGGGTGTTGCGTGCACTGCCGGGCAGTTCGCCCCGCCCCTCAGCACGCCGCACCAGGTGCCTGAGAGACTTCCTCCACCACTGAACTGCCTGACAGAAGATTGCACCACATTGGCAGGTCAGTGGCTGGTCCAGCCGAAGGTCTGCTTGAAGGGGACAATGTTTTAAGAGGTACCAAAGAGGTGGCACATAATCTCAGGGTGTGGCACTCCAAGATGTGCTGGGACACATAGACCTCACCTGCCCATGAGCTAAGGTCTTTGGTTGTGCCACAGCTTGCTGAGGCCCATTTTGCGACAACCTGGAGGTAGTCCTTTTCCATTGTGAAACCCAGCTTATGAAACCTCTTTCCGAGGCACGCAGCAAGGTTTCTGGAAGGCTTTGCAGAGGCCTTGTACTCCCTTCCCAGAGCCCAATGAGGTAGGGTTAGTCACACAGGGCTGGTTCCGGGGGTCTTCCTGAATTTGCTCAATTTTGCCTTTGCACACAAACCCCCTGATCCCCAGTAGGGTACAGAGTACAGTAGGCACACCCCACGTAAGTTGTGTGCCTACTGTACTCTAATAAATATCCTGTGTCAAGGGTAAGGGACTAGACTATATGATTCATTTAGGTCTCTCAATTGGCTTGATCCTGTGGCTTTTTTGAACTGTTGCTTGATCTGCTGCCAGCTCATCTGCCATTTGGTTTTTCTGAGTGCTTCCTGCAGGGTAGTGGCTGCATTTTCCTTTTCTGTACAGGTCACTTAGCTTTCACTTTCTTTTAGGTACCCTGATTATATTGAAGAACCCATATCCGAAGATGGTGGAAGAGCCTTCCATTTACGAATCTGTGCGGGTTCACACGGCAATGCAGACCGGAAAGACGGAGACTGACCTTGTCCCCAACGCGCCGTCAGTGAGTCACTACTTTTAAGTGTTACTCACTGTTCAGTAGCAGCTTGGGGGAGATTTATAGTTTTCCTCCAGGTCTGCAATCTGGGTCCTGATTGTATCTAGTCACCTCTCCTCCCTTTCATCTGACTGCAATTTGCAAACAGCATCTTTGTCATTGCATCTAGATTGGCCCTTAGGGTGTGTGAACTGAGTCAGGGGTTCCTGGTTTGAATCTTATCTCAGTCATTCGTTCAATAAGTGATCCCAATCTCAGGCTGTTGATAAGTTCATTCTAGGATCCTTGAGGTATTATAAATAATGCATAGTAGGGTTGCCATATGACCTCTTTTTCCAGGACACATCCTCCTTTTCATGGGTAGAGTTGTCATAGCCATCCAAAGTTGGCAAATGTGTCCTTTTTTTTGCTCTTCAAAATATGGCAACCCTACTAAAAGCACAGTATTATTTCTTTATTTGAGCTTGGCTATGTGTGGTGAGTTGTTAGAGTGTCGGACTAGGACTCGTGGGACCAGTGTTCAAATCCCCACTTAGCCATGAAGCTCATCGGGTGACCTTGGTTCAGTCAGAGTCTATCATTGTAGCCTACCTCACAGGGTTGTTGTGAGGGGGAAAATGGAGAAGGACCATGTATGCTGCCTTAAGCTTCATAGAGGAAACAATTGAAAGTGAAATAATAATAATAATTAATACAGTGGTGCCCCGCAAGACGAATGCCTCGCAAGACGGAAAAACCGCTAGACGAAAGGGTTTTCCGTTTTGAAGTTGCTTCGCAGGACGAATTCCCCTATGGGCTTGCTTCGCAAGACGAAAATGTCTTGCGAGTCTTGAGATTTTTTTCGCTTTTCCCCCCCTTTATCTAATCTGCTAAGCCTTTAATAGCCTTTAATAGCCTTTTAGCAGCTAATCTCCTAAGCCTTTAAGCCTTTAATAGCCGCTAAACAGCTGATAGCGCTAATAGCGCTAATCCGTCAATGGGCTTGCTTCGCAAGACGAAAAAACCGCTAGACGAAGACTCTTGCGGAACGGATTAATTTCGTCTTGCGAGGCACCACTGTAATAGTTTTTGTAGAGAACAAGGGCTGTCATTGCCTGGAAGGGTTTTTTGGGGAGTTTTTTTAAACCACTTCTGCTTTCTTGCCTGTGTCATTAATGGTCTTTGACCATCTGAGACACATCATGCTGTTAGCGATCAAGGCCTAGTTCAGCATTTAGTGCCACGTTACTGCACATATACAATAAACACATTGTTGGAAGTCAAACAATGCTGAATTGCCCTAGGAGTTATTTAAAATTTAACCCTCTGACAGCATATACCTCAGAGAATATGACAAGTGCCTGGTTTAATCTGTGATACAAGAGGGTGTCATTTCATCAGAAACCAATATAATTATTTTGTGTGTTTACCTCAGGTGTAGACAGGGGCCCATACTTTTGGCAGAGAACACAGTGACCCAGTTTTAAGGATAAAATGAACAGACAGTTATGAGGTCATAGAAGCTACTGCTGTGTTTTGCTTCGCCAGCTTGTGTAATGACTATGAACAAGGCTAATGTGTACTTGTTGCATCCTTTTGGTTAACCTTTACCTCTTTCCTTGCAGTTAGGCACAAAAGAAGGATATTTGACGAAACAAGGCAGAATAGTTAAGGTAAGAAATGTCAGTGACTTGTGTGTCTCTCCTTTCCTTCTGTGTAGAAAGTCAATGCAAATTTAATAAAAAACAGTTTATTAATAAAAAATAGCTATTTTCTAGAAAAAGAGGTGCTGGAATTCACTAGGAACATCTCTTGTTCTCTTAAAATGGCAATGGAGCCCACCTGAGAGGTGCCGGAACTGAGTTCCAGTGAGTTCTGGCTGAAAAGAAGCCCTGGTAATAATCATAAAATAATACATACAATCTGCACAGCAGCAAGTATATGGTTGTTAGTACTATATACATGTTCTGAAGCAGAAGAGAAGAAAGGAAGCTCATTTTCAATGCCTGTGTTGCCATTTTCATTCTTGTATTTTTTCAAATGTCTAAGTTCCTCTAATATCACCCTCTTTATTCTTTCAGAATTGGAAAACCAGGTGGTTTACATTGCATAGGAATGAGCTGAAATATTACAAAGACCAGACGGTGAGTTGGCAAGTGCACTTGGGCAGCCATGTTTTGATCCCTTGAGTTTGTTGCATATGGACATAAGTGTTGAGATCCTTCCAAATCATGTGGGCCAAAGGCAATTTCGCCAAGCAAATGCCCTCCCGCTAATGGCGCCCAGTGGTTCCCATGCGCTCCACATTACCCTGCGGAAGTCTTAGTCATTTCTACTGGCGGCTTGTCAGTTCAGTCAACATGGGGAGTGGGTGGATGACGCAAGCATCACTTTATTATATAGGTGAGTTCCAGTACATATGTGGGTAACAGTGCTTGTGCAGACAGGGCCTCACTTATTCCTCGGCATCTTTATTTGGGGAATTGGGGGTTCTGCTCATTACAGGGGGAGGGGGAAGAATGATTGTTTCAAAGATAACTTACTTTTAAGTCCACAGAGCCAATCAGAGCGCTCGACCTAACAGAATGCTCAGCTGTGCAGTTCGACTATTCACAGGACAAAGTCAATTGTTTTTGGTAAGTTGAGACCTAGATAAAAATTACTGTGTTTGTAAAATTACTTCAATACTTGTGAACTATCACAAATGAAGACAATAAATTTATTAGTCTGTCTTCTCAGGAGCCCAGTGAATGCCCACACTTCCAATTTACCAGCCCCATCAACAAGCCCCTTCTCTGAACTCCACGGAGTAATTTTCCTGCTTTCCTTGGTGTCTCGTCTCAACAGCTTTACAATACAGCTGCCCCTTCCTTGACTTTATTCTTTCCTTCTTGCTTTCTGTCTTACTGTGGCTTAGCATGGGGGAATGGGCATCCCTCAGTGGCAGAAAATCTGTTTTGCTAGCAGAGAGCATCTCCAGGTAGGGCTGGAAAAGACTCTTGCTTGAAGCCCTGGAGAGCTGCCACTGTCAGTCAGTGCAGATAATGCTGAGCAAGATGGACCAGTGGTCTGACTCGGTATAAGGCAACTTCCTTTGTGTCTATGAATGAGCTTATTCTTAACCAAGGCAGCCTTTGAGTTCCACATTTGTTGTGTTCTCTGCATGCAGAACTTTGACTATTCAAGAATGCCCTGAAGCACATACCCTTACAAAATTCTATGCTAATAATATATATGCTTTAAAATGTTCCTTTTTTAAAAACCAATCATACCCTCCTCCAGCATTTTACACATGAGAAAGGGACATTTTTCTAAATCTCCAGTTCTCCTTCAAGGCTGTGTGTATACCAGGCATGGCCAAACTTGGCCCTCCAACTGTTTTGGGATTACAACTCCCATCATCCCTAGGTAACAGGACCAGTGGTCAGGGATGATGGGAACTGTAGTCCCCAAACAGCTGGAGGGCCAAGTTTGGCCATGCCTGGTGTACACCCTCTGTTTACTCTGCATCCAGTGTGTTCCCATTGTGGGCCTGGGAAGCAGTGTACTGAATCTACATTATCCAGAATCTGTATCTATCCTGTAGTTTCTTAGGAAATATACTGCATTTTTACATGTTTTCCTGCAATCCAGCTTTGATCCAAATTGAGAAGCATTTAAACTGGTTGTGTGTATGTAGCCAAAGCCAGCAGTGCTGCTGAAGACCCTAAGTTAATTCTGTATGCTGATGGAGTGACAGAGGGAAAATGTCTTTTTCAGCTGGTTTTATTTATTTTGCCACTGGCTCTGTGTTTTACTTTGGTGTTTTGACCCTATTTTTCAGTTTTTTAATGTTAGCTGCTTTGAATTCTTACTTGGAATAAAAGTGGGATCATTTTTGTTTTTTTAAAATAAAACAAACCAAAACTAAAACCAAACTTTAGCTTCAATTCTTCTTTGGTAAAATGGGGTATGGGTGTTGGCTGCAGCTAGTATTGCTTATGCTTGTGATACCAAGTCTTTTTACAATTTTTCTTTTTACAGTTTAGTATTCCCACTGAGAACATACTACCTTTACGCAAAGACTGGAGTAGAAGCAGACGAATGGATTAAAATACTGCAATGGAAACTGGTAAGGAAGTGCCTATCCCTCAAGTTCAGATGAGTGTTTGAGCTTTCACTTGGTTCATTTAAGATAAAAGGAAACATTTCATGCTGAAAATGTGTAACTCCGAACCCTTTATTTCCTCACTGGCCTTACTATGCATGTAAAAAGAGAAAGTGATATCCCTAGCCTTTAAAGAAGTATATAAACTAAGGAGGTCTGCAGCTCAGAGATATAGAGCACATGCTTTTACCTAAACAATATCATTTCGTACCCAGCCTCTCCACACAGACAAGTGAGTCTGGAGAGCCACTGTCAGAGAGTATAAAGTTTAGACAAAGCTGAGTAAGCTAGATGGGCCAATGTTCTGATTCAGGGTAAGGCAACTTCCTATTTTCCTATCCAAAAGCCAGTGCAGAAGTCATGGTACTTCTGTGCAGCACAGACCCAGTTTTCCATTCCATTTGCTGTTCTTTTGCACTGCATCTGAGACGACTTCCGTAGGAACCTCCCCCCCCCGAGCTTCATTGGTGGAGGGGGACAAAACCATAAAGAAGGAAATAACTGAATCCCTGCTCCACAGGCTGAATTGTAGCCACAGTTTGTTTATAAGTGTGCACTAGGGTGTGGGCATCTAGCCCTGTTCACTGAGGTGACCGGGCATAGCTATACTGAGGAAGGAGGGCAACAGAAGTGAGGGGGCTACCTTGGACATGGAGGGCATAGCTGTTCAGCCCTGGAGGCGATGGGTGACGGCAGCAGAGGACCCAGAAGGAAAGGATTACAAGCCTAGCAGTTGCACATGTTTAGGCTCAGTTATTTCTTGTACAGCACATAGCGGAAACAGTAGCCTGGTTAGCATGTCACTCTAAACCAAAACTTGACAACTCAGCCCAGAAGCAGAATGTCCAGAGAGGCTATGGACCTTCCTTCCAGGAACCCACATGCTTGCACTAAGCTATGGTTTGGTTTAGTGTGATAAACAAAGCAGGCCAACTATCTGCACCGCTGCCACCAGTTAACTTCTGATACCTGCCAGTGCAGGCTTACCAAGTTGGATGATTAGGGAACAATAAAAAATAGCAGCACCTTAATGAAGATTATAAAGGGGAAAAAAAATCCCATTTGATAAACTCCTCATCTCTCTGTTATATTAATACCAGGTTTTTCTTTTTCTTTTTGTAGTCACAGATAAGGAGACAAGCACGCCAGCGTGACTCAGGCACATTCAGGCCATAGCTATTTCTTCAGCAAATCTTAACTGCCACAAAGGCCCAGGTTGGTTCAAATTAATGCTCCATCAAACCTGTCATTGTGACCATAAGAACTTCTGCACTGCTTAAAAGCAAAAACCCATCAGGCCCATCCAGATGCCCAAAGAAAACCTACAAAAGTGGCATGTTGGAGATGCCGATCTTTGTTCCCAGCATCTGATAACTAGAAGAATGCAACCTTTAAAGATGGATATTCTGCTTTTAGCTATTGTGGCTAAAGGCTACTGAAGGCCTATGCTCCCTGAATTTGTCTAACCCTCTTTAAAAGCCATCATACGTATTCACTAAAAGCTGATCCTCATACACTGATGTCTAAGGTCCCACTTCCATGGTGTGATTTCCACACACCTGCTGCACCAAATGAATGAACTTTCAGCTGAAATGTCTTGGATCTTCTCATAGCATGGGCCATTGTGTTACCTCTGAAGATGTTCATCCTTACACATCTGGCATGGACTGTTTTCTCAGCTATTTACACCATGCACTCTAGCATAAGTGGACTTATGGTCCCACACAGACTTCTGCGATTTGTTAGTGACCCATGACCGTGTCTGATAATGTTTGTTCCCATGTGCATTACAGCACAGATGGAAAGATTCATGTCCATCGACATTGGCTAATTCAAATGGAACTTGTGTGTCAGAATGTGCACCCAGCAATGAAATCTGCATGCATTCAACATGTATGCAGTCTTTGGTCTAGCAGGGAAAACCACATTAGCAAGTTATTTCTCTCACTTGCTGGATCATGAAAAATGCATCAGACAAAACTGCCATCTAGTCCAGCTTTTTGTCTTCCATGGTGACCAGCCAAATCTTATGGAAGCACACCAGCAGCAGCACATGGGAGGGCATGTGTTTAGCATACAATGCCAATAATTTCAAGCCTCTCCCACATGCTCTTTAGAAACCAAGCTCAAGACATAAAGTCACAGCACTTGGAGAAAATTACCATGGAGGCATGCAAAAGCAGATGCAACTGCCAATATATTTTAGTGAAATGTCCTTTTTATATGTGCGTGTTAATGAGCATAAGTGCCAACAGCATTCAAAGTGCTCTTCTGATTACTGTAAGGTAAGATAACGGGGGACCAGCCTATTGTACTAGTTTGGTTTTTTTAACCCTGTAAAGCAACCATTTTTATTCTCTCTCTGTGTGTTCTATTATTTAATATTCTTCTGTGTTAGCAGCAGGAACATTTCAAAATATACTGTGAGTGCTGGGAATCAGGGTAGGTGTAGAGAACAGGACAATACGAAGGAAGGCTTTTCAAAGCTGTATCTGGAACAATTTAATGCATTTTGTATCTCTCGTAAAATTTCTAATAAACAGAAAAGAGAACATCCTGTCTGTATGCCAGAGTAACAGGGTCCAGCTTCGCAAGTAAGGACCTGTTGTTTTTTTCTAAGCATCTTTTAGCGAGAAATGTCAGATGTCTCAAATGTTTGTGCAATGCTCAGATACTTGCAGAATTTCCGTCCTTTCCTGGAATTTGACACACGCTTCTCTCCCTGGGACATAGGTAGTACAGTGCAAAGAGATAATAGCAGTGCAGTCCTATCCTTGCCTACTCAGAAGCCCGATTGAATTCAACAGGACTTACTCACAGCTAAGTGGGGTTACAACTGCATACTTGGGCTAAGAATAAGCACCACTGAATTGAACAGGGATTGTGCTGTTCTTCTCTCTGCACAGTGTCCAACTAGGTTCACCCTTGCCTGGGTTTTCATTTTACCTCATCAAAGCAGGAGTGGGTTCTCCGGATGCTGTTGAACAATAAGTCCCATCAGCCGCAGCAAGCATGAACAGTGGCGAGTTGTAATTCTACAGCATATAGAGGGCCAAAGTTCTCTCCACATCTGCACCACAGAAACACTAACCAAATCTAAGCAAGTTAGCCAGAATGCTGTTTTGCAAGATTCTTCTCTCTGGTAATAATCAGGCTACACATCTTATTCACACTTTTATTTCAATCTGTTTAGGGACATGCAAAAAGGTAAGATGAAGCAGCAAAGCAACATAATTACATGAACTTAAATAGAAATGGGATAAAACAAGAAATTTCATCCTTCTGTTTTACAAATACGTATGCAAAAAGAACACTGATTGATGCGATCTCTGTAAGAGCTCAGCTGTAGCAGTATTGAAGAGAACTAGCATGTACCTGTTTTTTTAAAAAAGCTTCCAGGCTATTAGTATTTCTCTATCCAAACAAACCATGAGTCACTGATTGTGAGGGGAAGCTTTTCTAGCATTGATGCAAAATGTGAGCAAATATTAGGAAGTCTTCATTGCAAGAATGGGAAAGGAAAACGTATTTTTGCACTGTTCATATAGTGGTAGTTCAAAGACAGGCACACCCATTACTCGTACAGCAAGTGAGCTGGGGGTAGCCAATTCTGAACAGTATTTTTTTCTTATGAAATATATTATGCATGCCTGAAGTTAACTCCATGGGAGTCATCAGCTGGTCTCCACAATACCCTGTAGTTTTAACAAATGCACCTGCAGCCCGAACCCCCTTCTCCCCATCGTATTCTACATTTTGCTCTATATGCAACTTGTTTAAATTATTTAAAACAAGACAAAGTAGCATTTGCTCCAAGACATTTGTTACACGGCAGTGAGTTGGAAAAAAGAAATCAATCTTTCCTGTCCAGCATTCAAGAGATGCTTCACTCTGGAGATAAAGTGCCAGGTTAAGAGACTTCCACTACTTGCCATAGCTCTTCAAATAAGGGAGCAAGCTCTTTTTCCAAGCTTACGATCAGCCCTACACAAACATATATATAAAGTAGGAAGGGAAGAGAGAGAAAAACAAAGTTTATATATCATACTAGAGGGATCCATTTGTAAACATGAACTGATAACCTGTCTATACATTATTTGGGGAAGCTGGACTTCATGCCAACATTTTGGCACAGGAGCAAGACATTCTCACTGCCACTGACTATAAACTAGATACTTGCAGAGGCAACACAGGATCTGGCCCATAAGAGCTTTCATTCCCTTTGCTCACGTGCTGAAACCACACTCTGCTCCTTGCGCCAAAGCAGCAGTATACACAATCACCTCTGCTGAACCATCCCTTAACAGGAGTCGAGAACCTGTGTTCCTGCATAATTTTATGCAGGTGGGGGAAACCTAGACCTCTGGCATGGGCAAACTGTCCCTCCCCACTCCCACACAGTCCACAGGGCAAGGAGGAAGAGAGAAAGAGGGATGCCTTGCTCCCAGTTGGCCCATCCCCTGCCCTAGGAAAATCTCACGTGGCTTTTTCAAGGTGAGGGGACTAGTGGAGCTGAGCTGTCTTGTCACTGTGACTTTTGTTGTACGGCTCTGCTTCTATCATATTATCCACAACTTGGGAGTTGGAGAGGAACTGCCTGCCAATTTCATGCAACTGGCCTTTTTCTTTTAAGTACTTAGCATTTTGAAAAACCACAAGTGTACCCACATATTACAACTTAAATCTAGCAGTATGGGTGCTGAAGGCAGCAAAGCCTCTCAGTCCTGAAGACGTACCTGTGTTGGCATTGCTGCTAGCGATGAAACTCACAACCAAAGGCAACCTGTTGAACTGAACCACCTACAAGAAGAAAGACATTTCATTTCAAAATCCAGCACACAGTAAATGTTTTCTGGCACGCAGTTCACTAGCCTCTTATGGTTCTAACCAGGTTCCATTTGTTGCGGAACTCCTATCAGCTCTGACCATTGGCCATGTTGCCTGGGGCTGATGGCAGTTGGAGCCCAACTTTACACAACATTACTGGCAGCCATTGGTGGGGTAAGGATGAGAATAGATTTTTACAAGACACTGGCACACAATGCATCAGCAATGTAGTGCTGTTAACAATAATTTTCTAGACTAATTAAAAAGGTGAAGGAAACATCCTGCCAGATTATGATATTGGCCAAAACAGCTAGGCACAAGCAGATTGCTTGCTGAAACAGAACACCACTCCTCCCATTCCAATACAATGCTTCATTACATTACTTGCAAAATCCATTCATCCGCCAATTCTGGAAGGAAGACAATACATCTTACCTGATATGTGTTGTAGTAACAAATGATGCTTTTGTTTTTTGAAAGCCCAAGCTTGCTGCCCTGGTCTGTTGCGAGTGCAAAAGTTGACAAGAAACCCGGTCGAAGAGCATGCTCTGGAGCATTATCGTTGGCAACTAGAATAAGAGGACACTCTATAGCCAGTCTCCAAATATTGTAACAGACACATTTTGCACAGATAACAGGCATTTTGTTAGTTGAACCAGCAGCACAAACTCAAGGGACTAGTCCTCGCAAGTGTAGTGAGATTGAAGCACAGTGCAATTCCAAAAGATCTTGCAATACTATGGCACAATTAACATTTTTTAAAGAAAAATAGTCAATAGTCATGACTGTGAAAGAACTTGTTGACAAAGCCAAGGTGTGTTCAAGTGGGTTCCTAATGCTCAGCAAGTGGAGTTAAAGTGCCCTCCAAGGTCAACTATCCATCATCTGCTTCAGGCAGAATTTCCTGAACTCCGTCTCTTCTAACTACCCAAGAGCAAATCCGATATTCCTCCTTTCCTTGCCTAAACCGTACCTCCCCCACTCCCTACCCCATAATAGAATTGAAGGCAGTATACAAATTAAATCATCAAGCAATATACCAGCCTTTTTGAAGCTTGGGGCCCAATAAGATGTTGGACTACAACTCCCATTATCCCACACCACTGGCTAATGGTCAGGGATGATGGAAGTTATAGTCCAACTATATTTGTAAAGGCACAAATATACAAAGCATGTAAACATCAAGCAACTATTTGCCATTTTACACTGTTTAATGCAGTACAGTATGGCAATGAAGACTGCAGTTTTGAGGACTGAGTGCACACAGCCCTGAATGCAGCTTTTTCTTCTAATGTAACTCGGAAGGAAACCAGCTCACACCATTACCAAAGCACCAAGAAAGTGGTTTACACATACAGCTTCCTCAAACAGTATTCTTTTCTTCCACTTATTCTATCCAGGAAAGTGCATCACAGCTGACGAATAGGCACTGCGATCTCTGCTGACTCGTGTCTACACTAGAAGCCAACAGAAGACTAGGGTGACAGGGAGTGGATATGTGTGCCTAGTTATATTTAAAATTTCTCCTTAGGAATCAGGATGCACAAGGGAAAAGTTTAAAAGGTGAAAATGATTTCATGTTTTTGTCTATTTCAAAGTAGGAGGAAACGTCTTGCTTTTGAGCAAACAAGGATTTTATATTTCCATTAAATTGATGCAAATTTCCTATCCAGATAAATACACAGGTTATCTCTTACCTTTGATAACAGGTACACCATCTCTGTCTGACACTACAATAGCATGGAGTCCCTCAACACTGGAAAAGTAAAAGAGGTAGAATTTTTAGCAACCTAACCAGAAATACTGTCAACTATTTCACATTGATGGTGCCACCTGCATCTTTTTTTAGCCTTACTCAGCTAATCAATTAATCATTTTTAACAATTACAACCTGCAATTTAACAATTACAGCACTGTATTAATGCCTCAATCAAAACCCACAACATTCTCAAACCCCTTTGAAGAATTTAAAGGTTCAGAAAATTATTCCCATTCTTGGTCCAAAAAAGAATTTGATGGGAAATACAGACCAAACTTTGAAGCTAAGCAGATGCATATATTCTACTTGGAGAAAGGATGATAAAAGGCTAATGAAGCATTATGTCTCGGCTTGTAGTGTCAAAACTTTGGAACCATTTAATATTAGGTTACCTAATTATTAGGTTACTAAATCAAGGCTGGGAGCCACAGACACGTGTGTGTGAGAGAGCGGGGGCGAGAACAGAAGTCTCTTGCTAACATGGTTGGTATGTGTTGCAAGTTTCCCTGACTTAAGCTGTGTACCTCCATGCAATATCCTACAGCCCCCAGTATGAAGTTCCTCAATAAGTGGAGGGACACAGCTCCCACCCCCCAACACTTTCCAATTAGGTACCTGAAAGCAACAATTTTTCAAGGTACAGTATTCATAGAACACATTAAATCCTACTAAGGCTGACTCCATAAGCATTACTGACTCAGGACATTGCTCTGAGATAAATGAGAATTATTCCCAACTCCCACTTAGAGAACAGGTTTAGCACTGGGTTTGAAATTTCAACACAGGTTTCCTGATATGTGAAACTCAAAAGTTCAGAATGTAAATCTACATAGGTACCTTACCTTGGGAGCTTTTTGTACAGGAACCTTTTCAATTCCTAGAAGAGGAAAGAAAAGGAAACTGTTTACCTTAGTCACTTACAGCACACATTAAGAGGTCATGTACTGGAGAATTAACTACGTCTTCCATTCACACTCATAATCACTCACTGGAAACCTCCATTACACCATAAGCTGTCCCTGAAAGCAGGGGAAATGGCCACTCTTTTAGGCATAATACTTTGGTACACAGCTCTCTGTCACATTCAACAAGCCACTTCAAAATGTGCATTATAGTGCTAATTATACTTACATCCGCCATGTTGTCAGAAGTGTTCAAATGAACAGTCCAAACCCTTTGGGGGGAAAAAGTTGCATGTTTTGTGACAAAACAATTTGCCCTTCTATGTGAATATAGCAGAGAACAAGTTTCTACTACACCACCCCTGCTCCACTTAGCACTCACAGCTTGTTCTCAAAGTCATTCAATGCAGAGTTGCTATTGGGAAATGTCAACCCATAGCATTTCCAACCTGTGACATGCCAAATCTGTGAAGCCCGACACCCAGGCATGGGACCATGGCTTTTTAGACAACAGAACAACTCTCCCAAAAAGCGTAACGAGGTTTACCCACTTATTTGTCTGGAGTGCAAATGTACTATACTACAGGGATCCTATAGACACAGGAGGAGGAAAGTCTATATTGTAATTGGAACCCCTTCTGAATGATAAACAAAAGCCAGACAAGAATACAAAACGTACAGAGTTACAGGACTGCAACGGCCCCCTCCCACACAAAAAGAAAAGAAAAACCCAGGCTTACCGTGCTGATCCACTAGGGGAACCAATTCAAATACCAAGAGTATGTGTGGCACAAAGTTTTACTCAGACCCACTGAAAGTAATTTACATTATTAAGTCCACTGATTTCAATGGGCCTATTCTAAGTAAAACTTAGTTGACTATTACCCAAAGCCTTTATTTGGAACAACTTAAAAGTGAATAACTAAAAAATGAACCCTTCTTCAGGCAAATGCTAAACCCCACCCCAAAGGGGTTGGTGGGAGATAATGTTGGGCTGGATGAAAAGTCCAGTGGTGCGGAAGAGTTTATACATGGGCTTAACTGAATTGACCCCATCTGGTGGGGGGGAAGGCTATCAGGTTGCAGAAATATCTGGGCTAAAAGAGCAATAGCTACTCTTCCTTTGAAATGACTCAGTGCTTTACATTACATTGCAGAATACATATACTATATTTCCTAATTTTGCAACCTTAAGATAGATCCGCCCTTCAGTTGCTGGAGATAAGTTCAGTCATTTCCTTTAGACCTCCTCTGCTTCGCCACGTACCCTTTGACCTACCCCATTCTTGTGATTGTAATCTGCTTTAGCTGTTTTTAATTCTAAATTGTCATAACCTGCCCTGGAACCTGCAGGTGAAAGGATAATAATCATAATCATGAACGTGTGCTCCTGCGGCTTATGTGGGAGTCATGTGCACCACCAGCAATAAGAAATCAAAACCAAAATCTATCTCTCTTTCAAGTATCAATGGTGATACAACACCAGCAGTATCTTACCGCGGTCTACCAAGGTGGGGCTGTGACTCTCCCAAGACGCCCACGCAAAGACAAAAAGGCGAAAGCAAAAATGTACCAAATACACACCATTTGGTACTTATATATTGGGGGTGGGGAGAGGGAGCGCCATCATTATCTCCCTGCATAGGAGCCGACTCTTCTAGGGCAGAGGTCCCTTCAGCCCCCTCAGTCAAATACTGTATGTGAAGGGGTCGGGCCCCCTCGACGGGCATTGCCATTCAAATGGTGTGATCGAAAACGCGAGGTGGGGGGTTTACCTGCCCAGCCCCCCTCCCAGTATTGTATTCAAGTTGGCACAGAAGCCCGACGGAGCCAGAAACTTCCAGCCGTCGCCGCCCAAACCCAGTTGAGGAAACAAGGGCCGATGGCTCTCGGCTTCAGCTCCGAAATTATTAGGAAAGGGAGAAGACAGGGAAGTTTTTAATGTGTGACATTTTAATGTATTTTTAATCTTTGTTGGAAGCCGCCCAGAGTGGCCGGGGAAACCCAGGCAAATGGGCGGGGTACAAATAATAAATTATTATTATTATTATTATTATTATTATTATTATTATTATATATCGCCACTCCTTCTTTTGCGTACGGAATGAAGTAAGCGTACCCTAATAATTAATAATAATGACAGCAACCCACTTGTTGGTCCCACAGCGACAAGCGAGGGTCAACACCCGGCGCCTTCCTGCCTTCCCTCCCACCTTCCCCCTTGCAGGTCTCCCGACGGCCTCTTAACTGTCGGGTCCCCCTTTCCCCATACGCACCTCCGCTTTCTTCCGGGTTCAACGCCTTTAACGGCCGCCCTCCCTTTAAGCGAGCTCCTTCCCCCTCCCCTTTACCAGGTCGCGTGACTGCCAAGCGTGAGGCAGAGCAACTTCTCCGGGTCGCTTCCGCTTCCGCTTCGGCTCCGGGGACGCGTCGGGCGCGTCAAAGGCAGACGCACGCGCCACTTCCGGTCTGAAGAGGGAACAGGGGTTGGGCGGGAGAGTGTCTGATTCCAAGCCGGAGAGGCGTCCGCTGCTGCGCACGCGTGGTTGCTGCTGCGTCAGGTGCGTCTTGCGTGGGTACGCGCGCAAAGCGTCAAAGGCTCCAGCTGTGTGTGGTCTAGGCTCACACTCTTAAGTGCAGTTCAGTCAGGCTGCTGCATATGCCTTTTTTTTGCTGCTGCTGCCGCCAGCCTCCTCTAGAGTAAGATATGTCGTCTAGTTGGTGAGAGGACCCCTCCGCCCTGAACTGCGTTTTATTCCAGGCTCCTTGGGGTGCAGGAAGACTGGTACCAGACAACTGCAATGTCGTTTTTTATTTGGTCTTTCTGTACCTAAACCTAGATTACTATTATTTTGGTAATAATTGAATTTATTGTTAAATTGCTTGAGTTTTGTCATTTTTGAATTTACTTTTTAAAACTTTTTATTTATGAGTTTCAATTTTATACATTTCAATAATGTTACAATCATTTTGAAATTACACTCGACTTCCTTCCCCCTCTTTCTGAGGTTCCTTAAATTTATTTTTTGTTTTTTCTGCATATTCAAAATTAACTTATTTATTCATCTACTTTAAGTGTATACTCTTAAAAAACTGCAGTTATTATAATCCTGCCAGTGTTCTTATCTGTTTAGAGTTTATTTGTAAATATTCAATAAACTATTTCCATTCTTTTCTAAAAAGTTTATATTGATTTGGGTTTTTTTTGGTAAGTTTCGCCATTTCTGTTTAAGTTTTAGTATCCATTCTTCTTTCGTCGTGACTTATTAACATTTTTGGGAGTAATTTTTTAATTTATTGGCATATTTTGTATATTTGTATTTTGATGTTTTGAACATTCCCCGTAAGCCATTTTGGGCACAGCTATTTGTGGGAAAGCAGCATATAAATCAACTCAATCATTCAGAAAAGTGACCGGCTCTAAAAATAACTTCCACTACAGTGCTTTAAGGAGCTGCTTAGGTTGCAGTCCTGTAAATACTTACCGTACCTGGAAGTCAGCCCCATTGAACTCAAGGGAGATTACGTACTTCCTAATAGATACAAATTAACTTACTTTGACTCTTGTGCAAAAAGATGGTGCCTAAGGGGCACTTGATTTTCATTATGTGGGAAGCTGAACCTTGATCCTTCAACATGCACAGACTTCACCACTATGCCTTTTATGAAGCAAAAAGTATTTCATGAAAGTGCAAGAAATCATACTTCAAGTACTTGGACAGAAGTGCTCAAGTGCGTGCAACTAATTTGTTGGCCATCGGAAGCAAACCTGAATAACCATGTGTGTCAAACTGACAAGTGCTGTGAAGCATCTAGTAGAGGAAAATGGAACACTAAGGGATTATGTTCTATTGAATTTCTTCTGCGTATTTGTAATTGTTACCTGGTGTCTGTTGATGCAGCTGGTACTGAAAATATTATGTGGGAAGAATTCATTAGCTTTGGAATACTAAATGAGTTTGATGCTATACAATTATTGGTGGGTATACTATTATTGGCTTAAGAATAGGAAAATCACATGGCCAAGGATACAATGGCTGCTGTTACAATGGCAGGAAGGTAAGATGGCGTGAAAGCTAAAATAAAGATTAGATATTGCAAAGCTGACTTTGTCTCTTGTGCGGTACTCAATCTGTTTGTGAAGGACTTGAATGTACCCAAATATATTACATTGGTACTGTCAAACGTGTAAGTTTTTGCTATGAGAGTGCAATGAAAATATGTCTTATTCCAACTGTGACATTTGGAAGGTTGCTGGGGTAACTGGGTATGAGATGATAGGAAGAGTCCTGAGCAAGGGTTGCTGGGATCTGTTTGATCCTTGAAACTCTCCCCTGTCGTACTCTGCACCCTTTGAGTGTTTTTGCTTGACTGTAATGTGTCGGCCACGACTGGACCTAATGGTCAGGGGTCCCTTTACCTTTATCTAATGTGTCCTAAAACTCTTGCTTGCCTGGATGGAGAATAGAGAGGGATGTATGTAGAAACTAATCTGTAGTACAATGGGAAAAGCTATGTTTGTTCTGCTCACTTTTGCCTCTAGGCCTGCCCACTGCTGGTATGTGGCCCCCAGAAGTTTGCCTGGAAGGTAATGTGGCCCTCTGGTTAAAAAAGTTTTCCCATGCCTGCTGTAGATGCTTCCTTTTAACATGCCAGTTCCTGAATGCAATAGGGCTATATAATCAGGTAAAAAGTCTTTTATTCACATTGAAAATAATTTTATTTTGATATAAGTTTGATATTACATTAGGTACATTACAAATCCGATCTTTTTTAAAACCTAACCATTAAATCTACAGTTAAATAAAATAGGATCTTTAAGATGCCACCGTAAATTTAGTTGAATTTTCTTTGCATTCATTTTTTTAAAAGCATGATTCACAAACATCAAAGCTCTCATCTTAGCCCTTCAAGAGCCAACACTGAAGTTCCTTCAGATTTTTAAAGCTAGCAAAAGACATGTCTGGCAGTTCTGCCCTAAGCACATTTATTTAAAAATAACTTATTGATGCCAATAGAGCTTACTTCCAAGTTAAGCTTGGAGGTTTTTGACATCAACTTATAAAACGTCAGGGGAAAAAACAGTGGTTACTATCAGAAGAACATCCAAGGTCAGCAACTGGTTTGGAAACATTGTTTGGTCCTTAGGACATTTCCAATGTTATTTCACAGTTTAGTGGAGGAATGCTTCTGTTTATCTTCGCACTCCAGGGAAAAACAATACATGGGATTTCCCTTGAAATGTTGACCCTGTGAAAACGTGATTGTCCTCTCACACAGGCCCCGTGCAGACATAGTATTTAAACAAAGTTGCATCTGGAATACCTAAACCATTATTTGAAAATCCCTGGTGTTAATCTCTATACATGATTAAGGCTGTTTCTCCCTTTTCCAAGCTCCTATCAGGCAGCTTGCTTGTCTTTTCTTGCATACATTCTTTAGTAGCAGAGCTTACTTTAGCAAGCTGAAACCAGGGTTTCACTTTATGTGGGATTGTAACTAAAGTTCAGGCAACAAACAAAGGCTGCTGCTAATCACAATTAATTGTTATGACTGCACTGGGCCGTAATGGGAGGTGGGGGGGGGATGGAAGGGAAAGAGAAATATGCAGGCAAAAATGCTTTTTGTCATTATGACACTGAAATCCCAACTGCCTGTGGTACTCTGTGCAAACATACAATGGTAAAATATTACACCCAAGTTTGAGTTATGAAGCTGGACAATACACACATCTACGCACACAAATGGTCCCACACAGTAATTTGCAAACACAGTAGTTGCCAAACCAATAGACTTTAGTGCAGAGTGAAAATAAAGTGAGGGACAAAATACACATTCCAAGATGCTTTCCCAAATTATTTTTCAAGACCACCTGAAACTTTGAAATAATCCTTAACATAAGGTATACATTTTTCCAAGATTTTTTTTTTAATAAAAAACCTAAACTGGCAATTGACCTTTGAACATACTGCTGCCTTTCAATTTTTTAAAAAGTTTGTTTTTATTTATTAAATTTGTAGTTGCAGTATAACTAGATGATTCACATGCTCTTTAAATCTATGGGGCCCAATATGCTAGGCACTTCAATAGGACAACTTTCATTTGTTCAGTAGTGCTTGCCTAAAAATCCTCACAAGCCTTACTGAGGGGAATGAGGTTGACCTGTCAATGGATTGCATCAGCGCTAACTGAACTCGCACAAAAGATTGCTGTTAATTGAACTTTCTTGCCCCACCTAACATACGCCACCTCTGCAAAAACTCCCTCAAATATGGCTGAGGCATAGTTATGTATGAATAATCAGCTGCACCTCAACTACATTGTTCCCCCCGTCTCTTTCCAAATTAGAAGAAATATTCTAATCTGCTCTAAATGAATCTTATTCCAAGAAGAGGCAGCTTGCTTTTGCTTATGAACTCATCCTGTGGATTGTGGCTCAGTGAGTCCTAACTACCTGTTAAAACCATGAAACATTTGCTGCTGTTGCCATCCCATAATTTTTTGCAGCAGAGAAGGGGGAAAGGCAGCATTTTTTTTTTTTAAAGTAGAGGAAGAAGCATCGAGGGCACAGAACACTTAGGAGAGATCCTCAAGGTCGTCTTATAATGTCTGCTTTATAAAGTGGGCTGTCTTTGCAAAACTGACATAGATTGGGATCTACAGAGCTATCATTATAAAAGTTAGAAAGACAACTGTTTCACCTGCTGTTTCACCTATGGTAAGATGGCTGTGATTGAGCAGAGTGCAAACATGCATTCCTGACTTGCTTGTTTTGTCCTTCTCTGCCTGGAGGTAGCAGCAACAAAACACGAGCCTTGGCTTAATGGCATGCAAACCAGCAATAAAGGCTTATCTTCCCCCAAGAACAAGCAGTGGTTCACACATTGTTAAGCCAAGGCTACTGGTTTATTACTCCAAGCAGGGCAGAATGAAATAGAATGCTTCTCATTCACAATTACCTTGATATGCCAGCCAGTCCACTGACACTCACTAATTTTCTGAGGCGTGTGTACTTTTTCTTTCCCTCTAGCTGTGTCATAATAGCTGCCTCCAAGTCCCTCAAAATAACTTGCTTTAAATAATAGGGGAGCTAAAGAACAGGCAGGTACAAAGGTGTCCATTAGCATGGACACAATCTTGTCTCAGTACTTGAGAAACGGTCTGAATCTGAGTATCTTGTAAATGCGTTCACTGGCCAACTACAGAGACAGTTTAAAAAATGAAATGTCTATGCAGAGCACAAAAAGGATTTTTGAACACAGCAGAAGCAAAGCACCTGTGTTAGGCTTCCAGCTCAGGGACAAGATTTATTCTTTACAGCTACAGTACTGACATTTAGTCTCCTGCTCAAAACTCAGCTGCTCACTCAGGCTTTGAGGAGGGTTTCAGATATGTTGGTATATGAACCTGATCTACTGATTTTTGATATATTTTGTATTCGTTTTATGGATGCAATTTTATTGTCGATTTTATGATGTTCACTGCCATGTTTTTATTTGATGTTGGTGGTATAGAAACTTTTGCAAATAATAAATAAATATATACCTGGTTTACTTACAGAAAAAACACAGAACCTACAATGTATAATATGAAGGTTTTTATAATATAAAAACGAAACATCTTGCATGGGAGTCCTCTTATACTTCAAGGTAGCCTATAAGGAGAATTATGATGGCTCAGAAATAAGTAAATGACAGTTCAATCCATGAACTACTTACGGTAAATCAAAGCAAGTACAGTACTATTAACTCTGTGCAGCTTCACTTAGTATTAAAGGATCAAATCTGGCATCTTCAAGGGCTTCAGACCTAACTATTTTGTAGATTAGGTAGTGGGTACCAAGGGCTAAATTATACAAGAGATTAGTAATTATTCCTCTGCTGTTTCCAGTATAAATAACTCCTGATACCAAAATCTAAAGTGGAATTTGCTAATAGATTCAGGGTGAGAAATTGGCATTATTTTCAGCTCTCCTAACCCCTATCCAAAATACCAATGTATTTCATATCTGGCAACAAATGTGCCCCTTTGATTTCAGATAAAAAGCCTGGGACACAAATCTTTAGGCGGCTCATTTACCAGAAGAAATGTATTTAGCATTAACTCTGAAAGTGTTTGGACCAAACTAAGCATCCTAGAGCACAATATAGATCAGGAGGCTTAATTTGGTCATAATCGAGTACAGTATATACTTCTAGAGTTAACGCTAAATACAGTGGTGCCCCGCAAGACGAATGCCTCGCAAGACGGAAAACTCACTAGACGAAAGGGTTTTCCGTTTTTTGAGCTGCTTCGCAAGATGAATTTCCCTATGGGCTTGCTTCGCAAGACGAAAACGTCTTGCAAGTTTGTTTCCTTTTTCTTAACACTGTTAATACAGTTGCGACTTGACTTCGAGGAGCAACTCATAGAACGCAGTGTACATAGTAGCCCTTTTTGAGGTTTTTAAAGACTTTGGTGATTTTTGAAGCTTTTCCAAAACTTCTTTTGCAGCCATTTGGTAAGTTAAGCTTTTAAAACTTTTTGGGGGGCTTTGGATTTTGGGTTGGGGTGTTTGGAATTCAAGGACTTGGTGTTGGGGAGGGGTTTGCAAGAATCTGGAAGCTTGGTTTTTTTGCTGCATTTTTATGATTTTCTGTGACCATTGGGCAACTCTGCTGTTTTTTAAAAAAAATTCTGGGTTTGAATTTTGAAATGCTCTTTACAGTATGTGTGACTTTAAAGAGCACTTAATAAACTCTTGTTGTACCAAATTTGGCTTTGTTTGGACTTTTTTTGACCATAGGAACGCATTAATTGATTTTCAATGCATTCCTATGGGATTTCGTGCTTCGCAAGACGAAAAATTCGCTAGACGAAAAAATTCGCGGAACGAATTAATTTCGTCTTGCGAGGCACCACTGTAAACTGCCATAGCTGTTAGAGGGCCATGAAAGTTTGTGTCCCGGGCTTTTTAGTCTCATCTACCCAAATTGATGCTTTTGAATTATGGTGCTGGAGGAGACACTTGAGAGTCCCATGGACTGCAAGAAGATCCAACCTCTCCATTCCTAAGAAAATCAGCCCTGAGTGCTCACTGGAAGGACAGATCCTGAAGCCGAGGCTCCAATACTTTGGTCACCTCATGAGAAGAGAAGACATGAAAGGCATGAAAGTTACAGAGTTAAACTATTCTAATTGCAAACAGACTATTTCCCATGCCATCACAAACCCATAATTATGGGAGAAGAATATGTTAAGAAGAAAAGACTGCTTGTGTTTTCAATTAAACATATTGCTTGACAATGTATTTTTCAATTACAGTTCATAGAGCACCCCCCCAAAAGAAGTTTCCTGAATGTCTAAGGAGAACAACAATGTACAACAACAACAACAACAGCAACAACAAAATCAAAGAATGACATCTTAACACTAAAAGCAGATCTCTCAGGCCACTTTTAAAAATGGAGGACTTTATGCTGTGAGTAACACACACTCGTTTGCATTGCAAGAATAAAGTGTTTAGTATACCAGGTCTTGGTTGTTACAGAAGGTTGACCCAGTTCAGCAAACATTGCAGATTTAGAAGTTTAACTGTAATCAGTATGAACATTCTCCAAGTGCATTTCAGTACTTTTTCAGTATTACCACTTGGATTGAAAGATGCACAAGTGGAAGTCGGTTTACACACAAGAGGACTTTCCCACCAATCCTATTTTCTGCAACCTCCGTCCTCCCCTCCCACGCTGCTCCCGAGGGTCTGGAGAGACTTGGATGGCATGGGATGTGACAAAAAGGAGACTAGAATCAATGGCAAAAAGGATGGGCCTCATGTATGAGCAGATGAACCTTCTGCAAGGACAAGAGCAGCTTTGTATCCAATCCCCATGGGTTTACAATGGCAGTATTAACTGCTTGGGAAGTAGGTCCAATTATTGCTGGGGTGAGTACTAGTACAGCATTCTGTTTACTCAAATGAAAGCTGTTGTATCTGGTTGTAGCCTGTCACAAATACTGTGTGTGCCTATAGCATTCCCTACCTCAGGCATAGGGCAAACTCAGCCCCCCAGATGTTTTGGGACTACAACTCCCAATATCCCTAGCTCACAGGACCAGTGGTCAGGGATGATGGGAATTGTAGCCTCAAAACATCTGGAGGCTGAGTTTGCCTATGCCTGCCCTACATTCTTGCTGCACCTGCAATATGGCAGGGGAAGAAGCGTGTCAATGGAAAGCTTTTCTTCTTTCACCAATATTCTCATGGCAGAATCCTGGATAAGCTTCTACAAAAACAAGACCATTAATGTATTTTAACCTTTGGTTACCAGTAATTTTTTCCCCAAAGCTTAGTAACTGCTTAATAATTCTTGCAACATTTAGTTTTGCTAATTCAGGAAAAGTGATCTGGGGAACCTCAACACTCAGAAAATAATGGGCAGCATACTGTGCAGCGCCACTAAAAAAACAAGGAAGTTGTCAAAAATTCAAAGAAACATCAAGTCCAATCAAGAAACCCTGGTCAAGAACCCCAGCCCCGCAAGACAAAACAAACCATGCACAGATGTGATTTATGTATCTAAGAACATAATCCTAATTAAATTACTAGGAAGAATGGAGAACTCAGTTCCAAGTAAAAGAGGTTTGCAGAATCATCTAATACAGTAAACCAAATTAGGCATATTTTAGTTCCAGGCATGTCCCAAGATTTTGAAAAAAAAATGGAACCTACAATATCTACTTTGCTAGAAATCCAAAAGGCACCTTGGCTCCACCCATACTGAAAATGCCTGTCTCTACCATTTTGTTCATGCAAGGAAGACTGGCAAATTAAAGTGGGTGGGGCAGAGGGGGCATTATTCAAGTTATGATACTGCATGTACATTCTAAGTATCAGAAAGTACTGTATACAACATTAGTTTTGCAATTCAATACAAATTGTGTGATCTTCAAAACAAAATAATCTCACAGGGTTCACATATATTGATCAGATAATGCAAGCATCGGGAACCTCTACTGATTATCACTTATGGAACCTTGCATATAAAAATGCTTAGGTACTGCTGCATGGCTTCTTTTTGTTTACCCCATAGCTTAACCGGGAGAATAATGAGGGGAAACTGATTAAAGTGCTCAATTGCCACATATTCTTTGAAGCTCACTTTGGAAACACTCTCCCTGTGCCTAATACTACTTGTCCTACTCAAGTCAGTCTGTTCCAACCAAAATTCTTTCTCTACCTGTAACAGTTATAAATATCTAAGAAAGGTTATGCAAAGCAGTTAAAATCCAGAACAACATCTTGGAAATAATGGTGTAGTTTTGCTCTGTATTCAGCCATCGAACTCTGTGTTAATGTGGTCTCCTAAATCAAGGCCAGGCATAGGCAAACTCGGCCCTCCAGATGTTTTGGGACTACAACTCCCATCATCCCTAGCTAACATGACCAGTGGTCTGGGATGATGGGAACTGTAGTCTCAAAACATCTGGAGGGCCGAGTTTGCCTATGCCTGATGAAGGCCAATGGATTTCAGAGCCACTCAGGTAACATTTAATTTATTTTTAAAATTGAATTCTGTATACATCAGACTACAATGACTAATTTCACGGGGGGGGGGGGGGAGATCAGCTGAGGTACTATATTTCCATTAACACGTAGAAATCGTGTTTTCTCTTGCAGATTCATTTTAAAGTAAATATTTTCTAAGATAAACCACACTGCCCTTAGAACAAAACAAATGGAACATAAATATTTTTATATGCAGTATTAGACGCAAAATAGCTTACAAAGGTTTGCTAAAGTCGGAACTCAGGCACCAAGACTCCTGTTTAAAGTTTATCCAAAACCGCATATTAAATTTACACCAGCAAACGTGACTATATCCTTTTTACAGCATGTGATCACTGAGAACTATAGCACTTTTCTTTCATCAGTGATCTCAATGCTCCTCTGTACAAAAATCTACCCTGTACACATCTGGACAGAAACTGTTGCACTGTGGCTTCTTAGCTCTTGTCAACAAGCAAAACCACAGCTTACAGCAGCAATTCATAGACAAGCTAATTGTTAAAGAATCAGCAAAGGGTTCAAAGGCACAAGGCTGAACTTTAGAGGTGACATACAACAGTGTTATCCTTGCACAGCAGACTTCTGCTTGTGCAAGGGGACCTATTCCTTTTCTCTCCCCTGCACATCCTCAAAATCTGCTCCAGAGGTGGGAATATTCCGAGTCAATTATGGGGGCACATCGGGAAGGAGAAGAAAGGAAAATCCCATTATATCCACTGGTGTGACATTGGATAATGCCCTAGAAGTGGCTTGATCAACTGTTGATACCTACACAGAAAACAGAGTTGTAAATTAACACAACTGCCAAATTCCCCAACTTTTTAAAAAATTGCTACTCCATTATTTTCTCTGCTTTTTAGTGAAAGAGAAGCAGCCTATGAATGTATATTTAGCATGCTTGTGTATTTAGCAAGTGGATTTAACACCTTCCATTTCTAAAGGATTTGCACGTGACCCTAAGTCATGCTAAACTAAAAAATATGGAGAGGTGGGTTGTACAGCAGCACTTGCTTAAATACACCTTGTTCTTTTCTGGAACACCAAAACAGAATGTGATTAAGTACCAAAAGTATCTGTGTACTTCTCTTTTTTGGTGCCAGTGTGCCACTTAGCAAGAAACAGTCTGGTACAGATGTCTGGTTTGTCACTGCTTAGATATACAGTATTAAAACTACAGCATGAATGCTGAAACTCGGGTATCAGCCAGTCTTATCCAATCATCTCATAAGAAATCCACATGGCCCATTACTTTTTAAAAAATATTCCTTCAACCTAGTAGATTTTATGCAGAGAGAAAATTGTTCCTGTTTTCTTTCAATTCCACACACTTGACATCTGAATAAGGAATGATGTAGTCATACTATTTGTTCCATCCATGAGATTAAAGGGTTTAATGCATCTAAATGCCTTTGAGATTTCTTTAAACATTTTTATATACACAAGTCTTCTTTTTCCACACATATTTACATGGCAAGTATTTCAGAAGAAGAACCACTATGTCTACATCTCCACAAGCGTAGCAGCACATTGAAGCTGCTTCTTGTAGAAAAAGAAATCACAGAAGCTCTGGGAGTAAAACTTAAATGACAATTCAATGATGTAAATATATGACCTTGTCATATATTTCAGACTAAGAGGCTATTAAATTATATTGGTACTTCAGGACAAGGTTTTTGGAAACAGCTAGACAGCAGTTTTACATCCCTCTTCCTTTTCATGACGGAATAGTATTTTCTCAGTTTACAGATTTTTCTTTTTATACATAGAGAGAGAGAGAGAACGCGCATGTACAGGCAGTACATTTCAGGATCTAGCTCATTCTCCCCGATAGATACTGGTCAACCGTTCTAACTCTCTGCAGTTGTCCATGGAGATGGCTTCTGCTTTCCTTCGAAGACGTTCGTCTCTGTACACTTTTGCTGCATACAGTAAATCTGTTTCTTTAAAAACAAAAACAAAGTAAATAAAACATCTTGGCAATAGCTGACAAATGTTATTTATTTCATAAAATGTATACAGCACTTGACTGTAAAAAACCTCAAAGTGGTTTACAAAAAGAGAAAGCAATAAAACGTCATCTACTTTTTTCATATCATGCCAATACTAAAATGATTCAGATCCACAAATTTTCAACCTGCCAGAGAGTACCCTCTTCTCTTGGATGCCATGTGGCTTTCAATTTTCTCTCTTCACCTTTTTATTTAACATATAAACTGCCCTATAACAATGGATCATAGAAGCCGTGTACCAACCCAAGCTGGAAGAAGGTGCTCCAAGCCACTCATGCAACTTACAAACCCAGTCCTTTAGAGGGAGTACCTCTATCCAAATTACAAACCCAGTCCTTTAGGGGGAATACCTCTCTATAGTTTGCACTGAATCTAAGCTTATTGGCCCTCATCCTCCTCCTTACCACAGCCCAGCATTGATCTAGATAGACACCCTCATCTGGATTCAATATAAAGCAAGGGGGGAACCCCTAAATGTTAACTGACAAACTGCTGACACAACATTCCAAATCCCCAGATGACCTCACCCAGCCATTTCATGTAGATGTTAAAAAGCATGGATAAGGCAGAACCCTTCAGGACCCCAAAGCCAGTGATGGAATTGAACACCTTCTGTCCAAGTACAAGAGGAACTACTGAACAGCAAATGCTGTCCACACCCAATCAAGCAACATCTTTAGGAGGTTACTATAACACATACTGTTAAGAACAGTGTCCAAGTCTAAAAGAAAACAACAACAACAACAACAGGGCTACACTGTCTGTGTCTCCCTACTAGCAAACATAATCCCACAAGGCAACCAAGACAGTTTTGGTGCCAAAACCAAGGCTAAACCTTGAATGAAATGGATCTATAAAATGAGTTTAATTCAAGAGTGTCTGGAATTGGTCAGCAACCTGCTTGACATCTTTTCCAGGAAGAGGATGCTAGCCACCAGAATATAATTGTTGAAGTATTCAGAGTCCAAATAAAGCCCCCCCCCCCCCCCCCGGAATTTTATGACTGCTTCTGAGGTGATTGTGGTCATTCCCCCTCTTGATGACAACAAATATAGCACTTCCACTGCAACTGTTCGAAGCACTCTACAAAGATAACCTCAATAATTCTTATACAAGAACCTTATAAGTCATACCAATGGCTTGTCTAATCCAGCATCCTGTTTTCACAGCGGCAAACCAAATGCCCATGAGAAGTCTGCAAGCAGGACCTAAGCACAGGAGCACTTGCCCTTCCTGCAGTTTCCAAGCCATCCAAGTTGGTCATTGGCAGTTAGGTGCTCCTGTTGATGTGTCAGGAGGTGTGGGTGGAAGATACTGACACAGCAGGACTGAACTCACACATGATCCAGTGTGCAGGGGTTTCAGTTCTGCTTTACGCAGGGTTCAGGTGTGCAAGTGAGTTCTCTGCCTATCTACTGGTGTGCGGAAAATTCAATACGACATCAGTTGCAGGGCAGGTGGGCGTGGTTTAGGGGAAATGAACCTGGAACTCACAAACCTCTGAAAAGGGGGGAAACTCCCTTAGGATCCATGCAAGTATCTCATTCTATTCAGAGCTACATGTTATTCGGTATAATGCCTTTATTTTTAAAAAAATCATAAGGTCTACTTACTTTGTTGCCTCTCTTTCCAACAGTTATTTCGAATGTTGGACACGTAGTCCTCTTCCACACTCTTTTCCACCTTTTGCAAATTTGCACCTTTATATTCATTTTTAAAGTCCTTGTTGACATAATAAGCAACACCCAAGTTTTGTGTCTGCATCTGAATGGTCTGTCCTGAACCCCTGTAAAGAGATCCCATACTAATTGTCAGCCTGTGTCACTGTCCCCAATGTTGTTGTCAGCAAAGAAAAATCAAAGAGGGTTTCAGATTCATTGCAACATAAATAAGAGTTTTCACGAAAGTCTTTACATATATACAACACCAATTTGCCATGTCTGTAAAGCAAGAAATAGCAATGTTATAAATGATGTCTTGTATCTGGTGTCTGATTTTCTGTAAACTCTATACCTTCCATGTCGTTGGTTTGCTAAAACATGTCTAGAGCTTATCACAATGATGTGGGCATTCTATTGAGTTAGATTGCTCCTAATTAGAAGGCTCCACATTAAATATCCTAGCATGCAATTTGCCTTTTTCACAGCTACTGCACACTGGATCAACATCTCCATCAAGCTACTCACAACAGCAAAGTCTCACTTCTGAGTCAGTCACTGCCAGTTCAGACCCCATGAGTGGATATGTGAAAGATTCCCCCCCCTACATGTAACACTTTACACTTGTTTACACTGAATTGAATTTTAAAGTTCATTTTGGAGAGGTCCTCTATATTTACCTTTGCTTCATTTTTTAAAAATTAATCTACAAGAAAATATATTTTCATACTAAAGGGTTAAATTAAGAAATTCCCTCTGTTCTTCATTGCCTATATTTACAGAGTCAGCCAGGTTAAGATAGTGGCTTCCATTACCATAGGAAACTGGAAGCTAGTAATGCTGTGGACTTCTCACCTTCTAGGGAGAGGCTATCACTCAGGTAGGAGGTCCTGGCCTCTGACACATGCAACTGCAGTCTAGCTACTAACAACGAATCTACTATTAGCATTAAAACATAATGCACATTGCGTTAGTACATGGGTAGGTAAACTAAGGCCCAGGGGACCAGATCTGGCCCAATCACCTTCTAAATCGGGCCCATGGACGGTCAGGGAATCAGCTTGTTTTCATATGAGTAGAATGTGCCCTTTTATTTAAAATTCATCTCTGGGTTATTTGTGGGGCATAGGAATTTGTTCATTTCCTCCCCCCCCAAAAAAAAATATAGTCCGCCCCCCCTCCCACAAGGTCTGAGGGACAGTGGACTGGCCCCCTGCTGAAAAAGTGTGCTGACTCCTGCGTTAGTAGATAAACTACCAACAGAAGTAAGTACCAGAAGGAAAGCCATTTGTTTTAAGCAATCCAAATAAGCACTAGGATTCCACTCACAAAAAGCCTGAAAATAGCTGTGGTTGCCATCTCCAGATCTCTAATTCTAAAAATCAAAACTCAGAACCACTTGTAAATACTTCTTAGTTACAGCATCATGCTGCTAGTTTAAAGTGCAACCAAATGGGTAAATTTCATTGTAAGCTCTACTTTAAACCTTGTCAAGGACAACCACGTGAGAAAGCATTAAGGCCTCTTTTCCCAGTGAAGGTCAAAAATAAGGCGCAGAACCCCTTAGCAACACTGACCTAAGTGATGTAAACATAGCACAGACCCACAATAAGCCATTGTTCAGCTGAACTGAGCTTCTATATTGAGCTAGTTTTTCAAGGGGGTAATAGGAGCATTTCTTGCCTTTGGATTTTCCTGATCATTTCTGAATTGGTGCACACAAAGGAGAAAAGCTCTGCAATACATAAAGCTTGAAAAAATGCAGGAACAGCAGAGGTATTTTAAAATATCCATGTAAACCATACAAATATTAATAGTACCACTTACGATCTTGGATATAAGGAGTATGGAGGATTAGACACCATCAACTGGCTCAGCAAAGAGACAAGGATCAGCACAATAATTGGCATCAGCTGGATGAACATAGAGAAGCCGCCCTGGAGAAGGAAACAGCAATCAGATAGACAAATCACAGGGTGTTTTGTTTTTGTTGGAAGGAATCTATTCCACCATCATCACCACTTTCCTAGACAGAAAAGATGTGTACACCCCAAAAGACCTATAGTGGATTCCTGTCCAGTCTTTCTTGAAAGCTTTGGAAGGAGATAGGTTGCACTAATGAATATGTGTAGTCTTTCTTTAACTTCATATTGTTAAAACCTATCACTTCATGTCCTATCCTCATGTGAAGTCATGGCTTAGAGTAGCAGTTCTCAAACTTTTTCTTCTCCGCCACACTTGCCATCTTCTCCTGCCACACTAGTGTGACTTGCTACACCCTTTGAGAACCACTGGCTTAGAGGAATTGCAGGAATTCCCATAGAGGAGCAAAAGCAAGCTGCTGCTAGCTCCTCTTTATAAACTTTATGCCGCATATATAATTAAGTGCAAGGGTGCCACTACTGTAGCCCAAAATCTAATGCAGGCTACAATATTATGAAGAAGTACCTGGGGGTGAGCCACAATGGGTCTTACTTCTGAGTAAACATTATGCATAGGATTCCTCCATAAAAATAAGATACGCTAGTTCAGAAAATTCGGAATTAGGTTTTTAACTGTTACTATTTCCTTGCTTCTGTTTACTAAACAGGCACTCATTTAGACAACAGAACTGCAAGGCATGCTACTCATTAATATTACTTCTAGGGACGATATTTCAAAAAAGATAAGTTCATGCAAAAGACAAACATACATCACCCCTCTCCTCTTCTCTTTCATGCCCACTATGACGATGTTGATTATGGTGACTGTAGCCAGACCTTCCATTAGAAAATGAATGCACACTGCCTACAGGGGAGAAAATATTTAAAAGATCGCATTGGGAGCAGAAAAAACACTACAAGGTGAAAAAATATGTACTCAGCTGTACTTGTTTTGAGGCAACACTATAGGCAATGCAGAATGCCATACTAATTAGTACAAATAATATATTGCACCTTCAAGAAAAAGACGTAACAGTTTATTGGACCACTGGCTGCTAGTGGGCAAGGCAAACATTTAAGTTTCACAAACTTGTTCTTCAGGTTTGGGAAAAGCAAATTTGGTTTAAAGCGAAGCACTAGGAAGCAATAAATAGTTTGTGGGCGCTCTGATATCATTGTATGAGAACCTTGCTGGTACCATCCTACACGAGGCAATTGTTGCTGAGCATGCTAGAACAGATTTAATCAGTTACAAAAGCACTTACACCCCATTCATTTAATACATATGTACAACTCAAGGTGGCTGATCTACCTTAGGAAAGGGGTGATATTTGGGACTGATAAGTGAATGGGCAGGATGATACAGAGGGAGTGAGATGGAAGTGGTGAGCTAAGGCGAGGTGATCAGTGAATATACCTGTTGGAAATGCCCCGCCGAAGAACATGTTAAAAAGGTCCTCTGGAGTAATATCTGCTTCACATCCCCTGTGGAAGTTAAATCTACCGTTGCCAGGATGGCTGCATGGCTCTTCACTGCCTGTGAGGTCATATTGCTTTCGTTTTTCTGGATTGCTTAACACAGCATATGCATTTCCGATCTCTGAAATGCAGAGTGCAGGGGAAAGAAGCGTGGGAGAAAAGAAACATTTTAGATACACAGAGAAGGGAGCGATACATTGTACTTGTATTAATTCCCAGGTCAGACGGGGACCCAGACTGCCTGACTTGCAGTGAGCCACTTTTCCACACTGCACATAGACAACATTGGACATGGTCTCAAACATCTCTGGGGGCTGATGCATGGTACACAGTCTAAAAGGAGTAAGGAGTAAGTTGTTGTCCATTCCCCCTCCCCTTTGAAACATGGAAACAAATGTATAGTACAGATACCAGTATGACTATAGTACTGTGAAATGCTTTGGGATGCCTCATAGGAAGCAATTTATTTATAAATAAAACAAATAACAATGCAAGTAGGTATCACAACAGAAAGTGTGTTCGGTAACATATAAACTCGTGTTCTTTCAGTGCAAGCAGTGTTTGGCCATAGCAGTGCCCAATTTATTATTTTATTTAAATACAGTGGAACCTCAGTTTTCGAATGCTTTGGAAGTCGAACATTTTGGCTTTTGAACGCCAACAACCCAGAAGTGAATGCTTCCATTTTCGAATGCACCTTGGAAGTCGAACGTCTTCCAAGGCGCATTTCTCCATTTTTCCAAAGGATTTTGCTGACCAGCAATTGCACCTCGGTTGCTGAGCGTTTTGGAAATCGAACAGTCTTCCAGAAAGGATTACGTTTGACAGCCAAGGTTCCACTGTAGTAAGTGTTCATGCCGTATCACAAACTGTTTAAACATGCTTTTGAAACAACCTACAGGGACCCTGCTCAAGACTGACAAACCCAGCACCCCCTGGGCACATGAAACAAGGTTCCCAGTAGCCTGGGTTCCAGCCCATGTTTCCAATAAGTTACTGGTAAGGTTCCTTTCATACCTATATTAAAGTTAGTACATAGATGGTGGTTTGCTTTTACAACCCAATGTCTACCACCTTGTGTATGAGGATCTGAATATACTGAGCTACAACCAAAGGACCATAAATGGGAGGAAAATAACAACCAGTGCTATTTTTTAAAGGTTTGCATAGGTGCTCCTGGAAGAGTCGCCTGCAATAAGTTACTTCTACATGAGTTTTTATCCTTGCACTTGCAAAAGTAGAAGATCACAGATTTAGTTTCATTGTCACATAAAATGCTCTGGCCACAAGATGTACAGCTTAGTGCAAGGTGTAAAAAGCCATCCTTTTGCAGCTACAAAAGAGCACCTTTGGATCCAACCCATTATTAAAATGATGTGCATTAACACAACCAGTTGGGCAAAAGAGATACACCTGCCCCTGAAATGTTTTCTTTTCTACAAGTGAATTAGAAAATATTACTTTTAAAAGCTTCTGTTGCTCCTGGTGCATGATTTTTGTCCGGATGAAACTTCAGAGCAAGCTTTCGATAAGCTTTCTTCAAGTCTTCGTCACCTGCATCTTTGGACACTCCAAGGACTTCATAGTAATTTTTACATTTTTTTATACTGCAAGAGGTCATTAAACAAAATAACTTCAATTTTAAAACACAACTATCAACTCTTAAAGCACAATTTGAAAAGTTCATTTTCAAACAGCTTCATCTTATGCACAGAAACCACAGTACCAGTATTTCGAATTTTTTTTGGATTTTTTTTAGCAGTAATATTACACATACATTGGAAAATCCATATGTAGAACTATGCCTAATGTTGGTAATGTGTTTTATTGTAAAGCAATGTTAACAAAGGAATCCCAGATATAATACACACACATCCAATAGTACAGTTACCTGAAACCCATTTAAGTGGGCAGCAGTTTTTATTCTTTGCCCTGTTATAACTTTACAGTTCATGATGGCAAAAGGATTATGAGGTCAATGATGTAACCATCAAGAAAGAGGTGGCTTCAAACACCAGAGACTATAAAGGATAAACTCCAGGGACAAGCTGCACAACTATTCTTATGGGGATGGATTAGAAAAAATGATGGCAGTTTGCAAGCAAAGCTCTTGTGTCTTCTCCTAAAACCAAAGGACTTTTATCTTATTGCCATAGAATCCAGCAGCTGACTTGTGAAATTATTACTATTATCGAGGTACGATTATTAAATGTGGGTCAAAGCTATACCCACAATATTTGAATTGCATGTACATTTTTAACTGAAAGTTTGGACAAAAGTGTTAAGAAGCATAGGAGGGAATATTATGGAAATGCTTAGCAGTAGATAGGTTAGCAAATTCTAAAGAAATTAAATCACAAAATTCTTCTGTTAAGACAGATGAGTACTTCGATACGTCTACGTATTAACAAGAGGCAAATCATTTTCCTGAACTCTTGCTTGTATGAATGAATATCAATCATGCATGACAGATACAGTTCATTATACTGAAGAAAGAATTGGTAAATTTCCATTAGGTAAAATAATTTGTAACATCTCAAAGCAGATTTGAATATTTCTTTAACAAAAAAAGCAAGGAATGTGCATGGAACCTGAAAGGGTAATAAGATTTACAGTGGCTGTAGTTCTTCAACAAGGAAAATGAACTCCTTGGAGTCTCATCTTGGTTCCAGCTCCTCTTTGAAGAGGAATTAAAAGTGCACCAAGGACAATTGGTAAATATTTTGGAGGAACACTGATATATCGGCTAAATGGTTTTTAAAATCCCACTTTGATTCAGAGCAACACTAATCCAATAAGATAACGTAGTAGTTCCTACTAATAATAGTTATGAAAATGATCAACCCATTAGGTTCCCCCCAAACTTAATGAGATTAAATGCTGTGATAGATATTCCAGAGACACCAGCATTACAATAAGAAAGAGCTCCATTTCACTTTTATGCTGCCATTGGTAGTTGTGCAGGTTTTGAAGATGATAGCTCTTTACTAGAAAGCTAAGCCCATATTTTTTGTTTCAGAAACTTGGAAATGAAATTTTGCCCACATGAGAAGACATTATCACCAGACCTCTTTGGTGCAATAAAGTGAGCAGCCTTCTGTTCAGCTTGCTTAACCCTTATGCAATCAGTAAAGAGTTATTGCATCTTGCACTGCTCCCAGTTGAACCATACTGTCACCGAGCAACACTCTATTGAAGAACTACAAGCACTCTCTCTTGTGTATAGGATGGGGAAGAAACTAAAATGCTTGTTTATATTTCTGCCTATCAATACACATTATTAGATTTTAACCTGGCAAAAATATGCTAAAACTAATCACTTGGAGATTGTTCTGCTCTATAAATGGCACTCCTGTGCTTCTTAACACTATTGTCCAAACATTCAGGTGATGTACATGCAATCCAAATGTTGTTCGTATAACTTCTGTCATATTTAGTGAGTTGCAGAGGCTAAACATGTGGGAAAAGAAGCAGGAAAATCTATGTCAGCCATGAAGCTCACTGGCTATGTGCCAGTCACTATCTCTCAGCTGAACGTACTCCGCAGATTGTTAAGTTAGATTGGGGTTGGGGATAAGAAAAATCTTGTCCATCTCTGTCAGCTTCTTGGAAGAAGGGCAGAATAGAAATTTAATGAATAAAAGTAAGAATAAAAACCTCAGGATGCAGCAAATGCGTGGCTAGACCATTTGCATCATATTTTAGAATGTGGATGGAGAATCTCTGGCCTGCCAGCTATATCTGGCTCCCAGAAGATTCCCACCAGCCACTAGGAACTCTTTTCTTCAGTTTTGCCCCTCCTCCTTGACATTCATGCCAATAGCATATGGGACCCCAGCTAGTCCAGAAGTACAATAGATTGCAAGCTTGGGGGCCAATCCAGATCAGGACCCTGGCATGGGCTAAGGGGCCTTTTACCCTTTCCTCCTGCACTGGAAAAGTTATCTCACGTATTTCAATGAGAGAGTCAATCAGGAGTTGGGAACCTTTTCTTTTTTTTCTGTTGAGGGCCACATTCCCTTGGGGCAATCTATTAGGCGTGCATGTTAAAGTGAATAGGACTGAAGCTTGTGGTGGGGGAGCCAAAGTCCAAAGTGGGTGGCGCACCCTCTTGCTTTTGGGCTTGCTCCCCATGCCCCTGCTTTTTTTCCTCCTTATCGCTTGCAAATTGGGTCAAGGACCACTTTCCTCATAATCTAACTGTTGATTGGATTCAGGTTAGAGGTGAAAGAGTCACTAATACATGCACTAAAGGAAAAGAAGTAGGAAAGGACCTATTCACCTACCATGTTAATAGTAGAATTAAATTAAAACACTTCAGTATATGGAACAATTCAACATATTGACACAGCTGCTGTTTATACAGGCAAAACTTTCTTAGCCATCTCATTTACTGTTTGAAATGATAACAAGCTACACCAGGCTCCAGCTGATATTGTCAAAGCATTCTGTCAACATAGCGGCAGTGCGCTCAAACTATGAGATCTTTCAAAAATGGAATCCATGAGTTTAGCTCTCGCATCAGAACATTTAAGTGACAGCTGTACTGCTCTAAAAGGTTGACTTAAAACCTTCGTAAAGAGCAGTGTGATGTTCTCAGCTAATATTCTTAAGCTGAAATCACACTGGCAACATCTGAAGAGGTACTTCTTTTACCTAGACCAGCCTTCCACAACATGGTGCCATCCAGGTCGTTTAGACTACAACTTTGATCAGTTCCAGTCAGCATGGCAAATAATATTGTTGTTGGCATCCGTCTGGAGTGTGCCTCTGGGGGTGAAGTCAAATGACTGTGTTAGCCTGGGCAGTGTGTATGAAAGTCCTGGGCTGCCCAGATGACAAGACTCCCCTTTTGGCCTCGTTGATGTGATCCAAAGGAAAGCACAGCATATGTTTTGCACCAGCTTGGCACCAGGAGTTGCCTGTAGAAGGCTTACAAGATGCCTTAGAGACTCGACTTCGGATTTTCATAGGGTTTACTCTTCAGCCTTTTCTTCTCCTGAAATTGCAGCATGGCAATTGGTCAGGTATTATTAGAACTGCTGTCCAACAACAGATGGAGGGCACCAGGTTGGGGAATGCTATGCTGTCAGATACACTTGTAATTTATTATCAGTACTATCAACAGGCAATCTGTTTATTTAGGAAAATACCTTTGCACTCCTTCCACTTGATCTTTGGTGTAGGCCTTCCCACTTTCACCTGCAGCAGATGCACTGCTGTCCTTCATGCTATTGGGTTTGTTCTTATCACTTCCACTTGCTGGTTTTCGACAGTAAGCACCACTCCCGGCAGCACTCCCGTTCTTTGAAATTGCTTCCAGTAACACTACAGAAGAGAAGGAGTGTAAGCTACATAAACATAGAAGATACTGTTGATAGGCTTACATTTTGAGGACAAATGGGGGAAAGAATCAGATAAAATAATTATGTTCCTAGGCTAATATTTGCAATGAATTCCTATGCAGCAGGTCTACTCAGAATAAGCACCACTGAGTTCAGTAGTACTTACCTTCAAGTAAGTGTGTATAGGAAAGCATTTTAGAGCACAATTTGAACCATCCCACCAATGTCCCAAGGAGTTAAGACAGTGCATATGTGCCTTTCTGCCATCAGAGATGAGTGCTAATGGAAAGCTATTGTCAGTCGTTCTCCTGCCAGCAGTAGCAAGTGCCCCCAAACAAGGCACTGAAGGGCTGTGGCACCAGCAATCCCTGAGCTTCCTTTATGCCAATCTGGAGGTGGCACAATGAAAAGGAAGGAAGAACCGTCTTCCCAAAGTTAGGGAAGCAGTGCTGGATCCACTGCTTCATACACACACAGGCCCTACCTCAGATCCCACAGCAAGAAATATCCTTGTCCCCCATATAACAGAAAGAGATTATGCCAAACTAGCTGTTGACTTGTACAGAAGATTGATCAGTTAATTGGTTTATTACTGTGGTTTATTATTCATTTATTATCTTTGTGCTGACACACTGCTATAGCTCAATCACAAATCCTCAGAATATATTTTTTTAAGCACATAAAATGGATAGTTAAAAGTGACACAAGACATCTGGACCGATGTCATGAGTGCCATACAAAAGGTGCCTATGCGTTACTATAAGTACCTGCACAATCATTCCTGCATTTCAGGGGCTGGACTAGATGACCCCCGGGATCCCTTCCAACTCTATGATTCTATGCTGCTACTATTATCACAGAATGTAAGTTCAGTCGTTCCTTTTGCTAGGAAAAGAATTGTTTTCCTGCATCTCCATACACAGCTTTTAAGGCAAAGAGAACCAGCAATCATTTCACAGTAATTGCTGAGGCAGTACTGTCTGGTTGATTCAGTCCTGCCTGCAAAGTCTTCTATGGAGAATCACACAGCAAAATGTAGCACCCAAAAAGGTTGATTCTTGCCCATTTCAGACTATTTCAGACATCTAAATTATTAAATCCACAGAAAGGAAAAGGGGCTAAACTTGAGTTATTTCTTCCTGAAAACTGAAACCTATAGTTTCAGTTTAATCAAGATCTTTTTGCTGTAAGAAGCAAAATAGAATAGGTTAGATGATACCATCAGGTGATACTATGATGCAACTAAATTACTAAAATAAGAAATATAAGCTGCCACCTTTGCAAGGGCCTCCATCCCGGCTTGATGAAATCTTTGACAGTACTGTATTTGAGCAATCAACTGATTCACGTCCTAAATTTCCCAAGTAATGTAATTTTAAACGTATATGATATTAATATTAGATTAAAGAGACTTTCTTGAATTAGTAAAAATAAGTTTTAAGATTGGAAAATCCTGAGCACACTTATCAGGGAGCATTTCCCACTGAATTCAGTGCAGGTCACTTCTGAGCAAATACGCTTGGAATCTGTAAAATACAGCCATTGTCTTGAAATACTGTATTTTTTGCTCTATAAGACTCACTTTTTCCCTCCTAAAAAGTAAGGGGAAATGTGTGTGCGTCTTATGGAGCGAATGCAGGCTGCACAGCTATCCCAGAAGCCAGAACAGCAAGAGGGATTGCTGCTTTCACTGCACAGCAATCCCTCTTGCTGTTCTGGCTTCTGAGATTCAGAATATTTTTTTTCTTGTTTTCCTCCTCCAAAAACTAGGTGCGTCTTGTGGTCTGGTGCGTCTTATAGAGCGAAAAATATGGTAGGTTAAATCAGAACTGCAAGGAAAAAATGCCTTCAACAGCCTTAGAAGAAAACTATTTTCTACCATGTTGTTGTTGATCATTACTATTACAGCATTGTAAAAATGCAGAAGGGAAACTTCTAATTAATCAAAGTTGTTAAGAAAATGCACATTTTTGAAACTAACAAGACTTCAAACAGAATGAAAAGTCTGTTAGTGTGAAGCATGTGAAGACAAATATTGTAGGTAGGAAATGGGATTACCAACTTGTATCTTTTCTAGTCCATTCACATTTCTATTAAAATGTCTAAGAACGTTATAATCCTTCTCACTAAGATATGAAGAACTGCATCTGCCAATTTCTACAAATAAAGCTGCTGTTAAAAGCACAAAAGCAGGCTAGGTTGGTGTTGTTATCCCCAGTCAGTTTGCAATCCCAACAGAAAGGCTATCCCTCAAATACCAGGAATGAAATGCTAATATGGCAACTCTTATTATTGCACTCAGAAATAAGGATACAAATTCACTAGAATATTAAAATAATAATTTTTAAATAAGACAAAACATATCCAATTGATTTTTTAAATAATCCACATTAGTATACATACTATTTACATGCAAATAAAGCATATAAATTAGTTGCTTCAATATGCCTCAGTGATGTGGACATATGCAGTGCTCTAAGGAAGAATTGAAATGGCCAGTAAAGTACAATGCTATTTATATAGTAAATTCAAATCCAGACTTCACTCTTGTAAAGCCCTTGAAATAGTTCCACAATTATAAGCTTCTTTCAATGCCCTTTGCGTGTCTGCTGTTGATTATGAAAGGTACAATCTATTCTCCTGCTTGCATATGGTTGCTATCATGTTATATAGAACCATGTCAAAGGGCATGTCTATACAGTCCCATATTCCCGGCTTGATGCTTTCATTTGTAAATAGATTGAATTTATCCCTCAGAACTCTCCCGCCTCCAAAAACTCTTCAGTAGATATGGACATATCATGCCTAAAGGAAACACAAAAAAAGCAGCCTGGGCTTCTCAAAGCACAAAACAAAAATACCAGCTGTTTAGATGGAAGAACAGATCCTTCTGCTCCCAAAGAAGGCACAAATAAATCAGGAACAAATAGGCCTACAGGTGCTATACAGTCCCTTAACAGGTCCCTCCAGGGAATCAAAGACTTCAAGCAAAATATTTGCTGAAGTCCCATCAGTCTTAAGCATGCAAACTACCTCTGTAAGAAAGCAGTCAAACTAACTGCAACACCACTGGCTTAAAGTGACATCGAAAGTCATTCTTCCTTCCAAGAACAGACTTTAATGAATTAAAATAAATATAAATATAAATAAAGTGATACAAGTTTACCTGACATTTTGAGGGCCAACGTCCTGTAAGAAGAGGGTGGCTAACATTTTACAGCCCAAAAACCACATTGAAGGTTGGTTAAAACTATTTTTAATACTGTGTTTTAATTGCAGTAACCTGCTCTAGGAACTTCGAGTGATGGGTGTGTGATAAATTTTTATACTGTAGTATCATCACCGCCCCCCTCAAGGACTGCATGCCACTGTACACTCACATGCACACACTCACCACACACATAGGTACATTCAGAGAGGCAGGCAGAAGCATTCAAGCAGCACACGCCTCCTTTCTGCTGATCAGCCTAGCACTCCAACGGGGAATAAAAACACTGTCTCTCTTCTTCAGAGATCTCAGTCTCTGAAGAGCATCATAGTGCTGGGCTACAAGAGGAACCTCTCCTCCACAGCCTGGTGCTGTGATTGCAAGGAAGCCCCGACTTACTTACAATGATGCCTCTTCTCCCTCTGGCATGGAGCCACTCCTAGAAGGTCTGCTCTAAGCACTCCCGTTTCCCAAACACTAAGGCCTACTAAGAACTGCATTATGCCAGAGGCAGAAAAGATACCTCCATCTGAAAGAGAACGGGTGGGCTGCTGCAAGTGCCTTTGCGACACTGGCTCACCATCTCTGCCCTATGACATCCCTCATCCAGACATTCAGGCAGATTTCCTTAATTAAGACAAATTCCTTAATTAAAGTGAATTCATGTGAAACTTACTTAGGAGTAATTCTTTAGTACTTATTTTGAACTGATTTTGCAAAAACTAGGTGTGCCTAGGCTTGATTTGATTATTTGCCATGGTTGCAGCTCTTATGGCTGGTGAAGACTACAAATTTGGATTTGAAGCAGGGCTATGATAATGTTACATGTGCTGCAAAGATCCAGTTCCACTGCTTACTGCAATTTGCAGTACTGCTTTTATATCTACTGAAGTAAACAGCAGTATAAACAAGAGCAACTCCCATGGACTAGCATCAGGCCTTTGGGTTGGCCTAGAACAGGGGATTGAAGTTTACTCCAAAGTTGTTGAACTTTTTTTAGGATTTTACCTAAAAAGGACATATAGTGCCACATATACAGTGGTACCTTGGGTTACGAGCTTCATTCGGTCCATTCTTAACCCGAAACCATTCTTAACCTGAAGCGTGCTTTTGCTAATGGGCCCTCCCGATGCCGTCGTCGTGCAATTTTCATCCTGAGGCAAAGTTCTCAATCCAAGGTACTACTTCTGGGTTAGCAGAGTTTGTAACCCAAAGTGTTTGTAACCCGAGGTACCACTGTACGTGCCTGGCCTAGAATACTATAGATGCTTTCAGAAGGGAACGTAAACACACACCATTCCCTTAAATTATTCAGGTAAATCTGCTCTTTTGAAAAATTTAAACTGAACTCCCTACTCCTCAGGTTTTTAATTATAGGGTTCAATTTAAACATGACGCTAAGAGTGCAAGAACTTAGACATGGAACATTTCACAGCCCTGCAGACCTCTGCTGCTAGGTATGTGACATGCTAACACTGCACACCCAGGTGAACTGATCTGGCTTATCTGAGATACTGGCAACATGGAATGCTGCAAGGGTTTTACAAAATGTCTGGCAATATGTTTCAGCTGGATCATACTTGTTGGAGAATCTCTGAATAAAACAGAGCTCAGCTAGGTGTACATTCTACAATGGCATTTACTGCTAAGTCTTATTTGTGCTTTTAAAATATACAGTTCATTACCTTCATCTTTAATATTAGGTCCATGCCAGTTATAAACTTGGATATACTGCTATTCAAAACATGACATCCACAGGAAGTATAGTTTGGAAAGCCTTAAGGACAACATTTTATCTATAAAACCCTATGCAGCTCAGGACCACCTCTCCCTGTATGAAATAGCGCAGACCCTGTGGTCTTCATCAGAGATCCTTCTCCATGCACCTTACTTGAGTGAGATACAGAGGGAGCCACATGAAACAAGACGTTTTCAGAAGTGGTCTCCCATACGTGTAATGCTCTCCACAGGGAAAAGTGCCTGGCACCATCATTATCAGTTTTTAAGTGCCAGCCCAAGATCTTTTCATTCACTCAGGCTTTTGGCAACAAAGCCAGTCACTACAGTGGTGCTTATCTTTCAATGGGGTGCATAGGATTTGCCATTACTGTAGTGTGTTATTGGATGAGCACTTTAGGTACTTTGTATTATATACTGCTTTAAATTTTCTAAGTTAAATTGTTTTTAACTGTTATATTTCATCTTGTTAAGTTGTTTTGAAACTTTTTTCTTTTCTTTTTTGCAAAATGTAACTAACAAATGTAAATAATAATAATAATAATAATAATAATAATGTTACTTTTATTATTTGCAGAAGAATCTTCAAGTAATATATGTACTGGTCCAGGGCAATGACGATACAAATTGCTCTGAAAGCCACATATATTTTTGAACATGTTACCTTCACACCAGATTACCAGGGTACACGTAGTGTGACCTGAAATATAACCAGTTATTTGAAATGAGGTTTATCAGAGCCAACATATATTAGCAAAGCTGTTTGTACTTTCATATACTGGGTTTCGTCACAGATCAGCCTAGATTAGGCTAAGTGAGTAATGTGTAGCAGGTATCTCAGGAACAACATATATTTGTATGATCCCAAAAAAGCTCTAAACTGTGGAGGGAATGATAATTTCCAAACATTACCGTCTCTTCACTTTTGTATTTCAAATATCCAGCCTTGATTCCACAGTTTAACCAGATTTCAAGTCCTCCTATGCTTTTAGCAGTTGGAAAGTGGCTTGAATAAAAGGGAACTTGGGACAATTGTGCAGTCTACAGCGTACAGGAAATAATTTGGGCATGGGGAATAGCTAAGTAGTGAAACAAGGAAATGGAAAATTTGAGGCAGGCTTAGCATAAAAGATTAAGGGCTGAGAACATTTCCACAATCATATGTAGGAATCTGACATTCAATAAATTCAGCTTCCTGAGAATCTACGGTTTTACTTTAAAAGAAGCAAGCCAGTGATGTTCACGTAGGAAATCTTCCATAAGAAAAAAATCCAGCTCTTCAGTTTTCTATGGAAAAAATGGAGCATGAGTTTGGCTCTCCACTTTCCACCTCACCCAGTGGTTAGCAGTTGCCACCAGTGTCCCCATATCCTGAAACCAATCCTGATGATGATATTATGTAGTATTTGTAAATAAGTTTCAACATGTTTCATGCCCATTATTTCATTGATGGATTACAACAGCAACTCTGTAAGGTAGCTCAGAGACTCAGTTGCCTAGTTACCTAGTGAGTTCACCTAAAGTTACCTAGTGAGGCAACCTTTGAACTGGGTACTCCCTTGCTATAGAAATCCCGTTGTCATGTTTCGTAACTTCTATAGGATAATTAGCAGAGATGATTCTAGCCACAATTAGTAGGGAGTAGCTGTAATTAAATTTCACATGTCTTACTTCAGTATCGACTTAGTTAGCGCTGCACCGTATTAAAAGTGCCTCAGTATATTTGCAACTCCCTCCCCCTTTCTTGTTATACATATGGCCTAAGCTAACTGGAGCCAGCACCATTGTCTCAGTTCGTTCTTTCTTTTTGCTATTGTAAAAAGCAAAAAAGTATGTAGTCTTGTTGGAAAAACACTTGGTAATACGTGAGTTGTACCTGTTGAAATTTTAGAAACTTGATCTTTGGGGTATATCTACACAACAAACAAACCAGTTGTGTAGTGCAATCCTATGCAGGATTATTCAAGTGCCACTGAGTTCATTGGCATTTAGCCTTAGGTAAGTGTGCATAGCATTGTAGCTGGGTGGTCTGGTTTAGCTGGTTTTGACTTCTGTAAGGGGATCCCAGGGAATCTGTTTCCATGAGGGCACTGAGAAATGTTAATAAATTTCTAGTTTCTTAACTCTAGCTTGCTGGCAGGGGATCAGTTTTAAGTGTGGCAGTAAGCAAGTTCAGGTTTCCATGAACTTACATGTATATCCTGGGCTTTTGTAGAAACTTTAAAAAGGGTGACCTAGATTTTTCCCAAGATATATTTGCTTATTTATAACATGATTTTAGTTTCATCAACCATGCATATCACTGAAACCCAGGTCACTCAAAATTCTACCCAGCCTCCATCTTTCTTGCCCACATTGCTTTAAGCATATCTTTGCAGGTTTAGAAGCAGTGGTGTGAGTTTTTTAGATATTTTTTTCTAGGCAAGGGTAACTTGTAATGGAAAAAGTTTCTGATACCCTAGAGAGTGATCAAATTTAGCATGTTTATTGTACTTTTATTTAGTGAATACAGCAAAAGTGTGAAGCTTCCAGACTTGCCTAATACTGTATTTGCAATTGGTATCCATTCATTGTTACTAATAAATGTATAAAATGACATGAGAAAACTGAGCGTAGTTGGACACGTACTCTGGACTTTAGGAAGGCCAATTTCAAAAAGCTGAAGCAGCTACTGGGTGTGATCCCATGGTCAGAAATACTCAATGAGAAGGGAGTCCAAGAAGGATGGAAATTTCTAAAAGGAGAAATATTGAAGGCCCAAATGCAGACAATACCAACAAGAAAGAAAAGTGGGAGGCATCTAAGGAAACTGGTGTGGCTGCATAAGGAGCTTACAGATGAGAGAAGAGTTAAGAAGGGCATGTATAAGAAATGGAAGAAAGGGGAAATCACAAAGGAGGAGTATACATGAGTAGCCAACAGTTGCAGGGGGAAAGTCAGGCTGGCTAAAGCTCAGAATGAGCTCAAGCTTACAAGAGAGGTTAAAAATAATAATAAAGGTTTCTTTGGCTATGTCTGAAGTAAGAGGAAGAACAAGCAAATGGAAGGTCCTCTGCATGGGGAATACAGAGAAATGCAATTGGGTGACCGAGGAAAGGCGGAACTACTCAACACCTACTTTGCCTCTGTTTTCACCCAAAAGGAAAGTGATGCCCAACCTGGTGATAACATAATAAATGATGTAAGGAGGGAGCTGCAGCCCAAGATAGGAAAAGAGGTAGTAAGGGAACACCTAGCTACTTCAAACAAATTCAAATCTCCAGGGCCTGATGAGCTGCATCCAAGGCTACTAAAGGATGTAATTTCAAAGCCTTTGTCTATTATCTTTGAGAATTCTTGGAGAATTCTGTAGGTGAGGTCCCTACAGATTGGAGGCGGGCAAATGTTGTCCCCATCTTCAAAAAGGGGGGAAAGGAAGACCCAGGTTGACCAACCGGTGAGCTTGACATTGATACCAGGAAAGGTCCTAGAACAGATAATTCAACAGTCGGTCTGTGAGCATTTAGAAAAGGATGCTGTGATTACTAAGACCCAGCATGGGTTTCTCAAAAATAAGTCATGCCAGACCAAACTGATTTCTTTCTTTTTTTTATGGAACTACAAACTTGGTGGATCAGGGAAATGCTGTGGACATACTGTATCTTATTTCAGTAAGGCTTTTGACAAAGTCCCCCATGATATTCTCATGAGGAAGCTGATAAAATGTGAGTTGAATGAGGTAACCGTTAGGTGGATTTGTAGCTGATTAACTGAACAAACCCAAAGAGTACTCATCAATGGTTCCTTGTCATCCTAGAAAAAAGTGACAAGTGGGGTGCTGCAGGGTTCTGTTCTGGGTCAGTTCTTGTTCAATGTCTTTATAAATGAATTGGATGAAGGAATTGAGGGGATGCTCATCAAATTTGCAGATGGCACCAAACTGGGATAGGTAGCTAATGCCACAGGAGACAGAATCAGAATTCAAAATGACTGATTGAAGAACTGGGCACAAGCTAACAAAATGAATTTCAATAGGGACAAATGTAAGGTTCTGCACTTAGGCAGGAAGAACCAGAGGCACAAATATAGGATGGGGAACACCTGGCTTACTAGCAGTATATGTGAAAAGGATCTAGGGGTCTTGGTGGACCACAAGCTTAACATGAGTCAACGGTATGATGCAGCAGCAAAAAAATCTAATGCTATTCTAGGCTGCATCAACAGAGATATAGTGTCCAGATCAAGGGAAGTAATAGTACCACTCTATTCTGCCTTAGTCAGACCACACTTGGAATACTGTGTCCAATTCTGGGGACCACTAAACATCCGACTAAACATTCAAAAAAACTTCCTGACAGTAAGAGCTGTTCAGCAGTGGAACACACTCCCACAAGAGGTGGTGAACTCTCCTCCCTTGGAAGTTTTTAAACAGAGGTTGGATGGCAATCTGTCATGGATGCTTTAGCTAAGGTTTCTGCATTACAGGAGATTGGACTCGATGACCCTTGGGGTCCCTTCCAACTCTTAAGATTCTATGATCCTATGATCTCTAGTTAGCAGGATCAGTGGAACAGGGTGATGGGCATGAGACTCTTAATCTCAGGGTCATGAGTTTCAGCCTGACATTGGGCAAAAGATTCCTGCATGGCCGGGGGCTGGACTAGATGACCCCTGTAGTCTGTCCCAACTCTACAATTCTATGATTCTATAATACTGATACTTCAATCCACCATGGAACTCTCAGGAGGTCTCCCCCCCAAAAAGTTAACCAATAAACTTCAAAATTACCAAGTTGACTTCAGATCTAACCAAAGAGCTTCACCCATCACTGATGTTTCCCAAAAATGTTTATATATTCTAAATGGAAAGTGCAAAAAAAGGAAAAGGGTTGTTGGCATGCCCTAATAGTGCCCAAGCGTCTTTCATTACGATCCGTTGTGTTTTCAGCAGCAGCTTCAGGAATAGGATCATTAATGGGCTGGGGGCCCAAAGCTGAGAAAGGCCAGACACCAGAGATGAGGCGACGGAGTTTGCACGACACTTCCTTATAGCCCCCCCCCCCATTTTTTCTCCTTCTAGACTCCCGACACCTGCCCGTGAAGGGAGGCCATGCTAGGATCCCAAGGGCGCTCTCGAGATACAAGGGCCACCTTTCAGAGGGAGGCGCGCAGCGTCGGCCAAGAGCCCAGCCGGGGGGGGGTGTGTCCTCTCGGTCGGGCGCCCCGCGCTCACCTTTGGCGGTCTCGGTCGGGTAGAGCTTCTGGGCCTTGTTGAGGAAGCGCAGCGCCCGCTCCCGGTTGCCGGCCTCCAGGGCCTCGCGGGCGATCTCGATGCATTTCTCCGCCTCGTCGCGATTCCCTTCCATGGGCCTGTCCTTCCTCCGCCTCCGCCCGCCGCAGCGCAGGGAAAAGGCGCCTGACGGGGCCAGCCGGGCGGGCGGGCGAGCGCCGCCGGGGCGCTGAGGAGGCCGGGGGTGGCGGGGTTGGCGAGAGGGGGGCTCGCCGGGGCCTTGCCGTGGGCCGCCTCACTCCGCGCCTCTGGGGCCGCTGCCGGCGGCGGCGGGCGCCCTCCGCTGCATCGCCTTCCGCTTCTCCAGTCAGCGACGTCGGCTTAAGGCCGCTTGCTCGACGCACCGGAGCCGGCCGGGCCCAGCACCGCCGCCGCTGCTCTCGCTTCCGGGGACAGGCTCCGTGACCGGCCGCGAGGATCGCTTTGCGCAGGCGCGGCCGAAAGGAGCTCTCGCCTCCCAAATGCCACGACGCGAGCGCGGCTTCCCCGAGCGGCCAGTAGGGGACGCAGCCCAACCCCGGCGGCCTCCGGGGGCAACTTTCCCGCCGCCTGCTCACCTCTCAGTACACTTCAGGTTGCTTTTTCTGGGTGTACCTTACAGTATTATATACTTGTGGTGTATTAGACCCAAGCTGTGGTTTTAGGACAAGCTGAATTAGATCTCTCCTTCCTCAAAATGTGAGACGCTAAGAGGACCACATCTAGTTTTTTAGGATGTGCAACAGGGATTGGGAAATCGTGGCCCTCCAGATGTTGGACTCCCAACTCACACCTTTATCTACATGGATTTATTGCTGTTTTTAAATTGCTGTAACCCACCCTGGTGCCTCATGGTGGAGTGTAAGAAATCGCTAATATTCATCATCCTGCACCTGCTTTTCAGCTGCATACAGGCTCAAGCCAAATGTCACTCAAGTGCACTCTTAAATGTTTTATTTTCTGTGCTTTAGTAGGCCCCCAAACTCACATGTAGCTAAACTTGCACAATCCACTCCAGGAGGCAAAGCTTCCCAGAAATACAAATCTCTTAGAAAGACCCTAAGAAATCCAAGAAGTCCAAAACGGACCAGTGGGGGTGTTGGAGGACAGAATGCAATGGTGATGCTGGGACAGGAATCTCCCCTTCCAACATTTACTGTGTTTAGGGTTTCCCAAAGTTGTGTCTCCAGCTCTTTTTGGACGACTTCCATAATCCATAGCTAGCAGGACCAGTGGTCAGGGATGATGGGAACTGTAGTCCAAAAACTACTGGAGACCCCTGGAAGACACAAGAATTGCCTACCCGAGAAGAATGGCAGAGAAAAGTGATAGACTATATGGAACTGGCTGAGATGACCGGCAGAATTCGAGATCAAGAAGAAGGGTCGATGGAAGAAGATTGGAAAAAATTTAAAATATATCTTCAGAAATACTGTAATATAAAAGAATGTTAGAAAAGGTTGGAGAAGAATATTAGACCGTATTGGCAGACAGAGTATAATGGAATAAGTAAATATGAAGTGTAAAATAAAGATAGACGAGAATTAAATACTTTCGAATGTTAAAATAAGTAAATGGAAAGAAGGTTAGAAGGATTTGCTGGAGATACGATCCAAATTAGAATACAAAGCAGAGAAGTGAGAGGAAGTCACGGAAATAAGTAAATGGGAAAACGGTTCTAATGGTTTAATTTGATTTTTTGTTACTTTTGTATTGTGATTTTTTGTCTTTTGTATTTTTCTTTGTACTGTGTGTTTTTTTTGTAGGATGTATGTGATTTGTTTTTCTTTTTTTTGCTTTTTTCTTTTTCTGTAATCTTAAAATTGGAATAAATATTCTTTAAAAAACAAAAAACAAAACTACTGGAGACCCAACTTTGGGAAACCCAGAAGAGTAAGAAGGAAGCACTGCACGGAAACTGCTGTTTCTAATTAGGCGTGTAATTAGAAAAGGTCAGTTTTTTTTCACTTTAAAGAGCCCCATCTCTGGAATAAAAAAATGTAAACGTAAATGTAAAATACTTCTAGTACAGTAGTTGGTTCTCTGGAGATAGTATATGTAAACAATCTGCTTGAAATGTGGCAGGCTGTTCTGCCTACATCATCACCCCTTTTAGAGGCCAATTATTCATTCCTACTTTATGAGACAAAATAAAATCGCCCATTGTTTCCCCCTTACAGCATATGCTGTACATGAACACTTCCCTGTGTTAATTGGCCAACTGCCAATAAATACAAATTACCAAATACCTACCAGTACATGATTAGCAATTACTATTGCTGAACCAATGCTGTCCGATTTTTGCACCTACATTTACCTTAGCTTTCCTTTGGTTACACGTAGACATTGGTCTGTGTTAGGAACTAGTCAGTTCAAATTAATTGCAATTCCACTTCTTAAAGACACGAGTAAAATGATAAAAAATGTAATAATGTAACATTTATTGAACTCATTGACCAGAATGGAATAAGGTCTGTTGTTTCTGCTTGTCAGAATGGTTATTCTTATTTAACTACAAGAGATTGACAGCCACAACAGCGTTTTAATACCTCTAGTTGTTTTTAATTATTTCATAAAATGCTTGTGTCAATCCTCTGTAGTTAAATTTTAACTGAGTAAAGCAACTTCAAGCATAAAAAATGAGCAACAATGTCAAGAATTTCATTAAAATCGAACATATCTAAAACAGTCAAGAACCACGACAACAGCTTCTCTGAAGCCATGTAACACTTAAATAAGGTTAAGACTTCAAATATAGAATTTTGGTTTGTTAGAAAGCTTGATGGGCTCCAGCTTCAAGGTTACAGAAAGGCAAAAAGTGTTTCACAGATGCAGTCCACTGGAAATCCACCAACACTGGACAACTGAGCATTTGAGTCCCAAGTTAATAAGGAATCCCATGTTCCTTCTTTACACTGTTTTCTGCTGTCCTTTCTTTCCAATCAGAGATTTATGGATATGTGGAATTACACCTGTGGGAAGGAAATAAAAAAATGGATTCAAATGATGAAATCACCAACACGATTAGATTATTAAGTACTAAAACAAAGCCACATTACTAACCGTGGTGATGGCAGACTAAGTTACTTAAGTTGTCACTTACCTCCACCAGCAATTGTTGCTTTGATTAGGGAATCCAGTTCTTCATCACCTCTTATTGCAAGCTGCAAGTGACGGGGAGTGATTCGTTTCACCTTCAAGTCTTTGGATGCATTTCCTGCCAATTCAAGAACCTGAAACAGATGTTACTGTTAAGTACACCTTAAAAGTGGGACCTGAGAAAATAGTTTATTATATTCTCAGTCTAACAGCAGTTCTGGGTGCAGGTCAGCCACAGCTTCCTCCAGTTTAGCCCATCTCTTTACAAACACCCCTCCCACTTTCCAAATAACATTTAACATTTCATGGCTCCTAGAGAACAAGCCTCTTGTTTCAAACATGTCCAGTATAGTACTAATCACACAGGGTTAAGAGTATTGGGGAGTGTTAAAGTGCCCTTATGGTAACTGTTGGGCTTCAGTTACCTAATTCAGTAACTGTTGGGCTTCATCTGAAGGCAGCCCTGTTTAGGGAAGCTTTTAATGTTTGATGTATTACAGTATTTTAATTTTTTTTGGAAGCCGCCCAGAGTGGCTGGGGAAGCCCAGCCAGATGGACGGGGTATAAATAGTAATTTATTATTATTATTATTATTATTATTATTATTCAGTTACCTATGTTCCTTAACAGAGGAAATTATAAAGAAAAACAGGAAGCTTCCTTATACAAAGGAAACTACTTGTCTACCTAGCTTAGTGTTGCCTACACCACTCTTTGCCAAACTGGTGTACTCCAGATGTTTTGGAGTGCAACTCCCATCAGTCACCTGTGCTGGATGGGGTTGATATTTGTAATCCAAAGTATCTGGAGAACACTAGGCTGGTGTAGACTCAACACCAATGGGTCTGTGTTTAAGAAGCCTTCCTAATCCTGGCTGGCGACTGAACCCTTCTACATGCAATGCATGGGCTAGTACACAACAATCCCTGATGAGCAAATTTCAGACAAACAAATCATGTTTCCTTGAGCTTAATAGTTTGGGATTTTTCATACATTGTGGACTGCCCCAATCTTTGTTGAAAAAGCAGATTTAAAATGCATTAAATAGCATGTTTTCCAAAAGCATACAGCCTCAGTGGGCTCTTAGTGGTCAGGATTAGTAACTTACAGGATTTTACTACTTTGCACTTTTCAATATGGGGCATTTTATTGGGATAACAAGACAAAAAGTCAAGCTATATTCTATTGTGCATGTGCAATGCAGAGTGGTTTCTCTCCTTTCCAGATTCTTACCTCAGCTGTGAGGTACTCCAAGATAGCAGCACTATACACAGCAGCTGTAGCTCCCACACGTCCATGACTGGTAGTCCTTGATTTTAGATGCCGATGAATACGACCCACTGGAAACTGTACACACAGAAAAGTAGTCAAGGCCCAAATAAATACCAGTAGTTTCATACCCAATCTTAAAAAGCTAAAGGGACCCCTGAACACTAGGTCCAGTCGTGGCCGACTTTGGGGCTGCGGCGCTCATCTCGCTTTATTGGCCGAGGGAGCTGGCGTACAGCTTCCAGGTCATGTCGCCAGCATGACTAAGCCGCTTCTGGCAAACCATAGCAGCGCACGGAAATGCCGTTTACCTTCCCGCCGGAGCGGCACCTATTTATCTGCACTTTGACGTACTTTCGAACTGCTAGGTTGGCAGGAGACCCAATCTTAAAAGCCTCAAAATTAATTTTTAACAGATGACGCTAACACAGATCTCCATATTTTCATGGGAATATCTAGAAGCCAGCCTATCCATTAAGTGTGCAGCAGGGAAGTGAAGCACGGACGCTCCCTCCATTGCAGAATGTGTCAAAACATAATAACCCCCACACATGAGATCATCTACTTTAAACCTCCTGCACATACATACCTGTAAGCCAGCCCTTTGCGAACGGGACACTGTTTTGGTCTTAGTCTTGCCAGAGTCTTTCCCAGCTTTGCCGCCAGCCTAGTGCACAAAAGTGTGGAAGAATCAATACTGGTCGTATCTACCACCCCTAGAACCACGTGCTTTACTTTCCCGGCTGTTGAAAGAGAAATAGGGCGGCAGGGAAATCTCACAGCCAACTACAGTAGCAGCATCCCGCGCATGCGCATATGTGGTCGCGTTTCACGCGTAGCCCGCTCCCCACCCCAGTCGCCGATTCAACGCGTATGCGCCAGTCACCGCAACGAGCCGGCTGCGCAGCGCATGCGCCTCGGAAGGAACCTCATACCCGTCCGCTAAGTCTGTGACCGCGCCCCTTTTCCTCATCTATTTTCCCCTCACAGCTCTCCCTCAACAGGCGGGTATGCTAAAGAGAACCGTTGGTAGCGCGAGAGACGTACGTTCACCTAAGCGGGTCTCGAGTCCCCAACGTTCGCCTCGCGGCGGCAACAACTCCCCCCCCCCCAAGGCTGAGGCGCGCGCTCGTGCCTACTGCGAGCAAGCCCGCCTCCCTCTCCTCAGCCACCCTTTTCCCCTCGTCCGCGGCTCTACACACCATCTCGAACGAGTACTGCTTCTCCTCCTGGAAGGCGCTTCACAGACGCTGAAGGGAGCTCAATGGACGCCTTTCTTCGGCGGCGGCTTCCAATTCAAAACTGCGTCCACTCCCGCCTTCCACGATCCCTTTATACCCGACTCCAACGTCCTCGCATCCGGGAACCCGGATCGCGAAGCCGGCCAATCGCGGCGAAGGGTCGGGCGCCTCTGCGCTCCGGGAGGGCCAATGGGAAAGTGGGGCGGGAACCAGGCCGCTTGTTCGGAGCACCTCGTGTCGAGCCGCCCATTCGAACTGCGCCCGCATTGAGAGCGGCTAGCCTGTTGAAACGCTGTTGGTCGTCTGAGGCGGGAGGAGGTGGCCGAGGCCCCGCGGGGCGAGTGGTCTCGCCTTCGCCCAGGGCTTGGGTTCTTTCCTTTAGCCCCACCCCACGGGAACAGGGTGGGAACCAGTCGAAAGAGGTTTCCTGTTGGTGATTTTAAAGCCACCGTTCAGCCTAACGACACCTTTTGTGTTTTTAAAAGCACCCAAGGATCCTCAGCCAAAGGGCGGTATAGAAAGTTAATAAACAAACGGGAAAGATGCAATTTGAGCTTTTCAGGCAAGTGGCACAAAAGCTGGGTTTCATGGACAGATGGGTTAGAAACCATAATTAGCATTTTTTAAAAAAGTTAGAGCTTTTAATGAAGGTTGGTACATGCTTTTTAAATAATAATAATAACAATAACCACAAAATAGGCCCAACAGAACCCCCAACAACAACAGCAAAGTATGCCCAGCAGAAACGCATGCACACACTGAGATTCTCTTTCCCTGGGAAATTTTCTGTGCAATGCCACAGTTTTTAGATGGAGAAAATTAAGGGAGTAGGTGTTCCATAGTGGGATCAGCCCCTTTTGCAACTTGTATGCTCAAACAGTTTGTTGAAATCTGCATTCTAGGTTGCTACCAGAACTGCAAACCTGACCTCTCTTTTCTTTCTAGGATCATGATGAAATATTGGAAGCTTCCTTATACTGAGTCTGTTCGTTGCTTCTCTCTTCCTCAGTGCTGTCCACACTTAAGATAACCATGCTGGAGCCTTCCAGATGATGCTGGATTGCAGCTCCCATCAGCTCCAGCCAGCATGGCTAATGGTCAAGAATGATGATCCACAATATCTGGAGGATACCGCGTTAGCTATCCCCAGTAGGCATTGGCTAGCGGTCGTATTCCTGGCCCACCTGTGGATGCCAGAAATTGAATCTGGGATCTTCAGCATGCAAATCAGATGCTCTATCACTGAGCCATGGACAGTCAGCCAGGAAGACATGGAGGGCCTTGAGTTCCTCACCTGCGTACACCGTCATGTGGATTCTCCAGTAAAGCCTGAACTGAATTTTTTTCCAGTGCACTAAAATGAATTTGCATCTAATTTGTCATGATATATAGGTCAAATCAGGTAGGATTTCTTTTCATACTGCATCATGGTGTGGTACGCTGGTTTGACAACAACTGATAGGAAGTACCTACAGAGGGTGGTGAATACAGCACAATATATTATGAGCTGTCCTGTGAATCCGCTGGATGAAATAGCAGAAGAATGTTTTCTCAGGAGAGAGGAAAATTCTCAGGGATGATTCACACCCTGGCCAGCACTTTCTTGATCTCCTGCCCTCAGGCAGAAGATACAGAAGCATGATTAGTCGCACCAACAGGGTAAAGAACAGCTTCTATCAGTGAGCTGTTAGGCTGCTGAATGAAAAGATAACAACGGGGCAACTGACTTTCGGGTTTGGTGGGTGTGCGTCAGTAAAGGAGGGGAATTAAGACTAAGCTGAGTGGGAGGTGCTCGTGTAAAGTATTTCAATTTATAAAATTATGAATTGCATGGATGAAGTGGATATAAAAACTTGAGTGCATTTGTGAAGTGAGCACAGTAATCAGTGAGCCATTCATGGTTTTCTTCCAGTGTCTTTCCAATACTGTGGGTCAAACCTGCAGCACTTAAAACATAAGGAGTCACAAAATGGGGGTGGTGGCCCTTGTGCAATCCAATTGTGTGACATAGTCCAGTAATTAGAAACTGTTGGCATATTTCTGTTGGCATCTGCTTGAACAGCCCATGCCAAATATCCACCCAAAGAGTACTTAACTTAGAGCAACTTTCAGTTTATACGGAAAAGGAGAGCTTCTCATGAATCTGCCTTGTCTTCTCTCTTCCTCCTACAAAGGCGTTAGCTCAGAGCTATAAGCTTTCTTAATACCCAACTTTCAAGGTCACAATTACAAATGAAGATTGTGACATGATTCCAGCTCCGATGGTTTCCAATGTTCATTTATGTGCAAGCCCCTTGAATACAGTGGCACCTACTTTTGAGTAAACACAGAGTTGGACAACAAACGTTTTCTATACCCTTTGTGAATCACACATCAGTTTCTCTGGAGAAGGAGGAAAAATGAGTGGATGCTAGCCATATATATTACCTTCAGTGTTGGTGGCAGTATGTCTCTAAATACCTATTGCTGAGAAACACAAGTAGGGAGAGAGGACTGTAATGCTCAGCTCTGCTTGCGGGCTTATTTTTATTTATTTATTTAGAGCATTTGTACCCCACTCTTCAACCAAAACAGTTCCCAGAGTGGCTTACATATAATCAAAACAGTCACATAATGTTTGGTTCACCACTGTGTGAACAGGATGCCGGACTTAGATGTTTTGTCTAGTCCAGCTTTGCTTTTCCTAGCTTCTTAAGTAGGACACTGCACATGGGTAGCTTTCTTTATCTTGAGTTTACACATTTCACTTAATCCAAGGTCACTCACTTACTCCAAAGTCAAATTCTTCCGTACTGAATGGGTCTTAGTATTGCAGCTTTCTAGTAACTGCACACTAGCCCTACAATTTTTTCACGTAGTCCACTTTAACACACACAACCTTCATCTTGTCTCAGCTACTGTATGTTCTTTTTTTGTTTTTTACTAGAACACAAAGGTAATTTATGAACACTGAGGTTAGAATGTATTCCAGCAATGTCCTGCCTTTTCCTGCACAACCTTCAGGACCCCTTTCTTCCTTTACATCTAGTTACCTTACAGTGCCAAACTGCATATTTCTGAAAGGAGAGCCAAGTTGCCGAGTTGTTTAGAGAAAGCTGGAGTCAAGAGAGGATGACCAAATTAATCTCAAATCTAGATAAATTAAATTGGCTTTTCTTACATCCAGCCAGAAACAGCTCTTTAAATTGGGTCTGCACGCTAGACCCAACCTAATTAGCTACTCATAGTCACCCACTAGGCATGTGATTTCCCCCAAGGAAAATAACTTGATGAACAGGGAATTTTATCAATTAACATGAGAACAATGGAAGTAGTAGGTATAAGGTGTGGGCCCACCCAACTGGTAACAGCAGTTAAGAGTCAAAGGAGGTTGGTTTCAGATTTCTGTTTGAGGCATGGTGGGCATATGGAAAATCACAGAGAGGCATTTGGAATAAAATAGTCTGCACAGAAATCCTATTTTTTTTTCCAGGCTTGCAGCACACCAAGCTTTCCATTCAACTGGAATTGTGAACATAACAGTTAAATAATGCTGGCAATCTATATAGAGTCGTATAACAGCACGGGGAACATTTACAGCCTAGCAGGCTGGCTCCTCAACCACCACGCCCACCCGTAGGCCACTTTGACTGATGGGCAGGGTTGCCTGATCTCATTACTGTTGGTTCAAGGAAAAATAAATTCCTGGACACCCAGATCAAAGTTTGAGGCAAGTACTCTTTAGTGAGAGAATCTCAGCAGAGGCTTAAAATGACAAAATATGCAGCAATGTGAAGTGTGGAAATATAGACTGTTAGACCTTTAAAATATGCCCTTTAAAGTTTCTTCCAGAATCCTCCTCTTCCCCTAGCATAGAAAAAGACTACACATTTGGTAAGTTAAAAATGGTTTCCTTACAAACTCTCCAAAGATCAGGTTCATGTGTTTACCCATTTAGCATTTAGAACAAGTTGCACAGACAGTAAAACTTGACTTGCTTACAGCAGTGAAAGTTCCTGAGTTGTTGGTCTAGGAACTCAACAGTGGCTTGTAAGAGCCATACAGTCTGAGCTGCAGCAACCAATAGATTTGGTGGCTTTACCAAAAGAATAGCACACACCAATAACTACATTTAGAAAGGGCAAGATTAGATGCAGATGCACAAAGCATTTTTTAAAAAATCAAGACACATTGCACTCTGCTCTGCTCCCCCTTTCTTTCTGCCCACGGGGGCCCTGCCCTGGCGTGTCACACAGGGCTGGGCCACAGCAGTGGGAGCCTTTCCTCCTTACCTGCTCTCCAGCAGTTGCTATGAGCTGCCCAAGGGAGGAGACTGGCAGCAATAGCCATGGAGAGGCCATGGAGAAGCAACAAGATACTCCCTTGCATTTGCCACTGTCACCACCACAGTTACTCAGGACATGTGCCGGTGGCAGCACTGGTGACATTCCAGGATCAAATCTGAAACCGGGGTGGCTTTTGTAATTCTGGGAATGTCCCAGGAAAAAAGGGACACTTGGAGGTTATATGATGGGCAATTGAAAAATCTCTGTTCTTATTTCTTATGGCTCTTTATCTTTGAACCAGACAGGATGCCTTGAAATAGAGAACTGTCCTCTGACAGCCCTTCAAAACAGATAACTGTCCTTTAGGATGCATGTCCACTCTGCCACACATGGAGCTCCTTATCTGGGTGTAGAATTTCCCAAGTGTGCTGTTTTAGTCAGCTGATTGTCTCTGGAAATGCTAGCTAAAATGGATTCCATTTTCTTTAAAACACTCTGGAAATTGTAGCAATAAAAAGCTAATATGGCCACACGATGGCAGCATGGTATAAGGATGGCTCTTTATCACTGCTTCTAACATGGCCACTCAATCATCAGAGGGCAAAATATAGGCTACAATCCACCCATCAATTTCCAGTGGGCCAGCCCAGTGCAGAGTGATGCGTTAGAGTGGGCGTAATTTGCTGACTGGTATTACTTCTGTCAGCAGTTGAGCTGCAGCATATTGAATGATGATGATGATGATGATAAACAGTAGAATGAGTGCACAAATTGGTAGATAAGAACTGCAGACAAGTAGATTTGTATAATATTATTACTATTATTCATTAAATTTGTATACCACCCTTCATCCGTAGATCTCAGGGAGGTTCACAACATAAAAACACAAGATTAAAAAAGACACCGGAGGCGATGGCAGATGGAGCCAACTGATTCTGTTTGGTTTATCGACATTCGATGGGCAATTGGTCCGACTCTACTTAAAGCAGCTTTCTACGTTCCTCTCTTTTCCTCTGAAGGATCATAAAACCATAGAATTGTAGATTTGGAAGGGACCACGAGGGTCATCTAGTCCAACCCCCTGCAATGCAGGGATCTTTTGCCCAATGTGGAGCTCAAGCCCACAACCCTAACATTAAGAGTCTCATGCTCTACCGACTGAGCTATCCCAGCAAAAACAGATTCTTTTTACATGTAATAAAATTATTAGGAACATAGTTTTTTGCTCCAGTTTTGTTAGCAGCGAGATCTCCATTGCTAACAAGAAACTCAGAATTATATATGAAACCTATATGTTAAGAGGATGCGGGTGGCGCTGTGGGTTAAACCACAGAGCCCAGGACTTGCCGATCAGAAGGTTGGCGGTTCGAATCCCCACGACGGGGTGAGCTCCCATTGCTCGGTCCCTGCTCCTGCCAACCTAGCAGTTCGAAAGTACATCAAAGTGCGAGTAGATAAATAGGTACCGCTCTGGTGGGAAGGTAAACGGCGTTTCCGTGCGCTGCTCTGGTTTGCCAGAAGAGGCTTAGTCATGCTGGCCACATGACCTGGAAGCTGTATGCCGGCTCCCTCGGCCAATAAAGCAAGATGAGCGCCACAACCCCAGAGTCGGCCACGACTGGACCTAATGGTCAGGGGTCCCTTTACCTTTACCTATATGTTGAGAAATGAGCTGAAAACATAGGGGTCAAAAATGCTTTTTAAAAAATGTTCATAGCTGATGGGGGCGCATAATGGCCACTCAAATCAGAGAGAAGCCAAGAAGCTTAACATGAACTTTTTTGTTTTTGAAATATGAGCTGTTGGGAAGCTCCCTAAAGGAAAAGTCACCATTCCCCTCTTTCTGTTCAGGTGGGATTGCTGGCTTATCCCCCACATCACTATATGTTGTTGAAAGCTGCATCTGTTGAATTTCTGTCTACCATGCAGCCAAAGCAAGGAAGCCTTGCTGGGGAAGAAAAAACAATGAACCCATACAAAAGGAAAACTGTCCCCCCCTTTTTTTGCTTCCACGAGCAGTGCATATTTTTCTTTTTCTTGCTGCCCATAAATCAGAGGTAGAAGCCTCACTGAGCACCTGCCCGCTGACGGGAAGATCTGGGCTTGAGCGCAAACTGTGAATGGGATCCGGAGGAGGGGAATGAAGCAGGCTGTTCTTCGCTGGAGTAAAAAACTGGCTAGCAAGAAGCATGCGAGAGGAAGCAGGGGCATGAAAGCGGCTACAATGCAGAGGAAAGCGACAAGAAGGAGCCAGGCAGGTCCTGAGGAGATCTGGGAGGCTCCTCTTCATCAGAGGATTAAGAAAACCTCTCTTTCTGAGTGGAGCAGATGGGAGGTGAGTGACCAGGGGGACTTGGGGCTGTGGTTCACTTTCCAGGTCATCTCTGCTCAAAGGCAGAAAGGATAGCCATGATTATTATTTGTCACAGGTGGCAGGGATGCATCAAAGGATGCATAAGTGGGACCTGCAACAAATTGTTGCAGCATGGACCTGTTCAAGATTCCCCCCCCCCCAGGCCAGCCAGCTATGCCCTGTCCCAGGACACTCCATTCCATTTCACCTCCCCCAACCCTGTTTTCTCTCCCCCTGCCCACCCCAGCAGTCAATATTCCATGCCAAATGGGTACACTCAGTCTTCGTTGGACTGCTTTTGGTTTTTCTTCCCTCTCCCTTTAAGGGGTTTATATTTGTGAATATTTTTTTGAACTTCTGCAAATCTCTGGGTTCCCCCGATCCTGCTTCCTCCTTTCCCTTATGTAGGAATGTTGCCATTTTGGCTGCATAAGGATTCACACGGTGAATGAGTTTAGTGTTAGTACATTGGATGAGAGCAACAGACACGCTGTATCCCTGCCGGTACGCTGCTATTACACTATGAATTTTAGACAGTAAAGCAACACGAGGCAGGGATCTGTCTTCTTATTGTTCCGCTGTAAGTGCCCAGCACAATGAACGTATCAGTAGTAGTAATGCAACCAACAACAGCAGTAAAGATGGTGGTGATGACGCCAGCCACTGTGTAGCTGAGAAACTCCAGAGTCCAACCCTTCTTGTTCATAGAAATACAGCGGTACCTCGGGTTACATACGCTTCAGGTTACAGACTCCGCTAACCCAGAAATAGTACCTCGGGTTAAGAACTTTGCTTCAGGATGAGAACAGAAATTGTGCTCTGGCGGCGTGGCAGCAGCGGGAGGCCCCATTAGCTAAAGTGGTGCTTCAGGTTAAGAACAGTATCAGGTTAAGAACGGACCTCCCGAACGAATTAAGTACTTAACCTAAGGTACCACTGTACTGCCAGTCCATCTAAACTGCCTAGACAATTTGATGCCACCCAGATGTTTTGGTCTACAACTGCCGCCAACCCCAGCCAGTATGGCCAATGGTCAGGGATGATGGGAGTTGTAGTCCATATTTGGAGGGGCACCATGTTGGCTACACTAAATGGCAGAGGCTTTTCAGAATCTCGGACAGGAGGTTTTCCCAGCCCTTACCTGCACATGCCGGGAATTGAACCTTGCAAAGCCTGTGCTCCTCAACTGAGCTACGGTCTTTCTTCTTCAACGGAATGGTTTTCTGCCATCTTGCTCCAGGCTAGTGCAAGGCTAATTCCACAGAATATTTCACCAATAATCCATAACAGTAGACAAATGCTGGATTAGATGGGCCAATAGTCTAAGTTGGTTTAAGGCAGATTCCCATGTCCCCCCTCAACTTTCTCATTGCTGATACATATCTCTGTTTTCCTGTTTCTGCTTCTTATTTATTTTTCAAATGCTGCAAATAGAACCTGCCTCCTGACAACAAAGATAACAAAAAGAAAAATAGCTCTCATTAAGCTAAATCCAGAATGAACACATTTAAAGGCATCAAGCACTTTTAGTCAGGAAATCAACAGGTAGAGGAGAAACAATCATTGCATATCAAGGCTGCAAGGGTCCTATTTTCTAAAGCCTCATTCAAAGTGGTACCCACCTTTTGCTTCGGACAGGGTGATCCATTACCCTTTGTAACAGCTTGTCATTGAAAACATCTGTGTGCCCTATGATAAAAGCACATTTGTCATGTTTAAAGGACTTAGATGGGCTTTATCTAAGAAGGAGCTGTCTAACAGCAATTTGAGTCCATTGTGAAAGGCAGAGATTTCTTAGGTTTGATACTGTTTGCTTTGCATAAATTGTCAGCCACGGCCTGCAAATATGCTGATAAGCTGGCCAATCAGTGACCTAGACAAAAGAAGTCTGTGCTCCTCATTCATCACATAGAAGTGGGGAATTGCAATAACCCAACTAAAGAGATGTCCATCCATCCAGGCATATTAGAAAACCATTTATTAAGAACTGACACCATTTAATAAGAACTAAAAAGTCCACAATAACTAGTGTTCTAGCCGTGGCAGTATCTCCTAAATTGCTTTCTTAAAATGAATTCCATTGTCCTAAATGATCTCTTATTGGATGCAACAAGTAGCGGCTCTGGATGAAGATCACAATCCCATTGGCATCCAAAGAAGCAGCCAGCCATTGCAGAATCATAGAATTGTATGGTTGGAAGGAACCATGAAGGGTCATCTAGTCCAACCCACTGCAATACAAGAATCGCTTTGCACAACCCTGAGATTAAGAGTCTCATGCTCTCCCGACTGAGCTCTCCCGCAGAAGGTCTTTAGAATACCATGGAGATCCAAATTCATATACAGTACAGTGAATCATACCATTTTGCTTCCAGGCTCAAATCAAAATGCTGGTCTTAATCTTCAAAGCCCTAAATGGCTGGGGACCTTCTCCTGCATGGAGCTGTCCAAAATTTAACCATCTGTTTCAAAGTGCCCTTCCAGGTGGAATTAGGTGGGTAATAACTGCTCATTGAGAGCCCCTGTTATCCCGTTTGTGGACTGTTTTGTTAGTAGTTTCGGGTGTCAGAGTTTGTGAGTGTCACGCACTCATAATTTCTAGATTTAGTAAGTGTTAGAATGTAATCAATGCCTGGAGAGTTAAACTGGAAAGCACACTCTTAATAGCCACACTTAGCTTCCCATGTCCAGCCTGATAATGGCCAAGTCATTAAGCAAACAAAGACAGGGTGGTGACCCATCAGGAAAGCCATCAAGAAGGCAAACACTTTCTGCTGGATGTGGAGGGATAGGGGTAGGGGTAGGGGTTGAGATCAGGGTTAGCTAGAAAAACAAAGGCCAGCAGTGGAGCTTCAGGTTAGCAGCTTTTGCTTGATGTGAGCTGGAGGAAAATCATTTCAGTTTGTTAAAGTCGGAAAGCTGGTGAGAGGGCCACAGCCACATTTTGGAGCATGTTTGATTTCTGTTTGTTTCTGAGGCTTGCAGCAACAGAAGAGCCAGAACCCTCTTAGAGTGTAATCCTGGGAGCCCGTCCATCATAGGTTCAGGTTGTATATAAGTGTAAGTAAACCATATATCATAAAGACATCACTGTCTCCGCTGTGCCTCATTCCCAAAGGAAACACAAACCCTGGACCCCTGGAATCTCGCAACACTCAGAGATTGGGGTGGCATGTAACAGTATGTTTTTAAAGAAGAAACAAAGAGGGGAGGAAACGGGCGCCACACACCCCATACTTTTAAAGCACCCAAGGAATGCTGGGAACTGTAGCTTGCACCTCACAAACCTATGATTTCTAGCACCTATTGCAAGCTACAGTTTACAGGATTTTTTTGGGGGGGGTTAAAATAGATGGTGTGTGTGTACACACCCAGGATAGAAAAAAGAGTGAAAGGAGAATGACTGTGAGACAGAGGGAGGAAGAGAAACATTTCTACGGTAACAAGCTTGGGGATTAGTGGTCTTTGGTCTAAAAAGACTGCTAGCAAACCTCTCAGTCCTTTCTTCTTTCTTTACAGCTGGTGGCTATCATTGGTTCCATCTTTCTTCTGCTTTACATCATGCTGTGTTATGAGAACTTCCATTTCCATGTGGCTCACATGTATGCTCATCTAGGGTACCCCAGTGCCCAGCACATTGTGGGACAGAGATACCTAAAAGGTAATATTTAACTTTGGTCGTCATCAGATGACTTCTGTGCCCAATTAGCAACCATTGAATTTGTGAAAAGGACATTAGTGCAGGATCCTGCCCTGTTCACACAGATCTAGGCTACCCATGACTGAACTTGAACTTCTTTTTTTGCACCAAATAGAGAACAAGAATGTTGGAAAACATTAGATAAAATAATCTGGGCTTCTTGATTAGATGGAAGATCTCTGAGTGTACATGGACCCTTTCACATATTAGGCTGAATGTGTGGGCTTGCGGCAGCTGTTACACAGCAGGATCACAGGTACATCGTGGTTCCACTTCTGTATTTTCAGCTACTGTGATAGCTGCCCTCAATATTTTGGATAATAGGGGTAGGCTTTTCACCTAACAGGCCTGTATTGTGAGGTTGTCAACTGATGGTCTGGCTTGTTGCTTTAATGGCAACTTGTGGAAATGAGTTTTTCAAAGCATGGAGATCTTCAGTATCACCACCATCTGCTAAGGTCTGTAAACCAAGCTGCCCTTAACATTGCAGTAGCAAGGACCAGTAAAAAAAAGTTAGCAACCATATTGATTGTGACTTTGCCTCATTGCTAGGAGCTGGTGTGGAAAAGAATGAAGAGAAAGCCATGCAGTGGTTCAGGTGAGAAGTGGGTAATGATTCGTTCTATTGTTGTTGTTGGCATCCGTCTGTCTCAGGAGACAATGGAGGAGTGAACCTTTGGGGCTGAAGTCAAACTGTTGGAAGTTTGCAGTGCCTGCTGTGGCTATTTATTAAAAATAAATAAATCCATAGCTGTCCAGAGTTCCAGGGCCAATGGGAGGAACAGCAAAGTAACCATTTCCTGGTATTTTGGTTTCTAAAACTCCCCTGTTTATGAAAAGGCATAGTGAGGGATCTGAGGGCTCAATTCCAACAACAAACAGCCATCTCCATTGGGATGGCCAAAAGCAAAGGGCTCCTGAGCATTTAACAGTTCTTTGTAGATACTGTAACGTGGGCAAGTGCATCTCGTGAAGAAGAAGTAAGAATTAAATGGCTGTACCTGTCGATATTGCAATTAGGTAATTTTAGCCTCTGGGTCTGGGATAGCTATCCATGGGATAGCTCAGTTGGTAGAGTATGAGATCCTTAACCTCAGGGTCATGGGTTCAAGCCCCACCTTGAGCAAAGGATTCCTGCATTGCAGTGGGTTGAACTAGATGGCCCTTGTGCCTTCCAACTCTACAATCCTATGATTCTATGAAATAGTCTTAAGAGGGTTTCCCTCACATACATTTTGATGTGTCAAGCCATTCCTGCATTTGGAGGTCCTCCTGCTCAATCCTGGACATCTGCCCCAAAGCCCTGCCTTGATGGTACCACTAACACCTGCTGAATTTAAGAACATAAGAAGAGCTCAGCTGGATCAGACCAAAGGCCCATTTTGCCTCACACTCTGTTCTAACAGTGGTCAACCAGATGGCCTTGGAAAGCCTGCAAACTGAACCTGAGTGCAACAGCACTTTCCTCACCTGCGACTCCCAGAATCTGGGATTCAAAGGCATATGGGCAGTAGAACATAGCCAACGTGTCTAGTAGCCATGGATAGTAGCTAAATCCCTTTGTCCTTGATCGCCCTTCCTCTGCTAAATCCCGCAGCTGGGCATGCTCAACCTATCTCTTCAACATGCTTCCTAAATGTTTCCCCATTAAGCACCTTGATATGAAGAAGTAATCGATGAGAATAATTTATTCTAGCTGTAGTAATTGAGCTTATAGCCATCTGGAGAGCGGTTTGAAGGTCCCACGCCAGCAGGAAGTCCAGATGGGACAGGGTTTTTTTTAGGGTGGCCAGTTATGCATTGCCAAAACAGATTTGTATAGCCAAAAAGAAGAGGACAAAGGAGGATGTCAGTTTGCACATGGTAATTTATAAGTATAGACGCAAATTTAGAAATAATTACCATGATTTAAATAAAAATACAATACATCTCATTACAGTACAGAAGACACTAGGTGACCTGTGTGCCTGCTCAGTCTGTTGACCAGGCACTCCTGACTGTGGATGGGCAACTTCAAGGCTTCTACTCTCTTATTTTATGGTTCCTTAACTGCAAACTAGACTTGGACTGGACAGTCCTCAAATTGAGGATGCCTTCAAATAAAGGGCTGTTCTCTATCAGGCCTTCAAAATGGAGGTCTAGTCTCTGTAAAATAGGACACATGGTTACCATAAGATTTCTTTGGACTTATACTGCCTGCACTTAATTTACCTCATATTCTGGTGTGGGATCTTTGGGCCTAGCTAGGTATGGATGCGTAACACACATATGTTTAAAGCCCCCACTCCACCCCCAAGAATTCTGGGACCTATAGTTGGTTAAGGGTGTGGGGATTCTAGTTCTGAGAGGGGTAAACTACAGTTCCCAGAATTCTCCCCCAATCTCCCTCACAAGTTGGTGTCTCTGGTGTGGCAGTAAAGGTGTTTCAAGCATGCCCCTGTTTCATCAGTGAAATGTTGGAAGGTGCCACATTCTGCAAGTTTGTCTGACCTGGTCACCATGTTGACCCTAATTTGGAGCCTCTTTCCTTCGTCTTCTCTCTTTCAGACAAGCAGCAGAGCAAGGCCACCCACACTCCTCTTTCAACCTGGCTGTGGGGAAACTGAAGAACATGACGACTATCCTTGAAGAAGGGTATGTTTCATTTCTTTCTGCTGCTAGGGCAATAGTCAATCAAAGTTCTCCCTTCTCCCTTTGAGAGCCAGTGTAGTGTAGTGGTTAAGAGCGGTAGTCTCGTAATCTGGGGAACTGGGTTCGCGTCTCCGCTCCTCCACATGCAGCTGCTGGGTGACCTTGGGCCAGTCACACTTCTTTGAAGTCTCTCAGCCCCACTCACCTCACAGAGTGTTTGTTGTGGAGGAGGAAGGGAAAGGAGAATGTTAGCCGCTTTGAGACTCCTTAAAGGGAGTGAAAGGCAGGATATCAAATCCAAACTCTTCTTCTTCTTCTTCTCCTCCATGAACATGTTCTTGACCAACCCTCCTTGTCTTTCCCTGACTAGAAAGTTTCCTTAAATTCTCATTGCGCTTCTTCTGTCTGGATACAGGACAGAATGGGGGCGTGAGTATGCATAACCTATAGCACAAAGATTACAATTCATGTACTTTTGCCTCTGTCCACTGCCAGCATGTGTCCCCCAGAAAACTAGCCAGATGGGAATGCAGCCCTTGTGCTGAACAAGGTTCCTTGTCTCTCTTTGAAGTGCTGTTCAGTCCAAGTGTGACTTAAAGATAAAGAACCCCAAGAAGGGAGAGCAGGGCTGGATCTAGACACATCAAAGAAGTGTTTCAATTAAACACGTTGTAAATTTAAGGTAGGGTTGCCCTATGTCCTCTTTTCCCAGGACTCATCCTCTTTTTCATGATGAGAGTCGTCACAGAGATCCATAATTAAAAGCAGAAGTTGGCAAAGGTCTCCTCTTTTTTGCTCTTCAAAATATGGCAACCCTAACGGGGAAACCCGGTAGGGAAAGACGGGACTTCACAGCGCCATCTGGTGTCACGGTGTTATATTGCATGTACAACACTTTTTGTTTACCAATCTAGCTGAGTCCCAGGAGGGGGCTTCAAGTTGCCCATCAACAAGTAGCTCCCCACAGCAGACTAAGCAGGCATGCACCTACTGTTACTTTGGTCACAGTCTTGCTCTTCACTCTGGTGAGGTGTATTATTATTTTTGTTTAAATTCTGCTCGTTATTTCTTAATTTGCATTGTATACAATAGCATGTGCAAATGTTATGCAGATCTGCACCAGTCTTTACCTTATTTTTTCGGCATCGGATACACCAATGGGCACCACTACAAACGTATAGATAATGAAGAAGTGACGCAAGCACAAAAATACCTATTCCCACACTGTTCTCATTTCTCCTCTCTGTCTGCCTGTTTATCTGATAATGATTGCATATCTTCCAGGGATGTAGAAAAGCTTCTGAATGTAGCTGCTGGTCATGGACTCCAAGAGGCCCAAAATCTCCTGGATAACATCCGAAACAGGCATCTACCCTGAGAGACCAGGGCTATTGAACAACATGGTTTCCGAGTATATTTTGTGTGTTTTGGTTCTGCTTGTATTTCTGATGCTTGGTTTTGGAAACACTGCTGCTTCCTTATATGTGGAGTTAATTGGCATGATTTACCGTATGATGCAGGAAGAAATACCCCATTCATGACAACACGGTGTACCAGACAGCGTGGTTTAGGATTTAAGGCCATCACTGGAGCAGTAGAATTTATTTATGCATTGTAATAGTCGGCTGTGACAGAAGTGAACATGGCGCATCTTTACCATGCAATCTATAATGGAAATTACCTTCATTTAGCATTCACTATGGCTTAACAGCTGCACTTTTCACAATACAAGGAGCTGGGGGAACTAATTACATTGAACAGAAGCTGCCTCCACATTCATGATACCCTCATTTTCAAGCTACCAGGGGAATAATTATATTGAGCAGAAGGCACAGTTCCTAGGCCTAGATATATATGATTTTTGTGGGTAATAAAGTCTTGTTTCATGAGAAATTTCAGTCTGTGCTCTCTCATATATTTGTCACGACTGCTCGGTAAAAAATATTTATGACGCAACATGGGGCATTTTACAAGCATGATCTGGAAGGTTGTTGCTACAGTCAAATTTGGGGTTTACAAGAGCACCTGGGAATAGGAACAGGATCACAAGGCACATGACAGAGTCCAGTTATGAAGAGTTGCCATTTTAATCAAAACTATAAGAGTTTAAGTAATGAAAGTCTGGCTCTTGGAGCTTTTTGTTGTTTCCTTTCATTTGTCATATCCTTTCACGTCCTTTCTAGAACAGTGGTTCCCTATTAGCTAAGTACTGTGCACCCCATGTTTTTTCAACAGCCAATCCATGGACCCCCTACTTTTGAAAATGTTGATATCTTGGTGGTAGTTTTTGTTATGTGAATGGTGCCACATACTCTCCAACATGTCCCAGAGCAAAACCAGCTGTGCATCTTCCAGGCTGTGCTCCTGTGCATTTTTGGGCACCGTGCTCTCATGTGAGATGTGTGTCTGTCTGCCATATCACACATTTTGGGGAACTGTGGTCTTGTTCAACAGCATGGACCCCCAGAAGAGGATGTCTTGGACAGTTGACGGGTATGTGCCATGGACACCCTGTTTGGTGCTGCAAGGTATTGGAGGATATGATAAAGAGATACTTGGAAAAATAGACACTCTGCTACTGAACTGTGGCTCTTCCCCTTAAGGTTTATAGAGCTGTTGTTGTTGATCTTATCATCGTCAATTGAGTTTGTATACCGCCCTAGACCCGCAGGTCTCAGGGTGGTTTACAACATAAAACCACAACATAAAAAATCCAGCCATGTTAGTCCATTCAGGGGGGAATCCCCCCAAGCAAAACAGTGAGCTTACTCAAAAGTTTGACCACTATTTTTCAACCCTTTCCTTCGTCCTCCTAATAAAAGGATTCCTCTTTTGCTGCTTTTGATTTTAAGATGGTGAGTTTTGGTTTAAGGATGCGACATTCCATGTAGTGAACACTAGGAGTCCCCAAAGCACTGTCTGAACTTTTCACAGGGACACAGTGCTTCGTGTAGGTCACAGCATATAGACAGTATATATAACGCAGTGCTTCTCAAATGGTGGGCCTTGGGCCCCGTTTTAGGTGGTCACTGGCGCCCCAACCTGCCCACTGCCTCCTCACTTGCCTGCCCCACCCTTATTTCGATTTAATATTTGATATGACATTTTTATTCGGCTTTTCCAATAACCAACATTGAGCTCAAATCGGCTCACAATAATCATATAAAGGCATCAAAAGACAACAAACATTACAACCGCTATACTATCAAACACAAGAACATGCAAATAAAGCAAACAACAATGAATTCATCAGTTTAATAAGATCATAGTCATTCGAAATATCAGACAATATCAAAAATCGTTCATGAAAGTGATCAATACAATTCAAGATGATTAATACCCTGGAACCAAGGGACTCCTTGCTGAGTAAAGTTGGTTGGGAGACAGAGAAATATGGTGAGGGTTGGGTAGAGGAGAGGAAGAACTCCCTCCTCTGAGCAGAAGGGCTGGAGGAGGTGATGAAGGAAATCAGAAAGTGAGATAAGAGCTAATAGGTATTGGGCAATAATTTTTTTTACAACAAACAAGCAAACTGGGAATAGAAAGGAAGGTCAGAGCAGAAAAGCGTTGCAGGAGGAATGTAAAAGGACCAAAGAGGAGGTGTGAAATAAACTGGAGTGCTGGAGGGATAAGGGCTGAGTGTGAAGGGAGACTGGAGGAAGAAATTATAGGAGATGGGATAAAAAAACTTTGAGAGGCATGTAGGAAGAGTTCTAGAGCCTATGGGTCAACTCATTCTGCCTAAAATGAGAGCACTGAGTCACTATAATTCCAGAGCCTTTGCCTGCACTTAGCTGACGGAAAGGGAGAACTATGAAACTCCTTGCTACAGGGAAAATGTTGTGGGAAAGAATTTAGTCATTTCCTTAGATGGTTTAGATACCAGTAGAAAATGTTGCTAGTGATTGCCATCTTACTATGCCGCACTCTGCCTCCATCTGCCACCATTTTGGGACTAGCTCTGTCCCTACACAACCATATTGTGACTGATGGACCTCAGAACTTTTCAGTCGTCTCAAGTGGGTCCTGCAGGTAAGTAAGTCTGAGAACCCCTGCACTTAGTCTGAACTAAAGCTGGGCAGAAATTTGCCCCTCTTTCTACCAGTGTCATTTGTTTCCTGTGAAAGCGAGGGGTGATTTTGGAGACCCGGTCTTCCAGCTAACGGTAGTAGTTCTTAACTTAATAGTCTATGTGAAAGAAAAGAAGTTCAAGCATTGTATGTGAGCCCTTTGGGGAGATCAAAGTGGCACCGTCTCCACTTACAGCCAACTCAGAAGCAATTCCCATTGAGTTCAATGGGGCTTACTCTGAGGTATGTGTAGGATTGTGGCCCCACGTCTCCTCATCCTGACAGTATACAACTATATCAAGTCCAAGGTTGGAGAAATCCTGCTTTAATGAGATTAGTCTCCTGGGTATTTTCTGCCTAGGGCAGATAAAATGAGCTCGATAACTCTGGAAGGAGCAGACTGTTGACTCTTCCAGCCCTCTGTGATTGCTTTTCCTGTCCTCTCAGGGTTACTGAGTGGAACAATTAAAAGTGTATTGTACTGGATTGGCCCGGGAGAATGAAGCAGTACAGAGGCCAATTCTTTGGCTGAATTCCTAATACCAATCAGCAACCGATGCCATTAATTTAAGTGAAAACCACGGCCAAATGTGAATATCAAATAGGCTTGAGGTTGGTAGACGAGGTTAGAATCTGAAGATTTGAAGTTAACCGCCGCCACCCCAACCCATTGCCTTCCTGCACATCTTGCAACTCACAAATTTTCTCTAACCTCCAAATCCCTCCCCACCATCCCTCCGGAAATAAGAGATGTCCCTCAATAAGGACCTTTCCTCATCATGGCTCCCATTCCACCCTCTTCTTTACGGCATTCCAGAGGGTCCAGATGCCTTAGAATCATAGATTCATAGAATTGTAAGTTGGAAGGAGCCCCCGGGTCATCTGGTCCAACCCCTTGCAATGCAGGAATCCAAGTAGTCTTTCTACTGTAGTTATCACATTTCCTCCGGACTCAAAGGACAATACCTTGTGCCTGGTGAAATACAGTAAGCCTCCCAGATAGCACGATACTCTTTATTTATTGCCATTTATATATTACATTTATATCCCACCCCCTTTCCTTCAAAGTGGTGTGCAAACACACACACACACACACACACACACACACACACACACACACACAATTTTCACAGGAGTAGAAAAGTTGTAACTGCTACTCACCCGCTGGTGGCAAAGAGGACTTCTGCAGAGCAGTGCCCCAGAGCTTGGTTAGGCTAAGGCAGTAATTTTCCTGCGGAAAGCAGGTAATATGTTTTAATTAACTTCTATTTCGTTTTTGCAAAATAGCTTTCAGGCTGGAGGTGCTGCAATTAAGTGAACATGATCATGGGAATCAAATTCATTAAGGGATGTACCCTATAATTGCCTTTTCCATTTTTCACCATCTGCAGCCCAGAGAGGTGTTTCAGCCCCTTGGTACAGTGGTACCTCGGGTTAAGAACTTAATTGTATTTGCTGCAGGCAAGCTCCTGTAGCCTCAAAACATATGTGACATACAGTTTATGCAACAGGTGAAGATGTTCCTATCATGGAGCCAGTGCCACAAGAGACATGGCACCTACGGCTACCCTACTGCATGTGTCAAGTCACTGGCTGGTGCGCGGGTGAGTAGTTGGAAGCATCACACAATATGGTTTTGCCTTTAGGGACCTCCTCCAGCCCAGATGCTGTTCTGCGAAAACTTTGGCATTGTCCCATGTGTTGCTTCTTGGTCATTAGGGGCCGGCAGGTAAGAGATCCATTTCCAACCCCCTAATAAGAGCTCAGGATGACATTCAGAAGGTGGCAGGCAGTATGATGGGCTCAGGGCCAGTGGGCTCCTTAACCCGCTCACTCAGGTTTCCTGGACTGACCTCCCAGGATGCACTAGTGGGGTGGCAAATCGGCAGAAGTGGAAGGAGAGTGAGGGATAAATGTTGGACGATGGTGAGGGAGGAGCAGTGGGACAGTGATGCCTGTTGGCTGGGATGGTGGTTTGTTGGTAAGGTGGCTGCTTAAGCATCACCAAAAAAGAAGGGCCGAGGTCAGGGGGCACGCTTGCAGGTGCTAATTTATTTGTAGCAATGCAAACTTCAAAATAAGGGCTATAATTTAAATAGAAATCTCATCCTGCAAATAGAAATCTCATCCTGGTGCAGAGGACTGTGACCAGGTTATCTATGTGTCTGCTCCATCTGCTACCCAGATTGTTGGCTTATTGTTGCTGGGCAACTTCAAGGTCCCTGCTCTCCCTCCTTATGGTTCTTTATTTTGTTAAAGCGAAATTGGATTAGACAGGTCTTCAATGGAGGGTTGCACTTAAGCAGACCTTTGGGGGTAGGGCCATAGCTCAGTGGTAGAGCACCTGCCTTGAATACAGAAGGTCACGGGTTTGATCCCCAGTGTCTCCAGGTAGAGCTGGAAGAGAAATCTGCTTGAAACTCTGGAGAGTTGCAGCCAATCAGTGTCAATAATACTGAGCATGGGATCCAACTCCTAAGGACCAAGGTCCATTTGGACCTCTTCTGGGTCCCTCCCTGGTCCCCTGCCCTGGTCCCCTGCCACACACTCTTCAAAGCCCTGCCAGTTCCTGATAATGAGTTTGATTCCTGGGAACTCCCTTTCTTTTGTACCGGACATGATGATTTTGGGGCCAGGTGTGCAAAAAGTTAGTGTCAGAGCAGAAGGTATGAGTTTTGAGCCCCTGCTGGAACCAAACAGACACATCCTGCTTTTCCACTCCGTGCAGTGAACCACTAGATGCGGCTGCTACCAGTACTTTCTGTGACTTCTCTAGTTGTGTGACCTGCGCTGCATTGCAAAAGGGCCCTTCCCTCTCTAAGGGGGTCTTCTGGACCCTTTGTCTCTGAAGGCCTGGGCATGCCTCCTGCCCAGGGAGGGACTGTTTAGGTGCTGTGTTGTGTTGCACAGGCTTTCCTACTTTCCCTCCAAAATTGTGCTTAGGAGCAGCAACAGGGGAATCAAACCTTTACCTGGAGTGATGCCCAAAGACTGGAAGAAGCAGGGCCATTGCTGGCTGTGCCACAGGGACTGATAGACTGGGGTGATGTAGGGTGCTGTGTGTTGCATGCTGGTTGCGTGTTGCAATGCAGAGTTGTGCTCTGGAAACGTATCCTCATTGCTGTGAGTTAATTGGCTACATGGTGGTGTTATTGGCATAGCCCGTGGTGGGCGGTTTGAAGAGTTTTCTGATTTACTGTGTTTTTTCCTCCCTTTCTGTTCTGTGCTGATAGAGAATATGTCAGCCACTTTGCCAGTTGTACACTGCTGACCCCTGCTGAATGCAACCAGCTCAGCAATTCTATGGGACAGCCTTCATCAACCTGGTGCACACCCGCTGTTTTGGACTACAATTCCCATCAGCTCCTAGCTGTAGTTCAAAACCCCTGTAGGGCACCAGCTTGGCAAAGCTGCATTCAGCAATGATAGGTGTCGGATACGCCAAAGAACCGTGAGCTGATTTTGTATTTCCTGGATGCCTTTGGCTGCTCCTCAGGCTAAGGAATAAGTAAAGAAATGGGAAGACAAATTAAAGCAATCGGAAACAGTACCCTCCGAATCATTGAAAGTGAATTGAGTTTGGCCTTAAGGTTGCAAACAAAGCTGCCGAGATGCATTAAAACATTTGTCAGATGAAAACAGGTGATCTTGTTCAGTGAGGGCCAGCTCAAGTAGAACACTTGGTATTCATAGGATGTTGCCTGGAATGACTGCCACAAGCGCACGCACACACACACACAAAAATCCATGTCACACACATAAAAAGGCTTTGGTGGAGCCTTGAGATGCCGCTCCAAAGCTGCTGATACTTCTAAGCTGCATGACAGCTGTGCAGTTGTAGTGAGGCTACTGGCTGGCCAGGACAGCTGCCAGGGCTTGAGTCAGGCAAAGGTCAGCAACAAAAACAACAAATCACCTGAGGCCAGTGAAGTTAAATCTCTAGTCAATGAAACAAACCATAGAACTCCGGCCTAGTGGTCTCAGCAAGTCTTCCAATGAGGTCTTGCCCCAATAAAGCACTTGCGAGGACTGAAGGTCCTTCCCACCCCTCTCTAAGGCTCCTTCTCTCCAGGGTTTTCCCCACACAGTCTCAAACTGTGCCTGTGCACAACTAATTTCTGTTCTGCTCTTTTCATTTCTCTGTGTGTTCCTGAAGACCGGGGGGGGGGGGAGGGAAGGGAGCTGGTCACAGCAGTGGGGGACGACTCCCTGGATTCTTCACCTCACTTCTCTCCAGCCTCTGCTTCAGCCTCCAAATCTGAACTACACTCTGCCACGGACTCCTCCTGCTCACCAAACCCAGTTGCCTCTCTTGCCGCTGACACCACCTCCTCCCAGTCTGCTCCTTCTCTCTCTGAACACTCATCACTGTCCTAGCACCAATCCCCTGGCTCTGAGCCTTCCTCTCCTGGGGGTTCCCTATGGGGTTCCCTGACTAGTGCCTCCCACCACTCCTCTGCAGCCAGCCAGTCCATGACAACAGTTCAGCAAAAAGAATTGTTAGCATGTGCACACCTTCCATGGCCCTCAGAGATGAACCACATGCTGATTCCTCTTTTATTGAGATCGATAAATTTGCATTTAAATGGTTTTGGGGTTTTTAATTTTTTTAAAAAATGTTTTTAGTGTAAGTCGCCCAGAGAACATTAGTTTAAAACAGTTGCCATGAATAAATAAATAAATATACATGGGTTTCAAAACTGCTTACCCTTGGCTGGATTATGCCCAAAATAAATAATATACCAGCATGATTTTTTCCTTTTCTTTTTTGCTGACTACAGTGAGAGCAAGATTGGCATACCAAGCCTGCAAGCAAACAAAATAAATACTCCCCTCACCTTCTCTGCAGAGTTAATGCAGAACAATGACTGCCTGTGTCAGAGGTATTCTGAAGTTGCCAGTGGAGCTAATGAACAAAAACATTGACTAAGTGTCCAAAACCTGTCAGTGCCCTGCACTCTGATGACTCTGGGAATTTTTTTAATGATCTACCGAGAAATGCCACACGAATTACACAACAGAATTATTCTTAAGCACAACACTGAGTACTTAACAAACTTCTAGTTCAGCATGTCCAAAGGCAAATACTCTTTTCCTGGGCATGGGTATCATGGGGCATGAGTACTTCTGGGGAACCAAATCCTATGTCATGACTATGACTAAACTGCTTCTGGCGCAATGGAACACCGTGCTGGAAACCAGAGTGCACAGAAACACCGTTTACCTTTCAACCACAGCAGTACCTATTTATCTACTTGCACCTTGACGTGCTTTCGAACTGCTAGGTTGGCAGGAGCTGGGACAGAGCAATGGGAGCTCACCCTACCGCAGGGATTCGAACCACCGACCTTCTGATCGGCAAGCCCAAGAGGCTTAGTGTTTTGGACCGCAGTGCCACCCGCGTATCTTTGTAGTCCTGCCCTTTGCTGCTAATCTGCCATGCTGAGGGACTAAATGAGACTATCAGCTTGCAAATTTTTAAAATATATTTTTGCAGTGGCGAAGCATGAGGGGCTTGGGACAATTTATCATGTCCCTGTTGCTGAATCTCACACCTCTCAGCACTTCACAGCACCCAATGATGAATGGGTTGTTTACTACTTTCTGCCTTGGTCTCAAGGGAGATGTGGGGTGGGATCCTGCCAGCATTTCTGGAAGTTTTTTTTTTAAGGCAGCATTTTCTTTAGTTTACAAGAAGAGGTTATGAGAAGATTAAAGGGTAGGCCTAAAGCCTGTCACTGTCAATACTTGCTAATTTACAAGGCAGACATTTTGCTTGCTTTCCGGATGATATCATTCCACATTCTTGTCCTTGCATCTAGTATTTAAGATTCAGCAGTGTGTTCATAAATTATCTGAAGTTAGGTGTGAATAGTGAAGAGGCTAAATTTTGCAGGTAAATGAAACACTTCCTTTGCTGCTGCTAATGAATGCCTCTTGTTGTTGTTGTTGTTGTTGCAGCAACAATTTGCAATTTTAATATTGCATGTTGTATTTCTGCTTCTTTTGTCAGCTACTTTGACTTTTCATCTGAACTGAAAAATGTGGTAAAAGTTTTAAAATGGGACATTTAATATGACATTGGTTCAATATTAAGTGGTTTAGAAAAGCAAGCAAGCAAGCAAACAAACAAACAAACAAACAAACACCAAATCATTCGTGTAAGAGCTCCAAAGGATTCTTTCCAAACTGGGAATGTGCAGCTTAATCCCAGTATGCAAAGGCAGAGAGAAAAAGAGCTAAACCCAGTGTTCAAGATATTTTTGGATTTAATCATTCAAAGAAATATATTTGTTTTGTTAAGTGAAAACAAAACTAATGTTGAATCAGGACTAAGCATCATTTTTGTTGCTACAAGCTATGCAAATAGGACATTTAAAATTATAAATGGTTCCAACAAACTGAAATGTTATCCCCCCCTGCAGATGCTTGATTATGCAACTTTATTACTTTTGCACTCTTTTTTTTTAAAAAAATGATGTTAATCTCATCACATTGATTCAGATTAGCGGGGGGGGGGGGGGGAGAATCTGTAGTTAGCCGACATCAAATATTCTGTTTGCTTAGGGTGAAAAAGAACCTAATAGATGTCATGTGGAGCTCGTAATAGTTTGATACACAAAGGCAAAAAAATGCTGTGATTATCCTACACTGCTGCAATTCCTATCAAATAATAAGATTAGGAAAAGCAAATATAACAGTGGTACTGGTTTGGCACTTCTACTTTCCAACATTCCTTTTTAACTCATTGCTTCACAGCTTGGAGGTTTTGCTTTTGTTTTGTTTTGTTTACCTTCTTCCTTGTATGAGGCATATGTAGTATCTACTATTACAGGGGGTGTGTGTATGTGGGGTGTGTGTGTGTGTCAGTCTGGATGATACGCATAGGTCCCTTCCAAATCTATGATTCTGTGCATGTGAGGTTAGAAACTATGAGAAGAAACCAGCCCAACCAGTTCCCTTGTTAAGGTAATGGCCTTGGCTGGCCCGTTAAGTAGTGCCATGTGGATGCCCAAAGAGAGTGTCATGGAGACAAATAAGTGGGCCTTTCTCCACATCATCTCCTGGGTGCCAAGACATCCTAAGATGGGAAACAATAGGCCAAGAGAGAGGGAGAGAGAATTTGTGTGTTTTGACTGATGCAAGAAGCTGGGGACATAGAGGCATGTCTTGCTCTGTGCTGAACCCAAGAGGTGTAGCTTGGGGCTCCCAGGAAACCAAACGAGGAGGGCAAGAGCTGTTGGTGTGCTAATCCTGTGAGTCCCTCCATTTTACACTCAGGTTGTATGCAGTGCTTTTTTTCTGGGGGTACGCAGGGGTACGCATACCCCTAAACATTTTGTGAATCTAAGTTTGGCCTCATTGAGGGGCAGTATTTCAATATGAGTAGGAAAATGAGAGTACCCCTAAACATTTTTTTTAAAAAGCACTGGTTGTATGTATGTGTAAATAAAACCTTATATCCTAAAGACACCACAGTCTCCATTGACCTTCACTGTAAGGAAGCCAAATCATGGGTAAGTGCAGACACCCCTGGAGTCTCTTGCACTCCACAGTGTGTGGTCTAGTCTGTGTCATCATCAGCCATTACTTTGATGTCCAACCTTGATGTCACCCACCATCAAGGGAAGATGCCTCAAAAGTGCTTAACGTCTTGTGAACGACAAGAACAACAACAAGAGCACAGCATTCTGAATACCCAAAGCAAACAAGCTAAAAGCGTTCAGGAACAAGCTAAAATGTCATGTCAACTCTGCAACTGCTTTTCCTTTGAGAAGCAACCTCAGCATGGGTTACTTGAAGTGGAGGGAGTGCTGAACCCTTTCCCTTGGTATCCTGACCTCCCCTGAACTTCTTTCCACCAGCATAGTTCAGAATACTATGTGGAGAAAATGAGCTTGTGGGGTAGGGGGATTTCAGGGGTAAAAACAAAAAAGCAGGTTGGTAAGGAAAAGATGAAGCACCCTTTGTCAGGAGCTTGTCCTACACTTGAGTAGGACCCTGGCAGAGACACATGCCTGACTGGCATGTTCCCTCCCTCCTGGGGATAGACAACAATCCTATGACTGCAGTCACGGAGCAGGAATTCTAACACCCTACTCCCTCAAAATTGCCCTCTGAAGGATGCTTTGCAAGGGAGAAAAACTACATACAGATCTAATTTTATTCAGCCCTGTTAAAGGGTTTTGTTTCAGCCCTTTTACAGGCACTTATATCTGCTTTTGACTTTCATTACTAAAGCTGTGTACACACTATACCTTTGGAGCATATCATTTCCTTCAGAGCAGAGAATTCCAGGCACTGTGGTTTAAGAGCTGCTGGGAATTGTTCTCTCTGTGAGGAGTAAACTACAGTGCTCATAGTCCAGAGGGAATGGCTTTCTGTCTCATGTTGCTGGAATCCAGTGTGACAAACCACAGAATAACTTTAAGGATGGGGAAAAGACAACTGTATAGGAAAGGGGAATAAAGTAAATCAACTTATAAATAAGGTTCAAGCTTCTTCCATGCACAGAAAAGTGTGGGATAGAATTTGATTCATTGCTGCCTAACTATAAAGATGAATGCAACCTCTGAAACTTTGACTGCACAAGAGCCTGTCAGAAATGGTTGAAGCAACAACCCTTCTGTTCCCCAATTAATCCTCGAGTTGTGCTTTTCACATCCGCATCTTCTTGCAAGTGTGCAGCCTTTTAAGTTTCACTGAATTCTTCTTCTGGGGAAGATTGTGCTCTAGGAAAACAAAATAAATGACACCATCAATGGGGAGTTGGGTCGGTTGATTTCAGTTGGAGAAGGGCTGCCTCGTTGGTGGGAAAGTCGCTTCTGCAAGTAAACATCTTTTGAAAACCAAAATAAGCATGAGGGGGATGTATTAAGAGTCTTAAGAATCCAAGTGCTTATTTTGGAAAGGACTAGATGCGAGGGTGTTCTACACAGACAGAATGTTCAAGCATGTCTCAGCAAACAGGAAGCTCTTCGTTCAGATCTCTGTGTACCCTGAGATGTGTACGCCTTATTCCAGGCCTAGGAAGCTTGTTTAGCCCAAAGTGCTTAAGAGCAAACTTAAGAACAAGCCTTGCCTGTCAAGGAAACTTCCATGCAACGTAAAAGCTCACAAGATACTTGTTACTCAGGCCCCAACCACCCTCGCTCCATGTTAATGTTTCCAGTGTACTGATGACCCTCACCTTGCAATATCACTCCTACAAGTATGCAGTTCTTCCCAGAGTTGCTTTCAGAACAGTGTAATTCCATTAGAAGGTGGAGGACCTTGAGCAGTGAAGACTGGGCCATTACAGCAAATGGAGCACTGCTCCACCAACCTCGGTCTTGATTCCTCCAAAGCCACCTGTGCTTTCTTCATAGAATCATAGCATCAGAGAACTGTAGAGTTGGAAGGGACCTCAAGGTTAATCTAGTCCAACCCCCTGCAATGCAGGAATCTCAGCTAAAGCATCCAGGACAGATGGCCATCTATCCTCAGCTTAAAAACCTCTAATGAAGCAGAGTCCACAACCTCCCGAAGGAGACCATTACATTGTTGAACAGCTCTTACTGTCTGTCAGTCCTTACTTACAACCAGTCCAGAGGCTGGTTCTGGCTGTGTGCTTCCTTCTCCTTAGGCTCAGCGTTGCTCTTGTTAATAGGAACAAAGCTAAAACTAGTTGGCTGTACCTGTCTTCACCAGCCATTAAGCACATTGCCTTCCACACCACCAGTCCCAATGGGACCCAAGTTGGTTTTAAGTGTCTGATTTCTTCCTCTGCCTGTAAGACAGAGTTGTTCCGCCTGGCCTCTGGCTTGGAAGCAACTTGATCCCCTCCCCCTCTTTCCTTTTTCCTTCTGTGATGGAACTCCTATTTGGGGACTTCCCTGGCTTTTTTTTTGGCCCACGTAGGACCAGTCTGAATAGTTATCCTTGGTGAAGATTTGACATTTTCATCCCCCAAAAGTTTTTTATTTGAGTTTGTATTGAAATGAGGCTGCATTTTAATGTTGTATTTTAATCTTGTTTTTAAGTTGTATCTTAATCAACTGTTTTATATCTGACGTTAGCTGCCCTGAGCCCGGTCTTGGCTGGGGAGGGCGGGGTATAAATAAAATTTATTATTATTATTATTATTATTATTATTATTATTATTATTAGTGTAAGTATTGTTTGCAGAGTACAGGTTGGAAAGCACATTAGCTTCTGAGAAAACTGTGGTTGGCATATGTATATACAATTTTACTAAGCTTTCTCTGCTGCTACTCGGACAGAACTACATTAGCAGCTATTCTGCAAGTTCCAAAGCCACATCACAGAGTTTCTGAGAAATCCTCTCAATTTCCAAAGCAGTTTGTCATATAAGGCTCCCATCCTCAAGCCCCAAGACCACGGTGGATGCAGAACAAATTGCATGATTTTTCCAGAGTCTAACAACACATTGGAGAGGAGAATTAAGTATCAATGTATGCTTAAGAAGCTTAACTTTGGCATAAGCTGTGGTTTTGAAGTTTCTATTATGTGCAAAAGAACGTATGGCCACTCAGTGAAAATTTGCATTGTATGTTTTAATGAATGGGAGCTCACTCTGTACCTAGAAATACACCTCGTCAAACACAGGCTTGTTAGGTTTATTTCCATCAATTTGAAGAATTCAGATCTCCCTCTATTTTAAGAATTGAATGGGGCATTTCTGATGTGGAATTTCTGCTCTCCTCTTTCCCACCTCCATGCTGCTTTAAAAAAGGTGAAGCATATGTAAGAACAGCCAGCAGGACCATGCCAATGGCCCATCTAGTCCAGCATCCTGTTCTCACAGTGGCCAACCAGATGTCTATGGGAAACCAAGGAGCAGAACATGAGCACAAGAGAAGTCTCTCCTCCCATGATTTTCCAGGAACTGGTATTCGGAAGCTTTGCTGCCTCCATATGTGGAGACAGAGAATAGCCACCATGCCTTGTAGCTGTCAGTTTGCATTTCTTGGTGCAGAAAGTATTGATCTGATGTGTAGAGATCTTTCCTATTCTACTTAATTCAAGAGGGTTCTGAAAGCAGGAGGTTAATGATGTTTGGGTTATACCTCCAGAGAAGCTGAGTACAGCTGGTTTAAACTGGTTCTCTTATTTCTTCTGTCAAAGCCATACTGACTGTAAAAGTAGGGCCAGAAGGAGTCTGGGTTTCCCTTTCCCTTTCTATCTCTTTTCCTTCTGGTGTGGTTTTCTGTACATAGTATGCTATAATGTTAAGGTTTAGACTTACTACAAGTTATAGTAAGTTTAAGTTAATTACGCTGCAACTGGATTTCTTATGGACAGTGCCAATCCTGAATGTATTGGATTTGTGACCATTATGCTCATTTGCCTTCAGTAGCAGTAAAGCTCTGCTGGAAGAAATACAATTGCCTCTTATCTATTTTGGGGGAATCCTGGAACATGTTAAAGTTTTTACTCTGCCAACTATACATTGGAATCTACTCTGGATCAATATTGAGTAGAATTTCATCGCAGTAGCCACTGATAGTCCTCTCCTCCATAAATTTGTCTAATCCTCTTTTAATAATAATAATAAATTTTATTTATATCCTGCCCTCCCCACCCAAGTTGGTGGCCATCACTGTCTCTGCGGGAGCGAATTCCATAGTTCATCTGCCCTAAGTTCAGCTTCATTGAATGTCCACCATTTCTAGTGTTATGAGAAAAACTTTTTTGCAACGCTACATCCCCTTCTTCATTTTGGTGGCCTTTTCCTGAACTGACAGGCCAGGCACCTTAATTCTTCTTGAGACTAAAGAAAAATGAAAACCCGAGATCTGAGAATTAAAAATATACCTTTATTCATAAGACAGACTTACATCTCCTTCCATAGGAACCAACACTTTAAGATCAATGCTAAGACCATAACAACAAGGCAGTGCAAGAACCAAAAACATTTTGCAACTTCAAAACAATTCTGGCATCTGCATCAGTGCAACATCCACCCATACAAATGGCGGCCATTTAACACCAGAAGGTTAACAGCGGTTTTAAGTGCATTGTGAGTTTAAAATGCTCCTAATAGCAACAAGACAGAAGTTCAGTAGCTGGTATAGAGAAATTGGCCAATTTTTATTCCAATGTCAGCAATTTAAAATTTAGTGTTCTGTAACTTATCAGGCAACAGAGACACCCCTTTCTCTGCAATACTCCCACCCCCCTGCCCAGGTCTATTAGTCTTTCTGAAATATATGCCAAGTACATAGAAGTTTGCCCCCCCAATAATAGCATTTGAAGGAAATCAGGAGTGTGACCTGTAGAAGCTTCCAAGATCACCCCTTTTTCATTGCATATTAGCAAAATGCTAAACTAGTACAGACGCAGAAACAAAAATTCCTGTGGCATTAGACAATGCTGCCTACTATTCCCACTACAACAGTCTTTTCTCAATATCCCTGTTTCTCAATGTTTATGTATGGTAGGATCTGGTCCCTCATGAAGTGCTTTTTCCAAAGAAAGCCACGAATCCTGGTATGTTAACATGGCCCATCTGCATGAACAGCGCTTAAATCTCAGCGCTGTGAGCTATAGGAGTGTAAAGCCAAGAGGCATTAAAAAAAGACATTCAGTGCAATACCTTTGCTTGACGCAAGCAGCTAATTTGATTCAATGGGGGCTAAAAGAGTGGCAAACCTCACCCCCTCCACCCTCAATGTGATTACTGGGTTTCTGAAAGGACAGTAATGGGCAACTTAATAGCTGAAGCCCCGGCAAGAGACGAAAGCTGAAGGTTTGGCATGACCAAGAGGAAAGACCTCCATCCTAGCACTTTCAAGGGAAAGAAGCCTTTCATAGCCTTACAATTAATAAGGAACATTTTCCTAATGCTGCTGAAGTAGGGGCACATCCTTGACAAAAGGATTATGGGGACGAGGATACCAAGAACCACACATATATGTTGCTCTTTGGATCATAGATGGCTCATGTCTGGAGTACGCATGGGTGGCAAGTCAGCAAAAATAAAAAATAAAATCTTCAGCTGGCCTCTCTTGCCCCCATGGCCATGTAGATTTCCCCTTAGCTAAGCCAAGAAACTCTAAGAGGGAAACAACAGTGAACATCAGATTGGGTACTCCTTTTTAAAATATCCTGTTGAAGGAGAAGCAAAGTGTTCCTCCTAGTCTGTGGTAAAGCAGCCTTCTGAACCCGTCAACTATGAATCGTTTGTGGGACCATAATAAAGTCAACCGGCTGTGGTTTTCAGATGATCAAGTGGTCACTTGAAAATCAGCAATCGTTTTAGACATCACCACCACTGAAGGGAAGCCCAAGAAGTGGTTGTGCGAGTTGTTCTTTCACGCCAAAAATGGAAGGCAACTGTGTACTAGAGCAATCGTCCCCCTCTTTTTTCAGAAATAGATGTGAGGTAGGTCAGGAGTATCGATGGACACCACCAGCACTTCTTCAATGAGACAGAGTAAAAATTAAATGCAGCATTTAGTGCCAAAAGCCATCTTCAGGAGTTCTAGAGAATTCAAAATACACCACGTTTCAATTGAAATACAGTGCAGTTGTTACTGACACTTTAGGGAAACTATTTTAACACAAACCCTTCCATCTGGAGGATCCCGTAAGGACAGAACTATGTTAATTTTTGTTAGTCCCCCACAAAATACTAGCAGGATGAAATTGAAGCTACTGTTGCTTTGCCACCCAAGCCTTAACTTTTCATTCCAGGATGGGGAATCTGTAGCACATCAGTTGTCGTTGGATTCCAGTTTTCATCAGCCTCAACCAGAATGGCCAATGACCCGGGATGATGGGCGTTGTAGCCCAGGAACAGCTGAAGAACAGGTTCCCCACGAAGACTTTAGTTCCACCTCCTTCCAATACTTTCTACCTCTGTGTTTGGTGCTACAAACAACATTTGGAAGCATGGTTCCTATTAACACAGTGGTTGCTGAACTACAAGTCCCATCAGCCCCAGCCAGCATGGCCAATGCATAGCTGTCATCTTACAGATTTGAAAATAAGGGACCAGCAGCCTCGAAAATAAGGGATCAGCAGCCAAAATAAGGGATTTTCCGGGCACAGGTATGTTCAAATTCTGAGCCCTTCCGAGCCAAAGGCAGAAAGCCCAGCCAGCAGCCAAAGGAAGCCTCATCAATAAGGGACAGCAGTGGGACATGGCGCTGGGATAAGAGACTGTCCTGCCAAATAAGGGACTCTTGACAACTATGGGCCAATGTCCAGGGATGGTGACCTTTGTAGTTCAGTAACACCCGGAGACCCAAAGGTTCCCAACTCCTGTATTTATGTATTTATGTCAAAAGGACACTGCCGGCTATTTTTGTTCTTTGAAGGCTATAAAGGATAACTTCCCCTAGTTCTTCTTAAAGAAGCTGAATTTAGAGAACTTAGTTTTTTTCTTAAGAAAAAAAAGGAAGGTGGGAGTCAAGAATGCCAAATTGTTAACAGGGAACATTTAGTATAGCGGCTAGCAATAAGCAGCAATCATGTTGGCTATTGGGACTTTCTGGTGCTGATCAAGGAATGTTTCAAGTATCAATAGCTGTGTTCCTTCTCATTCTACCCAGTACCAAGTAGCTTTACCGAGGTTTAGCTAGCCTAAATAGAGGGCATCTGTGCAAAAGTCGCAATCTTCTTAAAAAATAAAAATAAAATCATATTTCTAAGGGTTTCAGGCTCAGTTATTTAAACTGTTAAAAACAGGTGTTTGTGTGTGTGTGTGTGTGTGTTTTAGCATTCTTCAACAACTGTTTCAATCAAGGAATACAATTTTTTCTTAATCAGACGAAACCCAGGACTCAGGATCAGAGTACGTTTGATGCTGGAAGTGAAGCAAGCTCTGGGGAAGAAATCCCTGAAACTCGGCCACGAACAGCAGTCCTGTTTGAACACCAGCGTCAGTTCAAAAGTAGGAACGACAGTGGGGTCATAGACAATCTTATCCAGCTTTTTACACACATTTCCTGTTTCTAAGTTGACGTGAATGACACACCCCCTTAAACCACAAGGCTCGGTGGAAGAGAGACGCAAGACGTCTTGGGCTATCCTCCTGGTTAGCTTCTCAGGGACTAGAACCTTAGAGCAACGCAGTTTAGTCTGTTTTGATTTAGACAGGCAGCTCTCCAGCATTCTAACTAGACTCTGACATTTCTGTTCCTCAAACACCATCTCATTAAAGTTGGGCTCGGGCACTACATAATCCCAGTAGTCAAAATCTGTAAAGGATAGGAGAAGAGGAAAGAGATTCTCAGTTACCAGGCAAGATGCCAGTCAGCCACCACCTGCAGTATCAAATAATTACAGCAAGCCAAGATTTCAGATATTATATATAGTGTGTTTGTTGTCCCCCCAAGCTAATGTAAAATTGCAGCTAGGTCTACTGTATCTGCTGCCAACAAGCAACCCCACTTTGACTTCATGCAGAAATAACAGTTTATTAAATTGCCTTTCCCTTGACAAAGTGGTTACAACAGAAGAGTCATGACGTGCACTGCAATCAGGATATGGCCCTTTTGCCACTAACAAACATTTGATTATTTACTAAAAAGGAACAGAAGAAGATGTTAGTAGAAAAACACACAGAGATGACATACAAGACTCCTAAGCAAGTGACCCAATCATGCTTTTCTTAATAGATTACATTTGGGCAGGCTGTCAGAAGTTGAGCCAAATTGCTTCACACACACACACACACACACACACACACACACACACGAAGCAACTTGTTTACCTCTCTAAATTAAACATTGGATGAAAGTTAGGCACAATTTTCACCACATCTTTTTATGTGGCAAAGAGAATAGCAAGCAAAACTGTAAGGCTGCAATCAATTTGAATTAATGTTTTGCTGAGTCCAGTTGGATGAAAAGTTATTTCTCACCTATAGGAATGCTTCAGTTTCGCTAAAAGGTATATGTCAATACATTGCTAATATTTATGTGCAAATTTAGGGATGCAAGCTTCAGTTGCTCTATCCGGTCACTAAGCTGGTGAGGAGGAGGTTTAGTTTTCATCAGTAAACATGCTTGTTTTTCTTGGGGCTATTTTGATTGTGGCAGGATAGTTTTAAAAGGGGATGGAACTTTTAGAAATATTTCAGGTAGAGTTGCAAGAAAGGGCTGAGTGGTAGCTCTTTTACTTCCAATAAGTGCTTAGCCTGCAGATGTCAAATATAACGCAGATACTAATCATCTGGAAACTATTGAATTAGTTTGATAGCTCTGCTAAAATCACAACCTTATTCATTTTGACTTTCATATAAGGATGCATAGTGATAAAAATAGTGCTTAGAAAATGAATTTCATGGCATTATTATTTTGGTAAGCAATAACTTCTCCAGTCCTTGGGTTAAAGGTTCTCTGCAAAATTTTGTGTAGTTTTCTTTTGGTAGGACACATTCCAAGCACCAGTCCTACCAGCTGGTGTAAAAAAAAAAAAAGGTATGATTTTTCACCATAGTTGGTGAAAACAGCCATGTTGCTGGTTTGCAAAATGGCACCTATTGGTTGTGGTTAGTTCAGAACAGTTTATATGGTGAACTCTCCTGGATCAGTCCAATGGTCCATGTAGTACAGCAACATGTCTCCTACAGTGGACAATCAGATGCTTTGGGAAGTCTACAAACAAGCTGGGTGGATCAGGGGAATGCTGTGGTCATAGTGTATCTTGAATTCAGTAAGGCTTTTGACAAAGTCTTCTGCAAATTCTTGCAGAGAATCTGGTAAAATGTGGGGTGAGTAAGGTGGATTTGTAGCTGGTTGACTGACCAAAGTGCTCACTAATAGTTCCTCATCATTCTGGAAAAAGAGGCAAGTGGGGTGCCGCAGGGTCCTGTCTTGGGCCTGTTGTTGTTCAAAGTCTTCATAAATGACTTGGATGAAGGAAATGAGGGGATGCTCATCAAATGTGCAGGTGCCAAAGTGCCGCAGAAGACAGAACTGGCATTAAAGATGACCTTAACAGATTGAAGACCTGGGCCCCAACTAACAAAATGAATTTCAACAGGGAGAAATATAAGGTTCTGCACTTATGCAGGAAGAACCAGATGTACAAATATAAGATTCAGGACACCAGGCTTACCAGTAATACATGTGAGAAGGATTGAGGGGCCTTAGTAGACCACAAGCTTAACATGAGTCAACAGTGTGATGCAGCAGCAAAAAGGGCAATGCTATTCTAGGATGCATCAACAGAAGCATGGTGTGCCAATCAAGGAAAGTAACAGTACCACTTTATACTGCCTTGGTCAGACCACACCTGGAGTAATGTGTCTAGTTCTAGTTTAAGAAGGATATTGACAAGCTGGAATGTGCATAGAGGAGGGCACCAAGGTCTGGACCCCAAGATTGGTTGAAGGAGCTAGGTATGTTTAGCCTGTAAAAGAAGAGACTGAAAGGAGATAGGATAGTCAACTTCAAACATCTCAAAGGTTGTCACATGGAAGATGGAGCAAGCTTGTTTTCTCCTGCTCCGGAGGGTAGGACCTGAACCAATGAATTCAAATTGCAAGAAAAGAGATTCTGACTAAACACCAGGAAGAAGCTTCTGATGGTAAGAGCTCTTTGACAGTGGAACAGACTCCTTAGAAAGGTGGTGGACTCTCCTTCCTTGGAGGTTTTTAAGCAGAGGTTGGATGACCATCTGTCTGTCTTTAGCTGAGATTCCTGCATTGCAGAGGATTGTACTAAATGATCCTCAGGGTCCCTTTCAACTCTACAGTTTTATTATTCTAAGCAGTACATGAGCACAATGAGTCACTAGTATTGCTCCTCAGCCAGTGACTATTATTCAGGGGATATAACCATCATTGTAGTAGTCCCAGATAGCCTTATTCTCCATGAATTTATCAAATTCCATTTCACGGCCATCTAAATTGGTGGTGACCACCCCCACATCTTGTGCTAGCAAATTCCATTGTGTAACTATGCCCTGGGAGGGGGGAGAGAAGTACTTCTTGTCTGTTTCAGATTCATGCGATGACCCGAAGTTCTAGCATTAAGAGAGAAAAATCACTAAAGGCATTGAAAGCAACCTACTGAAACAAAATTAACAAGTCCACCAGTCCTTTGTGGATACAATTTTTCTTCAGAGCTGTCACAAAGCTATAGCTCAGTGGTAGAACATCTGTTTTGCATACAGAAGGCCACAGGTTTGAGCCCCAGCAACTCCAGATAGGACATCTCCAGTCAGTGTAGATAATACTGAACTAGCTGGACCAATGACCTCAGTATAAGGAAGCTTCCCATGTTCCTGTCAGGAAAACAGTATGCTTTTCCCATGAAGATGTGATTGTCTCCAACTACTTTGTTTGGCGTGATAATTTGGGCACAGCACACACAGCAAAAAGTTGCTAAGAGTGTTGCGCAATGTTTTGCAAAGGCCTAACAATAGTACACTGTTCAGTTCTTGCAGGCTAAATGGGGGGGGGGGGGATTTGCTGCTTAACATGCAGTTGAATGACCAAACCTCAGGGCTGCTTCTTGAAACGAAGTCTGAGATCCATTCCACACATGCTACACACATTTTGCATAACTTTCCATGATGCATCCACAAACAATTTTAATTCGGTGTGAATCTCATCATCATTTTGATCTTTCTGGAAGTTGAAATTGGGTGGGTGGGGGGAGTGTTATATCCTCCAGCTGTTCACACTAGCTGACACCAAGTTCAATTTTAGGGTCGTTCATAAACCAACAAACTGCATGAATTATTATTATTATTATTTTTGCAGAAGACTTGTAGCCTAAGAACCTCTCTGTGTGTATACATGCAAGCCCCAAAACACAATTGCAGATCTTGCATCACAGCCTAATGGAACCTGGGTTTTATTCAGTTAGTAAGTGTGGCATTAACCACCAGCATCTTAACCCACTCACCAGTCACGGGTGCAGGCTGAAAGCGTTGCTGTATCAGTTCAGAGATACATGCAGAATTTTTAATGTTTAAGCTGCTGGTTGCCACCATTCTGAAGAACAATTGTCCTTGCCACCAAGAGGCGGGCTTACCTCTCTGGGTTAACTGAAGAAAAAAAAGCAAATATAGTTTATTGACAAGCCGTTAGACAATAAAAAGATAGCAGCACACAATTCTCAAAACTGGAAAAGCTGCAGCAGGAGAAATTTGATATGCATCAGACCACAAGGTATTGAAGAAAACAATCTATGTGTTATTTACAATCCATTAGCAGTTTAAAGTCTGGGGGAGGGGGGGGAAGAGAGTGAAATCAAACACTTATTTTTTAAAGAAAACTAGAGAATTTATTTGTTTTTGTTTTTTTAAAACGGGGGGAGCAGTTCACAGGCAGATTGCAGAACAGTAAACACAATCCATTAATTCAGCCCCCAAGACAAACAGCTCCTCTTACCTGCTGAAAATGTCAAGTAAAGTGCACGGAAATTTTAATTTTCTAGAAAAGCAACTTCAGCTTTCATTGGAAATCACAGTTTTTAAATAAAAAGTGTAAAAAAAGAAAGAAAAGAAACACGACAACAACCCACCTAGGTATACAAAAAATAATAAATAAGTGCAAACTTCCACCCGTTGTTCCACACCACCCACCCTTCCTCTCTCTCTCGTACTACGAGAGCGACTTATATATACAGATATCTATATATATATATCTGCTACCCGCGCCCAATGCTCCACCTCCTCCGCAGGTCTTTGAGGGCAGCGGCAAACTTTGCAGGCGAATCTCTCTCGCCATTGGCGGCTGCGTGAAGGTGAGTTGCGCGTCGGGGGAAGAGGAGCAAACAGCCTCTTAACTCAGTTCACCCATGTGAAAGAAGAGATGCGGAGCGGCGGGGGGGGGGGGGAGGGAGGCGAGCTGATCACTGGATTGGTCAGATTGAATGTCAGAAAGACTTGGGAGAGAGGAAAACATCGGTCACCTGACCTCTCTCTCTCTGTCTCTCTCTCACACATCCATCCTTTTCTGTCAATGTTTGACTCACAGCAGTGTTTTGATCCGCTTCTCTCCTTGCTTTTTTCTGCTCCCCTGGTTGCGCACGTGTGCGTGTGAATGGGTGACGTGATGGGAGCAAGTGGCCGTTTCCCCGCCTCTGCCCACCCCCCGCTCCTGAAGGCCCACTTGTTTATTAGTTTATTGACGGCTACATTTAAAGTATGTATGGAAGTGAGAGCTGGACCATAAAGAAGGCTGATCGCGGAAGAATTGATTCTTTTGAATTATGGTGCTGGAGGAGACTCTTGAGAGTTCCATGGACTGCGAGAAGGTCAAACCTATCCATTCTTAAGGAAATCAGCCCTGAGTGCTCACTGGAAGGACAGATCGTGAAGCTGAGGCTCCAATACTTTGGCCACCTCATGAGAAGAGAAGACTCCCTGGAGAAGACCCTGATGTTGGGAAAGATGGAGGGCACAAGGAGAAGGGGACGACAGAGGATGAGATGGTTGGACGGTGTTCTCGAAGCTACCAGCATGAGTCTGACCAAACTGCGGGAGGCAGTGGAAGACAGGAGTGCCTGGCGTGCTCTGGTCCATGGGGTCACGAAGAGTCGGACATGACTAAATGACTAAACAACAACAACAACATTTAAAGCCCACCAAATCGCTCAAAGGGGCACACGTGGTTTACACACCCAGCCCCCACAATCCCCTCCTAATCCTCATCACAACCCAGTGAGGTAGTTCACGCTGAGAGCTGGTGACTGCCCCCCCCAAGTGAGCTTCGTGGCCAAATGGGGATTTGAACCCAGGTCCTAGCCTGGCACACTAACTCAGGGGTAAAGACACATTTCCTTCTGGACAATGGGATAGCTCAGTCAGAAGCACATGAGACTCTTAATCTCAGGGACATAGGTACAAGCAGCAGGGTTCCTTCCTTCCTTACTTTTTTGAAATAATTTTTATTTGTTTTTACAAGAATAAAATTATAACAATACAAAATACATACTGTATCCTTATTTAGAGATTCCTCCAAATCTCTCAACTTCCCACCTTCCCCGCCATGGGTCCTATTGTCAACCTTTTCAACTGCATATTATTCTGTAATCCATATTTTATATCACTTCATTTTGTCCACAGTGTTTGCTACGTTACAAAGTATTATTGCAATCCTTCTAATGTTTTCATCTGCTTATAGTGGTCTCTCAGATAGGTTACAATCCCCCCCCCCATTCTTTATTAAAGTTTTGGTCTTCTTAGTTCCTGAGCTTTCCAGTCAGTTTTGCCATTTTGGCATGTCCCAACAGCTTAGTTTGCCATTCTTCTCTGGTAGACATTGTCTTCTTTCCACCTCTGGGCTAATAACATCTGTGCGGCTGTCGTTGTGTACATAAAAAGTATTTTCTGCTCCTTTGGAATATTGGTACTTACAATTCCTAATAGAAAAGTTTCTGGGTTTTTTTTAAAATAAATGTTATTTTAAACATTTTTTTCAATTCATTATATATCATTTCCCAGAATGCTTTTATTACCTTACATGTCCACCACATATGATAAAAGGTGCCTTCTTTTTCTTTATCTTTCCAGCAGGTATTTGTACTTGAAACAGGGTTCCTTTCAACTCTATGATTCTAACATGACATTTTCCATCTTGCAACTCTATTCTGATTGCAATCTGCAAAATACGTGTGCACAATGGTATCCGGAACCCGCCTGCTCTGAGGAGACAGAATTATGCACAGGAGTGATATAATAAGGAAAAATGCAGTATTTAAATGCTACAGGCTTTACTAAAAAAGTGACTGGGACTTAATGAACAGAGGAGGTTGCCAGTGTTACAAAAGCACTGCTCCTAACGCACAATCTGTTACCACTCTTGCTCAGGGACAGAGGACACATGTGCCCAACATGTGTCTGGACCTATTTCTGCGATCAGGGAGTAAGCAAGCTCACCAGGAGAAGCAGATGAGTTGCAAGGAGGGATTTAGTTTGGTGCCAGGGGAAACTTTTGCCCCCTGAACATCAGGCTGTTATTCCGCTCATTGAGATGGCTAAGAAAACCAGCATCTTAGCCAAATTAACAGGAGTTTGCATGAGTGTTTTAGGACTTTGGATCTTGGGGAGTGTCCCTATAAGGCAGGGAATTTGTAGTCCTCTGGATGTTGTCGGACCCCCAACTTCTATCAACCCCATCCAGCATGATCAATGATCAGGGACAATGGGAGTGGTGGACTAGCATCTTCTGAAACACCTACTCCTTCTACAAGGAGAGCAGAGACTGGGCCTTTGAAGATCAATGGGTACTTAATGTGGGTCTTTCCTCCAGGGTTAAAAGCAGAGGAGAGGAGGGGAAATTATTGGGAACGCTAGAAAAGGAAGGGTCAAATCTCCTCTTCCTGTGCTCTGGGGTCCTGGTGAAAATCAGGGCCCTCTGTGCCTAATGATTTTATTTTTTAAAAGCCTCATGTGTTTCCAAGTGATGCACTTTGCATAAGGTGTAGTCTGACCCACAGTCTTGGGATGCCACAATATTATTTTTGTGTGTGTTTGCTGTAATAGACTACCCCGAATACTCCTGGAAAAGTACTGCTGAACTTGAATTAAGGAAGGATAATGAGGATGTATTTTCCTTCCATTCCATATGTCCTTCGGTTTACCATGTTCCTGGCCAGGCTCCTATAGTTTTAACAGTTTGCAGGTCAGGTAGAATTTTAACAGGTGAAGCTTCCACCCATAATCAGCACATTTACTGGGATGGCAATGCACTGATGCCGAAAGCTGCAATTCCTAAATAAGAGTGCAAGAAGCATCCTGCTGGATCAAGCCACAAACCCATCTAGTCCCGTGTTCTGTTCTCACAGTGGTCAACCAGATGGCAGTAGGAAGCCTGCAAGCAGGACCTGAGTACAGGGATGTTCTTTTTTACTTGTGACACCCAGCAACTGACCTTCAGGGGCATATTGCTTCCCACAGTGGAGGTAGTACATAGTCATCGTTTGTCGTTATGGCAACAGAGCAACCTCTTTGGACATGTAACTGGCAGTACTTATCGGGCCAGCTAAGGCTATTACTGTTGGAATTCCTGATCCATGATTGCAGTCATGGGATTTTTGTCTGTCACATGATGGTATATGTTTTGACTCCACAGAGTGGGAAGTGATGGAGACAGGATGTTTGTGTTACTGTGTTCCGTGAAGTGGGACTATTGTTCTTTGTTCTTTTCCTCTTTGCTGTCTGATGCTAGAGAGAGAGGGAGCTATGTTGCAGTGCTCTGTGTGTGTTTATATGTAAATAAAGTAGATTAGCCAAAATGCTGAGTTGCTGGGGTTTTGTTACACAACTGCGCAAATTCTGTGGATCCCTAAGTGCGCTGGTTTCGGTTGGCATCGATCACTATGATGTTCGGGCAGAAGAAAGCTTATGAAGCTCCCGAACGATTGACCAGGAAGGAGAGAACATGCCAGTCGGGCATGTGTCTCTGCCAGGGTCCTACTCAAGTGTAGGCTGAACTCCTGACAATTACATTGACAAAGGAAATGGTCTGACTGGTTCAGTGGCCTCTTCTAAGCTTTCTTAATACAGAACCACAGGCCTTAAGGGACCCACGAATGCCATCCACACTGATCCACACAAACCTATAACAATACCTTTTTCAGCAGGTGTGAAAGAGGGCTATGTGATCCGGTGAACAGAGCATGACAAATTGTTCCTCCTCAAAATAGTGAAAGCAGGAGCAGGAGGGTCTTGGAGCAGGTGAGCTTGCTCAGAGCCGAGAAAATAATTGGGGGAGGAAGGAGGTATATGCTAGAGTGCAATTATTATCAGGCAAGTGTCCAGATAGCTCCAATTAAACTCTGCGTTGGGGAGAACTCAAGCATCTGCCTCTCCGGGAGACTGCCCATCAAACCCACCATGTAGCTGAAAGGAAGAGGTGGCTATTGTTTTTAATTTTGTTTAAAAAGTTGAGGGGGAAATGTAAAAGAACAGGGCTTGGCATCTTATGTGATTTTCTGCTTTTAAAAGTAAAGCTCTGTTAAGTGGTCAGTTCAGTGGTTCATTAATTAAAACTTCTCTGCCAGTTTGATTGCTGCCTGGAACAGCTCCAAGAGAGCCTAAGTGATTTGTTTGTGGCTCATTAGCCTGATGGATTAATGTTTGTCTGGCAACCACCTTTGCCCAACATTCTGCCATAGGAAGAGAAAAAGCAGTCGTCCCCCAAGGCAAGCTGCTGGCTGTATTAAGTTCAGTGGGTTTGGCACAGGACTCTGCCACTCACTCCAAATATACTGTGGAACAGCTTGGCTTGGGGAGAGATCACAAAGCTTCACGTGGGGAGTGCATGGCATGGGATGGAAGACAAATGCACCTGTACCAGCTCCCCTGGAATTAATCCTGTAGGAAGTAAAAGCAATATCTGGGCTCTTCTCTTTCAGTGAATGACATTTAAAGCCCTTCCAGATGTATGTTTTACTGTGTATTCCTGATGATTTATGCTCATAATTGGTACAGTTCTGCGATCCACTTTCAAAACTGCAAATGTTTCAGTGCAGATATACCACTTTGTTTCCATTCCCTGTCATATCCTGCTGAAATCCTGATACTTTTTCTGCCACTAATGTTCCAGCGGTGTTAATTTTTTTGGGTGGGTGTGTGCAAGAGCGAACCTCCAGATTACAATAATGCAGTTACAACTAATGAAGCAAAGTGATGGGTGGACACTCCAGTACAAATCCGCTACAAATACGTCAGTAACATGGTGTAAGAGTTGCGCGCTCATCTCGCTTTGTTGGCCAAGGGAGCCAGCGTTTGTCCGCAGACAGCTTCCAGGACATGCGGCCAGCATGACTAAGCCGCTTCTGGCGAAACCAAAGCAGCGCATGGAAACGCCGTTTACCTTCCCGCCAGAACGCTACCTATTTATCTACTTGCATTTGATGTGCTTTCGAACTGCTAGGTTGGCAGGAGCAGGGACCGAGCAACGGGAGCTCACCCCGTCGTGGGGATCTGAACCACCGACCTTCTGATCGGCAAGCCCTAGGCTCTGTGGTTTAGACCACATTGCCACCCACGTCCGTGGTGTAGAAACAATCAAAAGTCTGTAGGGCACCTTAGCCATCACTGCATTTGGGTTCCTTATTATGAGCCAAAATGATGCACATTGTTAAATTGTCACAATCAAGTGGCCAGGCCTTTTGGGGAGCTGTGTCATGTTTGAATGCTCCCTTGTTTTGGGGGTGGCAGGATCTCTGCATAAAGCAATATTGCATGTCGTTTAAAGAGCTCAGCTTCTTTCAGAACACAATACAGTGGTGCCTCGCAAGACGAAATTAATCCGTTCCGCGAGTCTCTTCGTCTTGCGGTTTCTTCGTCTTGCGAAGCACGGCTATTAGCGGCTTAGCGGCTATTAACGGCTTAGCGGCTATTGACGGCTTAGCGGCTTTAAGAAAAAGGAAACAAACTCGCAAGAACTCGCAAGACGTTTCGTCTTGCGAAGCAAGCCCATAAGGAAATTCGTCTTGCGGAACGACTCAAAAAACGGAAAACCCTTTCGTCTAGCGAGTTTTTCGTCTTGCAAGGCATTCGTCTTGCGGGGCACCACTGTATTTTTCTATGGGCAGAGAAGGTGTTCCCTGCCCTTATAGGTTAGCCCTACACCTGAATGCTGTAGTGATACAATGCTGGAGAAGCTTTGCCACTTGATTTGTCTGGCATGTAAACTGACCCTAACCCTTTTGCTTCAGATTTTAAGCCCATGCTCAATAACTTCAGTGTATGTAAAAGTGCTTAAAAGTCTGCTCCTTATTATTGCTATTTTACAGAAAAGAAACCACCCCCAGCTTTTTCTCATATATTCCTCAGATGCTGCATTTGCCACCATCATCCCTGACAGCATGTTCAAGATTTTCTTCTTTTCGATATCATTGCTATGTCAAGATGTGAAGCACTAGGTCAATTACAGTCTGTAGCCAATCTCGCTAGAAAACATGCCCCTTTGATCACAATCCCAGCTGCTTTTCAGTTCTAAGCTGAGAAATTGTTGCCATAGTGATCCTATTCTGCGGAACACATTCTCTGAACTCAGTATCATGCTATAACAATGTCTGCTCTTACGGAAAGTAATTTATAGAGTATGTGCATTTTTCTTCCCCAGCACAAGATTCTGCCTATTTAATGCTGGTTCATGCATAAATCACAGTTGCAGGAAAGAACTGGGCGAGGACTCCATCCATTATTTTTTTAGCCAGGTTGTGAGGCTGCCCCACAGTCAATTGTGGGTGGGTGGGGGGCAACCAGGAATAGCCAAAGGCATTTTATTACCTGAAGCAGCCTTTCTCAACTTGTGGGTCCCCAGATGTTGTTGAACTACAACTCCCATCACCTCTAGCTAGCAAGGCCAGAGCTCAGGGATGATGGGAGTTGTAGTCCAACAATATATGGGGACCCACAGGTTGAGAACCGCTGAGTCCTGAAGTGAAGAATAAAATAGTGCCTCCAGATCCAAATATCACAGTGAGTCTTATTTCAACATTGGCTGTGAGGCATCATCCTTTACCACACTGGAGGGCAGCCGGATAGCTTAGTGGGGAGAAGGAGTATGTGTGGTATTAGGGGCTGGTCTGAATCAGATGCCAGAGACTGGTCTGACTCTAAAGATGAAGGAATGCAGGCATAGAAAGAGCAGCCTCTGACAGAGGAGGAGGGAGAGGATTCACCCCCCCGCCTTACATGTTCCCAGAAGCAGAGATACCAGCAGATTCAGAAGTTGCTCATTCGGGGGAAGAGCTGGACAGTTTTGAGATAGTAGCTAGGCAACCAGGAGGGAGGGAGCCTTTACTCCTACTCTTCAGTTGAGAGTGGTGGGGAAGTCCCTCCCTCCCCTTGATCTCAGAGGACTGAAAGGGTCCAAGAGCAACAGAAACGCAGGGGAGGGACAGGTGTCCGGTGGCATGCTTCTTGCTGCAGAAGGATAGGGGACTCAGAGTGAGCAACTGCCATTCATTGGGAGGGTGGCCTGATGCTGCTCTCAGTATGTTGTTGTAAATAAAACAGACTATAAACCTGCCAAAGGCTTGTTACTTCTTATCGGAAGCTACCGGAGGGAGGGGGGAACTCCCTTGCCAGCCAGCATACCTGGCATGTGGACATATTGTTGTCCTTCAATACTTGAGGACTGGAGTGCTCACATGCTGCACTGAATGAGTGTACAAGCTGTGTGCTTGTGTACAGAAAGAGTGGAGCTGCACACCCATATAGTTCTTCACATGTAAGGAGTGTACAACCTGCGTACCTGTGTGCAGAGTAGCTGAGCTGTACAAATCAGCAAGTGTACACTCTTTCACACTAAGACTACATATGTGTACTTTGTACCTGTGTTTGGCATAATGTGTGAACAATTCTCTACCACCACTTCTTGTCCGCAATCATCCCCCATCTGAGATGGCGGTCTCACTCTAGGCTCATGAGGCAGTTTCATTCTAGGATGATGTAAACCTAAATCTATCCATCCATCTATCTGTCATATAAAGGAATTCCAAACTTTGGGGTTTTGTGGATATGCACAGTCAGAGGAAGTAAGCACAGAAGAGAAAATGGCTGTTGTGATGGAAAGCTTAACCTTTTGGAACAGCTGAGTCATAACCTAGTGGTTTACCCGGTGCCAATCCAGAACCATGTCATTTGCTATGGCTGCATTGGTACCTGCATAAGAGATGCACCAAGATTCTTCTGGGCAGATCTAGATGAGCTGATTCATAGCCCATACACAAATTTGTGTGTATGTGTGCACAAATGTACACAAAGTGGGATTTAGTTCTAAGCTGGGTATTATTAGAACTACATCCTTGATCTTTATTCCCCTGACAAAAGCTTTGAGTCACTCTCTAACAGATGCATAATACGCAAGCTTTCCCATCATGTAGATGCAAATTTCTGTCTTGTTACTAGAAGTTCCTTGATATCGATTCCAGAATAAGAAACTTGGGAATTGTGGCTTCAAATCACTTACAGTCCACAAATGCATATGCCTATACTTAAAATATGGTGCTATATGTTCAAAAATATGGCAGATGGATAGGCTTCTTGTGTTTTAAGTCCCCCGTATCCATAATTACGTAGGTTAAATTTGGCTGAGTGCATGCTTGATTACCTTCCTAACTTATTTTTAACCTTGTTATCAGTTGGACTCTTTATAGGGAAATTGTCTTTTTATGGTGAGAAAATCTGACTGATTTTTTTAAAAATAAAAATAGTTGTTGCATCTATACACAGCAGATTTATACTGCAGTCCTATTCTGTAGGTTGAGCTCAGTGAGACTTATTCCCTTGAGTAGATATGCGTAGGATTGCAGTGTTAGATTATGTTTCCTAAATTAGGATAACCTTTTTTTTTTTTAAAAAAAAAGAAAACCTAAACTATGGAAAAGTTGATGTTGAACACCAGGCACTCACAATACAACAGTGCTTCTCTGACACATCTCTTCTGCAATTGTATTTCAGTGTAACAGCCAAATACCAAAGAATATTAAACTGTGTGGGGCAAACACTTTAATTCAAGCCCTATTGGACTCAGAAGAGTAAAGTTCTGAGTCTGAGGATGGGGGAGAGGAATGCTCCTTCTAAACCAGCCCAGGCAGAAAAAAAAATATTGCTGTTTTATTTCTGAAGCAGTGAACAGGTTGAGTCTCAGTGGAATGCTGAACTTTAATAACATTCAGTACAAATGGTGTCAGCCTTTCAGCATAGGCAGGAATACATCATTGATTTTTTGTTTTGTTTTTTGTTTCCTCAAGTATGAAGTCAGTTTGCAGAGGAAAAACAAAACTAAGCTTTAAAGAAAATAGGAGGGAAAGGCCTCTCCCTCCCTCTCTCCCTTCTGCAACCCACAACAACCCGTTTGCGTTGACCAGTTCAAGACATCCTGTTATATTGAGCATTCATTCTGCAGGGAGGTTATATGATGTTGAACTAAGCAGATGTTTTCCCCATTGTATTTTATTAAGTTGCAACATTTTTAACATATCCTATACACAATTACATTGTTTCTCTTATTTTTGTTGTCTTCCCATCCAGCTTTCCATGGAGTTGTTGTAAAAAAGCTATCTATTAAACCATAACCACAATGCTGTAATCTAGTTCCTTCTGTTGCTCATAGTTCAAATCCTGCTTGCAAATTCGTCTTACTCTAGTAATTCTTTATGTAGTCCAAGAAAGGTGTCCATTCTTCCACAAAAGACTCATCATTGGAGTCTCTTTATGTTGCTGTTAATTTTGCCAATTCTGCAAAGTCCATTATCTTGCTTATTCATTCTTCTTTAGTGGGAACTTCTTCTTCCTTCCATTCCTGCACATAAAGAATCCTAGTTGCTGTTGTTACAAAAATTAAAAAATGTGACTTGCTTTTCGGAATTTCTGTCCCTATAATCCCTGCATTAAGATGATGTTATTCCATACTTTCCAGCTTATTTCACCATAACTTCCCTTATTGCAAAAAGCCCATTAAAAGAAAAATCTGTGTGGTTTGTTGTGCAAGAGCTGAGGTGAGAGTTGCCAGTGCTGTGGACCAGTCCTAGCACAAGGGGTTGGCAGCTGGCGGCTTCCCAACCAAGCCTGCCCTCCCAAGTAGCACCAGCTGGTGAAAAGGAGATGTCAATGGGCTGCATCTGTTGCAATGTGATTGATAGTTTGTTGTTTTTTGGACACAGACCCTTCCATCCAGCACATACAAACCACATTTCTAACCCCCAAAATAATCCTGGGGACTGGGTGCTGTGAATTGTAGCTCTCTGAGACGGAAACTACCATTCTCAGGATTACTGGGAGGCGGTGTTGTGTGTGCTTTAAATCTAAGGTGGGTTTGGAGCCTCAAGTTTAATGGCACAGCCTGAGTGTGTCAGTATCTGTCTGAATCCCACCCCAAAATAGCAACTGTCTGGATCCACCCCTAAGTGCACTGTAGGAATTGGTCCACATTCTCATCACAAGAAATATAATTCAGAAGTTGAGTCCACGGAAGATTTGACTGTGGTCAGAAAGCCATATGCCCACATAAGCTAAACTGTAGCAGAATGGATGGGCAGCTCTGGCTGACTGGTGCCTTTACTGATCTGTGCAGCTTGAAGTTGTTTTTAATAGTATCGTAGAATTGTAGAGTTGGAAGGGACAATGAGGGTCATCTAGCTCAAACCCCCTGCAATGTGGGATCTTTTGCCCACAGCAGAGCTCAGACCCACAACCCTGGGATTAAGAGTCTTTTGTTCTACCTGGTTTATGTTTGTTGATTTTAAAAAACCATTTTGGGATGTTACATGGGAAGCGATTAATAAAATAAATACATACATACTGATATTATTTTCAAACAAACAAATAAATAATATGTGCACAGCCCTTGGGTTCTTCTCCTGAAATGTTCAGTTGTGTGTCTAAAAGCTTGCGGTAACTCGCTAAACTCTCCAGTTTTCTTTCAGGATCAGATGTCACATGTGAGAAATATTTCAAAGGGCATGTGAGTCAGGATTTTGGGCAAGAAGCACTTGGTAACTTTATATCTGAAATTTAAGGATGCCTGAACTCTGGAGCACTCAACAGGGTGATCTCCGGAGCCTGCTTGCTGTATCTTATTTGTATCTGTGCAACTTACACCTCTGCAGACTTTTAAGGTTTAGCCTGTATCATCTGCATCTGAACAGCACGTTTTTAACAGATACTTCAACTGGGAACTATTTGCATTTATATTATTGTTTGAATGAGAGGGATAGGGTTGAGATTTCGTAAAGGAACTTTACCATCAGAGGCTGCATACACATCATATATTTAAGGCATTTGCCTTCCCCCAGAGGAATCCTGGGAACTGTAGTTTATTACAATTCTCAGACTCCTGAACAAACTACAACTCCCAGCATTCTTTGGGGGAAGCCATGTGCTTTAAATGTATGGTGTGTCTGCAGCCTCTGATGGTGAAGTTCCTTTACGAAATCTCAGCTATTCTGTACTCTGTGTGTTTAAGGCCCAGCTCTGGGTGCTGAAATATGGACTCCTGCTGTCATGCTCTAGAAAAGCCCAACCTGACGCTGCCCAGTGTTGCTGGACTCCAAATCCCTGAACAGTGGTCATATTGGCTGGTACTGATGAGAGTTGGAGCCCCCCCACAATACTTGGTGGATACCGAGTTGAGGAAAGGCCTCTGTAAAGTGGCTGTTGCGTGGCTGTCTTCGACCCATGGCAGGGCTTCTCAGTGGTGGCTCCCCATTTGTGGAATGCCCTCCTTGATGAGGCGCATCTGTCTCTCACATTATTAACATTCAGGAGGAATAATGGCCATTTAGGCCATTATTTCCCAGGGAGATTCTTTGGAAAGAGTTCAACAGCACCTAAAATTGGCTGCAGACAAGGATTGTGGACATTATCTGAACCCTCTCATTTCACAGTTTTGCCACTTTTTCAATCCTGAGGAGCTTTGATGGGATTTCTCTGCTGATCAGCAGTCACAGCAAACACCAGGTTTTCTGCACGTAGCCCTTAGTTAGCCTGACACCAGCTATTACATAGCCAGTATTTGCTAGAATCAGCCTTTCGCAAGATTACATAATCAGATTTGCACAACTTTTGATAACTGGAGGTCGACGGAGCCTGAGATACAAGTTCTGTTTTACCCAACAGGGCCCTCAAGACTGTTTGAACTTCTAACATAACCCCGTCTTTACATTGTAATGTACACTTGTGTTGCAAGCTTATATACCCAGAGCCGAGTGATTTCTCTGTGTCCTTGTGTTAAATGTACTGGAGTTTCAACCCTTGTTAGAGATAAAGCCTCAGACACAGAAAAATGCAAGCAGCTCTTAAAATGCAAGTAGCAGGCCTCCCTGCTTTCCTCCTCCCCCACCCGTAGTCAGAGGAGTTTCAAAACCAGCTTGCTATGTTATAGAAGCCTTGTTTAGGAAGGGTGGAAAAAGCCTGAGGCAAACAACCCCTTAAGCATATATGAGGTTCCAACTTCCAGAATGATAGTCAATTCTAGTCTGATGCCAGCAAAACCCAATGTAGCTCAGCTGGTTAGAGTATGGTGTGCTAATGCCAAGGTTGTAGGTTCAATCCCTGTATAGGACAGCTGCATATTCCTGTATTGCAGGGCATTGGAGTAGATCAGGGGTCAGCAAACGTACTGTGCCTCAGGCCGGTGTCTCCAGTGCCGATCGCGCAGCAAGCCGGAGGGCAGGGGAGCGCGTGCCCATGTATGTGTGCACATGCTATTTCCAGTGCACTTCCGGGTCAGAGAAGCACCGGAAATTGCTTGTGCGCATGTGCACGGGCCTCCTCCAACCCGGATGTGCACCGGAAATAATGGTTGCGCATGCGCACAACACTTGCGCATGCACACAAATTATTTCCGGTGCTCCTATGACCTGGAAGTGGGCAGCCGCGCAGCGCAGTGCCGGTAAGAGCGGGTGGTGGCAGCGGGCAGCGGGGGTCGCTGCGGGCCAGATAAACAAGTCCCTCAGGCCTTATCTGGCCCGCAGGCCTTAGTTTGGGGACCACTGGAGTAGATGATCCTCAGGGTTCCTTCCAACACTATGATTGGTAGCACCTAAGGGCCCCTCAGATATCCTTTTTATTGCACTTCCATTATTATTTGCACTTATGGTGCTACTGGGGCAGTTATACAGCATTGGCGTATGCAAAGGTTTTGAGCAGGTCACAATGCTTCATTTTTAGTCAGTGCATATCCTTCAACACCCTGCTGAAATCTCACAACTTTTCACATCACAAATGATTCTCCCCACTATGTTGTATTAAAGCCTCTCCAGAGAGCAATAACGTGGTAGCAGTTGGGGAAGCATCATTGGACCCCTGACCATTGGTCATGCTGGCTGAGGCTGATGGGAGTTGTATTCCAGTAACATGTGGGAGGGCAACACATTGACTACCCCTGCAGGAAAGGGATGCAGAAGAGGATGGTGATAATAATAATTAAGATTTATATACAGTGGTACCTCGGGATACATACGCTTCAGGTTACATACACTTCAGGTTACAGACTCCGCTAACCCAGAAATAGTGCTTCAGGTTAAGAACTTTGCTTCAGGATAAGAACAGAAATCGAGCTCTGGCGGCACGGCGGCAGCAGGAGGCCCCATTAGCTAAAGTGGTGCTTCAGGTTAAGAACAGTTTCAGGTTAGGAACGGACCTCCGGAACGAATTAGGTACTTAACCTGAGGTACCACTGTACCACCCTTCATCAGAAGATCTCAGGGTGGTTCACAAGATACAAACATGAGATACAAGTAAATAGTTGAAACAAAAACAACAAAATAACCTCCTACTCCCACAAACTCAATTAAAAGGCTATAGAATATTAATCAGCCAAAGGCCTGGTTGAAGAGGAACATTTTTGCCTGGCACCTAGAGATATATAAAGAAGGTGGCAGATGAACTTCCCTGGGGAGAACTCTCCACAAGCAGGGAACCACTGCGGTAAAGGCCAGTTCTCATGTTGCCACCTTCTGGGCCTCTTCAGGAGGCACACAAAGAAGGGCCTCATATGATCATCGCAGGGTCCAGCTGGGTTTATATGGGGAGAGGCAGTCCTTGAGATTTAATGAGAGTTTGCCCTGAGGATCTTCAGATTTTTCTGCCCTCTGCTTCTTCTGTTCCCTTCTTGGTTATTACACAGAGATGCTATGCGCACGAGGCTGCTGCACATATTTGGAAGATGGTTTGCAAGAAGAAGTTCATGGAAGCTTCCCAAATGTTACCTTAGGTTTCTGCCTACAACTCCCATCAGCCCCCCGCTGGCACAGTCATTGTGTATCGCCGCTAGCACATGCTATAAACCCATGTGTGATTGCGCATGAGCACTAAGGCACCATGCTGCACACAGCTTTACCCTGCAGTAGATGAGACACATTTTGAAGTATGGTAGCATATGAACATATTGTTTTTCTAGTAGATCTTTAACTAAAAGAGCAAACACTGCCTCAGCAAGAAGACAGGCTATATTCCAGAGTACCAGAAGCATTCAACAGCCAGAGAAGGCGACTTCAGCAATGTGCAGTGCAGGGAAAACTCAAGCCCTGATCTTTGGAACAGAAAAAGAGATTATAGAACCATAGAAATGTATAGTTGGAAAGGTCATCTCATCCAACCACTGCAGTGCAGGAATCTCAAATGAAGAATCCATGACAGGTGGTGATTCTACTTTTGTAGAAGAGTCCACCACTTTCCGAAGGAGTCTGTCCCACTGCTACCTTCAGAAAGTTCTTCAAAGCATGTTCCTATTGTATCAGAGATATATGGGAGGGGATGTCAGTTCTGAGCATAGCTGTCAACTTTTCCCTTTTCTTGCGAGGAATCCTATTCGGAATAGGGGAATTTCCCTTAAAAAGGGGAAATGTTGACAGCTATGGTTCTGAGCTGAGTTATAGGCTGGAATCCAGGTCTCTGCTCTGTAAAGACATTGTTTCCACCTGAATCCTGCCTCTTAGGACAAACTTTTGGGGAGCTGGATTTATCCCCCCACAGGCCCATATAACAGATGGGAATATTATTGTGCAGATCTCCTGAAGCAGCCCCAGTGTCTGAAGTAGGAGAAGCCCTCAGTGGCTTGTGCCCCCACATTAAAAAAACAAACCCACCACAAACACATTCAATATGTGAGAATGGCCATTAATCTGTTGGAAGCAGTTAAACTTCCTATAAGGACTAAAAACTGCCCCTACCGGTACAGTGGTAACCTTGGTTTAAGAACAGCTTAGTTTATGAACAACTTGGATTAAGAATGTTGCAAACCCGGAAGTAGGTGTTTTGGTTTGTGAACTTTGCCTTGTAAAAAGAACATGTTGAGTGTGTTCCATTGAGCCCGCGCACCCGCTATGGGAAAGCAGGCCTTGGTTTAAGAATGCTTTGGTTTAAGAACGGACTTCCGGAAGGGATTGACTTCATAAACCAAGGTACCACCGTATTTCTTTAATGGGATGTGACGCTGGATTCAATGTTATTTATTTTTTAAACATTTATTCTACTTCTGTCTTGGCGCTTATGTGTGCATGTGTGCATGCACATGACATGGACCCTTTCCATTCCTCTGCGTTATGGTCATCTTGAGTTGAGCTGTGGCCAATTAGTTAATGGAATAAACCTACATATATTTGCATATGACAATACTTGGAAGAGGGGAAAAACTTCTATTGTTTTGAGATGTTGCATGTATGTATTGTGGCAGACATCTTCCAAGAAGAGGCATCACCTCTTGTTTGAGGTTGGAGGACCTGTCCAAAGCCAGTTTTTCATAAGTGTTTTCTCAAAAAAATGTACAGTGTGTTGCCTGATTAGTTGATGCGTGCAGGTGTTGAATTAAAAGCCCCTTTCAGTTACTAATCTAATGAAATAAATACAATTAAGCTCATTTAAGTCTCCCTGAATTAAATGGTAGTTAAAAGTAGTTGATTGCATTTATTTATAGATTGATAACATGCTTTTCAGCCCTAGAGCGCAAGAACAGAAGGGAGCCCTCCTGGATCAGAACAAAGACCCATCCCAGGGATGGGGAACCTCGGGATGAGAGGGGTGGGCAGGCTGAATGTGGTCCCCCAAGTCTCTCTGTCTGGCCCTCAGGACTTCATCCAGATCATACCAGCTGCCTTGCCACACCCTAACTGGCCTTGTATTGCCCCCTTCCTTCCTGATTTTGCCTGGTTGGAACATATCCTTGCATGTCGAGGTTGCCTCTTGCTTCCCTGGATAAAGCATAGAGAGGGGTGTCCCTATGGTACAAAAGTAACATTTACATTCGCCGCTGAAATATACTCGGAGTCGAGTGTGGATTTCATGCTCTTTATTCAGCTCAGAGTAGTGAGGAAAGGAAGTTCCCCCGAAATGTCTGCTTTATATACATTATTTACAGAATGGGCCCCACGTGATTGGCTAATTCTGGGATTCTCTTGTAGGCTAATCAGATTGCGGATTCACTTTCACCTGGAGTTGGATTGGGTGGCTCCTGCGGACCAATCAGACTGCTGCATTCTGGATCCTATTGTTCTAGGACCAATCAGACTGCTGCATTTTGGATCCTATTCAACTCAGTACATAACAGCCGCCCTGCCCACTTTTGGCCCTGGCACTGCCCACCCCTGGCATGTGGCCCCCAGAAGGTTGCCTGGAATGGAATGTGGCCTCTGGGGTGAAAAAAAGTTCCACGCTAAATTTAAACTGGATTGTACCAAAATAACCATATTCAGAGGCTAGACTCTAGCTAGTTCATCATTAGGTTCTGGCAACTTTATGGGGTCAGCAGATTCTTTGGTGCTTTGGGGATGTAAAAGGGAGCCTCTTCAACAAACAACACTGTAAAGACATGCCACACAACTTAACAAATATGAAATAGAGGCTTGGGGGTGGGGGTGGGGAGAGAGACAGAAAAGCAATGCCCCTTGCTCTGTGCAGTCAGAGATTCACCTGTTGCCTGGGCAACCTTGCATTGCAGGTATTGCAGGCTGCTGTGTTGTTATTGATAGCCTAGAGAGGGGAATGGGACACTGAAGATATTTATGTTATGTTTGCTTTCCCTGTAGATGCCATTAATTTCTGCAAAGCTTAAAGCTGCTGTGCCCAAGCACAAGGAGGCCAGCGTTTGTTGTGCAAAAACTGCATGTGGAAAGATGGGGTGTAGAGTTTAAGCAGGTAGTCAATCACTGAGAAAGTCCTACAGGCATTTTGGTGCTCCGTTGATGGGCACTTTCACATTTGGGTTGAAAAGTGGAGGAGTACTTATTCAGCAAAAAAAGCATATAAAGATATGGATGAGTTGAAGAGAAGAGATTCTGTTGCTGGCCATTGCTCAGATTACAGGCGCCATTTAAAAGCTTTGTAGCTGCCTGGGGAAAAGCTCCGTTGAATTTAGTGGGACTGAACAAACATACATATTATCCACGTTCTCAGACTACCCTTCCTTATCCCCATTGCACAAGCCCTGTTCCAGAACCAGTGGCTTTGTAGCTATACAAATATACATAGAGGAAATTCAACTGCAAAACCCTGTTCGTGTTTTCCTCAGTCCAGGAGTTCCTACTATTCCCATACAAGGAAATGTAGTAGTGATACTTAGGGAAACCAGACTGCAAGGTTCTTGTGGTCTGTCTGTGGCCGAAGGGCCATATGATCCCCCATCCAAGTAGTTTGTGGTCCTCCAGCTGTTGTTGGAGACCAACAGTCAGCAATGATAGGATAGGATGATAGTGTTTGGATGACCACAAGTTTCCCATCCCTGTTCAAAAGTGAACTCTTTCCCGCACCCCTTTTGAAACAAACAGATTACATGGGTTCGTATATTTTATTTATTTATAATATAAACATTTTCTTTAAAAAACCATGGCAGTGGATAAAATCAGTAAAGCGTCATAAAATTATACAATAATAAAATACAGAACAAATGGCCAGTGCGGAATCAAATTACGGCCGCATACACACTCCTGTTTAATATGCATTCAATGTGTTCCCACAACAGTAGCCACAACTCGTACCTAGCATGTATCTATTCTGTCATTTGTTATGAAATACTGTGTTTTTATGCCTCCCCCCACAACAGCTTTGATGTGTCTTGAGAAAAATAACTGCTTTTTCTGCTTTTTAACCCAGTTATGTATACAATGCCTGATTTTCTAAACGCTTGGCTTAATGAAAACATTTTCAGCGGGTGATGAAATGCCAGAACTGTAGGTGTCTGCCTGATCTCAATATAGGAGCAGTCCCACAAATTGCTGGTGACATTAAACCTGAAGACTTAGTTCACATGGAAATTAAATGGATATGAGGCAACTCACATGAGATAATGTGGATATGCGCTCATCCTTTGACCTTTAAAGCAAAAACTAATGCAAGAGAAATGCTTAAAATTTGTTCTAAAAATTCCCTAGGAACTTTGTGGAAAGTTGGAGACTGACCTACTTCATCATACTGACCAATAGGTGTGCATAACAGTCGTACCAAAATGTAGAGCAACAGTGAGGGTTTCTTAGAGCTTTCAGAGTATCTGTGTGGTTTTCAAAAATAAGAATCTGCAAGATTGATTCGACAGGAGCACAGATACAAAAATCAGCACACATGCAGTGGGCAAACTCAAAGCTCTGTAGCACCACCTCCAAGTCTCCAAAAATCTCTCCTGGCCACATGGCTTGGATTGGCCGATAAAGTTTTTTGCTGTTAGCATTGGTTACTGTACATAGAAAAAATAATAATACCTCGAACCAGCTAGCAGGAAAGAGGTGTCCCGTCTCAATTTCATACTCAATCTACCAAATGCTCAGAACGAGATGCTTCTCACTTATCAGATTCACATGAAGGCCTTTTTAGTGCTGTTCCTGCTGTTGCCCAGTAAACATGATATACAGTGTTTGCATGAGGTGCTTCTCTCCATTTCCTTTGCCCCCCTGGGATCCAAGTTCCTATAAATAAATGCTTGAGCTCTAGTCAGCTGTGTGTAGAATGAATGACATTTAACCTTTCCACTCCTTCCTAATGCAATCCAGAATAGTATAGATGCCGGAGGTTGGCAGGAGGAGGGAGAGGGAAGTGCAGGATAGCTTCCCACTTTGGGGGACTTTCTCTTTGGGAAATATTTGTGAGTCACAGATGTCCATTATATCACCTGTCCCACACTCACCATGTTCTTTTTCAGCCTCTCCTGGTGTTTCTGCAGTATACAATCTTGGAAAGAAGCCTGTTGGGTTCTCTGGCTTTCCTCCATTCTGCTTACATCAGGCTGGCTGTGAGATGAATCAATAGAATGTCAGGAAATTTATAGCTGAGGTGGGGAATAGTGACAAAATACTGCTTTAAATGTACAGATGGGGTCGAAAAACAATACTGTGAGCTAAAGACACTATTGCATCCACTGTGGCTGCAAAATCTGGATGTGAAAAAGAACAACAGTGGCACCATCACTTAGGACTTGTTGTGTGCTGTGGGTGACTCTTTATTCATTCACCTGTCCTAACTGGAGACTGCAAAATGCAAACTAATTTTTTAATTTTTTAAATTTTAAACGCTACAGGAGTTGCACGCTGCCTGTTGCCTCTGTTTTCAATCAATAGGCTCCTTGTCCTCCTCAGACTTGCCCTTCTGCTCCAACAAGACTTGGGATCTTGTTTCGCGGGTCTGCCAAACATGGCAGTTGTTTAGCAACTGGCAGCCGCACACGGCACACTTGGTTTGTGGGAGGGGAAGTGGGAAAGAATGCAATCCCACTGGACGGGCGTAAGGTGATTTTAAGTTGAGAGAAGAATACGTGTAATTGCCAAGCTTGGGCACAGGCCAAGACGATTTTGGATAACACCTCTATTTTTACAAACAGGGATATCCAATCTTCGTCAGTTGGGGCTGGAGGCTGCAGTGACCTTCAACGGACTCATCTTGGCACCGTTTGGAAGAAGACTGGCACAGCATGTCCCAAGCCCAATGGACTAGCAAGAACAAACAGTAACTTCCTTCATTCTAGGACTCAGCCCAATGGGTTTCCAAGAAAATGCACGAGGTCCTTCATAGAACAGGAGTATAATTATGGGCATGGAAGATATAGAGACATACATCATTTCCAACCTTGTGTGTGTGAGAGAGTGATGCAAGTAGCTAGCTGTTCAAAGGATAGAAACCTAAACCCAAAGCCCTTGTTGCTAAAGCTAAAGTGGTTCTTTGGATCCTGGACAATTTAAATAGAGGACTTGTTCATTCATGCAAGTAGTTGCACCTCCACTTTAATGCTGTCAGGTGCCATGTACACCAAGGCCATGGGTACGGTATGCCCTGCAGAGGACCTTAAGGTCCATAAATAACAACACTTTGGAGGTCCCAAGCTGCAAGGTGGTTAGATTGGTCTCAACTAGGGCCAGGGCCTTTTCGGTACTGGCCCCGACTTGGTGGAACACTCTGTCACAAGAGACCAAGGCCCTGCGGGATTTGACATTTTTCCGCAGGGTCTGCAAGACGGAGCTGTTCCACCTGGCCTTGGGTTTGGATACAGTCTGACCCTTATGTTTCCCTCCCCTTATGGTTTTGATTTATGGGCTACTACTAAAATGAGGCTGTATTTTAAAGTATTTTAACCTGTATTTTAATTAACTGTTTTTTCTTTTTCTTTTATGTTTTATTGTAATTCTATTGCTGTTAGCCACCCTGAGCCAGGTTCTGGCCAGGGAGGGCGGGGTATAAATAAAAATTATTATTATTATTAAATTAGCATCAGTGGTAGCTAAGAGAGGTTTCTCATATTACAAGTGCCTTTGCAAACATCTATGGCATCCACCTTTAAAATGTTCAGGTTTACAATGAATGTGTGAAATGACACTCCTGGAGATCCCAGTGGCAATCTCTAGGCTGAATGACAATTTTGCATCAGGACTTCAGATGGAGACCTTTACAAATCCTGTCTTCTGAGATCCTTGTCGGCAGTGGGGAACCTGCTGTCTTCCAGATGTTGCTAGACTTCAATGCCCAGCATCCCTACCCATTGGCCATTCTGGCCGGTGTCAATGGTCCAACAACATGTGCAAGGCCACAGGTTCCCCACCTCTCCTTTAGATAAAAGTAACGTTTGGAATGGCAAAAGCCGTACTGGGATGCAATCTCAAAAATGATAGAATGACCTCGATACGAATCCAAGGCAAACCTTTTAACATCACAGTAATCCAAGTTTGTGCAACAACTATGGTGCTGAAGAAACTGAAATTGACCAGTTCTATGAAGACTTACAACACCTTCTAGAAATGACACCAAAGAAGGATGTTCTTCTCATCATAGGGGATTGGAATGCTAAAGTAGGGAGTCAGGAGATAAAAGGAACAACTGGCAAGTTTGGCCTTGGAGTTCAAAACAAAGCAGGGCAAAGGCTAATAGAGTTCTGTCAAGAGAACAAGCTGGTCATCACGAACACTCTTTTCCAACAACACAAAAGACGACTACACATGGACATCACCAGATGGGCAGTATCGAAATCAGATTGATTATATTCTCTGCAGCCAAAGATGAAGAAGCTCTATACAGCCAACAAAAACAAGACCTGGAGCTGACTGTGGCTCAGATCATCAGCTTCTTATAGCAAAATTCAAACTTACAGCAAAGTAAAATTCTTATAGCAAAATTCAAGTTTAAAGTAAAGTAAAATTCAAGCTTGAAGAAAGTAGGGGAAACCACTGGGCCAGTAAGATGCAATCTAAATCAAATCCCTTATGAATACACAGTGGAAGTGAGGTACAGTTTTAAAGATTTAGATTTGGTGGACAGAGTGCCTGAAGAACTATGGATGGAGGCTCGTAACATTATGCAGGAGGCAGCAACAAAAACCATCCCAATGAAAAGGAAATGCAAGAAAGCAAAGTGGCTGTCCAACGAGGACTTACAAATAGTGGGGGAGAGAAGGCAAGCAAAATGAGAGGGAGATAGTGAAAGATACAGGAAATTGAATGCAGATTTCCAAAGAACAGCAAGGAGAGAAAAGAGGGCCTTCTTAAACGAGCAATGCAAAGAAATAGAGGAAAACAATAGAATGGGGAAAACCAGAGATCTGTTCAAGAAAATTGGAGATATGAAAGGAACATTTCATGCAAAGATTACCATAATAAAGGACAAACGTGGTAAGGACCTAACAGAAGCAGAAGACATCAAGAAGAGGTGGCAAGAATACACAACACAGAGGAATTATACCATAAAGATATGGATGTCTCGTACACCCCAGGCAGTGTGGTTGCTGACCTTGAGCCAGACATCCTGGAGAGTAAAGTCAAATGGGCCTTAGAAAGCATTGCTAATAACAAGGCCAGTGGAAGTGATGATATTCCAGCTGAACTATTTAAAATTTTAAAAGATGATGCTGTTAAGGTAATACACTCAATATGCCAGCAAGTTTGGAAAACTCAGCAGTGGTCAGAGGATTGGAGAAGATCAGTGTACATCCCAATCCCAAAAAAGGGCAGTGCCAACTACTGCACAATTGCACTCATTTCATACGCCAGCAAAGTTATGCTTAAAATTCTACAAAGCAGGCTTAAGCAGTATGTGGACCAAGAACTTCCAGAAGTGCAAGCTGGATTTCAAAGGGGCAGAGGAACCAGAGACCAAATTGCAAACATGCACTGGATTATGGAGAAAGCTAGAGAGTTCCAGAAAAACATCTACTTCTGCTTCATTGACTACGCAAAAGCCTTTGACTGTCGACCACAGCAAACTATGGCAAGTTCTTAAAGAAATGGGAGTGCCTGATCACCTCATTTGTCTCCTGAGAAATCTCTATGTGGGACAAGAAGCTACTGTTAAAACTGGATATGGAAAAACTGATTGGTTCAAAATTGGGAAAGGCGTACGACAAGGTTGTATACTGTCTCCCTGCTTATTAAACTTATATGCAGAATACATTATGCGAAAGGCTGGACTGGATGAATCCCAAACCGGAATAAAGATTGCCGGAAGAAATATCAACAACCTCAGATATGCAGATGACATAACTTTGATGGCAGAAAGTGAGGAGGAATGAAAGAACCTTTTAATGAGGGTGAAAGAGGAGAGCGCAAAATATGGCCTGAAGCTCAACATCAAAAAACTAAGATCATGGCCACTGGTCGCATCACCTCCTGGCAAACAGGAGGGGAAGAAATGGAGGCAGTGAGAGATTTTACTTTCTTGGGCTCCATGATCACTGCAGATGGTGACAGCAGTCACGAAATTAAAAGATTCCTGCTTCTTGGGAGAAAAGCGATGACAAACCTAGACAGCATCTTAAAAAGCAGACATCACCTTGCCAGCAAAGGTCCGTATAGTTGAAGCTATGGTTTTCCCAATAGTGATTTATGGAAGTGAGAGCTGGACCATAAAGAAGGCTGATTGCCGAATAATTGATGCTTTTGAATGATGGTGCTGGAGGAGACTCTTGAGAGTCCCATGGACTGCAAGATGATCAAACCTATCCATTCTTAAGGAAATCAGCCCTGAGTGCTCACTGGAAGGACAGATCGTGAAGCTGAGGCTCCAATACTTCGGCCACCTCATGAGAAGAGAAGGCTCCCTGGAAAAGACCCTGATGTTGGGAAAGATTGAGGGCACAAGGAGAAGGGGACGACAGAGGACGAGATGGTTGGATAGTGTTCTCGAAGCTACCAACATGAGTTTGACCAAACTGCGGGAAGCACTGGAAGACAGGAGTGCCGGGCGTGCTCAGGTCCATGGGGTCACGAAGAGTCGGACACGACTAAATGACTAAACAACAAAAAGGTTTGGATCTATTATTATTATTATTTGAATTTATATATTGCCCTGTACCTGGAGGTCACAGAACAAAATCAAATATGAAACCAGAAAATATATGATCAAAATAAAAACACAATCCAATAAACCACCCCCCTAGCACTTCATATATGCAGATTATATGCTTTCTAATAAGCTATCTACCTCCTTCCTCTGGAAAGAGCTAATCCTGTGAGTAATAACACACACACACACACACACACACAGAGAGAGAGAGAGAGAGAGAGAGAGAGAGACAAATACACTACAATGTTTAACTATTCTAATTCATTAGATTTATTGATTTAAAATGGGTTAAAAGGCAGATTTTTAAAAATAAAGTAATATTAACAGAAGTGCTTATAAAAGCTTCAACTGGCAGCCACCATCTTAAAAAGGGTACCTCCATTTTCTCTCTCATACATACAGGAAAGACTAGAATATCTCTTCTAAGAAAATGCCTGTGATGATACCTTCTCATTTAAAAACAAAGGAAGTATACTTCTTACTTCAGAAACAGATGCAAATTCAACCACAATATCTATCAATCAACTCTACCTCACATGATTCACATTTTTTAAAATTGAGCTGTAGCCTTAGCTGTGAATTATTTTTAACTTGTAATCCTTACAACAATCTTGTCAGATAGATCAGCATTATCCCTATATTACTGATGGGTGACTGAAGTTGCGTTGCTTTTTGGAAGTTCCACTGAATCAGATCTTATCAGACGGACGGAAAATCTGAAGAGATATTTTGCTTAAACGAGCTTCAATTTAGCAGGTAAGATTTGATCTTCCCAAGGCTCAGCCACGGAACAACAAGAAAAGCTCTGGGAGCTCTTGGGGAATTAATAGGAACGTGATATGATCAAAATATGGGTCAGGCGAAAGTGTGGATGAGCACTTAGTGACTTTATGAGCTGTAACGAAAGATGGCCACAGCTATTGGACCAATGAAAGCAGAACTATAAAGTTACCAGCAGTAGTCTATATATATCTCCACAGTAGGTGGATCGGTTCAGCGTGGCACACAGCCTACCTTGTGTACTCCTCATGGTTATGAGAGGAACCACATTACACACAAAGGTAATGAAATGAAGGCCAAATGTTGACACCAAACCCTCCTGATCCAGGGATTAGAAGGGGGCTCAGGCATACAGCCTTCCCTCCAAAAAACCTCATACTTAATATTATATGTATGAGAAGGCAGAAGTCGTCTCGTCTGAAAGCAACGCAGAGTGGAGAATAGTCCATTGGGGCGCTGCCCAACAAACCCCAGGCAGCTTTGTCTAGTCTGCTTTCTTACTTGCACCTAGTCCAAGGGGTAGCATTCCTTCTCCTTAGTCTTACAGTTCCCCTTGCAGATCTCAGCATGGAGTAGGTTGAGGACAAAACTAAAACTAGTTGGCTGTGCCTTACATTGGCTCTAGCTCCAGTGACTATTGCTTATTCCCTGCTTTCTACCCCATGGGCATTAGACACCCCTGGGAATTCAACACCCCTCAATTCTGGGTCCTTGTTTTCTCTTCTTGGGAGAGATCCTGTCTGAACAATAACTGAACATTTCAGGGTAGGAAACACGGAGCTGCAATAAAAGCATTTAAGATCAATATTTTAGGAATAAGCAGCATGCAACAAAATGCTTCATTACTATATGCCCCGTATCAACCATTGTTATTTTATTTGCTTAACAAATTTCTGTTCAGCTCTTTGGGTAGAAAAGAAATCTTGAGGAGTGGCTAGCAAAATTAAAAACATAAAATAATATAAAATCGCAGTAGCAAAGATGAAAACCTAAGTCCTAGATTAAACTGTATAAATCTCAACATCTTAAAAATCCCGGGCAAATGAACTATGCGCCGCAATGAGTAATGCAATGCACTGTTTGGGGATTGTGTTCAGTAAGGAAGGAGAGGGAAGAAAGTAAGTTACTTACTGTGAGCAGGAAATGTTAAGGTAAGGGGGAGTGGGGAGTTGAAGGGAGCCTAGGAAGGTGGGTAGGAAATTTATACAGTTGATCCTTGAAAGAGGGAGAGGAAGAGGGTGGGCATTAGAGGGGAGCAGGGCTGGCCCATGCATGAGGTAAGTTGAGATGACTGCCTCAGGTGGCAGGATCCACAGAGGCAACAAATCCCAATGTCAATTTTTCTTCCACCTTCGTTCTGGATGCAGATCTTCCCTCACCCCTTCTTTTGCAGTAGGGAGGGGAGTGCCATTTTGGGGTCTGCTTCAGATGCCAAAATGTCTTGGGCCGGCCCTGGAGGGAGTAGCTGATTGGGCGTGAATTTGGAAGACACCTCTGTTCATTCCTAGATCATCCACAGCTGATAAGTAACAGATCGTTGTTCTTTTGTCAAGACTTGAAGCTCACATCGCTCTCTAAGCCTTAACCAAATCATGGTGATCTATTCATTCATAGTAATCAGGCAGCAAACCACAATGTTGTTTTTAACAACCTCTGGGAAAACCCGATTGCAAAGTTCTATGCAGAACATGACGGAATTAACCTGGTCCAAATGTCCCAACAATCCACTGCCCCATGAAGGGAAAAATAAACCCAGCCCAGAATGCCAAGTTCTGAGCATTCCAAAACCACCAAGCTGACTGTAGAGGACTAAATGGGGTGGGGGGACAATATTCTCCCGAATTCCCCACACATCCATCAGCCTGTTCTAGATAATAAACTGTAAATCAGAAAAGACCCAGAGCATCCAGTATATTGATATACTGCATAGGACTATATGGGAATGGTGTGGGATGCCAAGAAATCTCTGGAGAACCAACCTTTCACAGACTGTCCAGGGGCAGTAAATTGTGGATTTGAAGAGAGAAGCTAGCTTGAACATCTTGGTCCAAAGTTACAGCCCATGGGGGATGCCATTTCCACTTTGTATTAGGAGGGGACAATTAGTCAACACAATGTTACAATGAGATGTTTACAGCACTATATATGAATTCATCAGGCCTATACTCAAAGTAAAGCAATGGTGAAAAATGATATTTGGCCCCAACTAAGCCAGAGTAGGGACGCGGGTGGCGCTGTGGTCTAAACCACTGAGCCTAGGGCTTGCTGATCAGAAGGTTGGCGGTTCAAATTCCTGCGACGGGGTGAGCTCCCGTTGCTCTGTCCCTGCTCCTGCCAACCTAGCAGTTCGAAAGCACATCAAAGTGCAAGTAGATAAATAGGTACCACTTCGGCTGGAAGGTAAATGGCATTTTCATGTGCTGCTCTGGTTTCGCCAGAAGCGGCTTAGTCATGCTGGCCACATGACCCGGAAAAACTGTCTGTGGACAAATGTCGGCTCCCTCGGCCAGTAAAGCGAGATGAGTGCCGCAACCCCAGAGTCGTCTGTGACTGGACTTAACTGTCAGGGGTCCTTTACCTTTACCTTTAAGCCAGAGTTAATCATGAGTACGGGTGTCACTGAAACATGTATTTCCTAGTGAAGTCACCGAAGAAAAGTACCTCAGAAATATGAACCTTGGAAGCTTGTAATGCAGCCTCAGATATGATCCAAGCATGATGACCTCATAATTTAACCGTTGCCAACCTGGTGCCCTCAAGATCATCCCCAGCCAGTACACCATCCTGGGGCTGATGGGAGTTGTAGTCGAAAACACCTGGAGGGTACCAGGTTGATGTAAGCTGTCATCATTATTTTACGGGCTGGATTTCCTGTGAGCTGGAGAAACATTCTGTCTTCTGCCACACATATGCAATACACAACCTCCTTTATCTATTCAACCCCAAGCTCTTTCTTCCAACTCAGGATGTCCCTGCCTCCCTCTTACACACCTGACCACTGCTGCCATTCAAGCAGCAAGCAGGAAGGAAAGAAGGCTGGGAAGTGCCTGGTGCTTTTGTCATGTGACCCGCCAGTGAGCAGCCCTGGGGAATGTAATTGTGATAAGGGCTATTGACACCCACACCCAGCTTGGCTCACCCCAAGGAGGATAGGTTTGTTCCATCTCTAGATATGTAAGGCCCTATCAACACTATATATTTAAAGCATTGTCATACAACTTGTAAGCTGCCATAGAATACTACCCAAAGAATCCTGAGAACTGCAGTTTGTCAAGAATTGTTAGGAGACCCCTATTGCCTTCAGAGAGCTACAATTTCCAGTTGTTTAACAATCAATCCTTCCTCCCAGGGAACTTTAGGAATTGTGGCTCTGTGAGGGTTTCCCAACAGTACTCAGCATCCATAACAAACTACAGCCCTCAGTGTTCTTTGGGTAGCGCTATGACTGATTAAAGTGGTATGATCCTGCTTTAAATGTATAATGCAGATGGGGCCTAAGACCCAATAAAACCACTAGAATGTGTTTGACTCAACCCCTCTTTATACATTGGTACTTATCTGCTCTTTATACTTTACTGCATGCATGCCGCCCCCCATGGCTTCAGCAAATAAAAAAAGAAAATATATATATTCCAATTAATCTTTCCCAGTTTCCAAGCCTCTCTCACACCAGCTACTCTGGACGTAACAATATGCAAACTAGATCTTTCCTACTGTATATCTTAATTGGCTTCATTTTACATAATTTAGCAGGCATTAAAACAAATCTGGTGTATAATGATGCAGCCAGAGCAGGTGCGGTTTGTTTATTTATTTTATTTTTTAAGAGAAGCAGCCAGATGCTGTTTTGAGATCTGTATTTTGCTCTGTGTTTTGGGTATTGATATGGTTCAAAGTGAAAACCTCAGCATCTGGTCCCCCTAATATAAGGGGTGGGTAACCGTTTTCAGGCCAAGAGACACACATTGACCCATGGTCAACCCTCTGGGGAATTGCATCTCAAAATTGGTGTGGCCAAATGACCTCCATAATCCCAGAGAGACTTGTTATTAATATAACATACCTGAATAGTTTCTTTTTCCTGTTTCTTTTTTGGGGGGGAGAGCGTCTGGGTGGTGGATGACATTGAGGCAGTATAAAAATGATGAAAACAAATAAATAAAACAAATAATAGGGCAGGATTTGGACCTGGAAAGTTTCAGTTTAAATTTTTAATCAGCAGACCCTCCCAGTGTCCTTGTTTTCCAGGGACAGACTTGAATTTACAGCAGATGTCCCTGTTTCTTATTTGATCCTGGAATGTACTCCTTTTCTTTAAGACGTCCTTATTTTCAGTGGAGAAATGGTGGAGGGTATGGAGTTATGCAACCCCTCAAACCAGGGAGATAAGTGACTATACAACTTTTAGAAGACATCTGAAGGCAGCCCAGTATAGGGAAGTTTTTTTAAAATGTTCTCATTAGGCTACTATGCTGTGCATAATATAGGATAACCATTCCCCTTGCCCTGATCCATAGGAATTGGTGGAAATGTATTCTATAATGTTCTTAGGAAGCTGCTAGTGGTGTGTCATTGATCAGAGCTACACACACGTCTACTCAGTAGCAAGTCCTGCTGAGTTCAATAGGTAAGTGTGCATAGGATTACAGCTCAAGTGATTTTAAGGAGTTGTTGATTTATGATTACGTTTATAACCTGCCTTTTTGTATTCTGATGTGTTTTTGGCTCTTATTGAAAACCTTCCTTTTCCAACAGGCCTTTTAAGCTGAGGTTTTCCTCGGTCTTCATCTGTATTAGAAATGCTTTTCATACGGTTTTATTGTTTTCTCACTTTGTTTGCCACCATGGGCTCTGTTGGGAGGGAGGGAGGAATATAAATTTAATGAATAACTAAAGAAATAAATGAGAGAGAGTCATTCTGCTATGGACATCTTTTGCAGCAAGGAACCTCTTTTGCAAGAAAACTGTCAAACTTTCCTGCAGGCTGCAGGATTGTTTATTCCTGGTTAGTATTTACTACTACACCATGTTGTAGCTCATGTTTCAGTTTAATTTTCAAGAGCCCTGCCAAAGATGCTGAGGGCAAAACAAGTCCCCAGCCCACCTGCTGCTACATGCATCTCTTATTACTGAAGTTTGCTGTGCTATTTTTATCGTACTTTGCAGCTTGGCCAAACGGTGGTAGGTGGCTGTAGGTGGCTCCTTTTCGGTCTGTGGCTTGATGGCTTAAACAACTAAGATGTGGAAGATGATGGGATTTGGCTGGTTTTCATAGTTGCTTTTTAAGATCTTGTACGAGGACAAAAAAAAAGCAGCATCTATTTGCTTGGGCATCATTAATGCCTTACAGAAAATTCAAGGGGCAGCAGGAGAGGGAGAGAAATGGAAGAACACTTCAGGTTAACTCGATTCAAACTTTTTCAGAATCAGGATCCAGAGAAAATAATAATAATAATAATAATAATAATACCAAAAACATCCCTTTGTCGATTTGTAACTGCAGTCACAAAGCTATGCTGCCTCTATGCAGATACATCCTGCATTGGGGGACACGTCTTATTCAAATGCTTGATTTTCATACCAGTATGTAACAATGCTGATCTTTAAATAATGACATTTGAGATTTGGATTTCAAGATTTGATAGTAAAATATGAGGTTGTGAAGGATCATTCAGCTTTGGGTTGGATTTAAACTTTTGTTATTTGTGTTAATTTTCATTGACATGAGTTTAAATTGCCCCCTCCATTTGGGCTGGCATTAAAAAGACTTAGGTGTGAACCAAATGTCCCAAATGAGAGGCTTTCTCTCTCACGCTATTTTGAGTATCATGTGCTGCTTTTGAAATGTGGTAACATTTCAAGAAACATTTGTAAGTGGAAAGCCTGTTTCTATGCAAGAATCCTGCTCTTTGAAAGGCCCCTAAATTGTTTAACCACAGTATCTCCTCTCTCAGTTGGAACTCAATTTCAAACCCGTTTATTAACTATCTAATTGCTAGTGAGCAAAATACATATGCATGGTAATGGCTGTTTGCACTCTTAAGACTACAAAAACCATGAAGCAGCATGACTGTGTACAAATACACTTGCAGGGAAATTCTAAGACCTCAGTGGCATTAGAAGTACTGAAAGGTTATTCTGAGAACAAACAGCCTACTTTACAAGCCAACAGTACTACTTTAAGTGTGACTTGTGGTTAAGCCATAAAAAATATGGCTTTGAGTAGGAATCATTGGTATAAAATCAACAAAGCTAAAATTAGGTTCCTGAATACTGGGCATGAGGATTGTGGCTGATCCTACACATATTGACAGACTGCCAGGTTAGCAGTGCTGCTGGTATCAAATTGCAGCTGGGTCATTCCTGCTTCTGCCCTGTAAACACTTAACAGCTGAAGTGGCAAGAGGGCTGGGAAAGACGTAGCAGCTACAGGCACCCCCAAACTCGGCCCTCCAGATGTTTTGGGACTACAACTCCCATCATCCCTAGCTAACAGGACCAGTGGTCAGGAATGATGGGAATTGTAGTCCCAAAACATCTGGAGGGCCGAGTTTGAGGATGCCTGATATAGTATATCTGTGTACCACAGACTTAAATTTGTTTAACAATAATTTCATCTCCCTAGGAAATCTGAGGAACTATAATTCTGAGAGGGTAGGAATATCTGATAAGGAATTCTTCAGCACTCTTGCAAAACTACAGTTCCCAATTGGGGGGGGGGGGGGTTTAATCCCAAGCAGCTAAACTTGTATAATACCAATATATGCTTGTAATGCAGACCTGCCACTAGGTAACATCTTCTTTTTTTTTGCTGTGCTGGTTAACAATTTTTGTGTGGGATTTCTTTTCTCCTTTTCTGATCCTGCCCTTCTGCTTGACAATAGAACTTTAGAAGAACTGCAAAAGAAGTTTATGCCTGAATCAGCTTTCCCCTGAGAAAACCTGGAAGAAGGGAAGAGACATTTCTGAATCTAGGTAGACAGCACTAAAATTGCTGGTCTGCATGGACTCTAATTGCTCATCTGCAGCTTTGTTGGTATGTATGAGATAAAACAACAAAAATCATATGCATTTCTATAGCAATTTGCTGATTGCTCAAAGTGTTTTGCCAACACTTTCCCAGGAATCATTAAATGACTCTGTGGGCCAATAATATCAAACTGCCTACTTGGAATAGGGACATAGGCTTGGCTAATCCCCCATTTGTGAGTTCAGTGTAAGCTGAGATTTGAACTCTTAAACTTGGATGTGTCTGCAGAGATGCCCATGGAGGGGCGATTGCCTTAGCAAGGAGAGGTTGGTAGCTCTCCGTTCCTCAGGCAGGCCCCAAAAGGTAAACCTAGTCAAAATCAGCACCTTGGAGAGAGCTCAAGGTGAGAATGCTCAGGATCACAGAGATTGCTACAGATAGACATCCAACTTTTCTCAGTGAGATCCTGAAGCAACTGGCTGAGTTTTAGAGCAAGGCTAGGTAGCCATTGCCTGGAAGCTGCTGGTTCAAGTGTCATGGCCTTCTGTAGTTGTTGGATCCTTCAAGGTTTCCAGCTGTGATGATCTCTCCTCTGGGTTCTCTTGATCTCCCTAAGATTCTGTGGTCAAGCCACCAAAATCTGACAGCAGAAGCATCTTTTTGGAGCTCAAGATTCTGGGATCCATGGCCTCACATGGGATGGACCAGGGAGTGGGTCTGTTTCTTCTTCAGAGCTGAAGTTGATGGAGGAGTGCTGATCTAGGGCTATCATTGGATCTTAAGTTCCTCCTGCATTCGTTGGAGCCCCCCCTTCCATATACAAAGCACCCAGAGCCCCAGGAGCAGATGAGGGGCTGTGGAGTATTGTAGAGTGAAGGATGTGCTGAGAAAGTCCCATTTTGTGAATGTGGAGGAAAGCCACACTATGCTACCTCTCTGCCACGGAACTGTGATTATCTGTTTAGGGAACTCTTGCCAGCAACTTCAGGCTCCAGCTGGCTGAAAAACAGCTGTTTCATCAACAGAATGACAAGCCATTTCTTCTAAATCAGCAGCCAAGGCTAGAGGATGAGAAATTTAATTGAAAATTTCTTTCACATACAACAATCAATAGTTCCACATTGTGAAAGCTGTTGCAGAGATAAATCATCCTCTGCTTCATCTTTTATTACAGTCACGGTGTAGTCAATTAAATATTTTTTAAAAAATAAATAAAACAAAAAGCTTTGCAGCTTATCATAGTGTTGGCTCAGTACTTGTCCCACACTAGACGGCAGGAACTGAGAAAGTAAATAGAGTGGATATGGCTATTGCTTTTTACAGGCCCCAGTACAATATCTGCTGTGAACATTGGCCTTTTTACAGGCCCCAGTACAATATCTGCTGTGAACATTAGTATCACCACCTGCAGAGCTAATGACCTGGAAAGACAGGGGAGCATTGCGGGATGTAGTTGTGGCTGTATAGGTACAGAATGGGGAGATGCACGCTCGACATGAATAAACCACCCCTCAAAACTCCCACCTGGATGCACCCAAACAGGCAAAGTGGTACTCTTTACTGCTGCTGAATTTTGTCAAAAACCCAGTTGTAAGTGATTTGCTTCCAAAGATTGAAGTGGCTCTGAATAATATCAAAGAGGCTGACAATTCAGTAATGCAGATGCAGGCGAAAAGGCAGCGGGAAATCTGGCATTTGCTGAAAATTGCTTGCACCCAAAGTTCTGCCAAATCTCCTGTTAGTTCCAACGTGGATGGCACAATTACATCCTCGGTGCCTGCATTGCTCTCGCAGACATCACCAGGATGTGCGCTTCAACCTCTTTCTTCTATGGAAACATCTAGGAATGTGCCACCATTTGCACATTTGATAGAAGAAAATCTAAGCTACCTTGACAATTTTAGCACTATTATACAAGAAGCAAAACGTGACCAGAGTAACAGCATGATGAGTCTCGATTTGAATTGGCTAAATTAGCTGAGTGTGTGAACAGAACTTGGAGAATTTGCAGGTGTGCTCTGTGCGCATCTGTCCCGTCCTGGATTTATGATCACCTCCTAAATGCAACTGCCACTGCCTGAGAACCTTGCAGTTGAGGATGGCATTTTCATACCTGCTAAATCGTTCTTCTAAATCCAGGTTTGAGTGGCTCCAACCCTCTAGTAGAGTCCTGCAGCTGCTGTAGTCAGTCAGCGGCCTTACACCCTTTTGCAACAGACATCAAGGTCTGCTGATTATCTTCAGAATTCCTCTTCCTCTTTAATTAATTGAGACCTTGTCAGACGTTGCCGTGCTATATTTGTCCATTCCTGCTGGGATTTCTCGGAAAGTTGGCTGCCCCTGCTTTTCACACTAAGATGTATAGTCCTGATGGAGTCATGGGGGCATATAGTGCAATGTAATGAACTGTACAAATAAATGATATAAATTGCCCTACATGTAGTTACTGAAGTCTACTAAGGCAGGAACTAGAGAGAAGACATGGAAAAGTCTGTAAATAGTTTGTAACATGGTTCATGAATTGGTTCCCCCTTTTCTCTCTGGTTCCTTAAAAAATGATTGATATTCTTTCAGCATGGGTGGGGAATCTATTGCCCTTCAGATGTACTTCCAACCCCATCAGTCCTAGCCAATTGTTTGAGAAGATGGGAGTTGTAGTCCAACATCGTATGTGAAGGGCCACATGTCCACCATCCCTGTAACATGGAATATTTTGATTATATATAATCTATTTTTAAATATGTTGCTTTTTGTATTACCTGACTTCAACCTAACTAGGGTGGGTTACAAATGTAAAAATAAATAAATGAATAAAATGATCCTAATCAGCAAAAAAAAACCAGTGCTACTGGATAATAGTTTCTCAAAAAACAACCACCACCACCCAGGATGTGGAGCAACTGAGTACAAATGCACATGCACAGAAAATCAGAGAGCTCAAGGAATGGGGAAAACTGTTTTCATTGTGAAAGGGGAAGTGGCTCCATTTCCTTTGTTACTCTACGGTTGCCCTGGCTGATGGGAGTTGTAGTCCAAAACAACTGGAGGGCATCGGATTGCTGAGAACTGCCTTGTAGTAACTTGATACAACCAGCTCAGTATTTTTTAACTAACTGGCAGCAATCCTCAAGGGGTTCAGGATGGGATTTCAGGCAACTCTACCTGCAGATGCCAAGCATTGAATCTGGGGCATGCAAAGCATGTACTCTACTACTGAGCTATGGTCCATACGTTGCATCTCTCCTCCATGGTCTGGGATTTGTATTTTCACAGTTCTGCTGCAGATCATTATTCTGAGTCTCCAGTTCAGGGAATTTTCCTTTTCTCCCACGCCCACTTCCTCCCCTGCATTCTGCACAGTCTGAGGAGCACAGGTGAATTTAAATCTTTCACAATGTTCAGATCCTTAATGCTGCCTATAACTCTTTGCTGCAATCCATCAGATATGCTGTTTGTATATATTCTAGAATAATTAATGCAGCTTCAAAAGTGCAGAGAAACAGCCAATTTGCACATCAGACCAGGATAGGCAAAGGCGGAATGCATTTGCATAATGGCCACCACTTGGCTAGATTTAATGTTGGCTCTGAATACCAACAGCCTATTAATAATCCTATTCCTGAAGCTGCTGCTGAAAACCGAATGGGTCTGGAGTCTCATCTGAACATAATTAAAGACCCTTGGAGAAAAATATTAGAGCATACCAGCAAACCCTTCCTTTTCTGAGCACTTCCCACTTAGAATATGTGAATATTTTTGGGAAACATCAGTGACGGGTGAAGCTCTTTGGCTTGATTTGAAATCAGCTTGGTAATTTTGAGGTTTGTTGGTCAGCATTTTGTGTGTGTGTGTGTATGTCGGGGGGGGGGGGCTTCCGTTTTCCCTTCTGAGAGTTCTATGCTGGCATGTAGTATCAGTATTCTAGAATCATAGAATTGTATAGCTGGAAGGAACCACGAGGGCCATCTTGTCCAACTTCCTGAAATGCAGGAATCTTCTGAGCACAATTTAAAGTGTTGGTGTTGACCTTTAAAGCCCTAAACGGCCTTGGCCCAGTATACCTGAAGGAGCGTCTCCACCCCCATCATTCTGCCCAGACACTGAGGTCCAGTTCCGAGGGCCCTCTGGCAGTTCCCTCGCTGCGAGAAGCAAAGCTACAGGGAACCAGGCAGAGGGCCTTCTCGGTAGTGGCACCCGCCCTGTGGAACGCCCTCCCATCAGATGTCAAAGAGATAAACAACTACCTGACATTTAGAAGACATCTGAAGGCAGCCCTGTTCAGGGAAGTTTTTAATGTGTGACATTTTGATGTATTTTTAATCTTTGTTGGAAGCCGCCCAGAGTGGCTGGGGAAACCCAGCCAGAAGGGCGGGGTACAAATAATAAATTATTATGATGATGATGATGATGATGATGATGATGATGCCCCGTGTGGGGCTTGAACCTACAATCCTAAGATCAAGAGTCTCATGCTCTACCAACTGAGCTATCCCATCAATACTGACCGAAGTCGGTCCCAAAGGAGCATTCAGTTTATGCTCTAGTAGTAGACCAGAGTGAGAAGGTTCTCTCTCAGGTCCACTCCCAGTTCCTGCACCCCTGACAAAGTCAGCTGGCTAATCCAGTTAGCTCCTGGGAAGGGCCCTGTGTTGCAGCACAACCAGCCACCCTCCGGGTTAGAGAAAGATCCCAGAGCCCCATGGGGCATGCGGAATCTTATCCAGCTCTTGCTCTGAAAGATATCTCTAAATCCCTCATCTGGTTGTTTCAGCTTGATTTCTTGTGGAGGAAGTCTAGACAAATCATGCCTTTAGAGAAATGAAGGGGAGACACACGTCTTTTTGAGAATGAACGTATATATTTTTTTCCAGCAGCAGACAAGCTCCTTCCATTTTCACACGAGAAGTCAGATCTATCATTTCCTTTAAGTGCTCTCTCTTTCACTGCAGCACAATGGTGTATAATTTCTAATGATGGGCATGAATAAAAGTATGAAATGAAAACTCTGCGATGCCCCGGAAGAACTCCTTGAAGACCAATTTAAGCATTTTAGATGGACACTTTCAGAAGGCATTGTCCCTGATGAAAAAGGGGAAATACCCCAAAATCAGCCGGAGATAGCTAATAAACTAAAAGCTGTAGCGCTCGTGTGCAGAGCCCAGACAGTTCACAGACAGCAACCAGCTTCAACAAAGGTTGAAAGCGAATGGAAACTTTTCAAGCTTGAGCACCCGACTCCAACTACTCATCCAGGTTCTATCCTCTTGTAAAAAATGGTGAAGATACTGTTTAAATTGTAATGGGTTGTATTCAACTATATCCTACTCGGAGTAGACCCATTGAAGTGAATGTGTTGAATAGTGGGAAAGATGGACGAAGGACACAGCTCTGTTGGATTCACAGCTCTTTATTGCAGCAGTTAGAACTGCTCCTGGAATCAGACTGACTGCAACCTGGCTGGCTGCTTTATAGAATACTAAGTAACTTGAAACAGTAACAACTCACAACTAGCTAACCAATCAGGAGCAACAGTTTTCAATCCTTCATTTACATACTGGTGGCCCTGAGTGAGAACTGCCACTAATCTTAATACATAACAGAATGAACCTAAGTTGGTAATATCTATTAACTTCAATGGGTCTACTCTGAGCAGGTGTGGTGTTGTTTACCACCCTGTGTTTTTAACAATGTACATGAGATGCCTTGGAAGGGCTTGCCCTAAGTGAAATCATTGACATACTGGAAATGAGTAATATTTGGGGGCAGGATTAGCAATTACTTTAAATACGTTATAGAGATTGCCCCCCTGCATAATGGTAGGGGGTTGCCTCTTTCAGGTAGTTCATATTTCCAGGTAGCATGCAAGTGAGTCAAAGACCAGCTTTAGACCGTTTGCTTATTATCACACAATGGTTACAGCTTATTTACAAAGACAGGAGAGGTCTGCTGGAGAATAAGACAGTAGCTTCCCTGTGAGTCAGCCCCATTTAATTCAATGGCACTCATTTCTGAGTCAACGGTGATAGGAATGCCCTGTAAATGTTCTTTCTGAGGTTGACGAATGAATGCTGGAGGCCAGGTCTCCATGCGTTAAGCATGGAGCTTAAGTTCATTTTTTTAAAAAAGATATTTATTAAGGTTTTCAAAATATTACAAAAGAAAAAAAAAGGAAAAAGAAAAATACAAAATAAAAATAGTTAAAAACAATTCAGTCTTTCAATCACTTATCTTTCATTTGCTTATTTCCCGGACCTCCTCACGCCTCCCTTTTCTGTATTCCAATTCAGTTTGTTAGTTCAGCAAATCCCTCCCCTCTTTGTTTATCCTAATCTTCAATCTTAAAGTATTGTAACATTAGATTTTTACCTATTAATAGTCCATTTTTTCATATTCCCTTATAACATTACAGCTAGAAACCACTTAGTTTCTATCCAACATCATTCTAACATTCATTAATTTTACAATATTTCTGTAAATAGTCTTTAAACTTTTTCCAATCTTCTTCCACCGACTCTTCTCCCTGGTCTCGGATTCTGCCAGTCATTTCTGCCAGTTCCATATAGTCCATCACCTTCATCTGCCATTCTTCCAAGGTGGGTAGATCTTGTGTCTTCCAATACTTTGCAATAAGTATTCTTGCTGCTGTTGTGGCATACATAAAGAAAGTCCTATCCTTCTTTAGCACCAATTGGCCGACTATGCCCAACAGGAAGGCCTCTGGTTTCTTTAGAAAGGTATATTTAAATACCTTTTTCATTTCATTATAGATCATCTCCCAGAAAGCCTTAATCTTTGGGCACGTCCACCAAAGGTGAAAGAATGTACCTTCGTTTTCCTTACATTTCCAACATTTATTATCGGGCAAATGATAGATTTTTGCAAGCTTGACTGGTGTCATGTACCACCTGTATATCATTTTCATAATATTCTCTCTTAGGGCATTACATGCCGTAAATTTCATACCTGTAGTCCACAACTGTTCCCAGTCAGCAAACATAATGTTATGTCCAACATAAGCATGGAGCTTAAGTTCAATGGAGGCTTGAACATTTTTATTTTGCCTGACTGAAAAAATAAAATAAAATTCAAAACCAAAGGGGGAGAATCAACTAATGTGGAGAAGCCAGTGTGCGCTATAAAACAGGATTATCGGTTTGCAACAGATGTCACCGAGATAGCGGAACATATCCCTGAAGCAGATGCCTTATTATTGCAAAGACCTTTCTCTGAAGCGATCTTAGCAATAGGGTACTTCTTAAGATCAGGAAATACTTTCTGGAACAGCATATTAAAAAAACCCCTGAATGAATCAAGTAAGCTGAACTGAGTAAAGGATGATTAATGGAGAAAGACCTTATTTGCACTACATGTAACTTTTGATAGGAAAAAAGTATGCTCTCAATCAGCTTACTACACATTCAGTCTGTATGCAACCATGATCCCATGCATATTCATGTGCAAGTCATCGCCATTAGTCCTGTGGTGCAGACTTCCAAGGATGCGTGCATATAGAGCTGTGGCTTTATGGCAGACCTCTTGTGTCAAGGTTGATCGCTTGATTAACAGTATTTGATGACTGGCAGCTATTAGATCTAAGATGCCCTACTGCTTTTTTGGATGGGTGCCAAAGGGAATAGCTAAGCAAATCCCTTCTGCTTGGTAGCTGATTTCTGATCTTCCTGGTAGCTGATATTATTGTCGATCGTAATTTCATGTGGCTCAGTTGCATTGTGTGAACTATTTTGTGGAATAGGTACCCTACACGGATATCGGTTGACATAAGGCAGGATAGAAATATTTTACAAAATATGAAATATGAAATTTGATTTCAGCTAGAGAAGGAGGAAGGAGGAAGAAGTTACCCTTTAGTGCAGGCTTCCTCAACCTCGGCCCTCCAGATGTTTTTGGCCTACAACTCCCATGATCCCTAGCTAGCAGGACCAGTGGTCAGGGATGATGGGAATTGTAGTCTCAAAACATCTAGAGGGCCGAGGTTGTAGAAGCCTGCTTTAGTGTACCTAGCAGTCAAATAGATTCTTAGGAGGGCTAAATGCTATTGCTTTTAGGGAATTCGGTGCTGTCTACCTTGTTGTTGTCAGTGTGCATCTCCCTATTCAGCTTGAGTATTGTACATATTTCTCTCGAGGTTTTGAAGCAGAGGCTGGATGGTCACTGTTGTAGTAAGGGATATCCTGCATCAGTAGAGGATTGAACTAGATGACCTTTTGGAGCCTTTCCAACTCTATGATCATGGGATTTCATGCAGATATTATGCACACAAAAAGAAAATTTATTTACTTATGTAGGTTCTCGAGCATCTGTTGCAGGTGTGGGAAAACCCTTTGACTCCGTGGGCCAGATCCTTATCAGGATTAGCCTTGATAGAATGTGGGACCACCCATCTGTCAGTCACTTGATCTCACAATGATGGCACCATTTGGTGCTTTGAATGCCCAAACTTGCAGCTTCAAAGCACTTTGCTAGCAGCAAGGTGCTGATGAAACAAAGGTCTCCCCCACTGCCTGTAACCCTGCAAATTTGCTGCTTGTTGTACGCATTACCAAATTAGAAGGGACTGTTCATCTGACTCATTATAAGGCAGGTTCTTCACCGATATTGCCATTCATCGAATTACCTCAAATGCATAAATATGATGAACGACAAATTAGAAATAATCACATCTCCCTTGCCACAAGGCTAGAATATGCTTAGATAGAAATAATGGCAAAATGCTCAGTTCCAGTTACCTTACCAGCTGCCACAGTTACCAGCAATTCCTGCAAACTAAAGGTCAGAGCCTGCACACTGCACCATCTAGTGTTTAGCGAGAGCATCTTCAGGTTGGCCCGCCAATAACTCAGTTTTCAAAGAAAGCCAATGCCCTGCTGAGATTGCAGGTTCTTATTCATTGGAAGATTAACTGACATGAACATAAGGCTGTCACCAGTATTCACTTGGAAACAGCAGATTGCCCTGTGTCTTTCTAAATGTTATCAATGCAGAAGGCAAGAGAGGAAAACGACACACCAGAAAATACGTTCAAGGCCATTACAAGCCGTTTCACTTCACAATGAAATGAACACACACACACACTCCTTAACCCATCTGTTAATGAGACTGTCAATAAGCTTTTAGCATTGTTATATGGCAGGGTTGAGGAGGACGTACTAATGAGATTGATGGCTATGCTTAGGCCTGTTAAGAAAGAGAATGAAGGAAGGAGCATGAACAATACACATTCTGTAATCCATTTTGGGTCCTGCATCAAAAGACTGCAAACGGCTGCTACTTTTATGGCTAGGAAAAAAGTATGTGCAGGAAGTTGGCAAGCAATTGCACAGAAATCAATGAATTTCGCTGTCATGGTTTCTCTTTAAAAAATACTGCCCTGTCTTTTTTATATATCTGGCATGACACAGACATTTAGCATGCAGGTTTTGCATATCTGCGAAATGCCTGGCACCTTGGGATGAAAATAGTATGCAAATGTGCAGCAAAGTGAGTTTGCCTGAGCAAACATTTAATAAGACTTCATAATTTCCCATTTCCGTTTTCCCACCCCCAACAGCAATAATGGGGATTTTATTGACTTAATTTAGATGTGTGTATCTTGGTTCAACAGCTAAGCCTTGTAGGATGTCTGGTGTAGGGAAGGCTGCTGTGGAGGGCATATTCATATTGGGGTGGTTCACCTTTGTGAACCAAAGGACATGTATGCAGAATTGGAAAGGTAAAGCATTTACTTTTTCCTTCTAGAGTTACTCTAGGACATGGGTAGGCAAACTAAGGCCTACTAAATCTGGCCCATGGATGGTCCGGAAATCAGCGTGTTTTTACATGAGTAGAATGTGTCCTTTTATTTAAAATGCATCTCTGGGTTCTTTGTGGGGCATAGGAATTTGTTCATCCCCCCCCCCCCAAATATAGTCTGGCTCTCCACAAGGTCTGAGGGACAGTGGACCAGCTCCCTGCTGAAAAAGTTTGCTGACCTCTGCTCTAGGAAATATGATCAGCCTAGGTCATTGTCATACACAGATACAGCCAGGGATTAATTTGAACTGAGGGCCTTATCCTGGTGCCCTCAAAAATGAATTAACAACATAAACTTCACTGCTGCACATGTACAGAAACATTTTCTGGGATGTCTGGGTGTTTTTTTGGGGGGGGGGGTGCCTGGGTAGAAAAAGTGAGAATGGGATGTTTGTGCAAATTCTCCAAATGGTAGAAATTCCTTTGAAGGAATAGGAGTCTCTTATCAATGTTCAGTTCCCTTAATAAACTACAGTTCCCATAATTCTTTGGGGGAAGCCATACCTGTTTAATGCAGTATGATGATGCTTTAAATATGTAGTGCAAATGGGGCCAAAATCTCCTTCTGATCCTTTAAAGCCCTGCTTTTGCCTAGTGTACTGAATTACCATAACCCAATAATATTATTTGTTATAGTACCTTCCTGGGTTTGTGATGTGATGTTTTTATAAGTGCATGTGCAATGTTAAGGTAAAATAAAATAGCAGAGAATGGTATTGCTACAACATGAACCTATTGAAAAACTTTGAGATGCTTACAAGGAAAGTACTGTGGATTGGATTAAGTATACCAGAATTTTTGTAGCAATATTTAGATACAACAGAAAACTCACAATATCCTACCTGAACACAATGGTTGCTGGCTTTCTGGAGCAGCTCTATTTAAAAACATCTAATATTTATTTATCCTTCTTCAAGTATAATCCCTTAAATAAGGTTTGGCTTCTGTTGAGATAATCTGTTCAGTTCTGAGTGAGAAATCTTTCCGATTTTGTATCCTTGTTTGCATAATGCTTGCAGCAGACAACAAAGTTAGCTGAAAGTGTAGATAAAACTATAGGGATTACCTTAAAGCATTTGCAAATTGCCACATCCGTGCCCTTTATGTGAGATTTGTAAGAAGCTCAGTGACAACTAAGCTGAAAAGCAACAGAGGATAAGGAATTTCTAGCACAATAAATCATCCTCACTTCTCAATTTCGAAAGCACTGAGGCAGGTTTGGGCGATTATAAAACCAGGAGGCTTAACCTTTCCCATAATGACAAGAGAGTTGAAGTCTTAACCAGTTCTGCCTTCCATACAGCACTCATTATCAAATATTTACCTGCATTGCAGAATTTGGATCCAGGTTTAAAATTCCACAAGTGGGATGGCTGAAGAAGATTACCAGGATTTTCAGGGGTGGTGCTGTGCCGAAAGCTGCCCTCATAAATCGCTGTTGTTATTATTTAAATGTGTATACCACCCTATACCCTCAGGTCTCAGGGCGATTCTCAACAATATAACCCCCCCCCCCAAATCCTCTGCAAATAAGCCCTTGTTTCCCCTCCTGTTTCTCAGGGCACTGACAAAAATCTCCTCAGCTGCCTCAAATGTAAAATAAGCACAACAAAACCTATGTATCTTGCCCATGAGATTTGCTTCAGGGTTTTCTCTCCCCCCTGCTAATGTTCAAATGCAACCCCCCCCATGAATTGATAAGGGGGGAGATGCAGAAGAAACTTTCCACACACACCAGCCGTCCAAAGTGTCCCATCTTTTATTTAAGTAGATGGACACATGAAGAATTCAACCTTCATCTAATGCTAGTCACCTCATGTCCTTCTACTCCCCTTTCCATGCCCACTACAGTGGTACCTCAGGTTACATACGCTTCAGGTTACAGACTCCGCTAACTCAGAAATAGTGCTTCAGGTTAAGAACTTTGCTTCAGGATGAGAACAGAAATCGTGCTCCGGCAGCGTGGCAGCAGCGGGAGGCCCCATTAGCTCTTTAGCTTCAGGTTAAGAACAGTTTCAGGTTAAGTACGGACCTCCGGAACGAATTAAGTACTTAACCTAAGCTACCACTGTACTACATATGCCCAGTCCATATTTAATTGGCATAACAGAATCAACAAAATCAGCAACCAAAGTTGCTCCTCATGAACAAATTCAAATACGTGTGGGTATGAACTACTCTGGTCTAATTCATATGGGGGAAATATGGTATAAACAGCTAAATAATGCTCTTAATTTAGGAAAGCCCCAAGTGGAACCCAAGCTTAGGAGCATACTCAGCACCTCCTCAATTTCTCCAATACTCTATTTTTAATGCATTTATATCCCATCTCATGGCTTTGATGCACAATTTGCACATTTGATTTATTGCATTCACTTGCTCACATGGATCTCTGTACATCTTTTTTTTGTTGTTCCTGCCATATATAAGTAAATCAAACTAATGTATTACCCCCAAGCTTACAGAAACTTTATAATTTTAAAGAATAACAAATGTGGTAACACCAGGAACTGTGCACCTCCTCTGGGTGGAGCAGACACAGCAGGTGACAGCTTTAGAATCCAGCGTGCCTTGGTCTATTCGTTCAAAAGGTCATTTTTCCACCTTTGCCCTTGGAAAATGAAGCACAGCATTGCTGAGATCCAAAGACTGGCCTGTGGCATTTTCATTCGATCAAATAGCAAGGAATGTCAATCTCTCATCAGCCACTAAGAACAAATAAGTTTTAATGAGCTTGAGCTTTGGAAAGCTTTATCAAAGGAACTGGAACCATTTGTGATATTGGCACAGCTGACAAATTATGTAAAACTTGGACTGAGGTAACTGTAACCCTCAAGTTGTTGTTAGGCTCCAACTGCCATCAACCTCAGCCACTGCAGCACCCTGGCCAACAATGAAGGATGGTGGGAGTTGTGGTCCAGCAACATACTGATGGCCGCAGGATCTCCAATCCTGCATTGTGCCATAGTTTAAAATACTGTAAACAATGGTTTCATGGAATGAGGCAGCATGCTCTTTCCCTGTGGAAGTTCTTCCCCACTCCTGCTGCTGCCATGCCACAGATAAACCAAGCCATAGTCTGGTTTGTCGTGTTATCAAAACCTGAGCTCATACTTTGTTTTTTCCAAACAAACTATGAGTGGTAGGCTATGAATGAACCTTGGTTACCACTCATGGTTTGTTTGAGGGGAAACTAATCATCAGTACAGGTATGGGTGACATGATAAGGCAGAATTTGGCCTGCTTCATCCACAGCATAGCAGCAGTGGGAAAGGAGTGCCATGGGAACTTTTGAGTAGGATGCACCCGGCATGTTGCTAGTTCACAATAAACCATGGCTTGTTTTTAAACTCCGGTTTATGTGATATATGAAGTAGGTCATTATCTGAAGAATTAGATATGTGCTTGAAGAACAGTTCAAGTAAAGCAGGGGGGAATTCTTCCCTGCAAACACACACTCCATATGTGGTACTCTGCCCCAGATCACACAGCTGTCTGAAGAAGAAGAAGAAGAAGAAGAAGAAGAAGAAGAAGAAGAAGAAGAAGAAGAGTTTGGATTTGATATCCCACTTTATCACTACCCTAAGGAGTCTCAAAGCAGCTAACATTCTCCTTTCTTTTCCTCTCCCACAACAAACACTCTGTGAGGTGAGTGAAGCTGAGAGACTTCAAAGAAGTGTGACTAGCCCAAGGTCACCCAGCAGCTGCATGTGGAGGAGCGGAGACGCAAACCCGGTTCACCAGATTACGACTCTACTGCTCTTAACTACACCACACCTCAACCACTGGGTCCCCCAACTACTGGGAGCAGAGTTTTTTGGAGGCACGGGGATGGAAAGTAAGGACACCAGTGTGCAGTTCTGCCTACACAAAGCCCTCCATGTGGTCCATGTGGTATGACTATTTTTGAAAAACTAGAACTACAAGAAAATGTATGAACTTCCCCCCCTTTACAGGCAGAACATTTTATATATATACAGAATTTCTCACCAACAGTTAAATATCGATTTGACATTAGTATTATAAACTGTGAACATTTCAGTGCTTTTACATATGGGGAAATCAATAAATATGTACTATACACCAGTTAACAGAGCCACTATAAAAAAATATAAAAACAGCAGGAATATATGAGGGGAAAGTGGCAATTTGTAGATAAAACTATTATGAAGTAAGTGTGCACATTCTGTCTGTAAATGTGGAGACGCCATGAATCCACCCTGCTCCATTGGGACGTCCGCTTTGGTGAGTGACTCCTTCCAGGAGGAATTCATGAAACAGGATGTCTTCACACCTGAAACACGGCAATGTTGCACAGGGTTATTTATTACAGAAAGATCATTCTGGGTTCATAAAAGGAAGGTCAGCTAGGCTGCTTTTAGGGTGCTAAAAAAAAAAAAAGAGCCCTGTTGTATCAAGCTGCAGTTATAAAGCTCAAATTCTTAGATATGGGCAAATGGAGAGATGTAAATCCCCACGACTCTATCTTATCTTAACATCTCTAGGACAAGTGAATGTAGAAGCCAAGTCCTTCCTAACCACAACCTAAGAACCAGTTGAGACATTACCTACACTAGGCACGTCCAACTCCCAAGAGACTGCGATCTACTCCCAGTATAAAAATACTGGAAGTCATCTACCCTTGGGGGGGGGGAGAGGCCAAAGTTGTTGACCTTTTCTTTGGGGGGGAGCCAAATTTAAACCATGACGCAGCAGTAATGACTACTTCTGTATGCAAACTCGTCAGAAACAGATGATTGAAGTCTGCCCATTTAACGCAATGGAGGAACAAAGCGTGGGGGCGGGGCTTTCAATCCATTGTTTTTCTCTTCCACCAATCGATAGGGACCCCGTGATCAACCAAGATCAACCGTGATCATCCAGGGATTGACCTGTTGATCATGGTTGATCATTTGGACATCCCTGACCTACACCATGACAAAGTATTCTGGTGGCAAGTTTTCTACCTCCTGGTTGTACTTCAAAAAGTTCATTGCATAAGTTGGGTGGGTCATCACACTTTGAATTCCTCCCCCTGTGATTCACACCCATGTCATTGCCAGTGGGAGTGAAGAAACTCATTGTTTGATGGTCTCAGCTGATGAAGTATTCTGCTTCATGATACAGCTGGGAGGTGCCATGTTACCTTTATGCAGTGTCTTATGAGGCCCAAGTTCAATTCTGCCCAGCTTCTACCTAAAACTTCCACAAACAACCTTCCATTTTCTTTCTCCAGGGCTTGTAAACCCCGATGTGCCAAAGCTCCAAACGGCACCATATCCACTTTGCCATTGTAGTTCAGGAACCCATAGCAGAATTTGCTCCAAACCCTTTTGGGTTCTCTGCCTTTCCCACCAAAGGGTTCTCTGCCTTTCCCACCAAAAGGGTTCTCTGCCTTTCCCACCAAAAAACATTTGATTAGCACTGAAAAGAAGAAATATCAAGGCCATGTTTAGCAAATGGAAGGTCTTCAACATACCCGTTTGTTGCCAAGGTGTGAAGAAGACGAATCATTCTGCTGCCGAGTTCTATTCTTCCCTTGAGAAGCCTGATCGCCTAAGAAATAGGAAGTGCATGTCAATTAATTGGGCACAAAGGCATAATCACACCAGAGTTTGCTGTATTAGCCATGTGCCATTGCAGTCAGTGGAGGAGAGCCACAGAAATGACAGCTATCCAGAGAAATGTGGCCCACATATTAATCTAGTATGTCTGCATTGCGTACAGATGCATAATTAGAAATGAGTTTAGTTACTCATTTGTAGTTCTAAAAAAAGGGGGGGCGAAGGTTAATCTTTTCCCAAGTATAGGTAGCTCAGAGATATGTTTTGGACTACAACTCCCATCATCACTTATAGTTTGTGATGCTAGCTGGGGCTGATGGGAGTTGTAGTCCACTGCATCTGGAGGTCTCACCACATTGGCTTCCCCTGATGTAGCTCTACACACACACATATATATTCCACCACCACGGTAAGTGTCTTCTGGAAGTAACTTAAGCCCAACCTTCATGGCATCAATTTAGACCAAATTTCTAAGCACACAGTCAAATGCATGGACCTTGCCTGAAATCTTGTAACCAATGGGAGTACTCACATTGGTTTGAAGGGCTCCAGAGGTAACGACATGCCTAAAGGCAAGTCATATGAGGAAAGATTCAAGAAACTGGACATTCCTGGCCCAGAAGGAAAATAAATGTTAATGGGGAGTAGATATATATCGGAGATGTAGAGCATAATACGAAATCTTACTAAACTATATTAGGTGAAAACCAAATCTGCTTAGCACCATCAGCATACAGAATGCCAGAGGCTACAGATCCAGAGCAGGAAAGTGTTATTGTGCTAACATCCTGCTTGTTGACCCATCTGGTTGGCCATAGTGAAAACAGAATGCTGGTCTAGATAGGCCTTTGGTCTGATCTAGCGGGGTGCTTATTATGCTTACAAAGGCATTGTGCTGTCTCTTGAATCACAGTTAAGGAATTCAGGCCCCGCACAGATATTGGTAACATCACTGGTGTATTAACAAGGTTTTATGGAGCTTTCTGGCAGGGCTCTTCATGCAGACCTGCAAGAGTTCTCCCCATCCCCCAGATCAAGGAAAATAGAGAGAGGATGGGTTGTTCTTTGGTTCAGGGGACAGTGCACAGTTAATTCACTGTCTTGAATATAAAACAGGTACTAGATGTGCCATCACTCAAAGATGACTGACGGGGTTAATAGCCTATGTTATCTTATGCCAAAAATAGGGATGGGTGAATCTGTAATTTTTCTCTTCAGTTCTAATACCTCTAATCTGAAGTTCAGTTCTCCACATTTCTACATCAGTTAGTGATTTTTTTAAAAGTCATCACAAAAATTCATCATCATTTTTACGCTAATTTCTCCTAATATGCAATTTTGCCTAATATATTTTGCAAAGCAATTTCTCCTAACATTTGTGTGTTCTATTTTTACAAATACATGCATGTTGTTGTGCTTATTTACCCTAGTATATTACCTGGTGGGAGAATAGCACTGCCAAATTCAGAGAAGTGCGAATTTCAAAGCATGGTTGTGTTTTGGTTCATGCTTTGCTTTGGAAAATGTGGATGTAAAGATCACCTTTGCATGAGAACTGAATCAAATTTCATTCGCATCCCAAGTCAAGCAGCAACTGTGCGAACCAGAGCAGAGATAACCCATAACCATGGTTAAGTTTTCTTAAACCATGGTTATGTGTTAAATCTACACTGCAACACAGAACTAAGCTGTACCTTTTGGGCAGTTGCCCATCTTTCTGTGCATTTCCTGCTGTTATTGAACTGCTTTGACCTGGGTTGTGTACAGAACTCAAGAAATTAGCCTCGCTCCTTCAGAAGACACAGATAAAGGTGAATGTGATTACACATATGAAAAAGGAACATCCAAGGAGGATTTAGAGGGAGAAGAACCTTTACTTTCAAGCCCTTTTCCTGAAAAAAACCCCCTCAACATTCCACAGGACCTGAAAGGCAAAAGTGGATTTTATACTTATGGAAATGTGTATGAGCTGAAAAGGTATTAAACTTCTGAAAATTCAGCTGCAAAGTGTATTAAATATGAATCAAATTAGCTGGAGTGTGAGAGGGAAGCGGGGAAAAATAATGTTTCTCGAGTGGTTATGACTCAGTTCTCTTCCAAATATAGTATGCACACAACATTGTTCAGTAACGAGTTTATCAAGCTTTTGCTCTGCAAAAAGAGGACTCAGAGCCAAGGTGGAAGATTCAGAAGCTCCCAGAGGCATTAGAAGCTCATTCCCAATTTCCTAAAAAAATAAAGAATCTGTCAGTGTGATTCTCCTGTTGCTGCAAGTTAGACATCACCAAGGATAAGAGGAATACTTTGATAACTCTATAGTAGTGTTTTTTGAACTGCGTTCTACTGAGTCCTAGAATTTTGGGAAGGTTTTATTAGGGATTTTTCAGTGGGATAATCAATCTTAGGGTCTGGTCTGAAGGAACCATCTTGCTGGAGCTTAGGTGTGGGTCTGGTCAGTGCAGGGATGACTGAGTCCCTGAGAACCACAGGTATACTGTCTTGTACTGGTTGGACACAGAGGAATGATAGGAGGAACCAGCTGGGGAACCCCCAAGGGAAGAAGGCTTAGAGCCTGGGGAGTGCTGGTGGGACAACAAAGAGGTGAGAAGACTCGGAGCAGGTGTTGGAAGCTGAGGAGGCAACAGGGCTTAGTGAGCTGGGAAAGTCTGTGGTAGAAAGAGATCCAGAATCAGAGGCAGAAGCTGAAGCAGGAGGATGGGAGGAGAGAGGCCAAAAGGCAGAGATGAATCAGGCTGGTGAAGAGTCACAGGTGTCTCCCCTTCCCCCTTGTCTCCCAGAACCAGGAATGCCATGAAAAGGGTGGAGGAGAGATGGGCGATGCACAGACACAGTATTTGATTGCTTGGGGAAAAATCCTAGTGAGGAAGCTGTGGGGAGACAGGGACCTTCAGTCTTAGCAACTGCTTCATGGGGGCAAGACCTACTGAATATGAGTTGCTGTGCTCATGAGGCCTAACACTCCTGTGCAGGTTGTGTTTTTGCTTATAAAGATTGAATTCCAACTTGCATGCCATGATTTACTGCTGGTTCGCTCCTATTATATACCTACTTGAGTTCTGTAATGGAAGGAAGGAGCAGGGCTGAACCAAGATATTTTGTTGCCTCAGGAGAAGGGCAAGATGGTGCCCCCTCCCACAGCATCCACTCACCTGAGGCAGCAGACTCATTCTGCCTCATGGTAGGGCCAGCCGTAGAGGGGAGGGATTGTAACGGTAAGTAAATAGAGAAAAGTATGACTGCTCTGGGGAGCCTCAGAGGTGTGCTAGGCATGGTGAGGATGTGCTGTGGGCATTGTTAGAGGGGCTGAGCTTCACGTTTTTTGACATGGGCTCCAAACCTCTTGCCCTATTCTGTAGCTTTTGAGAAACTTCCTGGGTGAGACTCAATTCACCCAGCAGAGACACTTACACACATAATTTAGAATATGCAAATTTAATGCAAATTTGTGTCACATGGGTCTCTGCCCCGAGTACACTCTTTTCATGCCCAGGCCAACTATGAAGTCTAATAGAAATGGTAATAGAAAAAAAGATGTTTCCTTTAAACTTAACCATTTTTAAAGAAACCCACCCTAGTTCCCAGTATAGGCAGCGATGAGCAATCATGACTTACCATTTTCTGGAGAAGTTGTCTTCACAGAAATAAGCTTCACATTCTCTTTATCCGATGGGGTTCTGTTGGGAAATGTTGAAGGTGTTTGGAGACATTTAAATCATGAGGGGGAAAGAGTACATTTCTAGAAGAGGGTTCAATTTAGCCAATCCAAGCAGTACATAAATACTGTATTTAAATAAATAAGTAAATGGATGACTGTGGTCAAGTTATTTCAATACAGGAATGGCCAGGACTGTCTTACCAACTGAAGTTGGTAAAAGAAACTCCTGGCCACTGAGGACACCTGCACCTTCTGGGACAGAGCTGGATGTTGCATTGAACAATAGTTATCTCACACTTTTCAGTGTATTTTTCCTTATCAGAAAAAAAAATCAATTTTTGGGGGGAGGGAGGGACAGATTTGTTGCTCAAGAGCATGGAATCAACTTTAATTGTGCAACCTTAATTTGCCAATCTACGGTTGAATACTGCCCCCAAATAGCAAGAGTCTGGAAGTACCCCTTGTGAAGGAAACAAGTTCTGTATCAAAACGCACTTTCAAGGTGAATACTCTCTAAGTTACTGTAAGCAGCAACTGCATTCTCTGAACCAGATAGGGACAGTAGAGTTTTGGAAAAACCAACTCTGTCTGAAAGAATAGCCAAACGGACTAAATTCATAATACTATTTGGCAAATACTGTTTGAAAAAGTTTGAAAAAGATCTTCCAGAGGTAACAGGGAGCTGAAAAAAAGTTGTCAAGAATTTTATTGTAGTTAGAGAGTATAGCTTGGTATTTGGGTCAGCAGCAGAGGAATGTGCCAAACCTCTCCAGGAAGTCCACCTGAATCAGCAAATAAAGGACTTAATAAAGAAAAAGGCAACTTCTTCCTGCACATAATTGATTTCTTAAAAAAAATAAAAAAATAAACAAGGATGGACAAGGTATGGGCCGTTTGAGAACTCGGAACAGTCACTGCTGCTACAGAATTTAGGTGTGTATTGGCGATAGTAAGCTCCCTGGGACTCTTTCTGCCAAATACATTTACAACACGAAAGTTATTCATATTATAAGAAAGGGGATTTTGCGTGTTCAGACCCAGAGACCTCCCCCCTAAATAAGGACACACTTGACTCAAATTTTCATTTTGGTTTTTTGCAGAAATTAGGCCACAGCTTTATTGATTATAGAAGGTGAGTGGTTGCATAGGCTCTGGTTTGACTTGCTCCCTGCACTCTTGCAGGCAGCGCTGACCCAGGGCACCAGCATAGGTCAACCAAGGGTGACCCTGGGTAGGCAAAAAGTTGGGAACAGACTATGTTCACCACCCAGATGCCCCCCTGGACTCAGGCACGGGCACAATCCCCTCTCAGGGGTTGACCAAACCAGTTGAGTCCCTGGATTCCTTTAACGGAATACCCTTCACAAAGGAATGGCGAGACCATTCTCCCATCCCTAACACCTGAACCAGTGCCTATCCACAACCTTACAAGTTGTGATGATTTGCTATGTGGCAGGTGAAACCCGAATAGCAACCGCCAATCAGCCAAGTGGGGAAATTTCTGCCATGCCCCTGCCCCAACGACAGACAACACACAACGTCATAGCAAGGTCAATCACAAAATGCCCTAAAAGTAGGGTGAGGTGGGCTGGTGTTCCGAATGCATGAGCCGACAGAGGAAGCTCTGGGTCATGTGCATGGGTATATATACGTCCCTTGATCCGTTTAGACTGCACCCCATTGGCCAGATTGAACCCAACATTAAGGGACCTACCAATTGGGTGTTGTGGCTGACCAATCTTACCCACCCACAACACAGGTGGTCAGTCTCCAAGTCTTACCGCAACACATGCCCTCTTTTAGGGAGGACACAATTTGTATTAACGTGAGGAAGGACTTCTTGGCAGAATGAACAGCAAAGGCATGTTTGTTAGGGCAAATGGGATACTGTTCCAATAACTTCACTATGCCCTTCTGCCTGCCCTCTTACTTACTCCCATTCCAAGGAGTGGTCCTGAGGCTGCTGTAGCAGACTGTGAGGGTGCTGCTCACATGACCTCCTGGCAGCAGAGTTACTGCTGCTTACTGGGAGGGAGAAAGGAAGGGTGGGAAGGGTGAGGTGGTGGGGAGGTCCTGGCTGTCAGCTGCCTCCTCCTTAGCCTTCTAGAACTCAACAGGGAGAAAGATTCACACAGATCAACAGGGGTCAAAGTGAGAATTAGCTGGCACTATCTGTTGCTGAAAGTGAGAGCTGGACCATAAAGAAGGTTGATCGTCGAAGAATTGATGCTTTTGAATTATGGTGCTGGAAGAGACTCTTGAGAGTCCCATGGACTGCAAAAAGACCAAACCTATCCATTGTGAAGGAAATCAGCCCTGAGTGCTCACTGGAAGGACAGATCCTGAAGCTGAGGCTCCAATACTTTGGCCACCTCAGTAGTGAGAAGAGAAGACTCCCTGGAAAAGACCCTGATGTTGGGAAAGATTGAGGGCACAAGGAGAAGGGGAGGACAGAGGACGAGATGGTTGGACAGTGTTCTCATAGAATCATAGAGTTGGAAGAGACCACAAGGGCCATCGAGTCCAACCCCCTGCCAAGCAGGAAACACCATCAGAGCACTCCTGACATATGGTTGTCAAGCCTCTGCTTAAAGACCTCCAAAGAAGGAGACTCCACCACACTCCTTGGCAGCAAATTCCACTGTCGAACAGCTCTTACTGTCAGGAAGTTCTTCCTAATGTTTAGGTGGAATCTTCTTTCTTGTAGTTTGGATCCATTGCTCCATGTCCGCTTCTCTGGAGCAGCAGAAAACAACCTTTCTCCCTCCTCTATGTGACATCCTTTTATATATTTGAACATGGCTATCATATCACCCCTTAACCTCCTCTTCTCCAGGCTAAACATGCCCAGCTCCCTTAGCCGTTCCTCATAAGGCATCGTTTCCAGGCCTTTGACCATTTTGGTTGCCCTCCTCTGGACACGTTCCAGTTTGTCAGTGTCCTTCTTGAACTGTGGTGCCCAGAACTGGACACAGTACTCCAGGTGAGGTCTGACCAGAGCAGAATACAGTGGCACTATTACTTCCCTTGATCTAGATGCTATACTCCTATTGATGCAGCCCAGAATTGCATTGGCTTTTTAGCTGCCGCGTCACACTGTTGGCTCATGTCAAGTTTGTGGTCAACCAAGACTCCTAGATCCTTTTCACATGTACTGCTCTCAAGCCAGGTGTCACCCATCTTGTATTTGTGCCTCTCATTTTTTTTGCTCAGGTGCAATACTTTACATTTCTCCCTGTTAAAATTCATCTTGTTTGTTTTGGCCCAGTTCTCTAATCTGTCAAGGTCGTTTTGAAGTGTGATCCTGTCCTCTGGGGTGTTAGCCACCCTCCCAGTTTGGTGTCATCTGCAAATTTGATCAGGATGCCCTTGAGTCCATCATCCAAGTCGTTGATAAAGATGTTGAATAAGACCGGGCCCAAGACAGAACCCTGTGGCACCCCACTAGTCACTCTTCTCCAGGATGAAGAGGAACCATTGATGAGCACCCTTTGGGTTCAGTCAGTCAGCCAGTTACAAATCCACTGAGTGGTAGCATAGTCAAGACCACATTTTACCAGCTTCTTTACAAGAATATCATGAGGCACCTTGTCAAATGCCTTGCTGAAATCAAGGTAGGCTACATCCACTGCGTTCCCTTCATCTACCAGGCTTGTAATTCTGTCAAAAAACGAGATCAGGTTAGTCCGACATGACTTATTTTTCAGAAATCCATGCTGACTATTGGTGATCACAGCATTCCTTTCTAGGTGCTCACAGACTGTTTGCTTAATGATCTGCTCCAGAATCTTCCCTGGTATTGATGTCAGACTGACTGGGCGGTAATTATTTGGGTCCTCTCTTTTCCCCTTTTTGAAAATAGGGACAACATTTGCCCTCCTCCAGTCTGCCAGGACTTCGCCTGTTCTCCAGGAATTCTCAAAGATGACTGCCAGTGGTTCTGAGATCACATCTGCCAGTTCTTTTAATACTCTTGGATGCAGTTCATCTGGCCCTGGAGACTTGAATACATCTAAACTAGCCAAGTATTCTTGTACTATCTCCTTAGTTATTCTGGGCTGTGTTTCCTTTGCTGAATCATTTGCTCCAAATTCTTCAGGTCGGGCATTGTTTTCTTTATCAGAGAAGACTGAGGCAAAGAAGGCATGGAGGAGTTCAGCCCTTTCTGTGTCCCCTGTTTGCATTTCACCATCTTCTCCTCTGAGTGACCCCACTGTTTCTTTGTTCTTCCTTTTGCTACGAACATACCCATAAAAGGCTTTTTGTTGCTTTTAACCTCTCTAGCAAGCCTGAGTTCATTCTGTGCTTTAGCTTTTCTGACTTTGTGTCTACACGTGCTGGCTATTTGTTTGAATTCCTCTTTGGTGGTTTCCCCTTTTCCATTTTTTGTACACATCCTTTTTAAATCTTAACTCAGTTAAAAGTTCTTTAGATAGCCACCCTGGCTTCTTTAGGCACCTTCCATGTTTCCGTCTCATTGGTATTGCCTGACGTTGTGCTTTTACTATCTCCCTCTTAACAAACTCCCAGCCATCATGAACTCCCTTTCCTTTTAGTATTACTGTCCATGGGATCTCACCCAGCACTTCCCTAAGTTTTATGAAGTCGGCTTTCTTAAAGTCAAGAAATTGAGTCCTAGTATGCTTGGCTGCTCCTTTCCGCTGTATAGTAAACTTCAGAAGAGCATGATCACTCGCGCCTAATGATCCTTCCACTTCTACCCCACTAACCAGGTCATCAACATTGGTTAGGACCAGATCTAAAATGGCTATTCCTCTTATTGTTTCTCCCACTTTCTGGACAATGAAGTTGTCTGCAAGGCCAGTGAGGAATCTGTTTGACCTTATGCTCTTGGCTGAGTTTGACATCCAACAAATATCCGGGTAATTGAAGTCCCCCATTACTACTATCTCCCTTCCTCTTGCATGCTTGGCCATCTGTTCCAGGAAGGCATCATCTATGTCCTCCGTTTGGCTTGGGGATCTATAGTAAACTCCCACAATGAGGTCACTGTTATTCTTCTCTCCCTTAATTTTGACCCAAATGCTCTCACTTTGGCTTTGAGGTTCTAAATCTTGGATCTCTTCACAGGTATACACATCCCTGACATATAACGCCACTCCTCCTCCTTTCTTGTCTGGTCTGTTTCTCTGAAATAGATTGTATCCCCCATTATTACATTCCAATCGTGGGACTTATCCCACCAGGTTTCAGTGATGCCTATTATGTCATATTTAGTTTCCTGTACCAAGAGCTCAAGCTCATCTTGTTTATTTCCCATGCTTTGCGCATTAGTGTACAGACATTGAAGTCCATTAATCATTCCCCCGTGTCTCTTATTTAAGGATTTTTTTCTCCCACCACTAGGTCTGCGTGCTGTTTACTCCATTTGGTCTATGACATTTGGATGATCATCTTCATCAATTGATAGACTCCTACCTTCAGGAGCACTGTCTCCCTCCCCTACATTAGTCAGTTTAAAGCCCTCCTGATGAGGTTTCTGAGATTTTTGGCAAAAACATTTCTCCCAACCGTTGTGAGGTGCAGCCCATCGCTTGCCAGAAGTCCATCTTCAAGAAACTGCAGTCCGTGATCTAAGAATCCAAACCGTTCCTGTTTACACCATTTGCGAAGCCAGCTGTTAACTTCCACTATTTCCCCCTCTCTCCCTGGGCCACGTCGTTCAACTGGGAGGACAGATGAGATGACAATTTGTGCATTTAATTGCTTCAATTTCCTGCCCAGAGCCTCGTAGTCTCTTTTGATCTTCTGGAGGCTATTGCTTGCAGTGTCATTGGTTCCCACATGAACCAAGAGGAAGGGGTATTTGTCAGTGGGTTTTATGATTCCTTGCAGTCGTTCAGTTACATCTTGGATCTTAGCCCCGGGGACAGCACACTTCCCAAGACATCTTGTCAGGCCCACAGATCACTGCTTCTGTTCCCCTCAGTAGGGAATCCCCTATCACCACTACATGCCTCCTCTTAGGTTTGGTCGGGGTTCTTCCGTGAGCTGTCCGTTCCAAGGTCGCCTGCACATTACCTGATGACTGACTTTGCTGCTCGTCTTCATATACCTGATCGACTGTAATGAGGGAGAGATCCTCAAATGGAGTCTGCTCTTCGTCTTCCATGCTAGGGGAGAGGACCTCAAAGCGATTGTGTATTTCTAAACAATCAGAGCGAACCCTGGGCCTCCTAACTCTTTGAGTCACGTTTCTCCATATATCTGGCTCCTGTGTTGGTGAACTAGCCTCCTTCTCAGGGGAGTCCCCTGTCTCCTCCTTGGTGGAGACGGTGTGCTCTGTTGCTTCCAAGAAGAGCTCCAGCTCTCTAATTCTTTGGAGCGTAGCTACACGTTCCTCCAGTTGCTGGACTTTGTCTTTTAAGAGGGCAATCAACATGCAATTGCTGCAGGTAAAGCTGCCTGCAACCTTTGGCAAGATGGCAAACATTGCGCAGGAACCGCAGGCGACTGCAGCTGTTCCCTTCCCCTCCATCTTGAGAATGTGTTGTTGGGGGTGGCTACAGCGGTCCTCCATCATAAAAAGCGTGAAGACAGGACAAATAACTCCCCCCACAAAAAAACCTAGGTCTCCCCAACAAACGTTTGAGACTAGCTCCCCTAAATCTAAAAGATGGATCAAACTAATCAGCCACAAAGAAACACACACACACACACACACACACAAGAAAACCCTTTTTGCTCCTTCAACTGCTGCCCTGCAAGCTCTGATAAGCTCTGATAAGCTCCTCCCACAGCTAATCACCTGCCTCAACAGAAACCCTGCGCCCTCTGACCTTTGCACAGGGAGAGCAGCTAATCAGCCACAAAGAAACACACACACACACACACACACACGAAAACCCTTATTGCTCCTTCTTCAACTGCTGCCCTGCAAGCTCTGATAAGCTCCTCCCACAGCTAATCACCTGCCTCAACAGAAACCCTGCCCCCTCTGACCTTTGCACAGGGAGAGCAGCTAATCAGCCACAAAGAAACACACACACACACACACACACACACACACAAGAAAACCCTTTTTGCTCCTTCTTCAACTGCTGCCCTGCAAGCTCTGATAAGCTCTGATAAGCTCCTCCCACAGCTAATCACCTGCCTCAACAGAAACCCTGCCCCCTCTGACCTTTGCACAGGGAGAGCAGCTAATCAGCCACGAAGAAACACACACACACACACACACACACAGAAAACCCTTTTGCTCCTTCTTCAACTGCTGCCCTGCAAGCTCTGATAAGCTCCTCCCACAGCTAATCACCTGCCTCAACAGAAACCCTGCCCCCTCTGACCTTTGCACAGGGAGAGCAGCTAATCAGCCACAAAGAAACACACACACACAAGAAAACCCTTTTTGCTCCTTCTTCAACTGCTGCCCTGCAAGCTCTGAAGGTACCAACATGAGTTTGGCCAAACTGTGGGAGGCAGTGGAAGACAGGAGTGCCTGGTGTGCTCTGGTCCATGGGGTCATGAAGAGTCGGACATGACTAAATGATTAAACAACAACAAATCTGTTGTTGGCTCTGGCGCCACCTACTGTTGGCCTCCTTGTCTTCTGCCCTACCAATCCAAATGGAGACTGGCTACCACAGGGTATATAGAGTGTTCAGCAGTGGGACTGAATAGCACTGAAAGTGGTAGAAGTTTTCAAGCAGAGGCTTAATAACCTTTTAAAAGGCTATGAGGGATTCTGTAGCAGCCAATTTTCTGCATTTGCAGTTGACCATCCCAACTCAATGATTCCATGAAGCAGTTATGGAAGAATGATGTTGCCTGGCTCTGTGTTGTCAGGGGAGTGATAGAAATCAATCTTCCCAGCTGCCCTCATTCTGAAGTTTTATCTCCCAAACAAGCCCACACTGGTTATTACAGAGGCTGATAGTTACTGAATAGAGGAGACACGCTGATAAAGCTGCATGAATCTGTGCAGACATCAGGTGTGTTTTGTTCTCACACAGTGACAAATATGAAGAGGCAATGCACACAGATCAAGAAGGACCGTGTCAGAGTGTATTTTTGTGAACGGACTTCTGCAAATCTCTTGTCTCTCTCTCATTTATGGGAATGACCCTGACCATGTACTGTAGAGATGTCAAGACCTTCTTGATAAGTCCGGATTTGTATCTCAAAAGAAACTGTCAGAAAACCAGTGCCACAGTGGGGTTCTTCTGAATTTGAAGAACATGCACGGTTGGGTTGCAGGGACAGGAATTGCAAGATAGCTGAACTAGTGGCAGAATGGCCTAGTTATTTTCAAAACCTGGACCATTATAGCAGAGGTAGCCAATGCGAGGCTATGACTCTCATCATGCTGGCTGGGGCTGATGGGTGTGGGGAGCCCCACAGCATCTGGAGGGTACCATCCTGGCTCTTGCTGCCTTCAAGGGACTGCTTCCATAAGGCACCTTTATATTAGCATAGGATAGGAGGAAAGGAAAACAACTTACTGTTCAGTTCCGTTTTCTTGTCTCTCTGAAAGGAAAAGGAGATTCACATGATATGGATATCCCAGCGCTAATTGTCAGGGAGTAAGATTCCTACCTAGTCTTCTCCATCACCTGTAACTCTTTCACATGCCAGGATTTTCTCCTTCTTGCATATCAGAATAATTGTGCAGTGTGAGCATTCACTGAATTTGGCAATAAGGAATGATTTACTTGCTAGGGTTATACAGTTGTAAGCGATTTCTGGAGCAATAAGAATGGGAGCCTAACTACCGTCTCTTTTATGAGTACGGATGGGTAAATATGTGAATTACAGTTTCTCACAATCCCTCAGGTTTCAAATCTTCAGTTCTCTGCCTTTCCATATTAGTTAACAAATGTGATTTGTAAAAGCCCTCATGAAAATAGATAAAACATTTTTGTGAAAATTTCTATTTCTTCTTCTTTTTCAGTTTATTACCTGCCTTCAGCAGCAAGCCCCAGAGTGGGTTAAAACAAATCAAAATTCAGAATAAAACTAGTTACACCCTTATTTTCTGGTATGTACTTTTGCCTAATATACATATTAGTTGCAAAGTATATTTCCCCTAATACTTATAATTTCTCTAATACAGTGCATTTTTGTATGTTATCTTCACTAATCTATGCATGTTGTCACACACTTTACCCTAACATATGTATTGTTATACACATTACTTGGCAGGAGAACTGCACTGCAAAATTCTGGGAAGTGTAAATTTTGAAGGCTGGCTATGTTTTGGTTTGCATATTGTTTCAGAAAGTGTGAATTAGGCAGATACGCCTTTAAATGTGAACTGAATTGAATTCCCCCTTGCAACTTTATATATATATATATATATATATATATATATATATATAAAAAAAATATTTATTACGGTCCAACGACCCATAACATAGGTACAGAATAAAATACAAACTCATATAGACAACCCCCCCAGGGAAGGGAGACCGAAGTGTTATTTGTTTAGTCATGGGTATGTTGATCTGCAGCTTAATATTGCTGTGAATAGAGCTGATGTTTGGGATTCTAGCTACCCTCTGAGGTATAGCTACCCTCTGCAATCGGTCATTACTCCGCAAAGACTGAGCATGCTCAGTCTTCATTGGACTCGTTTCCTGTTCTTCTGCAAACCGTGGGGTGTCCAAAAGCCTGCTGACAGCTCCCTCTTGTGGCAAGGAGGCTGGTTGATGATGCTTAGGCTGGATAAGCAAGAACTCTGTGTGACATGTTGAACATCACGATTACAAATCGCAAAAAATCCCAATCAGTTCAAAAATATTCTAACAAATATGCTGCAGCTGAAATTACAACGGGAAATATAATTCAAACCCGTTTTATATATTTTTCAAAAAATAATAATATTTATTTATTTTTTGGTTAAAAGTTGAATAGATACCTGGAGTTGTCTTCAAGCACATTCTGTACAAAGTCACCAGAAGGAATACGGAAAGGGATATGACTATCAAGGCAATGATGACCGGCAAAATAATGGCTGCATGCAATGGAGAAAAACTGTTTTAATTCATACATGTCAACATCTTAGATTTTTTTTTAAAGGAAAAAGCACACGCAAAACATGTTCCGCCCTGACCCCTTTCTACACCGTGCCTGCAGTGGAAATTCTTACCTAATTTCTCAGCTTTCCTATTTTCCAGTGCAACCACTGGGTGGCAGGCTTACAGCCATTACGAAAGACCATAACCTGACTTCCTCCCCGGTTCCAAAGGCCTCTGCAGTAAACAGCAATATCCTTGCTGCGAGGCCTGCGTCCATATATACCCTTCCTTGACAGGCCTAAAGGTGTATAACACTTTCCCTAGGGGAATTAAGGCTGAGATTTCAAAAAAGTGTCAGCAGCAACTGCAGTAAAATTCCAATTTGTGTGTGCGCATTGCATTGTGTGTGCATGTTATGTTATGTTGTTATGCTATGTTACGTTGTTACGTTATGTTTGTGTGTGTGTGTGTGTATGTATGTGGGTTTCTTTGTCCAGGACTGAACTGCTGCCTTTGATAGGAGGCAAATGCCACACATTGTTTTACTGATGATTTGTTAATTATTCTCTATGATTTATGTTGTATTTGTGATGTTATCGGGCAGACATATCCCCCCTGTTCATGCTTTCTGTAAGAATGACCTAATCCAGGGTTATCACTTGCATGATATTGAGGCTTTGACCTCCATCCTCAAGAATAATTTCAGGACTCAGAGGGTGAAAGGCGATGTCAGTTCTGCTCTCATTAGAGCCTGTCTCTCTTGCAGATAGCTCTTATGCAGGCAGGTAGACAGCTTTCTGTAATTAGGTTCACTGTCCACCAAGGAGTGAAGTTAAGTTGCGGACAAATTTATTTCGGCAGCTGCCATAAAACCACCACACTCAGTGTGCTTACTGGTATAAGAGGGGTGATCCTGTTTTTCGGCGTGTGCATTTACAGTGTTGCCTACGAGAAAGAAAAACTGTGATTAAAGTAAAACATTCACTCGCATGGTTTCTGCTTTTTAAAAAAACAATTCAGCTAGCAGTTTAATAATAATAATAATAATAATAATAATAATAATAATAATATAATTTATTATTTATACCTCGCCCATCTGGCTAGGTTTTCCCAGCCACTCTGGGCGGCTTCCAACCAAACACTAAAATACAATAATCTATTAATCATTAAAAGCTTCCCTAAACAGGGCTGCCTTTAGATGAACACAACTGCAACTTTCTTATCTCCCCGCATCCCACAGCTGTCCTGTTCCAAGTTACCAGTAGACTGAAGAGCAATTATTATGATACTATTCTGACAAGAGAAGCTGCTTTGGTTCCACTTCTCATTTTCCCAGTGTCACTTCTCCACATTTCCACAGTAGTTTGCGATTTTATTTATTTTTTGCCATTGGAAAATACACCAGCATTTTAGTAACAAATTTCTCCCAAAAGACGCCTTTTTGTACGCAGTTTTGCTCAGTGCTATTTTTTGGGGAAAAGACGTGCCGTAACTCGCCACGAACACCTCCCTTCTTCTCTCAGAAAGACAACAGTGCCCACTTGAGAGGTGCAGGAAATGTGTTCCAGTGAGTTCTGGCTGAAAAAAAGCCCTGGTTTTGCTTAATGTACACATTTTTGCAAATCTGTTTCCCCATTTTTGCATGTTATTTTCACTAATATATGGGTCTGCACATTTTACCCTAAAGTATACATATACTGCTTGAGCGATGAACTTCCTTGAAAAATTTGGAGAAGGATGGCTGTGCTTCAGTTCATGTGTTGTTTTAAAAAGAGCAAATTGGGTAGATATGGCTTAAAATATGAACTGAATCAAATTTCTTTTCTATCCCAAGCTAGGAATGATCTATAACTCAAATATTAGCCCAGTCCACTTGGATATAACCCAATTTCACTCCCCTGATTCCATTTCGAGTGCTTAGAATTTAAGCCAACTAAATATAATTTGCTTCCAAGAGATTTAGACTGAATTAAATCCAAGTACCTCAACTTCACAGATCTCTCCCCCCTTATACACACACACACACACACACACACACACACCCAGTAGCATATGTTTTATTTAATGCTTTTCAGGGATTTTGTTATAGCCCTCTTCATTGACATTGCTGGTCTCATTAAAACTAGATTACATTTTTTGCTGATCCAGGTTCAACCTTATTGAATTAACCAAAATCTTATGCTGGTCAGCAGTTTTCTGCCTCCCTACTATGTGATATTTATTTGAAAAATAATCTGGCATCCATTATTATGTTTTCTTGAATTTTCATATACACTTAAGAAACCTATATTCTAGGTGATGTTATTGTCTTAAAGATATGCATCTGTTTTACTTTCTTTCTTGAGTGATAGCATTTCTTATCATAGAATCATAGAATCATAGAATCATAGAGTTGGAAGAGACCACAAGGGCCATCGAGTCCAACCCCCTGCCAAGCAGGAAACACCATCAGAGCACTCCTGACATATGGTTGTCAAGCCTCTGCTTAAAGACCTTCTCAGTCCACACTAACCTTTACCTTATTATCTGAATCCCAGGTGAATTTTTTAAAAAATTAAAAGCCCACATATTAACCTCCTCAAGTTTCTGAGATGCTTTAATTCCTATATTTTCGTCAGTATTTACCAAAATAAGGCATATCAAAGGACTGCAACTTTACTATAAATTCTGTTGTGAATCGTGATCATTATATTTATTCCTAGGATTTCCTTTCCCTCCATTTGTGAACGGTAAGTTTGCCATATGGCCGAGAATTGAATGCCCTATAGCACGGTAGCAGAACATAAACGTTGTCTGCAAAGGCCTGTAAAACAAGGGTGTGGAATCACTAACTTGCAGGCCGTAAGAGCTCCTGCTGCCATTCTTCCCCCAACAGCCAACAGAGTCTCATCTGCCCCTCCCTGACGCAACAAGGCTTGAAGAAAGCCTTCTGTTGGAACCAATGGAAGGCTTTTTCCAAGCCTAACTGGAGCCATTTTCAGGGTACTCATAGCTTCAGAGGAAAGGAAGGTCTTCCTGGAAAAAGCAGCAGAGGAGGGAATGGGTAACCACCCTTCAGCAACAAGGCTTGGAAAAAGCTAAAATGCTCACATTGGCCACATTCACTGTTGTCTTGGCCACTGCCATGTTCCCCTGAAGGGCTGACCAAGGGGGAGTCCAATCCTTGGGCTGCAAAAACTCTCCCCACCCTTGCTATAAAGCTACAGGTTAAATTGTTGGTATCTCCCGAGGTCACATAGAGTAGGTGAAGGGGACATTTGGCCCTCCAGATGTTGCTGAATCACAACTCCCATCATCCCCCAACATTGGCCATGCTTGCTAGGGCTGAAGTTGGTTCAGTTGAGCAACATCTGGAAGTCCAAAGGTTCTCCAGACCTGACCTAAGGGATCTCCTGTAGCCACCAGACTATTGCCATCAGTCAGAATAAGCACTACTGTGCTTATCTAGATGGACAAGTAATCTCAAGCTGCTCTTTATATCCTTGTGCTGTTAGGCATATCTGGTCAACAGTATCATGGTTTTCAGTTCGCCTTTAATGAGCAATTTGCACCGCATCAGTCATCGCTATAGAAAGCCCAAGAAATTGACAATGACTGGCAGACTTATTGAACTTGTTCTATGCCTCTTCCATGTCAACCTCACACTCCTTTGGGGGCTGTGAGTTTAGAGGGGCAGCTGCCCTATAAAAAGAATCTGGGAAGACTTCCAGACTCATTACTGAAAAATGAGGAGGGCAATATTGTCTGGAATAAGTTGTTGTTGGGCAATGAGCTATGAAGCGTGGAGAGAGAAAGCCTCCTGTTTTTCCCCTTCTTTTTTGCATTGCTGCCTTGCCTCATTCTAGTAGGTGGTTAACAGACCAGCAGATGGCATGGGAGACAGAGACCCCAAACCATCCTCCCTCCATTGTGTTCTCAAATGGCCCTTTGACTAAACAACTGCAGTCTTCTTCCGTTTGTTTCTTTCCCCCCTTCCTTTTTGGATGGCAACCAAATGAAGCTGAGCTCAAGTACGCTCCTGACTGATTGCTCAAAGGAGATGCTAAAATACACAAAGTATGTTTTTGTAATTTGGAGGTGGAGGAGCTCAAACAAGATCTACACTTTTTCATTTTTAAAAAATGACACATACGTATGTTGTTCTAAACTTCCCAATTCTCCAAATTATAGAAATAAAACCTGCTGAAAGTGGTTACAAATGAACCCACTGCGGGGAAGGTCCTTTATCTTGAACACCTGGAGCTTTCAGGAGGCATTTGAAAACATTCCTGTTTACCCCGGCATTTGGTGGCACCCCTAAGACTGTTGGATGGAAGAATATTTTTAACTGTAACTATTTTTAGATGTTTTAAACTGTAACAGCTTTTAAATTGTTTTTACAGTGTTAAAATGTTTTTGCTTTGTTTTTGTGTTTGTGTGTTTCTGTTTTCTGCCCTGGGCTCCTGGGGGAGGAAGGGTGGGATAGAAATTCAATAATGAAAAAAGGACAAAAGTAGAAGATCTCAATAACTTAAAGCACAGACTGGCTGTTCCATATGTGACTCATTTATGAGTCCTGATTATCAACTCAGATTTGTAGGGCAAGCTGAAAGTTTGCTGCTTTGTATATATAATATCAAATTATGGTTTGCCACAAAGCAAGAAGGGAAGGGGAGGGAATCACAGTGTGAATGGGAGAATGCTGTTCCTGTTAATCATTTATTAATTCCACACTTTTTAACGCATTTACCCCACAACTTTCCCAACATGCAAAACTGGTTTTTTGAAGTGAATTTGATGCACCAGGGGGATAAAGCACTTCAACCCATGTCAATTGCTAAATTTTCCATATTCACTGGAATCCCTCCCACAAAATGCTGGCAGTCTGGAGGTAAAATAGGAGACAAGTATTTGCCTTTACTTACTTTCAGTTGGAACTTCAGTTACTTTTTGAAGCGTGTCTTGTATGCTCTGAGTGGTCTTCTCGTTGGGAGGTGCCCTTGTTGCCGTCGTTGTCTTGTTATGTTGATCTGTAAGGAAGGAAATCTCATCTTAAACACAAACACCACCCTAAGGTTTAGACTCTTGTCTAGGTAGGAAGCACTGCTTGCAGTCAGAAACAAAGGCAGTTTCTCTCCCTCTCTCTTTCTGAGTGCCCATACCAGACTTTTTATAACACATTGAGAGATCTGGTGAGATAGTGTGGAAGCGAATCTGGAGAGGCAGGGTAGAGGTGAATCCCCTCTTTGCCAGTCCACCACTGTGGTGATCACACAGGGTCCCCAGATGTTTAACGGTCTATTAATCCCTGTGCCACCACTGTGCTCGCTTCTCTGCTGCCACCAACCAATTACTCTCTGGTAAAACACTGAGTCCAGACAGTTGTTAAAAGTGAACCAAAAAAACCCCACCAAGTTTATTGTCCAAACATTAACAAGTTTATGGTTTCTCAGATAATATTCCTGTCAGTATCTTAACCTTAGTTTCTTTACCGGCCTATACCTTCCTAATACCTTCTGATAGATTATCTCAACTGCTTGACCGACTCCTCTTAACAAATTCTCTCACTCTCTCACACCAGACTAGCCCAACCCACAGACATATCTTCTCTGTCTCTTCTAACTCCAGACTGTCTTCTCAACCACCCTAACTCTACTCCTCCAAAAAACCCCTCTGTGCTTAAACCTTATACACAGTTAACTCTGCCCCTTGGGTTCCCATTGGTTAGTCATTTTACAATTAGTTAACCCTTTCTTTATGAACCCAGTATGATGTCACACACCTAGGAGGGCAAACGCCACAACCCTTCTGTAGAACATTTTCCTCTACTTATCTGGCTGGTGGGAGTAGCCATGGCACAATGGGAGAGGGTAGAATAGGAGGGGAGATCTATCTCTTCCCTGCCTCATCATGCTTTGTAGCAACATGCCAGGACAAAAGGTGCTGTAACCCTTGGGATCTGTAGCCTTCCCAGGGCTGCTGCAAGATGACATATTAGCAGAAGAAACTTGCCTTATACCAAGGTAGAGCATTGGTCTATATATAGTTTAGCATTGTCAACTAGTATGGATGCTTATGCATGGGGGTGGGGAATCAGAAAATGCATTACGCATAAAAAAGCACAGGTTTTCATAAATTGTGCATATGCTGGTTTATTTTATGGATGAAAAGTTAGAAATACAACTGCTGGTGGGCAATTTAAACCAGGCTTGGGACTGGATAGCTTTTCAAGCAGAGCACTCACCTCTGCAAAGGAAGGCACATGGATGCCTTAAAACCAATCGAAGGTACAACATCCCCAGAAAGGTTATTCTGTTTGTTCCCTGGAGCATGCTGGGAGATGCTTTCCCTTGGACCCATCCCCTGCAAGCCTTTCATCAAGTTTACCCAACAACCAGAAGCTACAGGGAAAAATCAACCACGAAAAACCTCTGCCTGCATCTACTGCAAGGAAACTGAAGCTTTACTCAACATCGCAGCACAGAAGCAAAACCGCTGCTATAATACAGTCATATAATTGTTTAATGGGCCAGTTGTCAACAGTTGATTATGAATTAGATTATAAAGGGGATGTCTTACCAGGAGTTGTTAGAGCCAAGTGAGATGAAGTCACAGAGCTCAGTGCTGGTGATTCAGCTGTCCCTGCTGATATTTTGATAAGATAAATGACAGTGTGTTAACTGCTGTTCTCAAAACATATTTGTCAAAGGAATAATCAGTATGCAAGTGTGGGGAAAACCAGAGTAATCCTGCAGAGCTGTTGTCTCAACATCCACAGGTCCCTGCATCTTTTTCTTTAAAACTGTGCCTATTAATATTATTAATATTATTATTATTAATAATAATAATAATAATAGTTATTTATTTCATTTATGAATCACTTCCCAAGAGGCTTCTTGAAACGATTTACAATACAATAAAAACATTCATGAAACAATTACACATATAAAAGCAATTTAGAAAAAAAATCAATTTAAACAACAATTTGAAAATCAATTAAATAAACAATGAATGATTTGAAAAAATCATGTTAAAAGAGGAAGATTTTCAACAAGTTCCCAGACAGACAATAGGGATGGAGGTTATCTGATGGTGTGAATTTCAAAGAGTAGGCGCCGTCACAATAAAGGCCTGATTCTGGCACTTGACAATGGACCTCCCAATGAAATGCTAGTTGCATGATGCCCTCTTCTGCAGAATACAGAGATCAGCTGGGTGTGCAGAGGGTGGGATCGGTGTTTTGTTCTAAGCACTGCAATGTCTGAATACCTGAAGAACATCATTCCATAGGTAAAGGTAAAGGTCCAGTCATGACCGACTCTGGGGTTGCGGCGCTCATCTCGCTTTATTGGCCGAGGGAGCCGGCGTAGAGCTTCCGGGTCATGTGGCCAGCATGACTAAGCCGCTTCTGGCAAACCAGAGCAGCGCACGGAAACGCCGTTTACCTTCCCGCCAGAGCAGTACCTATTTATCTACTTGTACTTTGACGTGCTTTCAAACTACTAGGTTGGCAGGACCAACCTAGAAAATATAAAGCCTAGAATATAAACCTAGAATATAAAGTTATATAAAAGAAAAAAGGGCCAGGAATGCCTTGGTTTGAAATTCTAATTTTCAGAGGAGAAAATATGCTGCAAAGCACATCTTCCCACAGCAAAATCTGCCAATCCCTCTTCAGACTATCAGTAACTTTTATTTCCCGAGGGAGTGCTCAAGCTATTGGGGGCAGGCAGATAGGGAAGGAGGAGGATTTCCTTTGATGCCCATTTAATTATTTAGTTGGTACACTTTTATCCCGCCCTTCATCTTACAATCATGGGGCATAGTGGCCTAATTCACCTCATCTGGATTAATACACTGATAAGAATGCAACTATTCTTCAGATTCTGCACTCCTCTGAATGTCACAATGCTGTTCCAGACAACGAAAAGTATCAAATTCATTTTTAAAAAATGTTTTAGGATAAAATGCATATGGAAAGGTATGTATTGAGATAAAAGGCATTGGTACATATCTAAAAAATGGCTTTGGTACATTTTTAGAAGAGTCAGAGATTGGTATGAAGTAGGTCTAACGAATGAACCCACCTGAAACTGAAAGGACAGAAATAGACTGTTCTGTTTATCCCGATTAGTAGTGACACAGTTATTTTTTTAAAAGAAGAAACCACTGACTGCTGCTGCTGTGAGCTGATCTGTGGGTGAGGGGTGGGGTTGGGCGTGGGGTTTGCTGATGCCAGAAAGGGTGAATAGTCAGCAGCTGCTCAACACTTGCACAGTGCTGACTGAGGCTGCATATACACCGTACGTGTAAAACACATGGCTTTCCCCAAAGAATCCCGAGAGCTGTCTTTTTTTATGGTTGCTGGAAAGTGTAGTTCTGTGAGCAACAGCTTTTATGCCTCTCCTAATCCAAATGCTGCGGCACTCCCAGGTCTTTTCTACAGCTATTTTCCACAATGTTAGCACAAAATAAATGTGAAGAACCCAGGAAAAGGTCTGCTGGATTAGACCAAATTCCTATCTAGCATCCTTTTTCTACAGTGGCCAACCAGATGCTAGTGGGAAGCTCACAAGCAGTTCATGGGCATGGTAGGCTTCGTCTGCCATTGTCCTCTTCTCGAAACCCCTTGTGGAAGTCACTTGGAATGGGTAGAGAAGCTCAGCTTTGAAGCTGATCGTAAAAACCATCATCAATGGTATTGTTCTAGGTTGGTCTACTATGGGCAAGGAAGTAGTCAACTTCCAGTATTCATTCAGGGCACTACCATGAACTAAGCTGTAGAGACAGGCCTGCCTTTGCTTATTAGCTTTTTCCTACATGCCACAAGCTTTAGCTTTCAGTACAGGTTAATTATAGGTGGTTGTGTTCTATGGATACCCTCAAGTGAGGAACTTCTCCATGACCTAAAAGAAAAGGAGTCACATTTGTGGGCTTTTCGTTTTGTTTTGTTTCTATCCATTAGGACTTCTGCTATAAAGTGGAACGACAAAAGCAAAACAAAAGCAAAAGCTTCTTCATAGCCTACAGCATCAGTTCTACATCAGCAAATCTTCATTTGGTACAGTAACAGCGGAGACAGACAGTTCAGTATTTTAGTGCTGTAGGTAAGTATAAAACAAAAGATGTGCATCCAAAGACTGGTTAATTGAGATGCCTTTGTGTGCAATTATTTATGGGTACATATTTTTTTAAATGTCTACAGTATTCCATAATAATGGACACATTCACATACTAAAGCAAGGATGGGGAACCTGTGGCCCTCCAGATTTGGTTGGGCTACATCTTCCATCAAAGGCAGGCCCAAGACATTTTGGCACCTGAGGCAATCCCTAAAATGGCACCCCCTCCCCACCAGGGAAGAAGGGGTGAGGGAATATTTACATCAGGAACAAGAGGGGAAGAAAAATCAACATCAGGATTTGCTGCACTGGTGGATGCTGCCGCCTGAGGCAGTCACCTCACCTTACCTCATGAGTGGGCCGGTCTTGCTCCCTTCAGCCCTGAACATTGGCTATGTTGACTGGGGCTGATGGAAGTTGGAGTCCAACAAAATCAGGAGAGCCACAGTTTCCCCATAAGACACCCTTATGCAGAAGGCTGACGGTAGCTATGCTTGAGTTATGTGAGAGTCAACTGGCATGACCTTCTGCAAAGAACCGAAGGGTCAGACTTTCCCCTTCATTAGGGGCCTTTCATATTCAGAGAGGCTTAGGTGTTGAAAGTTGAGCTGTGGACCCAAAAGAACTCCTCAGAAGCCAAATAAAATGTCTTCATCTAGCCTAATGCACCATGTGCAAGAAAATTGGGTTTTATTATCACTTGATCCTCAAGACTGAGGGCCAAGAACAGAAGAGACAGTGGAGATTTGAAATTGGATCCCTTGCCATTTTACCTTTCTCCAAAATCTAGGGGACAGAGGGGTTCCACAACATTGCTTCATATGAATTATGCCACTAACTGCCCTACAAAAGTAATATCCAGTCCAGTATTTCTCCTTCTCCTCTATTTATTTTGAAATATATGAAGTATCAATAGATTGTAAAATTACATATGCAGGTCTATGACCTTATTCCTCAAGATGTGTTCAGTGGAGACATTGCAGAGAGCAGTTTGCGAGCAGATACAACGCTGTCTGTCTGTCATCATCATTTTTCTGCCTACCATGAAAAAGAGTCTTGCAGTGTGTTAAGGATCTAACAGATTTATTGCTAATGTGCCACAGACCTCTTTGTTGTTCCTGCTGCAGCAGATTACCATAGCTACCCCTCTGGAAATATTGTAGAATGATAGCATCATCAATTAATATGCTGGTTTACTGCAGGGGTGGGCAGACTTTAAGCTGGTGTGGATCTACAGATTCCAGGCCCTGCATGTACATAGCCTTTATTTCAGCTGTGGCTGCATGAAGGCTAGCCAACACTCTTACGCCAGTACTCTTCACTCCCATGTTCACCAACAAAGGGGTAAGAAGCTGGGTCACACATCGAAAACTGCCTTGTACCAAGATCATTGGTTAATCTAGCTCAGTATGGTCTATTGGTGGGACGCGGGTGGCGCTGTGGGTTAAACCACAGAACCTAGAGCTTGCCGATCAGAAGGTTGGCGGTTCGAATCCCCGCGACGGGGTGAGCTCCCGTTGCTCGGTCCCTACTCCTGCCCACCTAGCATCAAAGTGCAAGTAGATAAATAGGTACCACTCCGGTGGGAAGGTAAACAGCGTTTCCATGCGCTGCTCCGGTTCGCCAGAAGCAGCTTAGTCATGCTGGCCACGCCGGCTTCCTCGGTCAATAAAGCGAGATGAGTGCAACTCCAGAGTCGTCTGCGACTGGACCTAATGGTCAGGGGTCCCTTTACCTTTACCTTTTATGGTCTATTGGTAGCAGATTTCCAAGATTTCACATAGGAGTCTCTTGCAAATTCTGGGGATTGAACCTGGGAGGTTTTAGCATGCAATGTACATGCTCCATCAGTGAGTCAAGACTTTCGCCACAAACCAATGCCCTGCTTCACAGCCATGGTGGCCCTTTCTCACCCTCAGGTATGGCTTACAATGAATTCACCAGTGAGTCAGAGAAACACAATACCTACTGCTTGCTGTGTTGTTGGGTGTTGATAGTGACCCATGTGCAGAGGCCTGTGTTGGTCGGACTATTGCTGAAGAATTCGCAGTAGTTGTTGTATTACCTGAAACAATGAACACACATTTTTTTTTCTGTTACTCTTCCTCTGCCAAATAAGCATAGCGACACACTTATGGTTTATTGCTAACATTGCTTATGAAAAGACAACAGACCTCCCAGCATTCCATGCTGTTTACTTTCCGTGTTCCTGATGCAGCTCCAAGCCATTGTCTGCATATGTAAATGACACTCCTGTTGATCCAGATGTGTGATTATTCACTTCCTGTGGCTATACCTGAGACTATATATACATCCTTGTCACAGACAGAAATATTGTCCAAAGAGAAAGAACAAGAAATTCAGGCCTAATTTTTGTTGCCCTGTAGGGATGTCAGAAAATTCACCTGAAAATGAAACTGGGAGTGAAAATTGATGGTGTCCACACATTCATATTCATTATTTCATTAGTCATGTTCATTCATTTCAACAGGTCTTCCCTGCGTAAAACTTAGCTGAATGCCACCCAATGTAAATCACGTAAGTTATGTAATTTCGCCACAGTGGACCAACTTCACCCACTTCTTATTGATGACATGCTTTATTTATGTTTCAGGATGCTTCTCAGGGACTTCTTCCCTTAAGCTAACATGAATAGCATAGTTTTGGGCAGAAGATGGAACTGCTGTGGAATCGGAGCAGTGCTGCATGTGGCAATTACAGAATGGAATGGAAAATGCTGCTTTCCTAAATCTCCATTTCTATTAAAGCTTTGCACAGTCAGGTGCTCTATGATTTCAACTCCACATGATGAAATCACTGCTTACATGTTCTAGAAAGCAGTAAAGGGACCCCTGACCATTAGGTCCAGTCGTGGCTGACTCTGGGGTTGTGGCGCTCATCTCGCTTTATTGGCCAAGGGAGCCAGCATACAGCTTCCAAGTCATGTGGCCAGCATGACTAAGCTGCTTCTGGCGAACCAGAGCAGCGCACGTAAACGCCATTTACCTTCCCGCCGGAGTGGTACCTATTTATCTACTTGCACTTTGACATGCTTTCTAACTGCTAGGTGGGCAGGACTAGAAAGCATTAGGGGATGTTAATTTGAGGGGGGAAACATGGAAGTGCAGTAAATTGTGCCCATATTATATGGGTGTTCATTGATTCATAGCATCCCTCCCCATGATTAAAAAATGTTGTTTTAAATACCCACATAAACAGCAGAGCAGCTTTGAAGTAAGAGCTATTGAGAAAGCTACCTCCATCTACAGCTTCCATTTTTGCCCTCCTTTTCTGTCGCTGACTCTTGCAATAGCTCTGGGCTTCTCTATAAAGCAGGAATGATGATATTATTACCCACTTACATTGCAGAGGAGTTGCAAAAAATGAATTAGCAAATGCCGCTAAAGCGTTTTCGAAAATGAAAAAAGTGTTCACCTTCATCAGAGTGCAGCTCTTCAAAGGGAAAACACAGCCTCACTCGTAGACAGTGGCACAGAATTAATCACTTCAAGAAGAGTAAATGGCACTCTGAGGAAATCATTCCAAACATGATTTGCTTTTTTACTGCCACACTGTTCCAGATGCCAGTGCATGCTTTCCCTTTAAACTGGGGTGTGTGTGTGTGTGTGTGTGTGTGTGTGTGCAGCTCCCTTCCCTTCTTATGCTAGCAGCGTTAAGTGTCTAAGACTAAGAATGGAAGAAGATACTGGGAAAGTCAACCAAAATGATAGGGTTGAGCCAAATATTCCCATCAAAGGTATGAAGATCATCTAAAAAGAAGAGGGCTTGATTAGCAGTGGTAGCCCAGTTACCGAATGGCCTCCCCAAAGGGCTTCACCTAGTACCAACCCCACTATCATTTAGATGTTAAACTGAAACATTTTAATAGATTTTACTGATTTACAGTACAATCCTATAAGCTAAGCGGGACTTATTCCCAGGCAAGTCTGCATAGGATTTCAGCCTTAACTGTGCAAGTTCTAGCTGGTTTGCTGTTGTTTATTTGTTTTTGTTTAATGCTCTGCACCACCCTGATATCGAAAGTCAGGATGAACATGTTTTACACTAGTAAATAAATACATCATCTCAATTATATCCTACCTTTCAACCATAATGTATTGGGTTTTCTCAGGTAGGTTTCCCAGACGGCTCTGGATCTGCTTAGTTCAGGAAGCAAGCTTATTCCAAGTCAGAACACAGGCCTCTCATGCACAGTACTGCCTAAAATACTGTTGTCAGAGACCAGGCTGAGGAGTACAGCTCTGATGAGGAATCATGGGAACCTCCCCCTCCCTCTGCTCCTGACCAGGATCCTGAAGTTGCCCAGGAGCAATGGAACAGTACAGATTTGGAACAGTGGTTTGCAGAGGGGCATAGTTCTGAAGACAAAAGTTGGGAAGAACTTGGGGGGGGGCGTGTTGAACAGCAAAGTGAAGAAGAACAGGAAGAGAGAGAGCTAACAGACTCTCTTTCGCTGGAAAGTGTGCAGCCTATCAGTCCAAGGTCAAGGAGAGCAAAAAAGCACACTGGTTATGAGATCAGGTTGCAAGAAGCAGAAGTGACAAGGGGGAAAGTGGGTATAAACCTTAATTGGAACACCTTCATTCCGAGAATGGCTGTGTTGTTGTTTTTTGCTATGATCATTAAAGACTCTTTAAATGGTAGTGACTCTTTTTGCTTTGTCCTCTTATCTACAGCCTAAAGGGGGGGGGGAGCCGAGTCCCCAAAGCCTGACAACTGTCTAAGCTTGAGTCCCTCCACAGGTGTAGTTGAACCCACATCAGCCCTCACCATTGTAACCAGCATGGATGGGAATGATGGGAGTTGTAGGTCAACAGCAGCAGCAATAATAATAATTATTAATCATAATCTAAGTCCATATCCACACCCTACATTTGAAGCAGTATTATGCTACTTTAAACAGTCATGATTTCCCCCAAAGGATCCTGGAAGCTGCTGTTTGCTAAAGATGATGAGAGTCATTGGGAAACCCTATTCTCTTCATAGGTGTACAGTTTCCAGAGTGGTTTAACAATCAATCCTGCTTCCCAGGCAACTGGAAATGGTACCTCTGGTAGGACAGGAGGGGTCTTAGCACCCTTAACGAGCTACAGCTCCCATAATTCTTTGGAATTGTTAAAGTGGTATAGCAGTGCTTTAAATGTATGGTGCAGATGTGGCCAAGATATAGAATGTGTTCTTCAAACTTCACTGTAACTCACTTTCACAGTCAAACAGGGTTTTATGTGCAGCACCCCATGCGGAAAGCATCTGATATTGATTAATCAAAGAGCAGAAGCTAGAAGAAGAAAATCACATGCAAAAAATTATTCAAATGTTGAAGAAATTACCTGCAATTTCAGCTTTGCTTGTGGTTCTGGACAAGGAAGAGGTTTTTTGGCTTTCTATGAGAAGGGTAAGGTAAAGCAAAATGAGTTTTATTGTTAAAAACAACCTAGTCTGCTTGAGGGAAAGGAGAAGGTTCAGATATGTTGACCGATGGTCTTTTGGAACATGGTAATATCTCATGGCAATATATGCCGCATTTCAAATAAAAGTTACCTGAAAGCATATTTCAAATATACCATGCCAAATGTTCCATCTCGCAGCATTGCCTTTCCCTCTTGTGCTTGTATTAGGAGATGAAGAGAGCGGTTTTGGTATATGAAACCGCTGTGTCTTTACTGCTTTAATATACCTTTTAAAAAATAAAATAAAATCTATTCTCTTCCTGAGCTCAGCCAGGCATTTGACAATTTTATTGGCCTCTGAAGTTACAATACTCTTCAATTTTGCTGTACTTTATTTGAGAAGTAAAGGTCTTCATACCATGATACTTGAGGGATAAGCTACTCCTGCACACAAATCATGATTTAAGTAGAGAACTTGGTTTTTTTAAATTTGGAAAAGTAGCCCCAGGAAGAAGACCTTAGTGACTGGACAGATCTATTTGAGAGAAAGTGTTCCCTAAGATATCCTAGTTAACTGCAAATTGGTATCAGCTTTATTATGAAAATATGAATAGTGGGTGTGAGTGCATGCTTCAAAATTCACTTCTGGATTCTTGATCATTATCTAAAGCAGGGTTGGGTGAACTGCCAACCTATAAGATCGGCTTCCCACCCACAAACCCAAATACCAGCTGTATCAAAATGTAATAAGGGCATATATACACTTAGAATGGAAGAACAAAGCATCTCTTGGCCCAAGACTTTGTCTTCAGTACCAGAAATGAGGTCATAGTTCTTTCACAAAAAAATCCTAGTCCCCCAGCCCACAAATTAGAAGCCTAATTCAGGGAGAAAGGCTGGTGCTATTTTTGAACCACTGGGAGTCAGATGTTATTGGTGATTAACTACAATAACCCAGAGATCTACAAATAGTACCTTCTGCCTGGACCTTATCTGGAGATAAGGACTGGTTGCAAGTCAGAAGGCAGACAAGTGGGCTTCGTGGAATCAAGGTTAGTGGGGCAGTGCCCATTTGCCCTCATGGACTCCATTGCCCTATCGTGCTTCACTTTTGAATATTATATCTCCTCTTCCATTGGATTCCTCTCACCTCCACAGAAAGGAGCCTCCCTTTTACATGTACTATAACACTAATCTCCAACTTCTCCATATATATATATATATATATATATATATATATATATATATATCTCCATTTCGATCTGAAATGGAAACCTTGAAGCAAAGTCCTTGCAAATGAACGCAATGGAAACCAAATGCAAAGGCGTTTAACCCAATCGAGTGGACCCTTCAATGGACGCTGAAGTAAGCTAAAAACGATTGTTTACATGAATTAGTATAAATGATATGCAGTGACTTTAAAATATAGCTTACCTTTAGTTGCTGAGATAGTTGTGGTTGATTCTGTATAAATAACATTAAGAATTCATTGTGGTGATTTATCTTGCAGTTCAGATTAATGTTACACTAAACAGTCATCTTAATAATAATTGTTGAGAAGGGATTTCATAAGGCAGGGGACCTATGCTAAAGGAAGGTTGTGGAAGCGTAAAAGGAATACCTGGAGAAATAAAACCAACTAACAGACAGGATCAATGATGATATGAGCACCCCAGATTGCAAGAACAAGGGTTTCTGAAAGTTATTGACCCCCTGGAGTTCTGACAATCCTTGGGAATGACAGAGGAGGCAAGGCATTACATATTTACTATTACTATTACTCCTGCTGTTTACATTATACCCTGCTTAAGGTGATGTATATATGGTTCTCTCCTCACTCTTTTATCCCCACAACAACTCTGTGAAGTAGGTTGGGAAGAGATAGTGAATACTCACCCTGGGCACGAGAAGCGATTTAAACCAGATCTTTCTGATCTTAGCCTGACACTGTAACCACTAAGCTGACTGCACTGGCTCTCATGCACCATCATAGTTAAGCCCAGAATCAGCAGGGACCCATGATGTGCTTTGCTGATAAACAGCAACAGGGGAAAAGTTGCTTTTTCTGGAACAAAGCAACTCTAATGTATGGGCCTGTTCTCAAGAGATGGTTAAAAATAAGACAATAAAGGGTTGTTGCTTACCAGGAGTTGCTTGGGCCTTGCTGGTTGTTGTATTTATGTCTCCTGAAGATTTAAAAACACACACACATAAGTATGAGTGTTAATCATTGTTCTCAACAATCTCTGTCAAATGAAGAATTAGCACTCAGAGGCAATGCCATGGAAGCAGAAGTCATTCTGCTGAGCAGCTGTTTGAACAGTTGGTAATGCTTTCCTTTGATGGTTTATTGATTAACCTTTTCTGTTATAGCTCATCACTTATTTAATGGTATAAGGCGCTACCATTCCAATCACCATTTGGGTGCATTTCCCTATTATCTACCAGTACTAGAATGTGTTCGGGGCAGCTTGTTCATTTGGGGGGGGAATTTTTACAACTTTGATCTTTTCCATCCTCCTTTCGTTAAAATGTGGGCAGTTACTAGTTGTGTTTTGCTGATATTCCTTACTGAAATTATGATGATTTCACAGCTACGGTAGGAGATACCTGTTGGTTTCTATTTCCTTCACTGTGCAGCTCTGCTTGTCACGAGACAGGTGTTTACATTCCACAGTCTGTACTGTTGGAGTTTCTCACGGGAAAGGGAGACTGGATGTGACGTACACTGGTTTCCTGTTTTTCACTGAGTGATTCTCTCCGAGCTGTCGAGGAGAGAGGATGCATTCTCTGCTCCTGCAGAGGCAAGATGTCTTTCTGTAATATACCAGCTTTGAACTGTAAATAAAGCAATACAGAGTATGTAGCACGTATTTCTCATCCTTCCGCTGGGCACCAGAGACTCTGCTTTAAATCAACACGTGGTTATGGGCTCCAGAGGTCGAATCGGAGTGCCGGCAAAGGATCGGAATGCAGAGGGACAGATCGGAAAGGAATCTGCTCTGCGCGTAGAAGTGATTGATGAGGTATGTGCTACTGCTCCGGGCAGCCTGCCAGCTTCAAGTTAATGGCTTTATGGCTGGACTTTGAACTTTAAAGCCGGTTTTGCCGGGAATAGGCAAAAGGCTCCCAGGCACAAGTCACTATGCTGGGGAAATCGAAAGTAACTTTTAAGTGCGCCTTTGTAATAAGGCAGCTGCAGCAGTGACGCAGCAAGAATTAAAGCAGCATAGATATGACGCTGAAGGCTAATGCCAGAGTCATGATGGCCCTTCAGGATGCTTGTGGGATTCCTAAGCTCAACAAGAAAAATTACAGCGACTGGGTTCAGTATGCAGAGGCAATTCTGCGGAAAGAGGGTTTGTTTGAGGTGATTACAGAAACCCCCAGTTCCAGTTACAGATGCATGGGAAGCTAAGGATTCCAAAGCAAGGGAACTCTTACATTGATAGTATCCCCAGAAGAGCTCTGTCTATTGCGTGATAAGACCTCAGCCAGAGAAATTTGGGACGCTCTGAGAGAGGCTCACTTAAGGACAGAAGCTGGATCCACTATGTTTTACTTTAACAAGCTGCACAATATGGCTCTTGCTGAAGGTGGAGATGTGCGTTTACATCTGATGCAGATGCAAAATCTGAGACATGAGCTGCAACAGAGAGGACTCAACTTTCCAGAGGCTGTGTATTCTTTCATGATACTACAATCTTTGGGTTCAGGTTGGGAGTCTGTTGCAACCCAGATTGCTGTGCAACCAACTGCTCAGCTGACAGTGGACTTTGTTACTGCCGTGATTTTAAATGAAGCAGATCGCCGGGGTGCTAGCTGCATGGGCAAGGGGAGTCTTCACAGACGTCATCCCATAGTGCAGTGGAACCACCAGATGGCGCCAAAGCTTTGAAGGCAGTGAAATGCTACTCGTGTGGACGTCTAGGCCATATGAAGAGGGAATGCAGACATCCCAGGGCCAAGACAGAGCAGCGCAGCGAAAGCTCATCGCGCGGAAAAGGCCGAGGCAAAGGCAAAGGTCCGGTGTCTAGGACAACGCAGCACAAGGCTATGGTTTCACGCTTCACTCCAAAGGTTGCAGAGGTCCAGAAGACGTCTAGATCTTTCTTCGTTGTTGATTCAGCGGCCACCCACCACATGTGCAATGATAAGAAACTGTTTGTGTCTTTTACACCGCAGGAAGGTGCGATTCACCAGGCGGATGACCACACTATTCCCAGTAAAGGCTACGGAACTGTTGTTCTTCACAGTTTGGACTTATCGATACAGAATGTGCTTTACGTGCCAGACGCCAAACATAATCTGCTCAGCGTTGGACAGCTGAATGAGCGGAACATTGACGTTTCCTTCAAGAACAAGAAGTGCATCATCACAAAGAAAAATGATTATGTATTGCATGCAGAATATGTTGATCATTTGTTTGTTTTGTATTATGATGATGTGGTGCAGGATGACACTTGTTGCATTGCAGGTTCTAACAAAAGTTTGCATGCAGAATGTATTCACGATTTTCATCGAAAATTTGGTCATTTGCATTTTGAGGCAGTATCTAAAATGCCTGCCTTGGTTGAAGGTATGACTATTAAACCCTGCAGGTACCACATGAAGTGCAAAGCATGCGCAGCAAACAAGGTGAAAATGGCTGCGAAAGGTAAGGTGTCTAGTAGGAAAGCTACAGAACCATACCAGGTTGTTCATGCTGATTTGGTTGGACCACTAGCGCCCTCTTTGGGTGGAAATAGATACTTCATGGTTCTCATTGATGCATTTTCTAGATATATTTTTGTGTACAATCTCAAGCAGAAATCGGAGGCTTTTCCTAGGTTCAAGGAATTCTGTGCTTGGTTGGAAAATGTGCATGGTAAGAAGATAAAGACTCTTTTCAGTGATCGCGGGGGGGAATTCACTTCTCAGCAGTTTGAAGCTTTTCTGACTGAGAAAGGAATTCAACACGATTTGTCTAGTCCTCGCTCGCCATGGCAGAATGGACTTGCGGAACGGGCAAATCAGACATTGCTTCAAGGCTTAAAAACCTTGCTGCATGATGCCAATCTTCCAGAGAGTTATTGGGCCGAATCTCTCTCGTGTTTTGTTTACAGTTACAATCGCAGGTTATCTTCAGCGATTGGTTGTACCCCCTATGAGAAGATGTTTGGCAAGAAGCCATACATCAAACACATGAAGATTTTTGGTTCTGACATGTGGGTTCGCTCACCACAAAACTCCAAGTTAGACAAGCGTGGATTGCATGGTATCTTTCTAGGTTATCAGAAAGGGTCTTACAGAATAATGATGACTGACTCTAAGACAATTAAGCTCACGAGAAGTGTTGAGTACAATGCAAAGTGGGGGAGAATGTGGGAATTTTCCAATGTTATCCTGATGACGGTGATGAGACTGAGGATAGTCAAAAGCAACCACAACAGCCCACACCCACTGATGAAGGTTCTGAGTCTGAATCTGAAACTGAATCGGGTGATTCAGAGGATTTCAAGAGTGCGAAAGCCTCTATGCGACCCTCTGAAAGCTCTGATCAAGAATTGGAGGAACCATTGTTCACAATAGGTCGTTTTTCTCCTAAGAAGGAAGAGGAGAGTGTTGAAGACTTAAGGCTGATTCGTAGGTCACAGAGAGCCACAAAAGGCAAACCTCCAAAGAGATTTGCTGATGAGTTTGCTAAGATAGCAGTAACAGCTGTTAAAAGCTCCAAGAAGGTATTTGAACCTTCAAGTTTCCAAGAAATCCAGGGTTTGGATTCGAAGGAAGCTGAGCCATGGTTAAATGCCATGAAGGCTGAGCTTGATTCCTTAGAAAGGAACAAAACATGGGAGCTAGTTCCAGTAGTTCCAGGAATGAAACTGCTTGGAAGCAAATGGGTCTTCAAAGCGAAGACAGATCAAAATGGCAAGATAGTCAGACACAAAGCCAGATTGGTAGCCAGAGGTTTTGCACAGGTACCAGGTGAAGACTATCACGAGACCTATTCACCCACAGTGAGATATGAAAGCATTAGGCTTATGCTCAAGCTAGCTGCAGAGGAAAATCTACACATTAGTCACCATGATATTAATACAGCTTTTCTGTACGGATCTCTAGATGAATCACTTTATATGCTTCCACCTGATGGCGTACAGGTAAAACAGGGATTTGTTTGTGCTCTGAAGAAATCCTTTATGGTCTCAAACAAAGTGCACGGTGTTGGCACACAAAACTCACTGAAGTATTATTTCTCTAGGTTTTCAGCAAGGGAAAGCTGATCCATGTGTATTTGTCAAAGAGGAGGGGCAAAAGAAACTGTACTGTTTGTTTTATGTTGATGATTTATTATTCTTTTGGAAAGATGTTGCAATGTACAATAGCGCCCTAGCTCAACTGAAAGAGCACTTTGACATGAAAGATCTTGGTGAGGTAAACAACTACCTATCTCTGGAAATAGAGAGAGATCAAGATAGTAACATTCTAGTACACCAGTCACGGAAAATTGCTGATGTGTTAAGCAAACTAAATCTGATGGATGCTAACCCTGTAGACACACCGATGACAACAGGTTATCAGGTAGATGACACTGAAGAAGCATTTTCTGACACTACACTGTACAGGAGTGTGCTAGGCAAGCTAAACTTCATTGCCAGATGTTCAAGACCAGACATTGCTGTTAGCTGTAATTTGCTAAGCAGACAAGTCAACAATCCTAGTGTCAAGGATTGGAAAGCTCTGAAACGCATAGCGCGGTATTTGAAAGGCACTATGCATTACAGACTGAGATTTAACAATCAGAAGTCTGGTGGTCTTGAGATATTTGCAGATGCAAGTTTTGGAAGTGACGCTACAGACAGGAAAAGTACGTCTGGAGTTTGCTACATGTACAATCAGAGTCTGTTTGATTGGTCATGCAAGAAGCAAACAACAGTTAGCTTAAATACTTGTGAAGCCGAACTGAATGCACTGTCTTATTCACTTAAGGATTGTGAATGGTTAGTACAATTGTGCAAAGATATGAAAATTCCTGTCAAATGTCCAATCCAGGTTTACCAGGACAACAAAGCATGTTTGGCTTTGCTGAAGTCTGATGGTTGTAAGCAAAGCACAAAGCACTTGCAATTAAAGTTGCAGCATGCTAGGGAATGTATTCAGAAGGGACTCGTAACGGTGTCCTATATACCAGGTAATGAAATTCCTGCTGATGTATTGTCCAAGATTGTATCAAGGGATCAACACTGTACCTATGTGCAGAAGTTGGGTTTGTACTGATACTGTACGAACACGCTGCCCAGTGATGTTCACAGAAAGGGGGAGGATGTTGGTTTCTATTTCCTTCACTGTGCAGCTCTGCTTGTCACGAGACAGGTGTTTACATTCCACAGTCTGTACTGTTGGAGTTTCTCACGGGAAAGGGAGACTGGATGTGACGTACACTGGTTTCCAGTCTATCACGAGTGATTCTCTCCGAGCTGTCGAGGAGAGAGGATGCATTCTCTGCTCCTGCAGAGGCAAGATGTCTTTCTGTAATATACCAGCTTTGAACTGTAAATAAAGCAATACAGAGTATGTAGCACGTATTTCTCATCCTTCCGCTGGGCACCAGAGACTCTGCTTTAAATCAACAATACCAGGTTTGTAATTTTAGGAAAAGACCAGTTTGCAGAAAGAGCAATAGTTTGCTTCCTCTTTATGAAAATTGTACTCTCTCTCTTTTTCTTCTCCAAAGCAGGAACAGGAATTGGGTGGTGCCTTTAAGTGGAAGCTTTTTCCTGGACTTGCACCTATAAGCAGAAGTCGATAGCATGGCTGCATAGCCAAAAGAAGCTAGGCTAAATATATGGAGAGCTGGGCTTCGTATAATTTCTTTCCAGTAAATAGACTTAAGAGCCCCTGTTCTCAACACATTGACTTTGCTGTGCAAGGGGTCAATCCACTATGAAAAGCTTAATTATATGGCAGTTATTACAGTGTGAAAAGCAAATTATAGTAGCAAACCCAGACACAGAAAAAAGCCATTGCCAGTGATGACAGGTCTGAATTTTTCGGTGCAAATGTGCAATGTAAATTGCAATCCTTATTGCAGAAAATATATAGCAGCACAGGAGGAGATGTTTGGGGAAATCACATAGGCAGAGAAAATTATGTGACATTCGAACCATCTTATTACTTCATGAATGGATGAAAAGGCTGGTTTGCATCTATAGAAGAAGCTGAAGTTTATAGGATTTTAAGCAACTTTAGTTGTGAGCCTCTCCCTTCAAGAGCATGTCATTTCAGAGACTTTGTTTATTGTTAAGGCCCCTGATTTGTTGGGGGGCAATTTTTAAGTAATCATTTTAATAGCTTATTCACCCTTAAATGAAGTGTAGAACAATCCTGTGTATGTTTACTCTGAATAAAGTCACACTCAGTAAGATGGGGGTTGCTCCCTACAGGTAGAGATGTAAGAAGGCAGCAATTTCTATTCCAACCTGTATTCATCACAATCGGCGCTGTTTCTGGTCTGCTGCAGTTCAGTTTCTTCCAATATTGCATTATTCATCTCACTTTCCACTATGTAATATAAATTACATAAATTAAGTATTTATGTAACTTCTATAAAGGTAAAGGGACCCCTGACCATTAGGTCCAGTCGTGACCGACTCTGGGGTTGCGGCGCTCATCTCGCTTTATTGGCTGAGGGAGCCGGCGGACAGCTTCTGGGTCATGTGGCCGGCGTGACTAAGCCGCTTCTGGCGAACCAGAGCAGCACACGGAAACGCCGTTTACCTTCCCACCGGAGCAGTACCTATTTATCTACTTGCACTTTGACGTGCTTTTGAACTGCTAGGTTGGCAGGAGCAGGGACCAAGCAATGGGAGCTCACTCCGTTGTGGGGATTTGAACTGCTGACCTTCTGATTGGCAAGTCCTAGGCTCTGTGGTTTAACCCACAGCGCCACCCGCATCCCTATGTAAATTCTATAACTTACATTAATTTCAATGTAAAGGGAACATCAATGTAGAAAAAAACCCATAGTTAATTATGTATGAACTTAAAACAATTATATCAATGAATAACAATTGTAGCCACTTGGCTGATTTCCATTTCTAACTACAAATGTAAACTGCAGATGTGAACACACAGACTACAGCAATGCCTTTTTCTTTTGCATAATTCTCTGATATCTCTACCTGATGCTTTCTGCCCTGTTTCCCTATCTTAGCAGGCTTACTATTTATGTCAGTAGCCCTTTCCTATAGGTAGTGAAGAAATGGGCGGGTCTTTCAAAAACGTGGTCCCCACTTCAGCCAGGACACATCCTGTGCAATGAGATCTGCAGATGAAGGACGGTAAGCAAATTTAATAAATAATAATAGTAGTAAGAAAGTGAAAGATAGCCATTTACTCTCCCAGTGGTGCCACTTGGACTAGGTGCCTCAGAGTGGACCAGAGGGAGAACTTTACTCCTCTGGTCCACTCAAGAGCTCCAAATAAAGCTCTTTGTCCATGATGAAGAGCAAGGATGATGAGGAGCAAGCTGATGACAAAGAGCAAGGATGAGGGAAGGGGGCTTCCAAGGGGGGCTTCATATTGTAAATGGGTGGTTGGCAACACACACACACACACACAGAGAGAGAGAGAGAGAGAGGTTTTCCCTGGAAAGGGTAGATCTGGAATGGTCTGGGGAGAAATAGGGTTGGCATTTTGATGTCAGCAGTATTGTGTGGATGCTGCACAAAACCCCAACAACAATTGCACACATGAGCAGCAGAGTTGACAATGAATGTCTGTCTAGGAGCATTCACAGAGCAGTTACCAACAAGTCAGCTATTTTGCTTAGGGATGGGACTAATCCTTTAGTCCAGGTGAGAGGAACCTGTGGTCTTCCAGATGTTGCTGAGCTGCAACTCCCACCAGCCCCAGCAAGCATGGCCAATGACCAGGGATGACCAGGGCTCCTCATGCCTGCTTTAATTCAAGGGTGGTTCCCCCAGATGTTGCTGGACTGTATGTATGTATGTTTGTATGTATGTATCTAGAAGGCTCATGTTGGGGAAGGCTGTCATAGGAATATAGGAAGCTGTCTTATTCTGAGTCAGACCATTGGTCCTTTAGCTTAGTATTGTCTACACTGATTGGATGCAGCTATTCAGGGTTTTAGATAGGGGTCTCCCCAGCCCTACCTGGAGATACCGGGGATTGAACTTGGGACCTTCCACTTGCAAGGCAGATGCTCTATCCACTGAGCTATGGCCCTTCCCCTCATTTGTTCCCCTTATTTGTTACAGTGATAGAAAGATTGCCCATCCTCTCATGGCCTCCTCTATTTAGCAGTCACCTGCTTAGTCCTCCCCTAGCCTGTGCTTTTCTGATATCCCTTTAGCTGCAACAGCTTCATCTTTTCAAGCATTGAGAGGAAAGGCTCTCTTGGGCTGGATTCGGCAGGGATTTGCCATCCCTGGTGGAAGTGACTAGCAACATTCCCACGGAAAGCTTCGTGTGGGAGTCCGGCTCTGTTCCCTGATCCCAATGCAGTCACTTCCAGGAATGTGTCAGGGGGAGAAGTGCGGTGAGGGTGTGGCTGCAGGGAGTGTGTGAAAGATAACAGGATATGCTAAAAATATGAGCATTGCAGTCGCAGCTGCAAGGTCAAGCCAGCAACACACCGAGATACGACCGAATAATGCAAAAAGAACACTGCCCATCATTTGCTACACAAGAGAAGTCTGTTACCCCACCCCATCCGCTGACTTCTCTTACATGTGCAAATCGGTCCATTTTGGTTCTTCTTAGTTTCTCCCACCACCCCAGTCTTTAGCTAGGTTCTGCACATTTCTACATCAGTTTGTGGCATTTCCCCCCCCCCCAAAGATCCTCATAAAATTCCAACCGCATTTTAGTGCAAATGTCTCCTAATATATGTGTTTTCAATGCACTTTTGCCTCATGCACACATTTTAGCAAAGCAAACATAATGTATTTTTGCATGTTGTTTGCACTAATATATGCATTTCTATGCACACGTTGCCCTATATCATGCATTTTTGTACAAAATTTGGAGAAGTGAGAATTTCAAAGGATGGCTGGTTTTGATTGGCAGATGGTAGCAGAACGTGTCAGTTAGTAGAAATGATAGGGTTGCCTTTACCTAACAGCGTCTCTGCTGAATTCCTCCACACCATCACACAGACATGTTCGCGGATATGGCAACCTTTCTCCATATGAGGAACAGTCAGTGTGAACTGAGGTAGCATGTCAGGAGTTATTACTGTGGTTCCAACTGCATCCCCCCCCCCCCCGAGATGGTTGCCCACTCCTGTTTACAGACTTATTTATGCTCAGTTTTCTCCAGAAAGTGAAAACTCGAGTCTAAAGTTTAGTGGCTGCTTGGACAAAGAGGTGATCTCTGGGTTCAAGCGTGCTGGCTTGCCCCCATGATTGAGGGGGCCCGGGCCATGTGACTTGCTGATGTCACTCACGTATGCCATGTGACGTGCTGATGTGTTGCCCACATGCCGCATGGCTTGCGTGAGTGACGCGAGCATGCCATGCCATGCAGTGTGTGTGAGTGATGTGAGCACATTGCATGTTGTGCATGTCCAGCATGTGCACAGTCGTTGTGGAATATTGAGGGGGCTCAGCCCTCTCCTTGAATTTTTTGGGTAGGTCTTCAGCCTCTCGGCTCCCCAGATGGCACCTCTGTCTGGGCTCATCCTGTGACTGCCATTAAAATGAGTCTTTGAACAACGTATGTACTATACTGGGCAAGAGACTTTGGGTATAATATACAACTTACAGCATGGGAGAAGTTATGGAATTGGGATTTAAAATTCACAGCATGTTACATGTTGAAAATTTTTTTTTTATGAACATGATGTATTTAACTGGTATTTAACTCCTAGCAAATTAGCAGAAAACGTGATCAAATGTATGCTGGAAATGTAAGGAAAAAGAAGGCACCTTTTATCATATGTGGTGGAAATGTAAGGTAGTAAAAAGAATTTTGGGAAATGATATATAATGAGTTGAAAAAAATGTTTAAAGTAACCTTTCCTTTAACCCCCCCCGAAGCCTTCCTTTTAGGAATTCTAGGTGCCGAAATCCCAAGGGAGCAGATAAGACTATTTATGTATGTGACCACGGCTGCATGGATGTTATTGGCCCAGAGATGGAAAGACGATGAAGTCCCAACCAGAGAAGAATGACAGATCAAGTTGATGGATTATGCCGAAATGGCCAAAATGACCAGAAGAATCAGAAATCAGGAAGACCAAGATTTTAATAAGGAATGGGAAAAAATCATAACTTATCTTAGAAACCATTGTAAACAGTTAAAATCGTTAGTAGGATTGGAATATCACTTGTAGTTTAATGGTGAGTTTTGGACACAATGGAGAGGTAAAAGATTTTGGATGATCATAAAAGATGCAGGAAGAAATGATTAACAATAGGACCCACAGAGGGGAGGAGGTAAGTCAAGGAGATTCCTTGGAATCTTGTTTTATGTTGTAAGTTGGACATGTGACAGTAAAATTTTAATTTGAAAAACCAAATAAATTTTTTTTAAAAAAAGAACAATGTATGTACAAAGTGCTCTGAGTGTGTATGAACAGCTGCATCACACGTCAAAATATCCTAGATCAGGGGAAGGGAATGTTACTGTCAGGCGGCATCTCTGCTTGTACACTTTTATGAAGTACATAGCTACAGGTTACATCGAAGGTTCTGGCTGCTAATCTGCAATGGGAAACCTTAGCACTCCTGCAGGGACCCACAGGGAAGACGGCAGCAAGGCAGATGCTCTACCATGGTCCTTCCCTTGTAAAGAAAGGAACGTAGGAACCTGCCTTACAAGAGTTCGTCTACTGTTCTATCTAGTTTTTCTGGGACCTTCTGAATGCAAGCCAGACGTGTTGCCACTGAGCCATGACCCAGGTTAGTCTGGGTCCCGTCCCCCAAAGCTATGTACACAAATGTGGAATATGGCACGTTACAGGACACTGAAAATACACACCTAGAACTTCAAATCATCCAGATGATGATTACATGTGAGGAGCCTTTGGTAGAAGATAGCTAAATGATGAAACAAAGTAATGTCTGATGGATGTCAATGCGGTAGGAAGGACCACAGGTTGGTGACAGAGCATATGCTTTGCAAACCAAAGGTGCAAGTTCAGTCTCTGATACCGCCACAGAAAAATACCAAGTAGCAAAGAAGGGGAAGATGTATGCTTGAGACCCTGGAGAGCTGATGCCAGAGCAGGCTGTATTGAGCTGAGTGAACAAGAAGTATGAGGCAGCTTCTGACATTGCTTCGCATTGCCCTCCTGAAAGAAAAAGGGTTCCATTGCATAATGAATCCAAACTCTTGACATTATCACTCTCTCTCCCCCACCCCCATTGAAATCCTACGGCTTATACTGAAGTTTATTTTGATGGATGGTCAGGGCTCTCTCTTCTTAATTAAACTCGCAGAAAGATAAGCTGCCTGAAATTCTTGGGCAGCAGGGATGAGCAGCTTTGTTGAAGGAGCAGAAGGGGCACTTCCACCACAGTCTCTTGGGATGAACAGCATTCTCTGTGTGCAACTAGTCCCTTCAGCAAAGAATCACTTGTAGTTTCCATATAAAAGATCTACTTGTTCAGGTGAGCACACTTTGGCCAGCCCAAAGGATTATGGTAAAGCCATTTCAAAAGCTGTGGAGTGAACTTTTTTGTGATATCTGGAGAGACAGACTTAGGCTGAGGGGAAAAGAAACTAAACTCACCAGATGCCCTAACCTGGGATTTAGCCTCATTCTTGTACGCTGGAATCGTGTGTTTTCAGGACCCAGCCTATTCTTGTGACAGTAACCTAATTTAACTGTTTTTAATTCTGAATTTTAAATTATTATGGCCATTTTGGGCCCTGTGCTCTTGTGCGATTTCAGGATGCAATCTCATCCCCAAAAAGTACTTTTCCCAGGGCCACGATCTCACACAGGTCACATGACTTGCATGGGAATGCGGCCCCAGAAGATGGCATCCTGGTTTTTCCCTGCGTCGTGTTGGAAGGTGTGTACTTGGTGTCAGGCAGCTTCCTACATTTTCTATGAGGCTACTTCGAATAAAATGGCAGAGATAACAGCCTGCTGCATGCAGAGCTTTGTAAAGGAAGCCCATGCTTGTAGAAAGCATCTAGTAGAATGTTACACATAGCTATTAAAAGGTAAAGGGACCCCTGACCATTAGGTCCATTCGTGACCGACTCTGGGGTTGTGGCGCTCATCTCGCTTTATTGGCCAAGGGAGCCGGCGTACAGCTTCCAGGTCATGTGGCCAGCATGACTAAGTCATTTCTGGCGAACCAGAGCAGCACACGGAAATGCCGTGTACCTTCCCGCTGGAGCGGTACCTATTTATCTACTTGCACTTTGACGTGCTTTCGAACTGCTAGGTTGGCAGGAGTAGGGACCAAGCAATGGGAGCTCACCCCGTTGCGGGGATTCGAACCACCGACCTTCTGATCGGCAAGTCCTAGGCTCTTTGGTTTAACCCACAGTGCCACACATGGCTATTACTGATTATCAAAAGCAATGACTTGTGGGGATGCAGTTGGGTCACCCATTCTTAGCAGGATGTGCCCTTTCTCAATATGACTGGGCTGAGAAGCCCAGCTGAGGATGACAACTTCAAAAAAAACAACAACCTCACAAAGCATCAGAAGGCCAAAAACCAAAGTAGGATGGAAACTAGATAAAGGGAAATGGGATGACCATTACTCAGAGCAATGGGGTGGGTTTTTATTTTTGTTAAACAGTCATAGCATTCGTTTAAATGGAATATCACCCAAAATAACCATGTGGTGAAAACCTTGATTGGACAAAGCTGTGGAAAATATATTCAAAGGAGGAATATGTGTGTATGTGTGTATTTTTTTATATATACTGCCTTTCAAAGAGCTGGATAAAACCTCTAAGTAGGTCAGGTCATTTTAATCTCTAATTAATGAAAAATATGGAAGATGCTAGTAGGTCAACACAAATAGGATTAGGGTAATTGTGTGAATGGTTTTGCTTATTAGCAGCATGTCTTAAGGACTGGATTATTCCTAAAGTAGTTTTAATATTGCTCTAATTTATGCCAACAAGGAAGAGAAGAACTGAGGACAATGGTTACTAATTGCTAGGGGCATTGTCCACACAATATAGATATCTTTATGTACAATTAGGGATGGGGTGTGTATTTGCAAGGGACGCGGGTGGTGCTGTGGGTTAAACCGCAGAGCCTAGGGCTTGCCGATCAGAAGGTCAGCTGTTTGAATCCCCGCAACGGGGTGAGCTCCCGTTGTTCAGTCCCAGCTCCTGCCCACCTAGCAGTTTGAAAGCACGCCAGTGCAAGTAGATAAATAGGTACCGCTCCAGCGGGAAGGTAAACTGCATTTCCATGCGCTGCTCTGGTTTGCCAGAAGCAGTTTAGTCATGCTGGCTAAAGGGGATTTGCAAAGGGGATTCGTTTTGGATGTGGGGTGTCATGAAACTCAGCATTAGGCAGTTTGGTTTAAGTCACTATCCAAAGTTGTCATTTGGCTACCCTTCCACTCTGAACTCAGTTAGGAAGAAGCTCTAATGGAGAAGGCCTGCCCTGGCTGAAATATACCTCCCCAACCTGTAGTAATTACTCACCACTTTGGGGAGGGGGGGGGAAGGTGCAGCCATTGATTTGGAAGGAAGAGAGATACGTAGAAAATGAAGCATGGCCACAGCAGGGGAGAGACATCAAGAACCAACAGGGGGCACTTTCCAGGTTGCAGTGGTGGGTGGTGGTGGGAATTAGATTTCATTTGTGTTTAAAGGTAAACCTATCTTTGCACTTGCACTTGCTGAAACAATACATGAACCAACACAAGTCATCTTTCAAAAGCCACGCTTCTCTGAATTTTGCAATGCAGTTCTGCAGCCAAGTAACATGTACAAAAGTGCATATAATGGGGGGAATTGCTCAACAAAAATAGTATACAGTGGTACCTTGGGTTACATACGCTTCAGGTTACAGACTCCGCTAACCCAGAAATAGTACCTCGGGTTAAGAACTTTGCTTCAGGATGAGAACAGAAATCGTGCTCCGGTGGCGCGGCGGCAGCGGGAGGCCCCATTAGTTAAAGTGGTGCTTCAGGTTAAGAACAGTTTCAGGTTAAGAACAGACCTCTGGAACGAATTAAGTACTTAACCTGAGGTACCACCGTATTAGGCAAACTTGCATACAAACACATGTATATTGGCATAAATTTGCACTAAAATGCTTTTGATTTTTTTAACAAAGTAATAATGATAAATAAAAGTAAGAATGTGCACCCCACCCTCAAGACCATTCCACTGTAACTATCCAACCTCCCAAAATTTCAACACCTCTTGCGATGCTTTGACTTTTGATTTTTTTAAAAAAGAGTTTGCAATGATGAGGAAATGTGGAAAGCTGAAGAGTGGAAGAACTGAAATCGACCAATTTCCCTACCCCTGCTTTCTCATAACCAGGACACCGAGCTCTTTCTGCTGCTATTGACCCCTTTCCATCTTGAATTGCACAAGTCATACAACCCCTTCAAAGTTTAACCATGGCATCAGGGCTCCTTCTTCTAAATGCTGAAGGACACCAATGGGGCTCCAATGAGGATTTTCAGAGTGTATGCTGACATGACATGGGTTTGAAAGCAGACCTTTCAGTGATGATACCATTGGTGCCAATCTCCTTGTCAACATTTTGAACAGCAGCAAGCCTGCCCAACAACATGGGTTATGCCACACTAAGCTTCTGTTTATTTCCATTCTAATGAGTAAGCGGAGGAAAAGACTTTGATCCAATACTTGTGATTACTTAGCAGCAGGCATTCAGCTACATGGTTAGTAACCATTCAATCAACTGGTCTATTTATAATATATCTGTGAAAGGGTATAGACTTTGCATCTTTTTAAAGGAGACAACTGCACAAAACAGCACCTTCTGCAAAAACAACATTTCCTAGCGTCAAATGGAATTACTGTCTTTTCAAATAACAGCTCCAGTTCTCTGGTTATCAGCCTTTGTTTTGCTTTAAAACTGAATATTGTAGACTGTAAAAAACACAACAATTCTGTACTACAGACTGCAAAAACTGATTGAATGATATACAATGATTAGAATCCGAAGTTAAAATAAGAAAGAATCCTAGATCTGCATAGTCCCAATGATATCTGTGTTAATCTGTGTATTTTTTTCTTATTCTCCATGTCCCCTTTCCTTCAAAATTAAAAATTAAAAAAGAACAAAATTGGAAAATGACCTCAATAATGCAACACTCCCCTCTCAGTTTTACTCCTCTACCTGTTTCAATCTCCTTTGAACAATACTTACCACTCTTAACAGTACAAATATCTGCATGTGTATTCCGAAGCAATTTCTACTACCTTCAAAGACGCTTAGTTCCTAGTAAGTGTGCTTAGAAATGCAGCCTTATTCTTTGCTTGTAATAAAAGGTCTGATGGGGTTAATCTCCAGGAGGTATGATGTGTTCGAGGAGCTACCAGTTGTGGTGAATTAGGCTAAGTGACCATGCCTAAGGGCCCTATGCAATAGGTAAATAAATCTGCCCACTCTCAAATACTAGAGCTCCAGAAGAGCTGACCAGCAAGAGATATTATTCTCTGAATACACTGAGATCCATAAGAAATAACCTTCTTCCTTCCTTCTCTAGTCATGCAATTAGCCAGTCCATGCATGTGTGGCAATGAAGCACTCTCTAGTATAGCCCAAGAAAAAGCAGTATAGCAGGCAAACCTTTTCCTAGCCAGGAACCTCTACTTGTCCCCAGCTGCTCTGAGGGAGCAAGCAAGCCAGAAAAGAGTAGCAAAGAGGAATGTACCATTACCGTGGACACAGCAGAGGGTCAACAAAGCCACAGAGAGGAGGACTCTGCCCAACAGCTCCATAGTGCTTGTTCTCTGTGCTGCAGGCATTCCTTTTCCAAAGGCAGTAAAGCACAAAACTCTTTCCCCATATGAATGGCCACTGCCCAGTCCTGCTTATTTTTGGGAGCTTGATAAAGAACAGGAGGAAATACGACAGACTCCCTCTGGGAATTCAGATTTATTGTTTCAGCCCTTTAGCAGGAACTCCTTTTCCTTGGCAAGCAATCGTGTTTTTGTTACTACTTTAGTTTGTTCTTCTTCAGCCTCAGAGGTCAGGAAAGGTTCCAAAGGGAGCAGATCTTGCTTGAGAAGAGACCAGATTCACAGTTTTTATATATCTACAATCTCTCTCTCTCTCTCTCTCTCTCTCTCTCTCTCTCATCTATAGCTATAGCTATATCTCTGTTTATCTATGCTCTAACACACCTTCAGTATGTCCTCATTCAGGTAACATGCAATTTCAAATTGCTTTTTCTTCACGCCTCATATTATTTTTTATCATTTTGGGGGAACAGCTTATTAAAGCAACCGAGAGGAAGAAATAAGCTGAGCACTTCTGGAAATAAAGTGATGAAAGACAAGCCATCAGTTTGCTTTCCTGCCTTCAGACAAATTTTTCGTCTTCCTTTCCTTAGCCCCTGCCCTGAGGACTGAACCAAGAGGTTAGAGAAGAGGGGAGCAAAAGTAGTTTCAGAACCAGATACAGTGGTACCTTGGGTTAAGTACTTAATTCGTTTTGGAGGTCTGTTCTTAACCTGAAACTGTTCTTAACCTGAAGCACCACTTTAGCTAATGGGGGCCTCCTGCTGCCACCGCACTGCCGGAACACGATTTCTGTTCTCATGAACTTTCCTGAAGCAAAATTCTTAACCTGAAGCACTATTTCTGGATTAGCGGAGTCTGTAACCTGAAGTGTATGTAACCTGAAGCGTATGTAACCCGAGATACTACTGTAATCTAAGGATTAGCTGGAGAAGGTTCACAGGAGAAGCTAAAGGTGATCTTCAGCCAAAGCAACTGATTGGCTGGTTACTGCAGTCATTGTTGTCTTCATGGCCTGCCACAAGCAACGCTATTTCTTCTTCAATCATCTCTCCTAGGGTGACAAGCATATGATGTATTTTCACTCCCATGACTGAGTCATTCCCCACCTTGCTGAAACCCCTCAGCCCTTCCACATAATCCTCAACGCAGCCCATTCCCGATCTTTCTTCTTGGCAATAATTTACATCATGGGCAAGAACTGCTCAAAGCTCAGTTGTCTTCCTTTGTCAGATACAAATTTAGTAGCAGGGAAGTATGAGTTGCAACATGGATTGATTACATTTCAGTTCGTTTTAATTGGATCTTGGCTTGTTTTCACGGCTCTTTTTGTGGAAATGAGTGCTTGATGTCTGCTTGACACTCTAGAGCAGGCACCCCCAAACTCGGCCCTCCAGCTGTTTTGGGACTACAACTCCCATCATCCCTAGCTAACCGGACCAGTGGTCAGGGATGATGGGAGTTGTAGTCCCAAAGCAGCTGGAGGGCCGAGTTTGGGGATGCCTGCTCTAGGACTGTAGGAGACATTGCGTGGTATTCAGTGCTAACCCTACTCAGAGTAGACCCACTGAAGTTAATTGTCATGACTAACTTGGATTTCTAATTAAAGCTAGAAATAAATCCTGTCGGGGGGGAAAGACAGGGTATAAACAAACAAACATTTTTTTAAAAAAAATTAAAGTAAATTCAATGTTTAATTATTGACTGAATTAATTGTATTTTTAAAATACCAAACATAATAATTTAATGGCTGGTCAAGTTATACATAATACTTTGTTACTAAAGTAACAAAATGCCTTTCTATCTCTAACAGTGCTGGAAAAAACAACAATTGCATACTTTTCAATTTCAAAAATTTCATTTCCCCCTGCTTTCCCTAAAGGATTCTGGGAACTGCAATTTGGTAAGGGTTATGGAAATTGTAGCTGTGTGAGGGGTAAACTTACAGTTCCTGGGATTCTTTTGGGGGAGATATGTACTCTAAATGTGCTTTAAATGTATGGTGTAGTCGTGACCTTAGTCCAGAAGGGTGTTATTGTTCATTTCTCTGTGTGCCAACGGGCTTGTTCGGTTTTAAGATGTGCTGTTATTTATTTATTTATTTTTACTGTTTTGCTCATATTGTTGAATTTATACTTTTTATGACAATTATCTGTAAGGTGTCTTGTGGGGTGTGTGTGAAAGGCAGACTAGAAGTCTGTAAGTAAGGAAGTAAATAATACATTGTTGCATAGCTGTCAATGTTTCCCTTTTTTTAAGGGAAATTCCCTTATCCCAAATAGGATTCCTCGCAAGAAAAGGGAAAAGTTGACAGCTATGCATTGTTGAAAAGAGAAAGTGCCAGCCCATATCCATCTTTGGATCAGGCAATGAGCAATATTCTTGGCATTGCAATGTGTAAGGTTTGGAGGAGAATTTAGTTTAGTCCATATTTTAATGCTCACCTAGCTAATTTGCAGTCCCTAGACTTATCTGCAAATCAGAATGCACTTCTTAATTAACTTTGTGCACTGCTCCAAAGTTTGCGATATAGTTTTGGTTAAGGAAATAACCTCATCCTACTCTCCTCCCAGAAAATGCATTCAAAGGTGCTTATTTTTAGGGAGGGAAATGCATATGAAATATATATTTTAAGGGAAAGTGCATACGTAAGGGAAAGCTCCATGCAATTAAAACACACATTTTAAATGTTGTGTCTTTTAAAAAGAAAAAAGGGGGCAGAGCAGACTTACGACTGAAAGCACGCAGAGCTGACATGGGAATAGGTTGATTTGTTCATCTTTAGCAGCTCATCAGAAGCAAAACCTGATACACCATTAAGGAAAATGTTATTGATTGGCTGCAGCCAGACAAAACATCATGCTTAGGAGATTGGAAGTCTGAGACAAGGCAAAGCAAAACTGAGGCCCACGGACTCTGTGAATAATTGTGTCATATAAAGTCCCCCTTCTCAATATGTGTTTATGAGCCCCACATCCTGATCCAAGCTAATTAAATCGGAAACAGTGAGTCAGTCTCCTTGGCATCTTTTGTTATTCAAAATGCATGCTCTGATTATACTCTTGGCTGTCTCTCACGAAGCAAAACAGAAGCTGTGTGTCGGGGCCAGGCCTCAATTTTCCAAAAGACTGTGCAAGCTCAACCGCTATCTATCTAAGTACAAATCACATCCTAATGCAAATGACATGCGACATGAAAACAGGAATGGAAATGGGGAGGAGAGGATGGGCCGGTTGGGTGAAAAAATATTTAAGCTAAATGGACATGGGCAATGATAACTCAGTTATCTTGTAAACATTTCAGCCCTTGTGGTGGTGGAATAAAATCACAAAATCCTGATGGTGCTGTGGCTTTGGGGAAATAAGAGATAGTTGATGTTGTTTTGATGTAAGCCCCTAAGCAGTTGATTGATTATTTATTGCCTTCTGGCTCACAAGAATACCGCCCCTGCCCCCGCAACCTGGCAATATACAATAATCAAAAACAACACAGGATTTTTTTTAAAAAACACACCGCTTAAACAGGACCAAACCTTTATTAAAACAGAACTGGAGGGCAGATTGTTTTGAATCAAAGGCAAGGCAAAAGAAAAAAAGTTTTTACAGCCTGCTGAAAGTTTTGCAAGTTCTGGCCAACTTGAACTTCCTAGAGAGGAGGTTCCACAGTGTGGAGGGGTGCTGCAACCAAAAAGGCCCTGTCCCAGGTACCAATGAGCCTAGCTTCTCCTAATTGTGAGACATACAACAGGGCCTCTGATGAAGATCATACATTTAAGGCATGCTCACAAGAGACGGAGGTGGTCTTTCTTGGTCCCAATCCATTTAAGGGCTTATAGGCAAGAATGAGCAACTTGGAAGCCAGTGCAGTGGATAAAAGATTATTCTTCAATAGTTCATAAAGCACACGTCAGACAACTATCTGGTGGCTGCATTTTGCAACCCCTCAAGTTTCCAAACAGTTTTCCAGGGTAGCTCCATGAGAGTGCATTGCACAAATCGAAATGAGAAGCATGTATCACCGTGGCCAGATCTGTATTCTCCAGGAAGGGGCACAGCTGGGGCATCCTAGCCAAAGCTGGGCAAAAGCACTCCCAGCCACAGCACCTTTTACACACCCAAGATCCAATCCTGTCACCCCAAGGGTGACTTGCTTTAACCACTCTAAATATTTCTGAGGTAGGGCTGTTACGGAGTTTATATGCAGTCCCTGAGCTATCTGGGGCTTCCTGTGAGTTGAGATACTCTAGCACTGGTTTAGCAGCCTTAGTCTTTATCCAGCTCAGCGGACACCAGGATTTATTCAGTCTGCCTTTTTAAGCAAGCCAACCTGATGATAGTTTGTGCATTCCATTGCTGCAATGACTTCTATGCCGTGTGTGTGTGTGTGTGTGTGTGTGTGTGTGTGTGTGTGTGCCCAGACTCCTGTTTGTTTGTTTGTTTGAATTCACTGGGTGTAGCTTTCCACTTCAGAATACAGCAATTCTGTGAGTCAGGAAATGATGCCAACACCTTCCCTGGGCCAAAACCCGTCAAAGCCAAGTTTATGTCATAGAGCAGAGGCCTTAGCAATGCAGATAAAGAGGTACAACTTCCTTCAGTTTAACATTATTAGCCGTGCCTATCAGCTGTCTCTCCTTTATTTTGGTGCACAAACCAGGCTTACATTGATAGTGGCTTAAATTGTTTTTCCACAGCTGCAAATCACTGCATCATTGGATCTCTTGCCATTGCTTCTTTCACACAACAACAACAACAACAAACCCCTCTTGAATCTCACACTTCACAGAGTTCAATTAGTAGGCATGACTTGATGTTTTATTTATACCCCATCTTTTTCTCCAAGGTGCTCAAAGTACAGGGTTCTACCTCTCCTCATTTTAGCCTTACACCGACCCTGTCAGGTAGATTAGCCCAAAGTCATCCATTGAGGTAATCATGGCTGAATGGGATCTAGAATCCTAATCTCCCATGTTTTAGTCCAACACTCCAAGCACTACACCACAATTACTCTCCACAAGTGTCTCATCACCATATAGGTTAGTTAGCAGTTCCTGACTCCAGTGCA